CAGAACTGTTTCCATGCTTGCTGCATCATTGCATTCCTGATCTTGGCCAGACATCTCTGAATTGACCACAATGAGGTAACGCCAGCCATAAATTCGAAGAATCAAGTTTTCTTTCACCTCTAGTATGGCTAGAACTCCTGTTAGACTGAAACCCCTTCTGAGGGCAGCAGCTACGACTTCGCTCTCTTCCCTGCACTGCACAGGTGGTTCACCCACACAGCCTCTAGACTGCCTCTGGGATGAGAGCTGATGTTTATCATGCAGTTCATTGTGCTAATCGATTTACAGGCACCATCTCACTTAATCCTCCTAATAGCCTTTCACACATGTGGTAATTGAGGTACTTAGAAGCTAAGTAACTTGCCTGAGGCCGCAGGGGAGCTGAAGCAGAAACACGCTATAACTCAGGCAGCTGAAGCCCCAAGCCCCTGCTCTGTCCTTATGGTGCTTCCCATCCCATGACTTAGACTAGGGAAACTCAACAGACACTGGAGTGACAAAGAACTCAGCCCGGTTCTGCAATCACTCTGGTGCTCAAGTTAGATCCACTTGCAATTTAGTCGAGAAAGAAAATTTAAACAACTGATCACACTAGATATTTATTTCAGTCGAGGGAAATGCAATGAAGGAGAAGTCCAGCGGGCCTGTTGAGCAAGCAAGAAAAATCTGATCTAATCTGGAGACAGGGAAGAAGACGAAGGATAATTAGAAGCCAGCTGGGCCCAACAGCCAGGGACCGGAGAGTGAGCGAAAAGATGTGATGGAAAGAGGAAGGCCCTGAGGTGAGCAGCCATGTGTATACTTGTTGTCATTCTTATTTAGTTAGGAACCATTTTCTTTCTCATCTTTATATCCTGAGAGCTGATGTCAGCAAACCACAGCTGCCCACCTGTTTCGGTAAGTAAAAATGTTGTTGGAACCCAGCCATGATTTTCTGTTTACATAATGTCCATGGCTGCTTTTGCAGTACGAAGGCACAGGGGTTTCAGCAGGGACCATTTGGCCCAGAAAACCTAAAATATTTACTATCTGGTGCTGGGTAGAAAGTTTGCCAACCTCTGCCCTAGGGCAACAGGAACAGTACTTCATATACAGCAGGCATTCAATGTTTTTTTTAAATTACTTCTACACAACATTTGAGGGAATTACGATAAATACACAGATTAAAAGCAACGGGTCACAGAAGACCACATATTGTACGATTTCATGTATGTGAACTGTCCAGAATCTAGAAAGGCAGAAAGTAGATTAGTTGTTGCCTGGGGCTGAGGGAAGAAGGGAGGGCTAAGGGGTAAAAAAGGTGATTAGGGCTTCTATTTGGGGTGGTGAAAATGTTTTAAAATTGACTGGGGTGATGGACACACAGCTCTGTAAATACACTAAAAAATCACCAAATTGTAGTTTTGATAAGTTGTATAGTATGTGAATTATATCTCAATAAAGCTGTTATTGGAGGGAAAAAAAGAGCCAGATAACTAAAGTCTGCTTTTGTTTTGGTGATGGGGATTTAGGTTTGGTAGAGGAAAGAATATCCTTATATTAAAGAGCTCAGTTAATTAAAAAAAGTCATTACAAAGGAGCAAGCAACCTGAGCCTGACCTTCCCAGATACTTAGATGGGAAATGTTCAATAACGCATTGTCTGTTGTAAGAAGCACTAAACAATTAATGCTAACAGACAGACTTCCTGCGAGTCCTGAGCTCTGGAAAAACTGCTATGTGGGTTTTTGCATAGGGTTCACTGACATCATGAGAACTAGAATCCTTGAAGACAGTCTTACAGAAATTACAATTACACCAATGACTATTTCTTATGTTGACACAACAAAAGCCAATGGTTCAGAAATGGCTTTTAATTGCCTAGGCCAATGTTGACCAATAGAACTTTCTAGAATGATGAAAATGTTCTGTATCTGCAGTGTCCAATAAGCTAGACATTATCCTTATGTGATTATTGAACACTGGAAATGTGGCTAGTACAGCAGACTATAATTAAAATTAAATCGTAATTTAGTTGTATCTCACCCAGCTAATTTAAATAGCCACATGTAGCTAGTGACTGTCATACTGGACTGAGCAGGTCTAGAAAGTAAGAAAAGGACACTAGAACGTTATCCATTGAGCCCTAAAAATAACTGAGCAAATTTTGTTGCCCTACAAAGCCAACAACGCTTGGTGACAGTCAGTTTAAAAATTCAATGCAAAATACATTTATTTTGAACTCAGAATAGTCTATGCTAATCCACTGGTGACAGGAAGTTGACTCAAAGTTAAGCACTCTATTTGTATGTAACAGTAGACCGTGTATTATTAGCGAATCATTTTTCTTTCTTTTCTTTTTCATGTTTCTATTAGCTGGGAAGCTGTTCACCTGAAAATATCATCTTCAAAAGTAACTCCTCCATTTCCACAAGAGCATAGAAATACCAAAAGGCATAACTAGGTTATGTTCTGCTTTAATGAATTAGCGTGAAAAAAAAGCTGGAAGGGGAAAGAGTGATGAATGAGACTGAATCATAGAAACTTAATATTTCAGCTGGCAGGGCATAGTTGAAGACGGGTGTGGGAGATGGTCAGCCAGTCTGTGTACTAGCAAAGCTCCGATAAACAAGGAAATGGAAAGCCAATGTGATGGCTGAGGGCCAGGTAGGAGAGGCTGCAATAAGACTATAAATCCAGCGTGGCATTAAATTCCAGGACAAATTAACGGTCAACTTATTTTCTGGTCTACTTTGGAAAGAGCAATTAAAAACGGACAATGTATATACAAAAATCTCCTGCAGGAATCACATCTGTATAAGATGAGACTCTACAAAAGTAGAAAGATATGAGTATTTTAGTGACCATAGTGCAAAGCATGCACCTTGTAAATATTTAATTGATTCCAGATTACTAATGTCGCTTTTGGAAAAATAAACTAAACAACATCTAGAAAATTCTCACTTGAACAATCAGAGAGCAAAGTTATAAATACACATGGCTTTCAGGAGAAAGCACCTAACTTATTTGAGGTACTGTTGGCTAACAGCTGGGCATACACTGAGGTACCATGAAATTATATTAAATTTCACTTAAGGCATCTTTGACATAGAGCATTCCCATATCCCACACCACTGAGCCACTAAAAATGGGAAAGACTATTAACTAGTTGAACACAAACCAATCAACAAGTCATAACCTGACCCTAAAAATCCAGGGATGTTTCCCACATGGGCGGCTTCCCTAAGACGGGTATTTACAGCACAAGGGCTTTAATTTCTCCTTCTGAAACAAGATTTTATCAGTGGCTGAGAAGTAAGGCTAAACATAGCACTGGGGTTCTAAAACCTACATATGCTTACATGCTTAGAGTAGCTTAAGCTGAACTGTGCATTTGTCTCCCTTCATAGTCCTTTCTCAGGGCACTTAGCCCCTCGTTTTACTTGATTTCTTTGCATGTCTGTATTCCCACCATGAGCTCCTTGAGGAAAGGGACCTCTGTCTTTGCATCCTGAGTCTCTCACAGTCCTGTAACATTGTCAGTACTTTACAAAGGACTGGGAAATTAGACTGTCGAAATAAACAACAGATCCTAATTTCCTTTTAGTTGCATTCTCCAGAACAAGGACAAGGAAGTCATACGCTTGGCAGGCGGGTGAGCACAGTGCTCTGGAGCACGAGCTGTGGAGTCAGTGCAGGCTCTGCCACTCAGCATGTGCGTCACCACGGGGAGCCTCATCCTCCACATCTGAAAAATGGGTAGAACAACACCCACCTCAAAGGGTGTTAGGAACAACACACAAGATATATATAAAGCCTGTAGCACAGTCATTGGCACAAACTAAGGGTTCAATTGCAGTGTTATTGCTAAACATTTTGAAAGCTGGTAAACGTTTAGTCCATTTTTGTTTCATTATCACTAAAATAAATTATACTCTCGCTTAAATTAGACCCTCTTTGAGAACTCCTTGTAGAAAAAAGTCTACTAAATATTTTCAAAATCGAGACATGGAATTGTCATACCCACATGCAGTTTTTATGGGCACATGGTATTCAAGAGGCACTATTTCCTGTCCATCTTTACGCAACATGGCTAAGGAGAAGAACCCAGATTTAAAAAGGCACATTGTGGGATAGCTCCTAAATGGCTGTGAATCAGAAGCATTTACAACTTTCCAACTCTCCTAACTGCCATAAAGGAGAACAGCCATTCAAACATTCACGTGTTCATTCATTCAAATATTTATTGAGCCCCAATTGCGTTTGAGCATTGCGCTTGGTTCTCATAATAGACAGGAAATGGAACGGACAAAGAGGCTGCCCTCATGGAGACTCCATTCCAATATGAAGCAAAGTTCACCTAAAATAAAGCATCTGTTAGTCATTCCCTCTTTATACCAAACAGCATAGTGCCTCATTCAATCATAGCAGACTTTCAGATTGTTAGTATAACCCTTATATATTGTTTTCTTTTTGCCTTTGATCTCTTTTACCCACCCTGCCTTCTGCAACAGAAGCTGAATGTAATATTCCTCTCAGATACAAGGCTTTCAAGCTAAGCACAAAATTACAATAATGCAGAATGTTTTTACAACAAAGCAAAGTGGCAATAATTAGCTTTATTCCCACACCTTGCTAACGAGAAATATAGTAGGAATGTGACATTTTTAAAAAATTTTTGCTACTGCAGACAAAAACACCCTCCACAGACCCTGCTCATCAGTTTCACCTTCTTCCTTACAAGAGGTTGAAGCCCCCAAAGAAAGAATGTTCTTGTGGGAATGGATTTTGTTTGGATATGACTTTCTTGCTTTCAGCTCAATGCAAACACCAGTGGATTTATGAGATAAGGAGAATTTCGAAGTTAATGAAAGTGCCATTTATGAGCAAAGCATGAACTAAAATGGTGGGAGAAAGAACACAGGGAAAGATTTATTGGGTTATCTTTGGCTGAAATGAAAGGCAGACTGAATGCGTTAAAATTCTGCACACACGTGTCCTATTGCCTGGAGTCCTTTTTACCTGGCTGCCATGAGATCCAGGAGATGCTGCCACCGGTCGTTGATCTTTCCAAGCTTGTATTCAATCTCCGACGCTTTGCTTTCATGGCTGGCTCTAGCAAGGCGTTCTCCCATTTGCTGGAGCTGTATTTTGCTCTCTTGGGCAATAGCAATTTCCTCTTGATAATCCTGCATAATAAATAGCAATCACAGAGGTCAGAAAGCATATTCTTGATGCATTCAGCTTGGCTGTACTAGAAACAGGATAATTACAGTTTTCTACTGCTTGGAAATAGTTTGGGCATGAGGTACACTGTCTGAGTATCAGTCTGTATGCACAAGCATTAGTGGTACCTATTATTTTCAGTATTATTTTCAGGTCCAACTGAATTTTATATAGACGTTCTTAAAGGAAGGGGAAGTGCTTCTATTTACTTAAAATGGACATTAAAAAAAAAACAATAAAAGTATGTACATACAAAAGGCAAAACTTGAAGGATTTAATGCTGGGAAATTATACCTTATTGCTGTAATCACCAACCTGAGGCTATATTTAGAATCAACCCTCATCCGGATAGTTACCGAGAGGCTTATTTGTGTGTGTATTTGTATATATGCAGTTGATATATATGTGTATATGTGTGTGTATGTCAATTGTTATTTGTGCAGAATGTTTTAAAAGGGTCCCTTCATTTTAAAGAGAGATTCTCTATACAATGTCAATATTTACAGCACATAAATCAATAGCAAATTAACTCTCAAGAATAACAACCGTTAATCTTAGAGAATCAACGGGTCTCCAACCTTCTTCATTTACCCACTTGCTGCACTGGCTCCTCTTAAAGATTGTTCTGGATAAAAAGAACCAGGCTGCATATGGTCTATTTGCGAGAGACAGGCCACGAAATGGTGTGATTTAAGTGGCGATGGGTGGACATCTCCCCTCCACCCTCACTCCCACCCCCTGACCAGTGCTTTTCTTACTCTGGCCACAGGGACAGGATTCAATCTTTAGAATCAATTTTTTCATTTTTGGCTTAAGCTCCTGTTATGCAGCACATATTTCCTGAGAAAAATATTATACGAAGACAGGTATCATAGGAGCATGGATATTTTAACTTTCTGTTGTTTTCAAGTCAGTGTGATGACAGAACTACCCTCTCAAGTCAGTTACCGAAGCTAAAGGCCCCCAAAGGAATGGGCTGAGCCAGTGAAATTTCATTCTATCCCAGTGGTGAACGCCCTCCTCAGGCCCAGCACCCCCACCTACCCTCCTCTTTATGTTACTTCAACACAATCGGATCCAAAGACCAATACATTGGACGTATTTATTAATAGTTATAATATTTCACCACAGATTTGAGATGATTTTACTGAGGAATGCTTATTTCAAAGGAATTACTCCAAGCCTAAAAGAATATTTATAGTAAAACAATCCTTTTGGATTGTCTTTTAAATTAAAATGTTTTTGAGTGTTAATGTCAGTAGACACCAATATCTTGGTTACACTCTGTTCATTAATTGCTTGTTTCTATTTTGTCAAAGTTACCAAACCTTAGTGTTATTTCCCTTTACAAAAAAGATACCATGAGAGGCAAGTTCATAAAGACTTCTTTTTAAATCCCATAATTTGTTTTATATACAAAATATTAATATTAATATTTAAATATTAATATTAAAATACTAATATTTTAAGGATTATTCCTAACATTGTGCCAAATAGTGTAACAAAATTATCTACGTGAAAAGCCAAAGTTTTTCTAAATTTTAAATTATGACTGTATTTTATTTGAGATAATTTTTCTACACCCCCAAAATAAAATTTCAAGAAGAAAATCAAAGGGAATATAGATATACTTAACCAAAATTTATTCTATCGCAAACTTCACTATAATACCTATAGTACACTAGTCACGTCTAGTAGAGCATTGCATGATACCCAGAAACTAGCTAAGCGCAGAGCTGTTGGCAGACGCTAAAATAAAATCTGCATTATCTCAGCCCACATTTTAAAGGTTTATGTTATCAAATATGTATACAAATGCTTATCCTTAGAATTTGCAATTTTAAGTGGAAACCTATAAAGTTATTAGTATTACATGATGGCTTTCAGTTTTTATTTTTCTCTCTATATGTTTGTATGGATAAAGATAATTTTCCCTAATAATGATGTATATTTCTTTTTACAACGAATGAAGCCATAATTCACTCATTCAATAAATACTGACTGCGTACTTATGAGAAGTCAGGCTCAGCTCTGGCTGAAGGAGATACAGCAACAAACACAACAGACAACGTCCCCGCCCCAGCGAAGCTTGCAGTCCACTGGGGCTTCCAGTGCACACGGACAATGAACGAGTGAACAGGGAACATGCACTGTATTCAGGTGGTGACATGTGCTAACGAGAAACGAACTAAAACAGAATTGAAATGATTAATTGTTCAAAAACAACGTGGAAACACCACTGAAATCATCAAAAACATTTTTAAATGTCAGCAAATTTGATCAACCCTATAGATGTGAAAAATGTCCTGGATCCATATGAATATATAAAATAATTATAATTAACTTGAAAATAATATAAAGCCAAAATTCTCAGGAAAGTCCTTATTCCTGTGACTGTCTATAGAGATGTCTTACAGAGAAAATTTCAGTTTACTTGATCCTGGGAATTTCTGCTTTCAGCTCCTCTCTAGAGATTTCACTTCTTTAAAAACAAAAATGAAACAAAACAAAAAACTAATACATAATTGATGCCTAATGATCAGGTAGCTAAAACCCCAATATTGAACATTATCTATTAGCAGATAATCTATTTCATCACAAATTGAAAATATTTCTATATATTTTGTATGAAAAGGAGGCCTTTGCATGCAAGTTTATTTTGCACTAAAAAGATAAAACACTTATAATAGAGTGCTCCTTTGACAGGGAAGTAATTATGAGTAAGGCCATCGTCTGTATCTATTAAAAGTGTCCCTACGGCCCAGTGGTGTAGTGGTTAAGTTCGCGTGCTCTGCTTTGGCGGCCCAGGGTTTGCAGGTTCAGATCCTGAGTGTGGATCTAGCACAGCTCGTCAAGTTATGCTGTGGCAGCATCCCACATAAAATAGAGGAACACTGGCACAGATGTTAGCTCAGGGCCAATCTTCCTCACAAAAAGGAAAAAGAAGAAAACCCAAACCAAACCAAAACAAAAAAGTGTGCCTGAGCATTCTGAAGAGTAAAAACATATGTAGTCAGGCATCCCATACCTTCTTGAGCTTCTCTATCATTTCTTCAATGAGAATGTCTCCATTTTGAGAAACTTTGCTTTCCATTTGAGTCAGCCATTCGCAAAGCTCCTTGTTCTTTTCGCTGAAGACTGCCCATTCGTTCAACCTCTCACTTACTTGCTGCCGCCTTAAGGAGAGCTGACAAGTTTAAAATGGGAGAAATGCAAAAGGATTATCAGAGTGGAAGTCATTACCCTGAGGAAAATAGCCACCAAACTCTGTAGGGTGGACTGAAGTGAGCAATAGTGGTGCGCCTCTTTAGGTCACTGTTCCCTGAGGTCCAGTGCCAGGAGCACAGCTCTCTCTAGCAAGGTTTCCCAGCTAGGATCTGCTGACACTAAGTGCCAGTGGGAGACCTTGAACCCCATACTTCCCTCCTGGGGAGACCCATGCTTATTAAAGGATCTGAACGATCCAGCTTCACAGTATAGTTGATTCTGTGTAGATGATACAGAATCACTGAATGTACTTTTATGAAAAAAGAAGAAAGAAATAGGAAAGAACAGGAAAAGAAGGAAAGCAGAAAGGCAAGAAAAGAAGGAAAGAAAGAAGGAAGAATTAATCGAGTCTCAGCTATCTGGAGAGTGGAGCAGAGGGACAGAGTGGAAAGAGGCCTGAAGGGGAAGACGTAATTCCTATGGCTCAGCTCCATACTGATCATTTTATTTTGGGCAAGTTCTTTGATGTCTCTGCCTGCTTTCTTTTTTATTTATTTAGCTTAGTTTCTTTTTTTTGGCATAGCAGCTTAATTGAGATATAATTCACATACCATACAATTTATCTGTGTACAGTTCAGTGGTTTTTTTTAGTATACTAACAGAGATTTACAACCATCACCATAATCATTTAATAAAATTTTCATCACTCAAAAAAAACCATCAGCACACACTCCCTTCCCCCCACCCTTCCCCCTTCCCAGCTCTAATCTATTTTCTGTCTCCATGGATTTGCCTATTCTGGACATTTCATATAAATGGAATCATACAACATGTGGTCTCTCGTGAGTGGTTTCTTTCACTTAGCATAATGTTTTTAAGGTTCATCCATGTTGTAGCGTGTATCAGCATTTCATTCGTTTTTATAATTCTGAATATATTCCGATGTATAGATACACCACATTTTATTTATCAATTCACCTGTTGATAGACATTGAGTTGTTTCCACTTTTTGGGCTATTCTGAATCATGCTGCTATGATCATTGGTGTACAGGTGTTTGTGGGGACATACGTTTCATTTCTCTTGGGATATATACCTAGGAGTAGAATTGCTGGGTTACACAGTAACACTACAGATTGTTTTCCAAAATGCTTACATTTTACATTCCCACCAGCAGAAGGATTCCCATTTCTCCACATCCTCACCAACACTGGTATATTCTGTCTTTTTGATTATAGTCATCCTAGTGAGTGAAGTCGTATCTCATTGTGGTCTGGATTTGCAATTCACTGATTGCTAACGAGGTTGAGAACCTTCATGTTCCTTGGCCACTTGTATATCTTCTTTGCAGAGGTATCTAGTCAAATCCTTTGCCCAGTTTGTAACTGGGGTGTCTTTTTATTCTTGAGTTGTAATAGTTCTTTATACATTATAGATAGAATGGGACTATTTCCTTATCTCTAGGTCTAGAATGATCTTTCCCAGAATTCTAACATTTTCTGATGTCATCATCCTCTTCTTTTTGCAGTGCTGGTTGAGATACTAAGGAATGTTTCTAGTTGAGTTAAACTACATGTTAGCAAAATATAATGATTTGAGTGGCAAGAAGAAGATCTTCGATATTCTACACAGCCATGTTGAGGAGGCGAGGCATGCCACCATTCATTCCATTGCATTAAACACCTCCCTCTCAATTTTCTTTTCTTCTGCCAACATTTTATTATGAAAAACATCAGACATACAGAAAAGTTGAAAGAACTGTATGGTAAGCACCCATGATACACTCCCTAGACTCTAAAATTGTTAACATTTGCCTTAATACATATATTCCTTTATCCATCAATCACTTTATTTCTCGAGGCACTTCAAACCAATTTTCTTTTTAAAATGAGAATGAAAATATATCTAAGGTGCTATACACTTCCTAATTAGCAATTCTGCATAGGGTTGGCTCTGTTAATGATTAGGTAAATCATATTCAAGGTCCCACACAACCTCAAATGTCTGTGATTCTGTATCTAAGGATAGAGTTGGCAATTCAGCTATCAGACCAGGATACCTATGCCAGGGCTGGCCTTAGGCATAAGAAGCTGCCTAGGTAATGAGCCCATAACCTACCATAGTTTTTGAAACATCACTATTAGAAATTCATTCTTTTGAATTAATTATGATCTTTTGAAACAAAATTTTCTCTGGGTAGGGTGACACTGATGAATCCATTAAGTATGTCTCCATTAGTATAATTCAGTTTACCATTAAATTTTCTTCCAGGCAGAAAAACACAGAACAGCCAAAAAGGCAGTGAATTTACTTGGGTTGGTACTGATAGGAATGGAAAAGGCTAAGAAAACACAGGTTAAAAGTTTTGGAGATGAATTTTGCCTATGTCAAGCTAGACCAAGACTGAAGATGGGAGCCCAATCCTTCTAATACCACTTTCCTCTCAAACTCTGACAGCAGAGTGCATTCTGATCTTCTGCTGGAATGCTGAGATTTTGAAGTTTCTGGTAGATAGGGCTTTTTCTCTTTCATTCACAGAGTATCAGAGTCAGGAGTGTGGCTGGTAGTTACAATTCTGTTTCAGTTGATGCCCAAGCTGAAGCTATATTTTCATAATTGGGACCACCCAAAGTAACAGTTTCAAGGAAAGGTTAGAAATCCCTTGCCCTTCAGACTTAAGATGAAAAGGTCTTGCTATGTGTAGCCCCTCCTGTCCCCTTCCCCCAAATCTTGGCCACGAGCAAGAATGAATTATAGGGCTTTTCCCAACCACATCTGCAGGGAAGATGACCATATAATAGAAAAATATCATCTATTTCTTTGAGAAGTAGGTATTATCATGCCCATTCCAGAGACAGAGACAGAAGTTTAGATAAATTTGAGCCTTTTGTTTATAGTCAGAACAAGACAGGACCAGCAAACCTTGAGTCTTTGATACAGGTTGCAATTTAACATTACGATCCAGTATCCAGAGGCAGCTGAGATTCAAAAACAGTGTCCATCAGTTACTAATGATACGACCAGGACAAGGTTACTCATCTTCTTGAAGCCTTACTTTCTTCCTTTTTAACTTAGTCTTTCATTTGTTCCAAAATTTATTAAACAAATGTTTATCGTTTACAGTAAACAAGTATCTACTTTGTTCCAAGCACTGTCCTCTGTTCCAGAATACAGTAGGCTCTTAATAGAGTATGAACAAGAAAATAATTTAAGAAAGTGACCAGTACATATGGAAGACTTAGAAAAGCTGGCTATTAATATATTACTACTATATATGACTACAGGTCATTGTTTGAGTTCTTTATTTTTCTTCTCTTTGATAGTCATGTATTCAATATCTCCACTCAGCATCTTGGCTCTCTCTCTCTAGTGTTTATTACACACCAAGGAAGTGTTGCTTTCATTTGCTACTGCAGAGCAATAGCTGAAACGAGAAACAGGTAGACGACCAGCGCTGGCGCCAAAAGCTTCTCAAAAGATTTAAATTCATAATGGAGACGGCAGTTTGGTTTTGGTTTGTAAAACTAACATTTAGGCTGCACAATAAGTGAATGTTACCATCTCTTTCTTTGGGTTCAGTTGCAACCCTCAAATTATTTATCAGCCTAGCACATATTTACGTTTTCTCAAGGGTATAAACACATTGTATTGCCAACAGCTGACAAGTACCGGCTAAAACTTTCAGAGGGCGAGGCAGCTGAACAGGAAATACATCCTTTTCTACTTCAAATATTTTTACCATGACAATTCGAAAAACACCGAGCAATTACCATGATGATATATTTAGATCTCAACTAGAATTGCACACAGATCTACAAACCAAAAAGGAATAAAAGCAATATAAGCAATGGCTGCACACAGGCACAAGAAACCATTTGGGGAGTCTATCTGAACACAGGATCCTTGTACACATTCACTCTGCTCCGCGACATTTACTTACGGCACGTCTTCCTCGCTCTCAGCTGCAACCCCAACTACTCCTACCTTCTCATCGACTCCTTCAATTGGAATATGAGCAGACGACCTACCTGCTCTTTAACAGATGGATCACGCTATGTTTAACTAAAGGTTTTAACTTTTAAAATGAGACATAGGCACAAGCTCATTTCCTTTTGTGGTTTCACACTTGATAGAAGTTCTCCGGAAACACGAACTCGAGAACTAGTAACTACTCTCTATTCCTCCTTACAGTTACATCCTGGCGCCTTTGGTATGAATACCGATGACTAAAGTCTCACTGGTTTAAATATATTTTTTTTAGATTGAAGTAATGTGAGACCAGCATGCTTTAGCTTCATGCCTTAAAACACTCAATATGGAGAGTTTCTAGAAACACTCCATATTCAATCTGCTTCCTCTTTTTGTACTTGTCTTAGTCCACCCACAGGTGCGAGGTAGTAATCTCTTCAGGGCATATCATGTGATCAACAGCAGATTTCACAATGTATTTTCAAACAGACTGTTCGCTATATATAACTAAGACTGGTGAGCAATTTTACAACATATAAACTTTTTTCCCCCTTTTTCCTTTTTCCAGCTTTACTGATATAATTGACGTATTGTGTAAGGTTAAGGTGTACAGCATGATGATTTGATACACATATATATTGTGAAATGATTACTGTAAGATTAGTTAACATATCCATCACCTCAAATAATTACCATTTTGTGTGTGTGTGGTGAGAAACTTTAAGATCTACTGTCTCAGCAACTTTCAAGTATTCACTGCAGTCTTGTTAACTACAGTCCCCATGCTGTACATTAGACCCCGGAACTTACTCATCTTGTAACTGGAAGTTTGTACCCTTGGTATCTCACGGCATTTTTACATAGTACCAGTTTTCCTAAATCAAAAAGCACTGCATAATCATAATCTTCTTAACTTCCAAAATATTCAGAAACCTGTCATTATTTTGTATTTAGAGGAGCATAAGTATAAAGACATAAAACAAATGTTCTAAAGTCTTGTCTTCATTATTAACAGTACACGAACACTTAGCTGTTCTAGGCACTCGGGACACAAAGAAATGGTCTTCGTCCTCAAGGGTCTCATAGTCTTGAAACAAAAACACCAATAGTTTCAAAAAAGAAGAAAGGAAAAATATACTGTCACATGATGGCAAAGACCAAAAGGGAAATGGAAGTTCAGAGGACTAGGAAAATACTGAGGTGGGAGCATCTCCAACAGCATCACAGGGGTTGCAGAACTTGGAAGCAGATGGGTTAGTAAACCAGAAGGGAAGGAACAGTCAGTCTAGGCAGGAAGAATGGCCTGAGCAAGGTCTTGAGATAGAGCAGTTCATGGCAGGTTTGGCAAGGAAACGGGAACCGCTAGCTAAAGTGTTATCTCTCTGAAGGCTTTACAGACATCAATTAGCCAGAGAAATGGATCTAGTCTAACTCATTTCATATAATATGCTGAAAAATACTGATTTTCAGATGGTAAGTAGTGCAAGACTTTTCTCAATTTTAATAAGAACCAGTAAATAAGGCTCACAAAAGTAACTGAATGTTGCTGTGATAATTTCTCCTTATTTGTACCCACGAAATATCTTTCATTTATATGATATGCCATGATAAAATCTGTACATCAAAAAACTATATGATAATTTACTGGATCGTAATGTATTGATTTGGGATTAAAGAATTCAGGAAAGAATAAAGTGTGATTAACATTATTGCACTCTATGTAAGTTTCTCATTGTGTTCACTGAAAATATGGAGATCTGTGAAAAGTGTCTAAATTAATTTAGATCTCAAATCATTAGCACCTTTAGGAAAATCATCTCTTACATTTCTCCCTTTTAAAAGTATATATTTGTAGGAAACTGTTCACACATTTACAAGGTGTGCTCCAGAGTTTTCCTTTGGCTCACGATCTGAGAAATATCTGGGTTTTCAACTAAATAGAGAGAAATTTATCTACGAACAGATTTCTTGTTGATGTCGAATGAATCAAGAGGCTATGAGCGTTAAACAGTGTTTAATGTTTCCTGAAGCCTGAAATATGCATCCCTGAAGTCAGAGACAGTGGTGGGGATGGAAGAGAAGAGAGCTCAAGGGTAGCATAGTTGGCCTGAAACTGGGGAGGCACAAAGTGGCGCCTTCTCAAAAGCCCCTTCCTCACCCTTTCAACACTTGCTTCTCCCCAGCCAGGTCCTGTCTGCTCTGCTCCTACGCCTTTACTCAAGCTGCAACCTTGTCCAACACATCCGCTTGCTCCCTCCACGCCAATCTGTCTCCTCCACTCCCCATCTCAGCATTCAATTCAAGATTTATCCTCTTCAACAAGCATTTCCCTTTTCTCTACAATCCACACTGCTCTTAGTGTGCTTACATCTTTAGGCATTGTTTTGTCTTGCTTCTACCCAGTTTTCTTCTTCACTGTATAGGTTGTTCTGGACTGATTTTAGTCTCAGCTCAATGGTAAACTTGACGGCAGGGACATTTACTATGCTTGTGAAATTCCGCATAATTAATGATATGCATCACAGCCTATTACGTGCCAAGCAAGGCAATCAGGTACAGGACAGAACACGACCAAGATGGCTCCTGCTTTCTGGAAGCTATTATCTCAAGGCCCTTAGTCAGACCTCCTTCCTTACTTGTGAGCTTTTAATCGATATTGTTCCTCTTTGCCTCAGATGTCTTCTCACTGCTTTTCCACCAATCTTTCCTTTCTATTTCCAAACCAAAACCCAATCTGGGATCTCTTTTAAGGTGTTGTGTAGAAAAAAGGTACTTAACAAATGAACAAAGTATGACTAAAAATGTCTCACACCCAGGATTTACTAGGAAACAAGTATGGTAAATCACTAGTAACAATAAAAGTTCCTGGACAAAATCAGCCCCACAGTGTTGGCTAAAATTCAAATAAAATAATGGTTTTTCACATGTGTAAAGTATGAAAGAGAGAGCATCAACATCTACCTATCAAAACCACATCCGTGAACCACAAAACCATGTTTCCTCTTAAAACTATTTTGACGGCCAGTGAAAGAGAGAGCAAGAGAATACAGTTTGGATGCATCTAAAATATAATATTGAGATATAATAGTCTCAATCTGAACTATTCTCATAATAAGCAAGGAGTTCTTCCTCTGTGCATACTATGAGCTATGGGCTGGGTCCAAATATGGGTCAAGCCACTTGACATTCTAAATCATCTCCCAGTTTTCCATCTTTCTGAGCTAATGCTGAGCCTAGAATTCATCTTACCTGGTGGCATAGTTCTTCCCACTGCCTTTGCAGAAGCTCCATGCGTTCGTTCAGGATGGAGATATCATCAGCACTGATGCAGGCACAGAGGGTGTCCCTCAGCAGTGTCAACTGTGCCAAGTCATCTGTCCAGCTCCCCACTGCATTTTCCAACTCCTAGGTTAAAAGAAAAACTTGAATACCCATGGACATCTACCATCAACAATTTCTGAAGTATATTCGGAATTCCCTCTTGATACAATCACCTTTCCATTCCATTCTATTTGAACACCTAACTTGGTATCTACCTTACATGCTTCCTACATAATCTGGTAATTTGCTAAATTCTTGTGATAGAATACCAGATTGCTTGCAGAATCTTTCTACCATTTCACTGATTGTTTTTGATCATCTTTCCTGAATTGAAGCTTCATCTCTACATTGATCTTTACTTTTAAACTGACTTCATAAACTCCTAATGCATCCTTTCTTTTTGTCCTAAGTTACTCTCATGTTAAATAAATACAAAAAAACCCCAAAACTAGATTTAACTTTCATCTTCAAATACTATGAATGGCTACATTCTGTGATATAGACGTAAGGTGATAGCTGAGATCTAGTGATGTTATTACTCAATTTAAAATAATGGACTAAATGTGTTTTCTACAGGAGCAGAGAATTTCTTTAAGATCTTAAAAAAATTATGTACTCTGTCCTTTTTGGGAATGATTTAAGAAAAAAAATTCATATAACAATACTCGAATGAGTTGACATTAGATTTTGCAATGCTTTGAACAGATGACCAGTTCCACAGCTTGTACAACTCTTGCTCTTTGCCAGCTCTTGATGTTTTTAGATTCCAGCTAATTTAGTCCATGAATAGAGTATTTCACATGGCTTTTCCCCTCTCTTTTTGTCTCTTCACACAGGAGACAAGTTTCCAAAGGCAAAGGCAATTAACGGTACTGTCTGAGGCTAACTTCCCAGGCAATTTAGGCAAACAAGGTTTAGCCTGAATTTTCCAGGTAATTGCTTTGTTTTGCTGCTAAGGGTGGTTTAGGGAAGAGCAGCAAAGTGCTGGACCAAAATGCATCCTTTTAATCTCCAAACTTAATAGCATGGCCTGTTGGTAATGGCGGTGTATTTTGGGAGATGAGGTCTCATGGTAATGGTATTTGACTGAAAGACCAAATCATCCAAGTATATTAACTCATCTAGGTATGTTATTATCTGTGGATGTATTAAACTGTCATACCAATGTAAAGATTTTTCTCTTTTTATACCAATTTCTAGCCTCCAACTCAAACATTAGATTTGGTGAATGGATTAAAAAAGAAACAAATAACACCACCACCAGAAATCTACTGTTTCAGATTCACAGACTCCATTAGATGAGTCCATGTGGGAAACACACAGCCTTTGGATTCAGGCAACCTTGATATTTACTAACTCTGAAAAGTTATTAAACTTTTGGAAGCCTCGGTGTTCACGTCTATAAAAGGGAAGTAACAGATTGCCCTTACGAGCTTGTGTTTATGCCAACTGAGATAACACTGGTATAGTCGTTGGCATGGAGGAGAAACTCAATAAATGCCCATTCCTGCTTATTAGTTTTCTTTAATCACTTGTTATAAATTTACAATAACAGATTTAAAACAAACTAAAATCTTCACATACTTCTGAAGCTACACTTCAAGATAATATTCTGGTCACTTACCATCCATGAAGTAAGCATACTACTTTTCATTTTGCCTAAATCTGCCTCTTTCAAGTTTCAAAGACTATCCTTAAATTTTAATAGCAAAGAAAAATTCTTATAGCCGCACATTTCATGAGTTTTAAACTTCTTTAAAAATTAATCTTTCTTAAATGCCTATGACTTCCTAGCCAAAGGGAAGCAGAGAACTTCTGATTAAAATCCAAATCATGTAAGTACGTATGAAGTTTTAAACAGAATTACTCTAGGGCAGTAATTGGAAATGACTGGGGAACACCAGAAAGTGCATGATTTGGGGGAAAAAAGCATATTTAAAGGTAGTTTTGATTTGACCTGTATATTGCTCAGCGGAGAAAAGCTGTTGGGGCACTCTACTTGGCTATACAGGAGTGAATGGGACAGATCCTACAGTCACTAAATCATGTTAGTGTCAGCAAGCTCATGATGCAGGGAGTGGCTTCTAATGGCTACTGATTTGCTTCCAAGTGTGATCTGAAGTGTTCATAACAATCCTTAAGTAGTTAGGCCCCTGAGTAACAGAAGGACTATATTCTCTACACAGTGACTGGGACCAGCTATTTAGAGCTCCTGCTTTCCTTACAAAAAAGTCTGGAGGGCAGAGTGTGTTCCTCCAAGGTCCACGGCCTGCAGAATTTCCAGGCTGCTGTGTCTCATTGTTCTTTCTGTAAACTAGATTCTTCTGCTAGAATGACTCTCCAGTGTGGCTGCTTGAAAAAAGACTGCTTTTATTGCTCTTGACTCAGCTTTTAAAGATCTTTTATTGTTGTGTTTTACATGTTCATTTACTTATGCAAAGTAACCCATAAAATAGCGTGATTTCATCAACCACCATAAATCAATACCAAGCTCACTGGAGTTGTCTGCCCTAACACAATTCACTAGGCACTTGCATCTACATGTAGACGGCCATTGGAGTTCAACTGGATCATGCTTTCAAAGGCGTTATTACAGCAGAAGCACACAGGTGGGTGACAGCTAAAATCTCAATCCCAAATTTACCTTGCAACGCATTTGTTCTGCATGGAGCTCTTCGTGGTGATCCGGTAGAGACTGAGAAAGCTTCTTTTTGAAAGTTCGTAGTTTCTCCAGAGAATCAGCTATTCCATTCTCACATTTTTCCCAATCCTATAGCGGGAGGAGAAAGAAATTTCACAGATTTTTTTTTTGGTAGGACAATGGAAAAAAAGAAAAACACTATTTTTAATTCCCAAAAAATTAAAGTTACACTGATGAATAACGTGAAGCTGTGTCCACATCCATTGCCGTGGTAGGAAGCATCAGAAGAGCTGAGTTCTAATCTGACTCTTACTTATTATCTATGTGACTTTAGCAGGTAATGCACTGTCTCAGTTTTCCCTGTGACAATGGAAATAATACAAACTCTCTATAATGGTTGGAAGATCAAAGGAAGCAATGGGCATCCAGGCACCAAGTACAATGCCCAGAATATTACGGGCACTCAAAAATGTTATCTGAATCTGAATGTATCTGCAGAGGTGGGACATAATCACAGAACTTTGCCTCTTTCCTAACGTGACCCATAATCACACAATGTCTACATTATGTCAAACGCACTATAAGAGACAGAAAAGAAGATGTGGAATCTCTTTCAGGACAAAAATAATGTTTGAGTAAGAGAAGTGAGATGAAATGTACAAATAATATCATCCTGATTCTGATTTAATTCAATATATAAATAGTATGAGGCACATAAATTTGCATTGTTGCAGAAATAGAAACAGGATAAGTGGTACACAGTGGCAGTGTAGAATGTTCTAGATCTCTACTAACTGACAAAAGAAAACACACATTATGTGGTTATGTTTTGGAAGGTACACACCAAACTGGTAACAATGGTTACCTCTGGGGAAGATGATAGACTTTGGGTCGTGATGTAGGAGAAATATCATTTTTCACTCTACATTCTTAATTATTCCCTGAATTTTTTTATCAGACACGTATATTTTTTGTAATTAAAAAAAGTAAAAGAAAAAAAATTAAGGGAACCATAATGGAGATTTGATTCCTTATAGCACTCTATCCACATATTAACTCGTATCTGGTGTCTCAGTGCCAGTGCAGATTAAATTCAACTAAACAGATCTCCTTAATTTTGTCTAGCACCCCCCTTTCCTGGCCTCCCCCTCTAGAGTAACCCTCCCCAGTGACCACTCCCTACAGCTTAAATTACTGAGCTCCAAAGAAAGACAGCTAGGGTTGCTTTTAGTAGTTAGCCTGGTGCCAAATCATCTTGCTTTTTCCTTCACATTCTCTCTTTCACCATCAGCGGTCTCCTGTTGCCTGGGTTCTTTTCGATCTTCTCTCCCGATGCCGTATTTTCAGCACAGCTACCCATAGGTGCTATTACAACTACCTTCTTTAAGAAGGGTTGACTAAGGTTCCTCCCTACTCAAAATGTCTTTGGTTTCTAACTGAACTAACAGTTTGGCCCAAGAGTCTCATTTCTTTTTAAAATTCCTTCAGGGAACTTTCTAGAGTGCATGACTACATTTCCCCTTCCCAGTCACCAGAAAAAACAAACAAAATTGTCTGTCTTGGACGCATTTGTTCCAATTGCCCTTGATTAAAATATCTCTGCATTTCCAGGCTGCATTTAGTTCATCAATGCTAAGCATGGTGAGGGTAGGCAAAAAGATCCTCTTTCTGCTTAAATGGAACAGGGCTCTCAATGAAATCGTCACATACTCTGAAGTCTATCAACACGTAGTCAACAAATGTTCACTGATCTAACAGAGAAAGCGGTCAGCTTCTTATTTTTCATAATAAAATTAAGAGGTGATAAGCAAGTGAACATGCAAGGCATAGAATTATGACAGTATTTTTGACAAATTTACTCAGAACATTAATTTAAAAGGTAAAGATGGATAAGCATTCTACCTGTGGTGAAAAAATACACTAAAATGAGGTTGTATAAACATTAGAATTTAGCTCCATAAATTCCTTCTTAGGCAAATAGGACCTGGTATATAATTCAAAATTAAATAAACCTTGACAAGAGAAGAATAGGGACCCCCCCTTACCAAGGATGGCTTAGATTCTGAAGCTATAAGCAAGTCTTTTTACTACATGAATTAGAAGGAAACAACTAAATGTCATGGTCTGCAACCCTGTCAAAGTAGATGTTTTACACGTCAACAGACAGACTAACAAGAAAAGTACTTGCAGTGACTCAGCCATCTCGCCTTATGAGGCCTCGGGAATATGTCCAAAAATCACATCACATATAAAGAAAAATAAATGATTAATATGTTTTCTACAGAATGAGTTATAATGTTTTTAATCCTTTCCTGAAAGCACAAAAGAATCAGGCATATTGTATGACTGATGAATTGTGCTATGTGCAAATAAGAGTTCTTTTCACAGATGGTCGGTGGCATTTTTGATTGATTGTTTCCCACACAGAAGGTAATATATTATTAAATAAAATTCAGTAGAATAAACCCAATGAGTGTACAGACTTGAAGCATTAAAAAAAGCAACATGTGTTCCATTAACTTTAGTTATTAGCTCTGATCCAAAAATGTGATGGGCCAAATTTAATAGATAATCTCAATAAAGTGTTGGTGGTTATCAACATATATAAAACATTAGTTTTTAGCTGTGTTCACATTTTAAAATGATACTACTACCAACAATAATTACCACCATTTACTGAGTGTTCAATATGTGCCAGGTACTTTGACACGATTTACCTTATTACTTCATTAAACTCTCACAATGCCATATGAAAGAGGTGTAATTACACCTACTCTACAGATGAGGAAACTGAGGCTTAGATAGGGTGAGTTAACCAAGTTACTTGATTTATTCTTGTTTTAACTTGGGTTTATCTAAGTTTAGAGACCATGTCCTTTTCCAACTGCTGATTTAATTATTACATATGGAATTGGAAAGTGAGGGAAAGAACCATATTGTGAGAGGTCTGGATAAATCCACATGTCCCTAAACTAGTTGTATGATCAGTATGCCATCTGTATCCAACTAAAGGCTTAACCTACCTCCTTCGAGATTTTATCTCATAGCAACTCCCTTGGATAAGCTGAGATCAAATCAAGAGTATGTTCTTGGATAGGTTTTTCCCTGCTATAAAAGAAGAGATCTCAATCTTGAAAACCACTTTAGAGTCTTAGATTAGCGAGTGGAATCCACTCTTTGCATTCCTGTCTGGATTTATAAAGTCACTACATGGCTCCTGGCTTAGCACCAGCCATTAATCAGTATTCACCCCTTGGACGGTCTTATTCCACTTAAAACAACTTGGTTGGGGGATTTTCCTGAAAGAGAAACTACTGAAAATTGGGAAACTTTTCTAGTTCATGCAAGATCAGACGAAGTCTTAAATCAGGCACTGGGGATCAAATACCGTAGGGTATGACTCAGTGATCTTGGCAATGTCCTGATTCTCAGGCTAACAAGGGGGGACGCAGCACAACTCTTAAAGGGGCTTTTTAAACTGCATCATGTCTATAGAAGGAAAGAGCTGAACTTACTTGCAACAAAAATGCCAGTTTTTTCCTCTGTTCCTCCAAACACAGGCTGGCTGACTTCCACTTCTCCTGGATTTCAGTGAGTTCGGCCTGCAAGGCAGCCTCAGCCCCACTGTCAGCCGAGAGCAGGAGCTGTTTGCCAGCCTCCACGGTTAGGATGTAGCTGCCTTGCTGTCGCAGGAACACTTTTTCTTTGAACTGAAAGGAACCATAGCTTTTTACTTTCTCATTCTTCTTCTTCACCATTTCCCTAGTATGAGCATTTTTAAATGACTCTAAAGCATTGCATACATAACACAGCCTCTTTTACCCAATGAGCATTTACTGAGCTAGTACTTTGTGCATGAATGAAGCAACATGCAAATGAACGAGAACTTAACAGGGAGAGGCTTAGTTTTCCCCCCCAGTTAAATACAGTCACAAAACCATATGAAAGCTGATGATGAGGTTGATGCACAGGGAACACAGAAGGGCATCTAACCCACGTTGGGTGCACAGAGAAGCTTCTTCAAAGTGGGAAAGGCTTTATGAGTCTAGAAAGACAGATTAAGAAGAACCTGGTGTGATGACGGAGTCACAGAGAGGACACCTTCCACACAGAGAAATGAAGATGGAAGAATTCACTATATGAGATAAGTATGATGAATTCAGGACACTGGATGTAGTTTTCAGTGGCTGGAATATAGGAAGCATGTAAAAGACGGGTAGAAGATGAGGCAAGACCCACCATGCCTTGCCCAGGAACTTGGTTTTCATAAAAGCGACTGAGATTCACAAAAGAATATTAAGCAGGGAAGTGACGTGTTTGGATTAAAGCACTCAGCGGTAGGGTGAAAAATGGAATGGAAGAAGTCTGTATACTAGATACACTAAGACAGGTTAGGAAGCTATTGTCTGTTGAGGCAAGAAATCATGAGCACCTAATCTAAGGCAGTGGCAGTAGGGCTGGAAACTTGAGGCACATTAGATATGGGGAGGGAGAGAAAAAGAAGAATATGGTTTAGAGTGACTCTAGGGTTCCTGACTGATAAACAGATAGGCAGTGATGACATGGACTGATGGAGAATGGTTGGTCTAGAAATCACAGGCTCTGGTGGAACCCACACAGTACATTATGTCTATGATTCACATAGATATAAATCTAAAAGGCAGTTGAATACATGAGTCGAAAGCTCAGGAGGCGAATGTGACCAGAAGATAGCAATTTTACCCTTCTTTGCTAGTAAGGGGTCATTGAAGCCATGTGTGTAGATGAGGTCTCCCAGAGATGTGAGGAGGAAAAGGAAGCAGAGAACAGTGACCTTCCAAAGAAGAGGAACCCATGAAATATACTGGAAAGGACTGATGAGAGCACTAGAGGTACTGGTCTAAGAGGCTGGAGTCCCAAATCCCAGGCCGGTGAAAGGAAAGGGCTGGACCAGGAACAGACAAAGAGCTGAAACAGGACTGAGACTTGTATCTTTTCTACAATGCTTACGCTACACATTTAAATCACGTTATCCATACATGTATACAATATACTCATCATACATGCACGAGTAAAGCATGTATAATCAATGCAAAGTTTTCCTTTCTTTGCCACTGTCTTTCCACCCATGCTGGGATTCAATGAGCTGCTGGGGGGTCTTACCATACTTTGATCATTAAATATGGGCTTTGCAATGCAATCATTTTGTATATTTCTGTTGACATTTGAGAACAATGTTTGTCCCCATTGCAATGCCACTCCAGAATCCTTCTGAAGAACTGAGGCTAGGGTAAAGTGTGCAGCGGAAATGGAGAAGAGGTTTAAAAAACAGCGTGTTTTGCACCTTACCTGCACTTCATCAAAGAGGGTCCTTGCTTGTTGCAGTGGTATTGGAACACTCCCGAGACCACTCATGGGTAGATAGGACACTTCAACCAACCACTTACGAAGCTTTTCTGCCATCTCCCTGTAGCGTTGCCACTGGCGTATCTGGCTGTCAATGATGCCCCTCCTCTGCTGGGCCCTGCGAATCACTCCCTGCCACTGATTACTGAGAAGTGTCAATTTCAGGTTGAACTCATCCCTGGTGAAGAAATAATTACACAGGGAAGAACACTGTTATCCTGGATGTAGGTACATAATCAACCAACGTATATATACTTGATGACCGTGAGTCCTGAGAAGCGATCCAGGGCAGAGGTTTTCAAATGTCATGCCATGATTTGTTATCAGATCTACTGCAGGTAATTTAAAAAATTAGTAACAGTTAAACTATGGGTGTTTGCAAACAGTGAGTGTTTTCATGGCTCAGCACAGGTTGAAGGCATATCTATAAGATCACTGTCATTTACTCTCTCCTTGAGTACGTGAGAGGGTGGGGAGAGCAGGGTGGCAGAAGCAATGGGAATGGCCCCAAACTCTGAGCAGGACCATAGCAACACATGCAGCATGTGACAGCATCCTGTGTGTCTTACAGCAGGAGAAAATGAGGAGAAAGCTGATTTATAACCTCTGTCTTCAGGTAGAATTATAAGCCACTTTGGATGAACAAAACTGGGTTATTTTAGCTAGAATCATAAGCCACTTAAATAAAATTATGTTATTTAAAAATCTTTTTTAAAACCGTACTCCATAAATTCTCAGCACTCTATTCCCTCACAACAGAGTCCCAATCTTTAGCAAATTATTCCACATATTAATCTAAACTGCCCCTTCTACATTTTAAGCCCACTTCATTTTGTTCTTAGAAAAATGAAGACTATCTGGTCATCGCTATTTGTACAAAGGTTGTCTACACACTTTGACATAACAAATTTTACTTAAGCTTTCTCAATTTCAGGATAATCTCAGATCTTCTAGTTTGTTCTTTCTACCTTTGTGTATTCTACCTTTCAAAAATGTTGGTAGTTCTTTATTAAGTTTTCTTTAACATTTAACTTGTGGCTTTAGAACTGGCTTGCCCAGTATTGAACAGAATGAGTTTCTTTGTAGGTTATAGTGTTATTCACACATTTTAGTCCGAAAGTGTAACATGACTTGTTTTTTCTCTCATATTAGTTTTGCTTTTCTTCTCTAGATACACTATTCTCTCCTCTTGAGCGTGGCTTCAAATCTCAATTGGATTTCCTAGTCTGGACTCCTATATTCTTGATACCTCCTATCATCTAGGGCCACTATAAACTTTGATTTTGTAACCAAATGTGTTATTGGTGCTTCTGGTTTTGAAAGAAAATTCTGATATTTATAATCTAATTGTAGTAGAATGAAAGGTGATGAATTAGGTTCACACGACTATACCAAGCATCTATCATCTCTGAAAATGTGTCACTCCAGGACTTGAGAACATCCGGCAACAGGAAAGTACCCTGCGTATTGCTTTCCCTCCCAGGTAACTAGCCAAGATCTCTTTGGAGCCCTGGTCCTCACCTTGTGGAATCAAGCTGTCGTGAGCTACCTGCCAGCAGGAGGAATTACTTAAAACATGACACTGTTCCAACTGCTGAACTTGAACTCTAAAAAAACAAAACTTGTAAGTGAACTTTTAAAACACAATCTATTTGGAATCTGGGCCTTCCTATTGTCAACATGCTCTAATCTGAATTTCTCTTTCACTAGCAACTTTCCAAATTATCCTCTGGTCCAACTCTCCCATTTCCATCTCTTTGGTGTTTTTCCCTAACTGTTAACATTTAAAATTTAATAGATGTTGGCTTGTGAGTGAATTTTAAATTTTATTTTACTTAATGACTCAAAGTTTTATAATATTGTTATAGAGTTGGCTAAGGGAGGATAAAGCAAAAGATAAGTTAATTGCATTTGAATTTGTTTCATTTTGAAGGCCTTAAATTCTCAGTAAATCTCACATTTAAGTTTGGCTTACTTAGAATAGAATAAATATGGTATCACATTTTATTGTTCCAAGCCTAACCACCTAATCTTTCATGTACTTCCAAAGAAATATCCACTTAAAACTAAGATTGCCTCTAAAATATTAAAAAAAAAGAAACTTCAATAAAATAATGATTTATTCTCTATTTTTTAAAAAATGTTACGTTAATTATAATGACAACTAATGGTCCTAAATATGAGAAACATGGATGTACGTAACAAAATAAATGAGGTTTATACTACAAATATCATCACAGAAGTAGATAGGATAGAGTAAATCTTGTTCCTAGGAAAGGTAAATACTGTACAAAATTGTCAACTCACATAACATAAATCCGAAGAGGAGATTTTTAGATACTATCTCTGCATCTTTTTTAAAAAGGTATATTTTTTTTCTTTTTTTTTTTTGAGTGAAGATTGGCCGTGAGCTAACATCTGTTGCCAATCTTCCTCTTTTTTTTTTTCCCTCCCCAAAGCCCCAGTACACAGTTGCATATCCTAGTTGTAGGTCATTCTAGCTCCTCTATGTGGGATGCTGCCACAGCATGGCTCAATGAGTGGTGCACAGGTCCACACCCAGGATCTGAACTGGCGAACCATGGGCTGCCAAAGCAGAGCACACGAACTTAACCACTCAGCCACAGGGCCAGCCGTGAGATAGCAACCTCTGCATTTTTAATAAAGAGATAATCTGCTAAGTAAATGAGGAGGAAATAGGATTTCAGGTTGAGTGTAATTTGACTTAAGGTAGCAAACCATTCTCAAACCTGGAGGAATTGTCACAGTATGCGCAAGCCGGCTGCTACTGACTACAAACCAGATTCATGAACTCTACGCTTGATAACGCAGCTCCTCAGTTACGTAACCTTGGTCCAACCAGTCCACGTTTCTGGGCCTCAAGTTTTCATCTCTACACCAGAGAGATGGTTTAATGCTCTCTATGCTCCTTTGAGGAATAAAACTTCTGTAATCGCATGAGAATATTAGAAGCATCTGTTTACAAACCATTGCTTCATCATGGATACAACTCATTCTGATCTATTCATTAATTCCAGTCTCCTACAGATGACTAGCGAAGTTTGGCTAGGTGATTTTCAATTACTCTATATTCTTCATATAATATAATAGCAATTCTTTAAAAAGATACAATACTCAGTCATTTCAAAGATTCAGACAAGCCTTTCCTCCAATTACTGAGGCTCCAATGCAGTACAATTGCCTTAGGAAGATGGGACATATACCCTCTCATCTGTTCATTAAAAAGAAAATGACTAATTTACTGGAACTTTCTTCATAATAATATATCAGAGATCTTACCTGTCATCAACTTGACCTTGCTCTAGAAGACGTTGCCCATCAATAATGATCGAGTGCAAAATCTGCTGACGACTGAACATCTCTGCTTGAAACAACTATTATTTTAAAAAAGGAAGAAGATACGTTAGAGTTCCTAATTTTAGGGACCACCTCTCTAATAACTTTCCAAAAATTCTGGTTTTAGCAGGGCTATGAAAAATATCTCTGGTTGAACAGGATATGGGTAAAATCCTGCAATGTAGGAATAATGTATTTTTAAATCAATTAAGATATACTTATAAAGCTTAGTTTTTGTTTATTAAAACTAAGTGACTAAAAATAGAATTACATTTCCCCTTTTCTTTCAAAATCACTGAATAAAGTTAGTTAACACATAATTTGTATTCTGGTTTATTTTTTTATGTAGACTATAGTCCATTTTCTGACAGAGAATAGCTTAAGATCTTTTTTTTTTGATGAGGAAGATTGGCCCTGAGCTAACATCCATTGCCAATCTTCCTTTTTGCTTGAGGAAGGTCGCTGAGCTAACATCTGTGCCGATCTTCCTCTATTTTGTATGTGGGACACCACCACAGCACGGCTTGAGCAGTGTGCAGTCTGTGCCTGGGATCTAAACCTGTGAACCCTGGGCTGCCAAAGTGGAGCATGTGAACCTAACCACTACGCCACCAGGCCAACCACAAGAATGGAAAAAAATTTCACACTTTTTCTTTTGCTTTTTTCAAACTCACTGTTTTCTCAATTTAATTTGGTTAATTAACTTATTTAAAGTGTATAATTTGGTTACTTTTACTATTTTTACAGACTTCTGCAACCATCACCACGATCAATTTTAGACCATTTTCATTATTCTAAAAAGAACTCCATACTCATTAGCAATGCTACCCATTTACTCCCAACCCCCCAGCCGTAGGCAACCACTAACCTGTTTTCTGTGCCCATGGAGTTGCCTACTCTGGACATTTCATAGAAACGGAATCATTCAGTGCACTGTCTAGTGTGACTGGCCCCTTTCCACCTAGCATAATGTTTTCAAGGTTGATCCATGTTGCAACATGCATCAGTTCCACATTCCTTTTTATTGCTGAATGGTATTCCATTGTATAGATACGCCATATTTTATTTATTCATCCATCAGTTGATGGATATTTGGGTTGCTTCTATTTTTTGGCTATTATGAACAATGCTGCTACCATCAATATTCTTGCACCATCTTTGTGTGGGCACATATTTTCATATCTTTGGAGTGGAGTGGCGTGGAATTACCGAGCCACATTCTAACTCTATGTTTAACATTTTGAGAGAGTGCTGAACTGTTTCCCAAAGTAGCTTCACCATTTTACATTCCCACCAGCAATCTGTGAGGATCCCGGTTTCTCGACACCCTCCTCAACACTCTCCTTTTCATGGCAGTCACCCCGGTGGGCGTCCAGTGATCATCTTATTGCAGTTTTGACTCATTACCTTTTACTTCATCATCTGTCGATTTGATAAAACTGGACTTCAAATTACCTTACACATATTTAAATTCTCTACTTTTAAAATTTAGGCAAAATGCTTTAAAATTAGTTTCACTGTCTTTTCAGTTCTGTACTGTTTTTCTCTGCTTTTAGGTAAATCCTATTTCTCCATTTAAGCCAGGTCTAGTGGTCTAGTGGTTAAGATTCAGCGCTCTCACCACTGCACCATCATTTCCCGGTCAGAGAATCACACCACCACCTGTCGGTTGTCATACTGTGGTGGCCGTATGTTGCTGTGATGCTGAAAGCTATGCCAGTGGGATTTCAAATACCAGCAGGGTCATCTATGGGGGGCAGGTTTCAACAGAGCTTCCAGACAGACTAGGAAGAAGGACCTGGCCACCCGCTTCCAAAAATATTGGCCATTAAAACCCTGTGAATAGCAGCAAAGCATCGTCTGATACAGCGCTGGAAGGGGAGAGGATGGCGCAGAAAGACCGGGCAGGGGTCTGGTGACTAACAGTTGGACTTGACCAATGGCACTAACAACAATAAATCTCTCTATTTGCATGTATTTCACGAATGCATGGAGTAACTTAGTTACACCAGTAAATAGCAAAATAGAAACTAAAAGCAAATTCATGAATTTGCTTTTTGTATCTAGCTCTCCCTCAGTGTTTCTTGAGAAATAATTAGAATGCAATTGGATGAAGAGGTACACTTGGAGATACTTGGTAGTTTGATTTTTAGTATAAAATGCATATATGCTTTCTAAATTTTCATTTATCAAACACTTTTGATTAAAGTAAAAATTCTTACGCAACTGGCCTTGGCAATGTTAACGTAGTCTATAACTCAATTTGAAAATCATCTAACTTTCTGCCCTTCTTTCACACATCTCCTCTGCTTCCTCTTTCAACCTCCCCCATAAGTAGACTTTACCATGATTCTGGAACTATCCATTGCAGCATACTGAAGGCTGCCACATGCTTATAACCAACTGCGGAGCAAAGAACTGGACCACATTTTTGTAATTAAGATATCAAAACGTTGAGCTTAAGAAAGAAGGCAAAAACAACGCAGGCATTTGAGCAGACCCAGCACAAGAGATGGCACTTCAATTCTGCCACGTGGCATTTTACAACATCTTCCAAGGGCCTAGAACTATTTTATTACCCCTAAATCGACTGGCTTAACTTACCTCATGTGCTCTCTGCTGCTCCAAAAGATGCTGATAATTGCCCGAGATCTCTACTGCTAACTTTTGTTCCGTTTGGACCAGGAATTCCATCCATGTTTCACATTTTTCCAAGAAAGTCTGATGTTGAAGCAAAAATGACTGCAACTTACTGAAAGAACAAAGGAAAAAGAATAATGGTTATGCGGTTGCTTCATCTTATAAGCATATAGCACACAAAACTAGGGTTAATATTCTCTGTCTCCAACACTAATGTGACCACCACAAAACTTTCATGTTAGGTAGCAAAACTGAAAAAAGAAAATTCAAGAAAAAAAAGTTTAAAATGGTAAGTTTTACAAATGATAAAATTATGTATGCATCTTTAATATACTTACATGAAAAAGTTTTTATTTTTTGATTAAAACAATATTTAGTACATTAAACATCAGAAACCACTTCACAATGTGAGTTTCCCACTTTTAGATCAAATTTTGTATCACTGGAAAGGCCTAGACTTTATACATTTACACATATTATAAACTGATTTCTACCGATATGTCAGAGTGGCCAAAACACCTCTTGGTTCCTCTACCTGAATCTTTCTGTTGTCTGAGAGGAGATCAGAGACCAGTGCCGGTTCAGATTCTGCATCCTTTTGATTTCCTTGTCATTCAGGGGTAACCTGTAGCCAAGCTCATTTAGACGGTCTAAGTCTGGGACCATGCTGCTGAATTTTAACATCTGTTCCTGAAAGCAAGATTTAAAAGCAGGTTTAGCACCACGATCAGAAAAGGCAGAGCTCTTTCAAAATGCGCAGTGAACTTTCGATTTCCGGAAGAAGCCAGTCTTTGCATCTCTTATGCATTTCTAGGCAACTTGCTTACAATCTCCAGAGCTGCAAGTAAAAAACTGGGCAAAGGATATGAACAGACATTTCTCCAAAGAAGATACACAGATGGCCACAGGCACGTGAAAAGATGTTCAACTCCCCAACTATCAGGGAAATGCAAATCAAAACTACAATGAGATATAACCCTACACCTGTCAGAACAGCTATTGTTAAAAAGATAAGAAATAACAAGTGTTGGAGAAGATGTGGAGAAAAGGGAACCCTCACACACTGCTGGTGGGAATGCAAACTGGTGCAGCCACTATGGAAAACAGTATGGAGATTTCTCAAAAAATTAAAAATAGAACTACCATATGATCCAGCTATTCCATTACTGGGTATTTATCCAAAGAACATGAAATCAATAATTCAAAAAGATATATGTACTCCTATGTTCATCGCAGCATTATTTGCAATAGTCAAGATGGAAGCAACCCAAGTGCCCAACAATGGATGAATAGATGAAGACGTGGGGGACATACATATATATATAATGGAATACTACTAAGCCATAAAAAAGATGAAATCATGTCATTTGCAACAACATGGATGTACCTTAAGGATATTATGCTAAGTGACATAAGTTAGAGAAAAACAAATCCTGTATGATTTCACTCATATGTGGAAGATAAACACACAGATAAAGAGAGATTGGCAGTGACCTGAAGAGCAGGAGGTGGGGAGAGGATGAAAGGGATAAAGGGGCACATGCATATGGTGATGGATGAAAACTAGACTATTGGTGGTGAACACGATGCAGTCTATGCAGAAGCTGAAAAATAATGTACACCTAAAATTTACACAATGTTATAAACCAATATGGCCTCAATAAAATAATTTTAAAAAAAAGAAGAAGAAAAGTTGCATCTTCTAATCAGCTCCCACTGCTACAGCTGCTCACTGTCCTTTATCGAACGTTTAGGAATTTACGTGTATTATTTACCTGATTTATTTACTCATAAGTAACTCTTGTAAGAACTAATACAGAATGAAAATTATGCTGATGACTGAAATGGTTTCTTACCCTTTATATTTCATTGATTCATGCTAATCTGCTCCTTTATTATTTAATAATAATAATAATAGTTACAACAGTAATGGCTAACATTTATTGAGCATTTAATACAAACTAAGCATGTTCCAAGAGCTCTACAGGTAATAACACATTTTATCCTCAAAACAACCCCATAAGCAAGTACCACTGTTCCCACTTTACAATGAGGAAAAAGAGGCCCAGAAACTTTAACGGCTCCAGGCCACCCAGCTAGAAAGTGGAGAGCTAGGTAAACAAGAATTGTTGGGTTCTTGCTAGATGGAATATAATCCCACTTGAGCTTTGAAATCACCACACATTATCTTCAGAACTTCAGTTTTAGGTCCTTGACTCCAACCCCAAAGCGGGTGAGACTCAACTGAGAAAGTGACGCTTTCAGACCTCTTTCCTCCCTTCGAACACAGGACAAAGCTGCCTCTTCTGGTTTCCTGTGGGCATCCATAACTCCATCTAGGAAACTGGCTACAGGAAGGAGAAAATGTCAGGATGCCTTTGGCTGTGAGTGTTTTCTCCTTGGATGCTCTGCAAAAGGCTTGTTACCCTGAAGAAAGAAGAAATTTTTCCAACTGTTGAAGCCAAAAGCATAACTATTAGATGGCGGAATTTCCGAGAGTGGACATGGGCAGTTGACAAATTGACGTGACGCACTCCTTCTTTCTCATGGTGCTCCAGAGGGTAAGATATTATTCCAATAGCAGAGAGAACAGCAGCAGTCAAGTAACCACACCAACCATAATTAAATGGTATGACAAAACATTGAAGCAAATGAATAGTGCGCTGTGAAAGTATGTCTCTGGGGAGCCTGACCATGGACAGAGTGGAGACTTTCCTAAGAAAGTGCTATTGAACAAAATGACCAGGAGTTTATTCCTTTTGCTGGGAGGGAGTTGGTGGGGACAAGAAAAGAATTCCAGAAAGGGGGAACATCACGCACACAGATGCCAGGAAGCACTGTGGCTCCCAAGGGGCTGGAGGATGAGACACACAGTGGTGAAGATGAGATCCTTTGGAAAGAGAAGCCAGGTTATGCTGGGCCTGATAATCCACACTGACCTTTATCCTGAGAAAAAATGGGAACCCATGGAGGAGATTAAGCAGAGGAATAATATGATAAAATTTGTATCTCTATTATTTTATTTACTTTACTGAATGTTTAAATGGTTCATAATTAAGTAAAATCCTTTAAAAGAAAAATATCAAGGGCCAGCCCAGAGGCAGAGTGGAGCAGTGGTTAAGTTTACACACTCTGCTTTGATGGCCCGGTGCTCGCTGGTTTGGATCCCAGCTGTGGACCTACGCACTGCTTATCAAGCCATGCTGTGGCAGGCATCCCACATATAAAGTAGAGGAAGATGGGCATGGATGTTAGCTCAGGGCCAATCTTCCCCAGCAAAAAAAAGAGGAGGATTGGCAGCAGATGTCAGCCCAAGGCTAATGTTCCTCCAAAAAAAAAAAAAAGATAAAAATAAATAAATAAATAAAAGAAAAAGATCATTCTGGCAGCTATGGGTTGGAAAGACAGCAGTGGCTTCAAGAAGATCCATGGAGGTCACTGCAGTGGTGTGAGAGAGAGAGAGGGTGGCTTGAATGAGGAGTAGATGATGATAGAGACGGAGATGGGAAGCTCAAGGGCTACGAAGGAGGTGATTGACTGGGCACGGGGAGGGACTAGCGGTAGGAAAGAGAGAGCTGTGTGGTAGAATCCTAGGAATGCCCCTGGCTGGGCTCCCATCACGGGCTGTGAAATCAGCTTGTGCTCCTTGCCAGCACACTGTTCACTTCACAGGAGAGCAGGGAAGCAGAGCTGGGAAGAGTTTCCTTGCGAGCTCAAAATGAAAAGTAGGCCTACGCCAGGAGTTTTGAGTCTTCCTTAAGATTTGGAGGACAGAAGATAGAAGATCTCGGACTAGGACCTCAACACACTTACCTTAAGTTCTTCCATCCTTTCCTGGATGGTCGAGAGGTCAGATGAGTGGCCAGGGTCCTGCCCTTGCAGGATGTCTTCAGCTTCTACTACCCAGGCCTCCAAAGCTTCTAAACTCTTGGTGAAAGTTTCATAGTCAAGAACTCCAGCCTTTTTTCACAAAAGAAAATTGGTACTTAGAAATCTAGTAAAAGGGCAAGTGGATATTGAAATTAATCTTCACATTCTTGGGTCACACTGCCATTCTCAAGATGCCATTCCTAAAGAAACAAGGCTACCAATGATTTAAATTTTATTCTCTTTATTAATGTAATTTTTCTAAAACTTAGAATTATTTCTATGCACCGTTAATTAACCTATTAAGGTTATTTTTTAAATACATTATCAAACAGAAATATATTCTGATTCTTGCAAAAAGTTGTTATATAATGAATATTAAAGCTCCTTAGTATTTATTAATAAATAAGAACATATTTTACTCAGTACCATGGAAAGAAGCATTGGTTTAGGGGCAAAATTACATTGTAAGGAACAGTGCAAGACTCCCACCTTTCCAGGTCCCTATTGGAACTTCCAAGTTTTCTTTAATTCTTTGGTCTTGGACGTGGGATTGCCTCAATGATGAAAAATTCTTCTTTTCCCAGGTCTATGCCCAGACGTTATAGGATACCCAATTTACAACATACTGGCTATGGGCTCCGTACCTGTAACACAGTCTGCTGTTTGCAAAGAGCCTGCTCTAGGGCACACAACTGTTGACTCAGAGAGAGCTGATCAGATTGAATGGCTGATGCTGCCGAAGCATCCACTTGTTGCTTGAGTTGCTCTCCCAGCTCATGCAGCACAAAAAGGGAATCCTTGACTGTCCCCAGTCCTTTGAGGAGGTCCTATTGGAGAGGAAAATATGCGCATCACGAAACACCATGTTAAGTGTGCTCATTGTAAACAATCAGCAAAGGGTCACACATCTAGAAACACTCAACTCTTATTTGTCAAATTATTACACTAAATAACCTTCACCTGCAGAAAAAAAATCGAGAAGTGAATCTGATTTTTAAAAATATGCATGTGTATTAACACTTTTGAAAACATATGTACCATTCTGATAATAAAAGCTACATAGGTTCATTGTATGACACTGGAGAAACGCAGAAAAACATACATAAACAAGAAAAAAACGCTATCTACAAGTAGAGCCAATAACTGGAGACATTCTGGCAATTCTTTCCTGCTTCCTAATGTAATTGGTATCAAATAGAAAACACAGGGCTGTGTTGTATCATTCTCTACTTAATATTATACACACAAGGGATGAGTCTGTCAACAGAATCTTCTGCATGCATGGTCACATTGTATTGGGTACCACAGACTCTCCTGTCTCAGTGGGGTGTAGAACCCTAGCAACAGTTCTGATGAGCAGGGCTGAGAGCTGACTGTATGTCCATTTTTTCCTATGGCATCTCTTGCCTCCACTTTTTGTGGGGCCCTCTTATATGCTCACAGAATAAGCCAATGGAAATTCCCAGTTTCTGGTTGCCATCTACTATTTAGAGATGACAAATGACTGGTTCTGCTACCTGTAGCTGGTGCCCCACCAGACATGGTGGAGAGAGTAGAGCCTGCTGTGTCTAATGCAGTGACTGCTGTGAGAGGAAGAAAAGCAAAGGGCAACTTTAACCTTGACACAGAGCAGAAAATCCACAGAAATAATTTGGAGCACTACACTCTAAAACAGGTATATACAGTATATATAAAAACAGCTCAGGAGGCCTGAAAATTTAAAACGACCAACCTTGTAAGGATAAACTATGGAAGGGGAAACAAAAAAGCATTGAATTATCTTTACTGTAAATATTAAACTTTAGCTTTAAACTGATCATTATTCATGTGAAGGTATTAGAATACGTTAAACTTTTATTTATGCACTTTTTATAACCTGCCTAATTCTAATAAACTCATTGGGGAAAGTTTATTAGAAGATCTTTGAAACAAGTTCATTAAAATAAAGACAAATACGGACAAACAGTAAGAGCCATATAATGGGTGAAACAAGAGAAGACCAGTTTTCAAAAACCTTAAGTAGGTTATTGGCAGCTACAGTGAAAAAGCGAAATATTAAAAAGCTATTAAAAAGAAACATATCCATAAATCAGGAGTGAAAGACTTCTTTCTACCATTAAATTCTTAGAAGAAACAATGTTGATACTTACATAAGAGATAATGACCCTAAATGGACAATACCTTTAACAGTGTATTTTTATAAGAGGTAACATTATTCTCTATATGGTCATTTCTTGTATTGACCATCTCTACAGAGCCAAAATCTTTCACATGGATTGGATCCCATTAGGAAAAATGGGAAAACAACTCATCTTAAAAAAATGAAACAATAGGAGGGGCCCCTTAAATCTGATACATGTGCAACTGTGTTATGAAAACCTAGCAGGCTCTTTGATACTTCAAACAATTATTTTTGGATAGTTGTCTCACATATTCAGACATATCAAAAGCTTACACACATCAGCACTAGCCCTGATAAACTTGAGGAATCTAAGAAAGGTGTCTTGTGAAGGCACCATAGTTTCCGAACATACGTTGCAATCTTGAATCCATGTAGCAACTTCGTCATCAGCGATGTCCTTGTTAGTGGCTGCCTTCAAGAGCTCATTGGTTCGATCTTCCTTCTGCTGAACCATAGACCCACACTGTTTGGAGTAGTCCTTGTACCTTTGCCAGAGTTGAAGTAGGGCCTTGCTGGAGTGCAGCTGCTCAGCAATCTCTTCCAGCAAGTTATTCCATCTGGAAACAATAGCCAACACTCATGGGCAGATTACCACCTCTCACCAAATGCCATTATTTACTATTTTATTTTTCATGATCTTGGTTCATGTGAATATGGAAATAATGCAGGGATGTCTCATTCTTACTTAACATAATAAAAAAAGTAACATTTCACACTCATATCTCAAGGGTACATAGTAGAAATGAAGTCAATCTTGGGTATTTAGTAGTTCTGATTTTTTTCTAAATATCTTTGCTCGGTTTACTTATCCTTAAATTCATTTTGTGAAAATTAAAACATTAAAAGAATAGAGCTTAAATATACAGCTCAAATTCAAAATGCCAGCAAGCTTTAATTGTATCATTATTTATAATAAGGTTGTGATATAAATAATGCATCACAGTGTCAAATTAGCATGCTCCATACCTCATATTGGCTTCTTTCAGTGTATTGCTAAGAGTTTCTGTCACAGGTGGGTGACAATCTTTTAATAATTGGTTGGTGACAGAGCCAAATTTCTGTAAGCTCTTTTCCTGTTTTTCCAGATCATCTTGAAGATTCTGCCCAAACAAAAAGTGCCACAGATAACATGACAGGATCTAAATGCTAATCATCCAATTTAAAAGTAATTTATAGCTGTTTTCATAAATATATGCATACAAATACATAAACCATGACTTTGTTCCAATGCCTTAGAAGCGTTCTTTCGATAATCATTTCTTCTCTTTTGTGAGTTTGTTCTTATGGGTGTGAGAAAAAATTCTTAACCATTAAGCCTTCCTATGGTAGCATCTGGGATGCTGCTGGAAAAGCTCATGCAGGATGTCTTCGTCCACCAGCTAGTAGGAAGCTATGGTGGTGGTATGCGTGCAATGTCACACTGCGGTCCTCTTTGCTGCTCAAAGTCAAACCCCAGTCTCTGTTTTATTACGTATCTAGAATTGTTCTACCCAAAACTCCTGTAATCAGACTTTAAGAAGCCATGGCCTTTCTGAGCATCTTCTCTAAGTTTTATCTCCGGGTGCTCTTCCTCCCAAAGAATATTTATTAGACAGGCTACAGGCTTGGCAGAGTCTTCTACCAAGGGCCAGCGAAGGAACCTGAAGAAAGATATTTCCCTGGAAATACTGCTGAAGTGATAGCCTCAATTTTAGGAATACTCCACAGGTGAAGTCGACTACAAAGATGCAGTCCTATTTAACACCGATATCTGATTGCCATCAAATCAAAACATGCAAGGAAAAGACCCCGAACCCTTCCATATCTTAAGACAACACCTGCAGGTGTTAAACACAGAATAAGCTAAATTTAAAAGTTCTTCCAACCTCCTCAAAGCTATAAAATCTGTGGGTTTTTGTGGGTTTTTTTGGTGAGGTAGATTCGCCCTGAGCTAAAATCTACTGTCAATCTTCCTCTTTTTGCTGAGGAGGATTCTCCCTGAGGTAGCATCTGTGCCAGTCTTCCTCTATTTTGTATGTGGATCACTGCCAAAACATGGCTGCTGATGAGTGGTGTAGGTCCATGCCCAGGAACTGAACCAAGGCCGCCGAAGCAGAGTGCGCCAAACTTAACCACTCGGCCACAGGGCCGGCCCCTATAGAACGTGTTTTTAAAACTTACTATTCTCAAAGTAAGTTTTAATGCTTCTTAGTATTCACAACAACTATTTAAGGCTTAAATAAATTATATATATATATATATATATATATATATATATATATATTTTACTCTTCCTCCATTCTGCCCTACCCACCCCCCCCAAAAAAAGAAATTCCCTCTAGAAAGTCTGCATATGAGGTCAGCAACATATAAACGCTGATTGCCAAGCCAGGGAAGTGGACTCATGTAAGGAGGGTACATGCTGGGCTCTTGCTGGTATCCCATCCCTCAAGGACCTGCCCTGCCCATCCCACAGTCTGTGTTATTTAGCCAGGGAGAAAGACGAGCGGCAGGTAAGAGTGCCCAGTGCCCAGGTGCGCAAGGAAGTGAGGGCAGCAGTTGATTTAGGGCAGTGACTTGAGATAGGAGATGATGCTGTGTTTAAGTCAAATAGTGGCAATGTCATTCTAGATGAACGCAATGATAATGGACACACAGAAAACCAAGCAGTAAATGCTAGAAAAAGAGGATTATGTGTAGACATTAGATAGACCACTGAAAGTATGCTGAATGAAAACAACTTAATAGTTTAAAAATTTACCACTTTCGCTATTTTTCTCTTTGCTTTCTTTTTAATCCCTTAGAATATGTTTGGAGAAGCAGGATAAAAAAGAGAAAGGGAAGATATAAAAGGCAGCGACATGGATTAAAGAGGCTGATTTGGGTATGAAATCATTTTATAAAATACATTCATGAGGATATTTACGTAACAGAACTTAAAAAATCATTTAGTTATACACCAGCTAATCCAGAATTTGGTATCCACAAGCAAGTGTGATTAAGTAACAAATCAAGAAGGTAAAATTAATTTTAAATATTTTTAAAATAATTAAACATAAATAATATACAGCAATGTTCCAGGGTGATGTTTGCATTTGCTAATTTTTTGATTTTCTCAAATTAAAAAGAATGTTAAGGATGGCTTAAACTCATTCCTCACCTGAAGGCTGTCTACCTGAACCTGCACAGCTTCCAGAGAGCCGGTCAGCAGACGGAACCGGGCGAGAGAATATCGCGCCTCCATCAGGTAACTGTTTATCTCATCAAAGGCCACTTTGTGATGGCTCCATTGGTCCAGCACCGACTTCAACAGCATCTTCAACTGCCCAACCTTTCGAAAGAGACCGACACGTCTTATCATGGCATAATATTTAAAATGATGGGATATATACTTAAAACTGGTGGAAAAAAATTAACATTTAAGAACTTCATCAGGGTTTCAGACATTATGAATAAACTCAAACTGAAAAAAAAACAAAGATTTGAAAAGTAAGATATAGGAACATTGAAATGTATGCCTTTCATACTTTTGAACATAGTCTAAATTAAAATGTCTAAAAAGGTTATATATGTAACCTTTGTATATAATATAAAGTATTATATAATATAAAATATATAATATAAAGTATAATACTTTATAATATAAACCTATAATATAATATACAGCTTTTCTTTTTATTATATATAAAAATATGTTATATATAATACAAACCTTTTGATATATAGTATGTATATTATACATATCTACATAATATAAAAATGATAAAGGGTCAATATACTTAATACCACAGTTTAGGAAATATATTCAATGAATGTTTCAAAGGCATTAACTCATTTAATCCTAACAACCTTATCTCCATAAAATCACTATCCTCATCTTATAGATGAGGAAACTGAGGTTCAAAGAGGTTATGAAAATCACCTGAGATCATATTGTTAGAATCTGACAGATCTAGACTTGAAACTAGGCAGCCTAGTCCCAGGGAATGAAACCTATCTATCTATCTATCTATCTATCTATCTATCTATCTATCTATCCATCTATCTATCCATCTATCTATCTATCTACCTACCTACCCACATCTATCTATCCATCTATCAATCAATCTATCTATCCTCTATCTATTTCTCTCTCTATCATCTATCTATCTCACATATGCACATACACACACTCTCAAATGAATATCTTAAGACAAAACATCTAAGAACATTCCTTCCCTATGCTTATCTGCAATAGACAAGTTAAGTTTTTAGTTTTGTCTGTATCATTTAGAAAGATATCTGTTTTGGACTTCTCGGATGTCACCCCTGATGTTCTAAAGGTAATCTTTTGAATATGGAGTAATTATGGCTATAATTAAGAAAAGAGATCACATAAATTAATTTGCATCTGCAGTCTCTGCTTTTCTTCTTAGCATAAATATAACATGTTGAAATCAACCAAGATACCACCTAATGGGCCACAGCACTAAGAAAGTACTGCTCAGGAATGAGACAAGGCCCACAGGTGCAGACGGGTGCCTGGGCCTGTCCTATGAAAGTCAGAAACAGACATGAAAATGAGGCCAGGGGATCAATGAGAATCTTTAAATAGTCCACTTCTTCTTTGTATTAGTTTTGTTTGTTTTTCATGAGAAGATGTTTCTATGAAAGAATTGCTTAATTTATTTCTATGGGAAATTGTCTCCAAAAATTTGTGATGATTTATAAAAAATACATAAAATAAAATAGATTTAAAATCAGCTTAAAGATAAGGTAAGGAAGACCTGGAGAAGAATCCATAGGCTGTAGAAGCTGCTGATTGTAGGCCATTGGTCCCAGGCCCCTAACTGTTTGAGCCTCAGCTCCCATCTCTGTGAAGTGTGGATGGTTACTACCTGGACAGGAGTGTGCAGGGCAGTATTTGTTGTTGCACGTATTCTTATCACTGAAGGATTCAACACTCCATTTGGTACATATTCATCAAAAGTGTTCATGGAGCTTATAGCTTAGTGAGAGAAATGAAAACAAACAAGTAGACTATATCGTATGTTGGAAGTTGATAAATAATACAGAGGAAAGCAAAGCAGAGAGGAGAGTGAGGGAGTGTGAGGTGGGGATGCAGAGGTTGTCACTTAAAACAAGGTGCTCAGGAAAGTCCTCACTGAGATGGTGAATGTGAACAAAGACTTTGAAAAGAGGGAGTGACCCACACGGGTATGTGAGAGAGGGTGTTCCAGCCAGTGCGAAGTCCCCGAGTGTGGGACATGCCCGGTGAGTTCAAGAGTATAGGGAGACCAGTGTGGCAGAAGCAAAATGAACCTGCAGGACACCAGCAGGAGACAAGGTCAGAGAGACCACGGGAGGTCAGGTCACGTAATTCTTCAGGCCCTCACCAGGTTCTGGCCTCATTCTGAATGAGACAGAAGCTACTGGGGGAGTTAAGCAGAGGACCGGTGTGATCTGAGTTCCATTTTAACAGGCTCTCTCAGTCATGGAGACTATTTAGGAGGCCACCAAAATAATCAAGGCAAGTGGCGATGGCAACTGACACCTGGGTGCTGGCTGCAGAGACCGGGGCAGAGGCTGGGCTCTAAATCTATTCTGAAAACAGGGCTGACAAGATTGCTGATGGACTTGATGTGGGGCATGAGAGAAAGAGGAGTAAAGAAGGAAGGAGTCCAAGGCTTTCTGCCCAAGCAACCAGACCAGAAGGGTACAGTTGTCATCAAGATGGCAGAAAGTGTAGGTTTGTAGGGGAAGAAGAAGAATTGATTTGGGCATGGAAATTTGAGATGTCAACTGATCATGCAAGAGGAGATGTCTACGGATTTCTCTCTGTTTCTGTCTCTATCTAGAGTTTAGGAGAGAAATCCAGGCAAGGGATACACATTTGAGAACTGTCTGTACCTAGATGGTATCTATGGAGATGGGAATGGAGAAGAGTATTAAGAGAGTAACGTTTATCATAATGTTTACTATAGGAAGCATCCAAAGCTAGACTTTTTAACAAAGAGATTAATAAGGTGGACTTAGCAGTACAAAGAGAAGAGGTATAGATTTAGTAATTATTTACTCAGTTCCTTTAGGAAAACCATAACCCATGTCATGTTTGGAGACAAGATGGTAAACGTGGCGTTGGAGCCAGCTCTCCACGAGCAATATTACCATGTGGTCTAAATCTGCCCAGGTCTGGCTGAGCTCCCGGAGCGTGCTCCTGACAACGTCAGACACTTCTTCTTTCTTGTTCTGAATCAACGCAAGTCCATTCTGTTCAATTTTCTCTACCTCTTTTTCTTTTGCTTTAATCAAGTCTTCCAGATCCTGAAAGATTAAAAAATAGCCATTTAAACTTGTTCTATTATGGGACTCTGGGGTGCCCTGAAATTGAGCCATTATAGTCTCATATCCTAAAAATCTTTCCTCATCCAAAAAGCTTATCATTCTCAGGAGAGGGTCTCCATGGCAATACCTCCTCTTACATTTATATTTTAAAAATAGCCTTTTTATTCCATAAGAAATCAGCTAACTTAAAAAAGTAAACTTTGGGGGCTGGCCCCGTGGCTGAGTGGTTAAGTTCGTGTGCTCCGCTGCAGGTGGCCCTGTGTTTCGTTGGTTCGAATCCTGGGCGCGGACATGGCACTGCTCATCAAACCACGCTGAGGCAGCATCCCACATGCTACAACTAGAAGGACCCACAACGAAGAATATACAACCATGCACCGGGGGGCTTTGGGGAGAAAAAGGGAAAAAATAAAATCTTTAAAAAACAAAAAAAAAAGGTAAACTTTGATTACCTAATAGATAAGGAAATTGCTCTGTGTAATTTTTTTCCAGAAGCTACAAGGAAATATATGACAGAAATAATAACATGATTTATATTCTTAAATACATTTATAGTAGACCCCCCCTTATCTGCATGGGATACGTTCCAAGACCCCTAGGGGATGCCTGAAATTGTGGATACTACTGAACCCTATATATACCACGTTTTTTCCTACACATACCTACCTATGATGAAGTTTAATTTATAAATTAGGCACAGAAAGAGCTTAACAACTAATAATAAAATAGAACAACGGTAACCATACACTATTATAAAAGTTACTGAAGATCTTAGCAACCTCAGCATATGCTATCTTTTCTTTCCTTCTTAAGTCAAGAATTTTCACCTTCTCACTTAAAGGAAGCACTTTACGGTTTCTCTTTCATATATCCGAACTGCCAGCATCACCACTCTTGTGCTTTGGGGCCGTTATTAAGAAAAATAAGGGTGTCTTGAACACAGGTGATACTGCAACAGTCGATCTGATACCTGGGACAACCACTAAGAGACCAGTGACTAATGAGTGGGTTGCAGATACAGCAGGGATCCACTGCACAAAGGGACAATTCACATCCCAGGCAGGACACAGCGGGACCCCGCAAGATTTCACCACGCTAATCAGAACAGCGTGCAATTTAAAACTTATGAATTGTTTATTTCTAGAATTTTTCACTTAATATTTTCAGACGTGCTTGACATTGGGTAACTGACACCACAGAAAGTGAAACCACGGATAAGGGGGGACTACTGTATCTCGGCGTTGGAAAAGATACACAGTCCTAGCCCATAGGGTGAAATGGGATAGAATGGTATTCTGAGCCTAGTAGCTGAGATTTAGTTACATTGCTGCTACTATGGAGGTGTGCCACTTTGGGTAAGTTACAAACTTCCACTGGAAGTTTCAGAGGGAAAATCAGAATCTCCATTAACCTTGGGATTAGAACTCAAGCCTTCTGAGGCTACTGACTCCCAGCCCAGTGCTGGGGCTTATCATCTGGACGTGAATTGGGGGAGGATGCAACCCCACATTGGGGTGATGTCACGAGCTGTATATTAAGGCACGGTTACATTCTCATATTCAGACGTACACCCCCAGAACCAGATACGTAGATGTGCAAGCCCTGGAGGATAAGTGAAGAAAATTCCTAAATACTTTAAGTTTGGATAGTGTCTCAATTCTGTAAAAAAGATTTTTTTTTACTTCCCCCTCATGATCCACCTACAGATAACAACCTGGGATTGCACAGTCCTATTGGTAAGACACCGGTGCCGACTCCAGTCTCTGCTGTGTTAATTACAAACGTTGGGCCTCTTTTATTTTTGTTTCTGTGTGGTCCAACCTTTTAATCACTCTCTACCCCATTTATAAAATACAAATAATAATATTTGCTTACCTCAAAGGGATAACATTAGATACATAAATATGAACTATCTTTTAAGCTGTTAAAAACTGGGGAAATCTAAGACAAATTATTATATTCAGCCATTTAGTAATCTGCCACTCTTCAGTGCAAATTTATTTATTTTTGTCTCCTTAATTATCATGAAGCTATTTTTGTCCCGATGCATTAATTAGAAATTTATGCAATTAGTAGCCTGAAGAGATCATTATTGTTTTTAATATTATTCTTTCATTTCCATTTTATAATTTTGTCAATATTTTGACAGCTTTGATAACTAGCCAGAAAATAAAGATAATGATTACTAAAGTGACAGATCCTTTATGCAGTATAGAAACATAATTGACTTTAACTTTACTATTTAAGGATTTTTCTTACCCTCGTTTATCCATAGGTGCTAACTTTTTTAGCGAGCAATATTAAACGAATGATTCATTGCTTAAAACACATCTCTAAAATGCCCTGCACATTTATGTTGGCATAAAGCAAAACCCAGGAGGGAAACAGGACTGAAATATATATTTTGTGAAAAATAAAGGTGTGTTTTCCTTTCCTTTCAATAATAATGAAAAGATGATTCTGTTTCTGATCAATGAAGGGAAAAGCCAAAGGTAACATTTTTTGCTATAATAAATCATTCTTAACTTGAGTTAATTCATAACTATCAGTTTTTATGTTGGTTTAAATTAATAAATCACCTCTGAAAGAGTGGAAAAATATTCAAGATTTTTTAAACAAAACAGAGCTCGAATCCAGTCACGGATTTAAGGATCCTGGCTGGAAGTTCATACTTTGGTCCAGAGGAACTCTTTCTCAAAAATAACAATAAATTTTTATCAAAGTTCTGCCAAATGGAACCTGCCAGTTAGACTACTGAGATTTATATGTGATGCCCCAAAATAACTGTGTAGGCTACTTTCATTCTGTTCTTTGTTTCAAAAAATGACTTCTCATTTGAAATCACAAATTGGCATTGGTGTAGTTCTTTAAGCCACACCTAAAGCTTTCCCTCCTGACATTGCCTGGTGTGACCTCTTTGGGAGACTAAAATTTGGGTCCAAAAAGGAGTAAAACTTGGCCGAGCTTCTGCTCCATTTTCCAGATATTGATGTCTCTCTCTGCTAAATAGAAGACACATTACATGAAAAGAAACAAAATGGAAAAATGGCAGACAAAAAGTACATACAAGAGTGGAAAACAATAGTGAGAAAGTTAAATGAAAAGAAGAGAAGGAAGAAGAAGAAAAGGAAAAGGAAAGTTATATTAACATATTAGCTCAATCTTTCCACAGTAAAGTTTATCACAACTATGTAACAAGGAAGCACTAATCTTGCTAACATTAACACAAACTATCTTTAATTTTAATGGAAACATTTTAATTTAGGAACTCATCAAGAGGTATGACTTCTTATCCTTCAAAGCGAAATTCTGAAATTTTGGCTGATTTGTACATTTTATTTATTTTTATTTTTTTATTTTACTTATTTATTTTGAGGAAGATGAGCCCTGAGGTAACTACTGCCAATCCTCCTCTTTTTGCTGAGGAAGACTGGCCCTGAGCTCACATCCATGCCCATCTTCCTCTGCTTTACATGTGGGACGCCTACCATAGCATGGCTTTGCCAAGAGGTGCCATGTCCACACCTGGGATCCGAACCGGCAAACCCAGGGCTGCCGAAAAGGGGAACATGCGCACTTAACTGCTGCGCCACCAGGTGGGCCCCTATTTGTACATTTTAGAATTGATGGCCTAAACTAAAAATACTATGGACCCCTGGAAAATTGGAAATGCAATGAGACTGGTTGATGCGTATTTGTGGTCTTCAACCTTTTACACTGTCTTCTGATGTGAAGCATTTTTTTAGAAAATTTCAAGGTATTTCTCTAGATGATGGTTTTCTTTGCCATTTTTGTGCACCCTCAAAATTCTAATCCATTTGCTTGTCAGCTTAGCAGAAGAGCATCTGCTTTTCCTTTTCTGAAACAAAAAGCTTTGATTGAGCGTTTAAATATGTGTCTCTTTACATTTGCCCCCACAGAAAAAGTGCTAGTTGGAAGGAAGGCCATTACCAAAGGCCTTTCTTTTTGAAATCTAAAGGATAAAAACAAGGTTTGAGGGCTGGGCTGGTGGCGCAGCAGTTAAGTTCGCACATTCTGCTTCTTGGCAGCCCAGGGTTCGCCGGTTCAGATCCCGGGTGCGGACACAGCACCAACTTGGCAAGCCATGCTGTGGTGGGTGTCCCATGTATAAAGTAGAGGAAGATGGGCATGGATGTTAGCTCAGGGCCAGTCTTCCTCAGCAAAAAAAGAGGAGGATTGGCAGTAGTTAGCTCAGGGCTAATCTTCCTCAAAAAAAAAAAAAAAAGAAGCTGAGCAAGGAGACAAAAAAAACAACAAGATTTGGAGAAAGGAGAATTTCTGCAGAATGAGTCTTCAATTGTCTGTAACATATACAAATTATTGATTTTTTTAAAAAAATGCACTACAGCATTAACTGTAATAGCTCACATTTCTTTTGTATCAACAAGAATGCCTGAGAAATACTGTGTCCCTAAGTTACTGGAAAGTATTTAGAGAACCACAATCCTCATCACTAACAGTAGCACAAGCAGATGCTGCTGAGTGACTGCGGATGCGACACGGTAGGAAGGAACACCGTCACTTGGGCAGCACTCGCTCATTAGAGTTGAACCAGAACCCAGTCAAACCTCTGGCACTAACTTGCATTTATGGGAAATACAGAGGAGCAAGTTACAGATGTCTTACAAAAGGACTCACACTAATGCCGAACCGAGGCCAGCCGACAGTTTCTGTAACTAGTTAATAGTATTAAAAACTTACTAAAGACACTTAAGAGATCTAACAAGTAAATGTAACATGTGGACACTGTGGCATTCTTATGCGAATAAATTAACTGCAAAAAAGACATTTTAAAGACAATTGAGGAAAGTGTGTTATGGATTGAGAAGTAAATAATATTAAGGGGTTATTGCTAAGCATTTTTATGGGGATAATGATACTATGATTACATAAGAAAATGTCAATTTTTTAGAGGTGTGTATTGTAGCATGTAAGAATAAAATGACAGGATGCCTGGAACTCACTATAAAATATTTAAGAAAAGAAATAATGCAGGCAAATATGTCAAAATCTTGATAATTATTAAATCTGATGATCCGTATAAGGGGTTAGCAGGATTCTCTATTTAGGATGGTGTTTGAAAATTCTCTAATTTCAAATTTATAAAAACAGGTGGAACAAACCTAATAGGAAAACTCTATAAACTCATATAGTCAGAGAAATTCATTACCCAATGCAACTGTTTTCAATATTTAACTCTCGACTCCCAGGCCTGAAAATCCCTGTGGTACGTGCCATGACACTGTGACTAGCGCACGTCAGCCCCCGGGCCGTTACCTGACAGTCTTTCAATGCATTCTGAACTGAAGTCTGATCTCCAATTCGATGTTGTTGCTTCAGTCTCTTTTCCTGGGTTTCAAACCACGTTTTCAGACACTGTACATTATTTTCATATTCTGACCAAGATTCTAACAAGCCTTCCAACAGCTGGATCTGAACAAACATAATGAAGTTGGCAATTTTATTTTAAAATCAAATCATTTGCCCTCAATCTACTACTTCCTCCAACTACTCCAGCTACCATTTCCTCCAAATCAAGAATTCTTAAAATACAGTCCCTTGCATATATGATTAAAAAACGAATTTTATAAAGTTTGAATTGATGGCTATTATTGATAAGCAAGTAAAAAACTTAAGTCAACTGAAAGCAAAGGCAAAAGAAATTAAGAGGCATCTTCAAAAAGCTAAACATACAATATGTAAAGAGTAGAGGGTGCATCAGAGAAAATAATTAACGGGACTAAAGAACGTTTAGAGCCATGTAACGTTCAGTGGTGTTCTCTTCAGAAGCAACTGTGTGCCGAGTGAGGCCACGCTATTTGTGAAATAAGTTCTCTTCCCAGAATGCGCCTGTTCTTGCAGTTTTCATGTAACTATGGACAGCAGAGGCCACTTGGCTTACCTTCTCTGTTACCAGACCCTGCAGGATTTGCCAACTTTTATTCATTGCTCCAAGTTGCTCAGCAAAATCGGTCTTATCGCTGCGTTTGCTTTCAACATCCTGACTGCTGATTTGCAGCACAGACTGATTCACGAAATCGACGGTCAGCTGCTTACAGTTAATGTCTATCTTGAAACCCTACAAACGGACAGGAGAAAGTAAGAAAACAAGGTTATACATATAAAGGTCTTCGATTTTATTAGGACTTGGAAAGCCTGAAGTAACCTCAAGATGAATATTACCATTTCCATGATTTAGTCCAAACGGCACAATCTGTGTGTATTCATATAACACATTATTTTCAGAGGTTATATACATATAATATACAAATATATTAAATAGGAATTGACTTTGTAAATATATTAAATTTAAATTTATAAAAATTTGAATTTATTAATATATTGAATATAACTATATATTTTCTAGGTAGAGAATGTAGAATTTGATAAATTGTAGAATCTCACTATAAAAATACTTATAAATTATAGCATTTATTTTTATGATTTCTTAAAATGACACAAAATGCAATCTCACTATAAAAATATTTATAAATTATAGCATTTATTTTTACGATTTCTTAAAATGACACAAAATCCAATCTCACTATAAAAAATATTTATAAATTATAGCATTTATTTTTACGATTTCTTAAAATGACACAAAATCTTATTCAAAATTGTTCCTATTACTGGACAACTTTTCTATGCCTAAAACCAGGAAGCCAGTCTCCTTAGCCGTGTACATCTGTCTGGTCACTATGCCTGAAACATACACTCCAAGACCTGATTCCCATGATTTGAGTTTTTCAGTTCCTTTAAATAAAATTGTCCTAAAATATGAAAAGTTAAAAACAAACAAAAAAATGTTTAATTACCTTATATTTCTGAAGGTATTCATGAATTGCCTTGTAACCTATGGAATTTTTTATATTCTCTTCATCCTTTTGAATAACATTTTCCATGAGAGAAATCCAGGTCATGACCTCAGAAATGGCATGGCGAGAAGGCAGCTTATCCATCTGGAGCTGCCCAAGTAAGAGCAAGAACAAGTTGCAAGTGTTAAAATTCAAACCCAATTTCTGTTAATCTAAAAACCCTACAGTAACTCTTATCAATGTACCAACAGAGATAATACTTCTTAATGACATTTTTGGATCATACCCTCATGAGAAGCTTGAAATTAAACATCAAGCAAACACTTGAACAATCACCGTCATCTTATGTTCACGCGACATCCAATACTATAAACATGCATAAACATTAACTAATTAATCAAAACATCAGCAAGGAGAAAATATTATTTGTATTTTATAGCTAGTTTTATGAGTTAAAAAAAATTTAACTACAAAACATTCAACAGATGTATTTTATTAATTATCTTGTAAAACTGCTGTGTATTATGACTTAGGAATGTTAAAAGAAGAAAGAAAAATACCACGCTACAAACTATCATTTTCTAGATTTTTGGCACTGTAGTATTTATTCCTAAGAGCATGGCCAATTTCCTTGGTCTTTAAAATATACTTAGAATTCTCAATCTTACTTAACATATCATACATTTATGCAGATGCTTATAATGATTTGGAGGAACAAAAGCAGTGGTTTAAAATATTGATGGACTTCTACGTGGTGAAGAAAGATAGAGATGTGAATGTGGGATATTTTCTGCCATCTAGAAATGTCTAGCTCCTGATTAGAACGAATAAGACACTTACACTAAACACATCAATTATACCTTGAACACGGTGATGAATGCCAAAGAGAGATAAAGATAAACTATCTGTGAGGTCAAGGGAGAGAAGCATATTTCCAGATAAGAGAAGTACTTCTCAGAGGAAGATGGGCACAGATGTTAGCTCAGGGCCAGTCTTCCTCAGCAAAAAAGAGGAGGATTGGTGGCAGATGTTAGCTCAGGGCTAATCTTCCTCAAAAAAATAAAAAAGAAAAAAGTAAAAAAAAAAGTCCGTCTCTTCTCTTACTTCTTTTCACTTATTGAATGCCAGTTGCTCTATTGTACATATTGTTATTAAATCTTCACAACTACTCATTGTATGAGGGAGGTGTAGTGATCCATGTAACTCATGAGAAAACAAAGACTTTAAACAAGGCCACACAAGGATTCTAATATACACACATTATAAAGAAGCCCTTGGGAGAAATCACATTTGCAGAATAGTTCACTTCCAACATGCAACACAACGCAAGAGAGAAAAAACAGGATGTTCAAGACAAAGCTGATTTAAATTCGTGAGCAAAAGCAGATTAATGTGCTTTTCCATCTAATTCTGCTTAAATCACTTATTACCAATTAAACCCATGATTATCCCTCTACCTGGTGGAGCTTTTCCTGGACAGCTGGGATGTTCGTCAGCAGGTCAGTCCACTGGCCATCAATGTGTGACAGCTCAGAACGCAGGGCAGCTGTGTCCACTTTCTTTAATCGAAGAAGCTGGTTTCCAGTGCTCAGAACAGACGATTTCAGGGAAGATTTGGCATCCACTTCTTTGGAAAACTCCTAAAAGAAGTAGCAATGTTCAAATCAGGATTAAATGGCCAGATCTTTCATTTAAGGAAAGAGCCCAATTTATTCCATGAACAATTTTTCTTTACATCTTGCAAAGGAGTGATATTAAGCACTTTAGAGGAACACAAAGGCAGCACACCCTTGCCGTGAATGAAAGCCATCAAGGAAGCCATTACTTGAAAACTAAAGAGGCAACACTGAGCCCTCGTATTGTGCGTAATTATTCAACACACATAGTTAACATGGACAAATTCTCCAAAGCTTGGTTTATTAAGTATATCCATTGACAGGTGATTTCTTCTACTCAGGCCTTACCTAAAACCTGAAAACAAATCTAGTCAAATGCTTTAGATTTTTAGGCTTACCAGGAAAGCATTCAGATGATCGCGGACCATTTCCAGTTCTTGTGGGACTGTCACAGATTGTTGAGTCCAAAATTCTAGCCTGTCTTTTGCAGATTGTAGCCAGTGAATTAGATCTGCAGATTCGCTTTGATATCTGTAAGCATGTTAATGAGCCCATTAAGTCAACATCCAGTCCCTACTTTCTGCTAACCCATGTTACTCACCATGCTAATTTTAAAAGGAGACAATAGATTTGGGAGAATAATGCCCTGGGTTGACACTCTTGAATTCTCTTCTCTTAATATTAATACCTTAAGCAAGTCAGTCTCTGAGTTTCAGCTTTCGCATCTCTAAGCTGAAAATAAAAATACCTTTCTCTTACTCCTTCACACTGAGGCTATTTAGAAAATATCAGACAAGTGTTATTAAAAGTTCTTAGAAATAAAGGTGGCATAGAAACAGAGTATCTCATAATGTAAAATCAACCCATCACCTCTCTTGAGTACTTTCCATTGCCCTTGAGAAATTTCACCTTCTCAAACACAGTTTCTCTTCTTTCTCTCCTTCTAAGGTTTCACTGTGACCACCCATGTACAGTCGATAGGCCAGAGAGGATGACAGCTCAAAGGTAAGCTGTATTGAGTAATATCTGCCTTCCTGCCCACTTTTAATTACATGTTCATACAACTATACAAGATTCCAATTGGGGGCTTTATATTTACTTTTATTTTCCAACTATGTGACAAGTTCCTAGAGGGAGCATATCTTTTTCAAGTCCTGTATCCACTAGCCTTATAAATACTCTGCAGCACCAATGTAAAAATTTGCAAAATAGACATTACATTACCTGGTCCAGTGTTTCAATATCGTTTCCAATCTGTGAAGCTCCTTAGACACTTTGTTGGTATTATGTAGCCAGTGTTCTCCAAGTTGATTTAGCTGGCTTTCTAGATCCGAGCAGCTAACGGATATCAGAAGTCGTTTCCCATCATCTAATACCTGATATAATTTGGGCTGGTATTCATTAAGGCTGGATTTCAAATGCTAAAATGATTGAAAATATTTTCACAGTCAAAAGTTTGGATAATGCAATTTTTCTCTTTAAGAATTATAATTTCTCTGGTGCCCATAATGTTCCCAATATCTACTAGTCAAACTTCAACTATTTTACAGCCAAGTAACATTGGAAATTTCGAGATATTTCATCTATAGCTAAGTATAGATGTTCTTTAAGCTTCTTTTTGTAGTAACTTTAGGTGCATTTAAAACTGTCAAACTGCAATTATTTCAAGATTAGTGTGACACCAGCATAAACTACAGAAAATGCTTGGTGAAGGTTGAATTTTCAAAAACAGCCCTCTCTCATTTGAAAGAAAAAAAAAAGGAAAAAAGACTTCTTAATGCTCTATTATAAAACAACAAACTATAATTATTTCAAGATAATGTGACATTGGCACAAACTACAAAAAAATGCTTGATGGAGGCTAAATTTTCAAAAAGAGCTCTCATTAAAAAATGAAAAAAACAAGACCTTTTTATGTTCTATTATAAAACAAACACAAAATCTATCTGCTTTCAACAATGTCAATAGCTTGAAAGAAAAGTAAAAGTACTTAATAAAACATTTGATGGCAAGTTTGTTTAGATTCTGTTAAAACCATGGGAAAGTTTCAAAAGGCAATATGGCAACTTTTCACCTCAAGATGCCATTTGGATGCTGACCTGGTAGAGTGTTGTCCGGTCGATGAGCCTGTCCTCGCTCTCCTCCACTAAACCCACGCTCGGGATGCTGTTTTCCACTGCCTCCAGCTGTCTGCTGAGCTCCTGGTGGTCCTCATCCAGATGGGACCATGTCTAGAAATGCAACATGAGTCTGTCAGCTGAAAGATCCTCATTAAGGAACAGCATTCCTCTTTGTGTGCAAAATATGCACTTGACAAATTCTCCTTAAAGTTATGTTGGTGATGTTTGTGTTGGGGGTTTGCTTTGGGAAGCAAAAAATGGCTTTGAAGCAAATAATCAGATGGTGACCCTGAAAAGCATTGTGAACGAGCTTTAGCATCTGCAACCAACTAACTATATGAGCATGGGCAAGTTATTAAACTTCTCTAGGGTCCAGCCTGGTGGGGCAGCGGATAAGTGCGCACGTTCTGCTTCAGAGGCCACAGTTCACTGATTCGGATTCCGGGTGTGGACGTGGCACCGCTTGGCAAGCCATGCTGTGGCAGGCGTCCCACATATAAAGTAGAGGAAGATGGGCACAGATGTTAGCTCAGGGCCAGTCTTCCTCAGCAAAAAGGGGAGGATTGGCAGGAGATGTTAGCTCAGGGCTAGTCTTTCTCAAAAACAAAAAAAAAACTTCTCTGAACCTCATTTTCAACATTAAAAAATGGGGATAATAATAACTATCCTGTCCATTGTGAGGATGTATGCAGCAAACCTGGAACACAGTAAACATCTGATATGCATGGTTTCATTCTCTACCCGAGTGATGATGATGTGATTTAAGTAAAAGGGATCAGCGTGTTTATATCATGTAGTAAGTAAACTAAACACATTTGCAAATTTAAAAAACCAGACATTTAAGAAATCTGAATATATAGTATAAACAATCTACTAAAATGAACTCTTAAATAACTTACTGCTAAATTCAGATTTTTATTTTACTTAAAATTGGAAGATCTTTTTTTTAATCATTTGAAGTCTTTTTCAAGAATTTATAGCAAAGGTCAGCAGTTTTTCAGTTTGACTATCAAAACCCCTATATCGTCATGCCCAGTCCAAAGTCAGCAGTCCTCGAGCTGACTCACAGTAGAGCACAGCTTTTATCCAAATATAAATAGGAAATACGAGGCGGACAATGTGACACGATGCTGAGTCCGAGAGAGTTTCATGGTCATACGAGGCAAATTGCATGAATAAATACATCTGGGCTTAAGTCTGCTGCCAGTAGGGAGTTTGCTGTCGGGAAGGTGCCACGTCACTAGGCTCACCTCTAGAATGTACTCCAACTCTACACCTCTCTTGTGAGCCCGTTTCAGCACGGCTGAAGCCTGCGCCATCAGGTCTGCATGGAACTGAGTCTCCTGGTGGACTGCAAAGCTGATTATCTTTCTGAAGAGCGTTTCAGTCAAGATCATATGAGACTCCAGGCCCTGAAAGTATTCCTGCAATTTTTCAGGCAGAAAGAGGTCAGCAACTCACTCATATACTACGATAAAAACTGCTTCAAGTGTGAAAGCTGATGGACTCCCTTAAGACGTCAGCAAGAGTGGTCCACCCTGGCTGGCCTCCGCCTTACCTGGGCGCTCACCACATTCTGCAGAGACAGGGGCTTGGGTCTCCTAACTGGCCTCTCTTGTCCCCCCACTCAAGTGCACCTACTGGGCTGCAGATACTGTCCCCAAAACAAAGCCTTTTATATGTGACCAGCTGCTGATAAAGCCCCTCTGCCCTCCGAATTCCTTGGCCCTGTACAATCTGGGTGGACTCTCACTAACCCCACCACACAAACTCACCCCCTTTGTGCCTCAGACACATCAGCTCCCACGGCCCCATCTTTAGCCTCTGATTACATTCGGTACATCCCAAGATATGCTCACTCGACCCATTCACGACTTCCCGTCCTCTATGGCTGGGCTTGAGCCACTTTTCTGAATTCCCAGAGCATTTGTGATGCTTAATACTCACTGCCAAGCACAGCTTGACACATACTGACTGGTATTATATCATTTTAAATTTCCCTCATCTTATACCTACAGACAACAGAATTGTAGGGCCTTGCACAATCCTGCAAATGTGGTTTGAAATGTTACTTTTTATGTGTAAAAGTCCCCAGAGGAGGGAGACAGGGCTTATCATATTTCCTGTTCCCAACATCATGGGTAGAACTGAAGGACTGGGGATTAATAACAATATTTAATGTGTACTCCTTGCTGGGCACTCTATGCACAGTTTACTGACTATTTTAATCCTTAGAACAACCCTGTGAGGTAAGTAGTTTTATTTCTCTTTTACAGGTGAGGACACTGAACACACAGTCGATGTAATGTGCTCAAGGTCACTATAGAACTCCCCCCTCAGAAAACAGTCTGGTCAATAGAAGCTAGAATCATTATTTTTAACTGACAATTATTATATCATCGAATGTTAAACTTGGAAGAGAACTTGGAGGTCATTGAGCCCAATATCCACTGAAAGCTTATATTCCTTTTGCAACTCCATCTCCCCCGATGGCCTTGGACAATCTTCTCAAGGTCAGGAGGGCTGTCTATCCAACGGCAGCCTCCTCCTTTTAGAGTTCTCCATCTATTGAGCTGCATTTCCCTGTTATTTACACACATCGATCCTAACTTCCCCTCTGGAACAACTCAGGATGATATTTTATTGCTACGGTCAAAGGTTTGAGAAAAACCAGCTGTGAACTTTAAAGCAGTGTTTCCAAAGCCAAATGATAAGACTTTAATAAATCACAAAGTTTTGGACAAAAAACTCTGGGAAAAAATAGCAAGAAGTACAACTCCAAAAAAAAAAAAAAATCCACCTTTGTAAGCCACCAGAGAGCTCCATAATGGTAGAATGTTAACCATCTATAACCCAATGGGATTTTTAAAGTTTCCCTCTAGAAAAGTCCCACACTCTGGGAGTTCGAGTTTCTGGACTAGCAAAATTGCTGTTTCTGTAATCATTGCTAAAAATGCCAGTTATTTGTGTGTGCACGTTAAACACGCATTCCTTTGCTAAGGAGGAATGTCTAACCCAAACTTGGTTACAGCACACACCGATGGAGTGACCTCAGCCCTACCAAGTTGGATTATGCATGGTAAGGCTGGTATCCTTTTTAACTTGCAAAATTAGAGGAGCACGTCCTCTATAATTTTTCTGTGCTGCTGAATGCCAGTGGGTTTGAATGCACACTTGTTGGGGGCTGGGCCCATGGCTGAGTCGTTAAGCTCAGGTGTTCTGCTTCGGCGGCCTGGGATTCGCTGGTTTGGATCCTGGGGGCAGACTGGCACCACTCATCAAGCCATGCTGTGGAGGCATCCCACATAGAAGAAGCTACAACTAGAATACACAACTATGTACTGGGGGACTTTTGGGGGGGGGGGGGTAAGGGGGAAGATTGGCAACAGATGTTAGCACAGGGCCAATCTTCCTAAAGAAAAAAAAAATACACATTTGTCAACCATTTTAATGAGTAACTTATGCAAGTAGGGACTCACAAAAGATTGATAATATTAGGTTTTACTACATATGCATCAGTGAATGAGAATATGCTTTCACAATGACATTTTCTTCCTTTTTTTTTTTTTTTTTTTTACCTTGTGTTTGTCAAGTAGTTGTTGGATTTCTTCTTTGGAAGACACGATAATCTTCTGATTGCCTGCCATCTTCTCTCGCCCGGTTTCTAGCAGGTCGGCCAGATCTTGCAGGGCTCGTTCATACTGACTCTTGAGTGCAAGATTCTGGTTCAGACCAGTCCGCCGGGAGCCAATGGTCATCATCAGTTCATCATACATGTCCTAAGAAACAGACAGAGATACTCACTCTCAACTCATATTTTGGCTCCTCTCTAAGAGCATATTACCTACCAAACCTACAGCCCAACCAAGGATGCTCCTTCAGGCATCTGACCTACACAAGGCCCTGCAGATAGGTCACCTCACTGTCTTTCCTAGGAGCCTCACTTTGAAAACTTCTTTCAAAATAGATAAACTAAGGGGTCGGCCCAGTGGTGTAGTAATTAAGTTCGCCTGCTCCGCTTCGGCGTCCTGGGGTTCACAGGTTTGGATCCCAGGCATAGACCTAGCACTGCTCATCAAGCCACACTGTGGTGGCATCCCACAAAAAATAGAGGAGGATTGGCACGGATGTTAGCTCAACGACCATCTTCCTCACACAAAAAAAAGATAAGCTAAACATTTTAACATTCTAAAGAATATGCCAAAATGTCACCTACACGTGACATGAGGTAGACTTGACAACTGTCCTCTCAGGATGTCAAGAGTTTATGCTGAGATGTGGAGTTAAAATGTTGAAAAATTGTTCATCTGGCTGAAGGAAATGTCACAGAAAACGTAATTCTAATTTTCATAATGTTCTCAATGTTTACATAATTCTAGAGTAACTGAATATAGTATCCTTCATATTTTGTCTGTTAAATAATAATCAGAGTTTGGACTATTCCTCATATAAAGAGCTAGAGAAATTGAGGAGTTTAATGTGAGCAAAAAGACTTTATGACCTAAAAAGGTAATGTTTTTGCCAAATGTGGTGGAGTAAATAAATAACTATTTAAACTGGAAAGACTTTTTAGGAGATGATGATACACCAAACACAAAATTTATTTGAGCCATATGGACCTGATTAACATATCATATTCATGTTTAGCGGGCCAAAATGGCTCAATCTGGAAAAGTTCAACTTTAATGCCTATTTACAACTATGACGTTTGACTCTTACACCTGACATTTAAGCTCTGTCAGAAAACTGTCTAAAAGGGACAGAGTGGGGGCAGTGGACTCATGACATGATGACATGTTAGATAATGGAATGAGACAGTTAAAATAAAAATGCTCTTTTTAAAACAGAGCTATTTTATTTTCTCTAAAGGAAGAACTTGTGACCCTGAGCTGGACTCACACTATTAATCCCTCCAGAGCTCTATAAGAAGGCATAATAAGGAAAACTTATTGGGTGTGTGTCCTGTACACAATTTTTTCTTAATATAACTTAACTATATTGCCTATCAAATGCTAAATTTTACTGGTCTAATATTCCAGTATCTCCCTACCACTCAAATATCAGATTTTGTCTAGGTGCCAGATCTAGGAAAGCAAATCAACCCAAAGTTATTCTGTACTCCTGAAGGACACCAGGAAGTCTATTTGGATGTCAGCTACCTTCTAGTTTAATTTTTTTCATTCTGGAATTGAAACAATGTCTGTCTTCCATTCAAACAGGTATGAAAGATAAACTATGCTTTTGAACACCTGAGAAAAACCACTTTCTATAAAGTATTAGCTTGAGTATTTTTTCTTTAAAAGAATTTTGGGGCTACAGTACAATACAGGGTAGGGTTAAAGGTAAAACCACAGTACCCAAAGGGTGTCACCTGTGCTATCACCCATGCTTTTAAACTTAGATTTAATACCTAACCTAACTGCAGTGTTGACCTTCCCAGGAAATGTATCTTCATCAAGCAGTCTGGAATCTTCTGGTCAGCACCAACAAGGTACTCTGTCACGTGGGCCCTCTCCACTCTCCAGACGGAGCAAAGGTGATCGGCATGACACATCCCTTGGCAGTTCCTTTCTCCCCAGAGAAGATGTCCACACCCCAAATAATCCTTTCTTGCCTTTTGCTAATAACCTCCTTGTCCCACTCTCCTTCCTATAAAAACTTTCCATTTTGTATTACCCCTCAGGGTATATCTCTACTTACTAGAGTGGGTGCAGCCCCATTCATGAATCCCTTGATAAAGGCAATTAGATATTTACTAGGTTGACTTTTGTTTTTTCACAGTAGATATCCCTCTTTTAATTTTTCTAGGTTGGATTGCTAATTATTATATTTTCTAGAGTAGAAAACAATATGCCACAACAGAACTATACCACAATGCTTAGCCATCAGAATAATAATAAAGTAAATGTCAGGGGAAAAAAAGGATCTTAGAAGAATGAGAATACAGTTTATTTTATGGCACGAAATATGGTAAAAGTTTCAGAAAATTTTCTATGAGTTACTTGGAAGGAAGATTAGGACCTACATGACATGAATTTTATAAAGAAAAACCAGAAAAGGAGAGAAAATAATTTTGTCTTGCCACTTCTAGTTAGGATGTATCATTGAAGCTGAACGCTATTGGTAGAAAATCATACCTGGAGTTTGGAAAGCTCTTGCATGGAAGGTTGCTCAATCTGCAACTTGTCACCACGCCTCTTTAACTCAATGATTCCTGCGTCCAATTCCTTGAGCCCATCTTCAGCCTGTTGTATTGCCTATGGAAGAATTACAACGTTTCATTAAAACTCTCCCCAACAATTGCCCACACATAATGTGATTCTCATGCCTCTATATTTGTTCCTCTTCTCTCCACATAAGATATTTTCAATGCCTACGAAATGAGTCATTTCCACAGAACATTAAAAACCATGGTCATCTACTACACGGAAAAGGGAAGAAGGCCCTTATTAAGATCAGCTATATTAACGCTGAGGAGGTAGGAGGGACTTCGCACAGGGCGCCAGGAGAACAATGGCTTCCTTGAATAAATAAGGGAATTCATGAATAGCACACCTGAAAAGAAGCACGATTTAGGACAGAGTTAAAAAAAAGGGATTTGTCTAAGATTTTCTAGGGGATCGTGTTTTGATTTCCTGAAATGCAGTTTTGAGCATCTTTGCAGAGAGATTCTGTGAGGCAAGAGGAAAATATGTTACAACATAGTCAGGGAAAGCCTACTCTTTGTTTAGTAGAAGACCAAGCAATCAATAAGTATGGAGGTGGCTGCTAGTGCTAAGCCTTGGCCTCCCAGAGTGAGGTCTGTAGACGCAGAACAAGAGCTCATCTTGGTCTTCAAGCTTACTGTTAGGCTGACTCAGAGCTGGAGGAAAACAAAAGAAGGCTGAACACAATTAGGCGCTAAACTTGATGCGACTCATCCCAGAGAGAAGACTCTGGAGAAGGGAGATACCAGTGAATCCCGGAGCAGTCGAAGCAGGCTTTGAGAAGAGACGCAACCTCAGTTGCCCTTGAAGGATGAAAAGAACGTGGACTCCAGATGGCAGATGAAACACGTGTCCTATTTTCTCTTTCCCGCATCCCCACTACAACCACAGCAAAGATTTTGTTTGCTTGTTTTTGTTGGGTTCCCCCCACACCCATAAATCCACAAGGACATGAAAACAAGAAAGAAGACAACAGGAACAAAGTTTTTAAAGCTAGAAATCAGAAGGATACATGAGAACTGACTTCGGGATTCTGAGAAAGCTGAATCCTAAACCAGCAGGGGATCAACACCACCAAATTTACAACAGGGATCTCTAACTCTCCATGAAGAGGGGTGGGGTGCTAAAGAAGGAAGGTTGGTGAAAAGCTGCTTAAAAAGCAGTTAAATTCCCACATCCCCTTCCTCATTCCACACTGCCCCTTTCTTTCCTCGGTGAAGGATTGAAAATTTATTTTTCTGGAGAATATAAAACAGTCTGTGGACTGAGGGGCACCAGACACAGTTGCAGGCTTGAGTAGTTGACTGAAAACAGGAGAATAAAGTGACTGAATGATCACAGAATGCTGAACGTGGAGCTCCTATGTTCTAGAGTGCTGAACCACGTCTCTACTCTCCAGACAAGAGAGGGGAGAAAATATGAAAAGATTGATAGAAAACATCTAAAAATTTGACATGAGGATTCTCCAACAAATAGCCCACATAGATCTTCCTCCAATAAATCTCAAAATTCTCAAGCCCCATCCACACACCAAGTGCCTATTCAGCTGCTTAGTCCTCCAACCTCAATGTGAAGGACGACAAAGGATTTCCATGTGTCTGAGAAAACCCTCTAGCATGAAATATAGAGACCAAAATAAGCAAACAAATAAAAGCAACTCCGAGGGAAACAGAGATTATAAAGGAAAAAAAATTCAACCAAAAAAATCATTACTATACCCAGAGAGATGGCAAAAGATAACGTATCTATTTAAACAAGAACAGGATGCTACAAAAAAAGGATCATTCAAAGCACCAAAATGAGTTCTGGGAAAATTAAACACATGAGAGCAGAAATGCACAACTCAGAAGAAGACTTCGGAATTGAAGTCAAGGAAATCTCCAGAAAGCAGAGCAAAAAGACACAGAGAGAAATGTCACCTAAGAAGAAAATTAGAGGACTGAAACAGAATATCCAACTTTTGCCTAAAAGGAGTTCGGGAAAGGGAGACAGATAAAATGAAGGAATGAAAAATATTAAATAAATTATCAGAAAATGTTCCAGAATGGAAAGATGAGAGCTGCCAAATCAAAAAAGTCCACTGAGGGGCCGGCCCAGTGGTACAGCAGTGAAGTTCGCACGTTCTGCTTAGGCGGCCTGGGGTTCGCCAGTTTGGATTCCGGGTGCAGACATGGCAACAGTTGGCAAGCCATGCTGTGGTAGGCATCCCACATATAAAGCAGAGGAGGATGGGCATGGATGTTAGCTCAGGGCCAGTTTTCCTCAGCAAAAAGAGGAGGATTGGCGGCAGCTGTTACCTCAGGGCTAATCGTCCTCAAAAGAAAAAAAAAGTCCATTGAGCTCCCAGTCCAGTGGACTAAATAGACCCTCCCCAAGGCATGCCATTGGGAAAGTTCAGACCACTGGGGACCTTTGGGACTTAGGATTTTAGATTCCTCAAGCCAACACAGGAAGCTAGAAAACAATGAAGCAAAACCCTCAAAACTCTAAAAGAGGGGTCCAGCCTCGTGGCATAGCAGTTAAGTTCCCGTGTTCTGCTTCAGTGGCCCAGGGTTCATAGTTTCAGAATCCAGGTGTGGACCTAGCACCACTCGTTGAGCCACACTGTGGTGGCATCCAACATAAAACAGACAAGGACTGACATGGATGTTAACTCAGTGACAGTCTTCCTCAAGCAAGAAGAGGAAGATTAGCAACAGATGTTAGCTCAGGGCCAATCTCCCTCACAAAAAAACAAAAAACTCTAAAAGAAAATGATTTCCAACCAAGAATTTTATAAAGAGCCCAGCTATCGACAAAATGTGAGCACAGCATCGGAACATTTTCAGACATGTAAAATATTGAAAAATATTCCTCTCATGCATCCTTTCTTAGTAAGGATATGCCCTAACAAAACAAGGAAGCAAGACAATAAAGACTTGAGATTGAGACTCAGAAAAGAGAAGCTCCAACAAAGGGAAAGTGAAGGAAATTCTCAGAACGGTAGTAGAGATCTCTGAAGACAGCTGTGCCCCAGGCTCACGGGCCGCAGGTCTGCTCTAGCTCAGAATGACACGACTCACAAGATGAACATAACTGAGGGGCGTCATCCCCTTGCCTTCTGCTGTTAATACCTTTTACATCCAAGGAGGCAGGGATGGAATGAATACATTTTTAGTCCCTTTCCGTTGGTTCAAAGAAATAATCTATTTTTATCTTGGCATTTACTTTAGTTACATTGGTCAATAATTAGCAAAAATGTCACTTGTGATCATACACATCCTATATTTCACATGAGAAATTCAAGGCAAAGCATCATTATAGTTGTTCAAATCTTTTTTTGGATCTAGGGACATTATGAGCCAAAATTAAAAAAATAAAGTAAAAAAAAAAGATCCTTTTGAGTTGAAGATACGACATGGAAGAATGGTTTCTAATTAGGGGAAAATGAGAGATTGCCTTAAAAAGCACATGAAATTGTGGTCAAGAAAAATACACATTCACATATAATTTTGCAAACTATTTTAAGTGATCTCAGATAGATAGATTGATCCATCAATCTGTCTTTATATAGAGAAATATTTGCAGGATTCTCTATGATCCACCCATAGAACATTTAGAGGGCTACTGAAATAAGGTTATGAAATTCTGTTACCACACACACTTTTCATAATTACTTCACTTATGAAACAGGAGCTATTCAGTGTAACATCCTTCCCACGTCTTCTCTCCTCCCTCTTTTCACTGCCATTACACTAGTTTGAATCTCTCATTCCTTCTCATCAGTTCAACTACGTGAAGCCTCATGATGGATATCTTACTTCCTGACCTGGTCCGCCATGTCAACCTTCCAGGAGCAGGATCTGGCCACTGACATTCAGTCTCACCCTCAAATGCCCTCAGTGACTTTTCACTGCCGTTGGTCTCAAGGTGAGTCCAAGTATCCAAAAATGTGTGAGATGATCTCTGAGGATAAAACACTCCTTCATTTATATTCAGCCACATTCATTTCTAATTTCCATTTGTGTGTATGCTTTATAACATAGTACCTTCTTATAATTTGTAAGTAAATATTCATCTATTTGTGGTGTGGGCTTTTTTTTTTTTTTTTAACTAATGAGGTGTGCAGTCAACATAGTTTAGAAACCAGTGGTTTGTAGAAAAAAGTTCAAATTCTCTCACATTCATCAAGCCCTACCAGCTGCCTCAAATTTTCTTTTCTTTTTTTTTTTTTTGAGCAAGATTAGCCCTGAGCTAACATCTGCTGCCAATCCTCTTCTTTTTTGCTGAGGAAGACTGGCCCTGAGCTAACATCCATGCCCATCTTCCTCTACTTTATATGTGGGACGGCTACCACAGCATGGCTTGCCAAGCAGTGCCATGTCTGCACCCAGGATCCGAACCAGTGAACCCCGGGCTGCCGAAGTGGAATGTGTGCACTTAACCACTGCACCACCGGGCTGGTCCCTCAAATTTTCTTATCCAACCTCATTTCCCCTCAATCACTTTCATTCATGGTAAGTTCAGCTAAACAGGATGAGTGCTTTGCCCTGAACTTGCTTGGAATTGTCTAACATTTAGTCAGCCTTTGTTCCTGCTGTCCTCTTCACTTAGATCTCTGTCTTTCCAGTCTCTGTGTGTCCAAAATTCTAAGTCCAGTTCAGATTTCCCTTCACAAAATCTTCCTGATCCTACCCCTGCTGGAGGCAATCGATCCCTCTTAAGCATGGCCACAGCGCCCCATCTGTACCAGGACAGTGTGACTTTCTGTAATATGTCATCAAGGTTCAGGGCTGATCTCATTGTTAGGTGGCAAACTTGTTCAGGTCAGCATCTGTCACTGACACCTTTTCCTATCTCACGTTTCCTAGTTCCATGCAGAAGTAAGTGACAGAGTCAATGTAACCCAGCCAGTTATTCAAACCTGGCTCTTAAAAAGAAAATATCTGACAAACAAGCTATGTAAGCCATTAATCTCTCATAGACTATTTGAAATTTCAGAGTAAATCCTAGCTACTCTACGCATTTGCTCTTCTGGAAAAAGGCAGCTGTAAATACCTCTATTTGCTCTGCCACAGGCTGTTCAAACACATTTGCCAGCTTCTGCAGAATGATGTACTTGTTGTCCGCCAGTGAGGTAAACAGCACCTTCAGATCATTCTACGGAGGAAAGCAATAGCAAGACTTAACACGTGTAACAGGGGATTCAAAATGGTTGTAAATATAACACACATTCTTAGAAATAAGATAGAGGTGTAAGAGTTTCATATCCAGAAGAACTATGAGGAGGTAAAAGAAACTGGTAACAATTTACCTAAGTGCTAAAATCGACTTTTAAAGAATTTGTTACACAAAGCATTTCCAACACGATGTAAAGGGAGACGAAGTATATGAATAAAAAGCAATAATGCTCACTCTAATCTTCTGGTTATATCTGAAATAAACGTGCACATTTAAACACCACAGCAGAAATATTACACTAATGATTTTCTATCTAGTAAAACAACCTATAGGTGTTATCCTGATTTGGGAAAAAATATGATTAAGAATAACATGATTTCTTTTTTCCTCTCTCCCCTCCTTCCCTCTCTCCCTCACTTCCTTCTTTCTCCTATTTTCAAAGATTTTGCACAAACTTACAAAAAGCCTTCCAGAAGCTTAGAAAATAAATATCACCCACGATGACCAAAGACAGACGAAGAGACAACACAAAACGATCTTAGCTGAGCCTTCCGTTCATAAACGTTACTCATTGAAAAGTCCAAATATATTTACATTGAGTTAGGTTTTACAAAAAGAAAATAACTTCAGAATTTCAGTACTCAATGCTAAAGGGAATAATGAACTGGAACAAAATTTGAATGATAAAATTTTTAACTTTTCCCGTGGACTATCAGCCAATAAGCTCTATTTCTTATTGGTCAGCAAATGCATACGAGGGGCTGGTTGTGCGTCAGAGGCTGAAGTTTGACTCATCAAATCCACTTCACCAGGCGTGGATCATATACAAGTACATGTCACCAAGATGCACAAATTCTGACCCTCTCATGAAAAGAATAATCACACCAAGGAAGAAAAGAAAGTCTATGGGGATATGTGGAAGCACTAACACAAAATGCAAGGCCGAAAAGCAAAACAGTAGGTAGCTCATGCAGTAAAATAAAAAAAAAGAAATAGCACTGAACATGAGAATTAGAGAAAAGCATACGATCCTCAGAGGCAGTAACTGTCACTAAGCAAACCCAAACCAGTCTGTAAGCCGAGTTGAGGACCAAATAGGAAACTGTAATAACAGCGCTGGAAAAATGACGCCAGAAACAAGAGTTTTCTTTACGAGTTATGATCATGTTTGTATTATTCAACTATGTTCAGGGTGATGCCACGTGGGCCATTAGAACTACGACACATTTATCTATTGGGTTGTGTAGGAAAAGAGGGTTCCCATTCATTTGAATAGATTCAAAAAGGAATTAAGTTTCTATTATCTACATTTATTTAGAACAACATTAGTTCAGTTAATCTAAATGAATAGATAAAGATAAATAAAATAACATGGGTTAGAAATGGAGAGTGTATATATATTTCCTATACATGGTCTTTACATTTTTAATACCATATTTTCTATCTTAATTATATTCCACTCGAGGTAAGAGAAAACAGTGTTCACTTTTCTGGAAGTTGCACTAATTATTGGAAGAGACTAGTCAAGAAGATGGAAATGCAAAGAATATCACTGATTTAAAAATTATTAAATAAAAAACTTTAAGGTGCTAATACCCATATGGATGTTGATATTCTCTTAAAAATAAAAATCCAAAGGCTCTAACCATTTCTTAATACTACATTTGTGATACATCAGGATAATTAAGGTATCTATATGTTACACACATAACAGACATCATAATTTTTTTCTTATACTCACTAGAATTACCTGTAGGGCGCAAAGAGGCAGGATTCCAGCTGTTTGAGGAACAGGCCCAAGTTTCAAGTTCTAGAAATCATTTGTGCTGCCTCACTTAATAAAATCTAAATAAAGAATTCTTTCATTTTTTAAATAACTTAAAATACCTGATTATAAAAACATCCAGGAAATGTATTTGGCGTTAAGTCTACGGGAAAAATGTTTTACCTACAGCATAGTTGACATTAAATTGTTGTGAGTCCACGTAGGCGCTATACGTCTGCGTAACACCTGTGCATTCTTCCAGATTGTCTGCTGCGTATAGGGTAATGATAGTCTGGCAAAAGCTAATACGCAAAGGTTAAATGAAAAACGAAGGCACACTATTCCAATAACTATTGAGCACGGACAGCATACCAGGTGCTTGGTGCAAAGTAAAAGAAAATGGTTTGTAGACTTGACCTTTAATTATATTAACATTGGAACTCTTTCTCTCAATTAAATTGGAACACAAACATCTTGAAATGTCCGTTTTTGTTCGTGAGCTGGCCACCAACAACTAGAAACTTACTGGCAGAGGAAAACTAGAGAACATGTTTAAAGAGAATTTCATGATTGCATGTTCTCCTCTTGGTCCTCTACACAAAATGAGTTCCAGAGTATTCTCTCAGCTCATATTTTACTCTGACTGGCTATAACTACCAATAAAAATTTTAAAGCACCAAAGACACTAGCATAGTAAATACAAATTGAAAAAGGGAAATATGTCTCTGAGTGATACACATATTTCCATTTTTAACCTGCCTCATTCATAGCTGATAGACTAGAACGCTGTTAAAAGTCAGTGCATTATTTTATGCAAGATGGATTTTAGAGTAATGAAATAAGTTTCCACAAGTTGGACAACAGTCTTACTGACTTTAGACATAGTGCACATACATGTACATGCAATCAGATCTTGCATCCAAAACAAAATACCCAAATAACCAACCCTAGCTTTTCTGACTCCAATTGAGATGCTCTTTCCCGTCTATGAACTACACAACATAAAAGATACACATGCAAACATCCAGTCCAGGTCATTCCTCTAAGCCACAGATTTGCAGATCCAAATATCTACTGCGACTATTCACCTGAGTATCTTAATTCTACCCCATATTCTTGCCCAACCAATGGTACCGCCAACGACCCAGTCTTGCCCACTGTCAACGACACTGCTATCCACCAGGCTTCTGTTAAAAATGCCCCTTCGATGCTCGAGTCAGAGTCCCTAGAGTTCCTCAGCAGCCCCTCCTTTCTCTCATTCTCCATCTCCAAACCATCAACAAATGCTCTCCTGCTGAGCCTGCCCTCAAAATACATCTTGAATAGGTCAACTATTTTCCATCTCCCCTGCCATCACCTTAACAATACAAAACATAAAAATCCGCTGGTTTCAGATCGTGTATCTGTTATAATACATACTATTATTAATAGCAACAACAATAACCAAACCTGCTGAGTGCTTACTATCTTTCAGATACTGTTCAAAGTATTTTCCACATTTTATCCTCACAAAACTCTGTGAGGCATGATTTAATAGTCAAGGACACCACGGCTCAGAGAAGCAGCTAAGTACACAGCAGTAGGTGATAGAGCCAGAATCTGAACCCAGGAGGGTCAGCTTAGAGACTCTTAATTTTTGCCCTTCTGACTTTGCAAAATGAATATTACAGCAATGCTCAGCTAATAGGGATGTTGTGAAGATCAAAGACAATAGCGGACGTGGAAAATTTTTGTGAATAAAAAAGATACACAAACATTTGTGATAATTTTACTTTGTAGCTTTAAGAATTTAAACTACTGGAAGGTAGTGATAATTTGTCCCTCTAGATGAATATCTAGAAAATTCCAGGTTTCTTGGCCAATACCACATCTATTTGACATTTTACAGTATTTTTTTACAAATCAAAATTTTATGTCAAACTTTTGGCCCCAAGTACATGTATCTATGTTATAAATCTTCTGTTTGTTAAAAATAAAATTCAATTAAAACTTAAATATTCCCAAAGGGTGCTTTTTATTAGGAATGAAAACCAACACTAAAAGTTTACCAGCGACTTTTGCATTTGCTGAAGTTTAGGGTCATAAGAAAAGTTTCACAAGCACACAATTATTCAATTGGAAACAGAACTCTAGTCTGAGGCTAAAAAGCACTAAGACTGAGGAGTCAGGGTTGGGAAGTAACGCAACACATTTTTAGCACAAGTAGAAGTGATTCAGCCATAGTCACTTCAACAGCCCCTGGGTACTGAAGTCTAGGGTTCATCCTGTATGACAGCACTTCCTGCATGTCACTTTGCTCATACGTTTTAAACTGTACTATTATCACCTGGAAATTATAACATACCATAAATACCACTTTTATTGGTTGAATTTAAAGGTCTATTCAGTTCTTAGTTTGGTTGGCTGGTTTTCTCAACCCTCCATTTCTAGAAGCATAAAACTCTCAGTTTTCTAAGTCATGAGTTCAATCCCCTTGTTTTTCTGGAATGTTCTTGCTCTTCATTATACATTTGGGGAAAAAAAGTCTATATCATACCTCAATAAGACATCTTGTTTAGTACTGAACATAGCTGGAGAATGGTCAAGCATCTCTTGATAACGTCTTACCTGGAAATTGAGTATTTGCTGAAGTCTTTCCTTCATCTGATGACATCGTTGATTGACTACTGAGTCGAGCAAGGATAGCCTGCCCAAAAGACAACCCAAAGTGTCTTCAATAACATCTCGGTTGTCGCCATTCTCTGGAAATGCTTGGGAAAACAAGTTCTTGTTCTTATCCATTTCTTCAGACATTTCCTTAATATCTTTGGCAAGAGTCTAGGGTTGATGAAAGAAAAAGCACATTTCAATGTTTAGATCCATGAATCCATATACAAATCTTTTCCTCATAGAAAGTCTGCTCTCTCTTAGTGTTCAATGATAATTACAACTAAGGCAACTTGAACCACTTTCTTACATTTCTATAAACATTATGCAAATTGCTGCTGGAGAGATTGTTCTCAGAAGCTTTACATCATTACCTAGTAATAATATACATTTGGTGAAAAATGAGTTTTGCAAAGTGATATTTAGGAATTCAAACATTATTTTTTTTACTGTTTCCCATGTAGAGGATTTACAATAGACAACAGGGTTTCTACAAAGAGTCCTCCAGTTTTTCCTCCTCCTACATACAAAAGATAAAGAAGAAAAATGCAGGGGCCAGGGCCGGCCCGGTGGCACAGTGATTAAGTTTGCACATTCCGCTTCGGCAGCCCAGGGTTCACTGGTTCGGATCCCAGGTGCGGACATGGCACCGGTTGGCAATCCATGCTGTGGCAGGCGTCCCACAGAGAGGAATCACAATGACCTATAACTAGGATACACAACTATGTACTGGGGCTTTGAGGAGAAAACAACAAAAAAAGAAGACTGGCAATAGATGTTAGCTCAGGGCCAAACTTCCTCACCAAAAAATAAACAAATAAAATTTAAAAAAGAATAAAAATGCAAAACATAAATACCTTTGGGAGCTTTTTATATCTAGGCAATTCTTTTCTGAATTACGCTGCTTGGAAATACACTTAATTTGCACTTTATTAGAACTGTTTCACGTTTAACCTTCTTTATACATAACATTAATTATTCAGCATCAGATTTCAAGTGCTCTTCAATGTGACACACTCACAGACACAAGCTGCTGCCAAACTGACCTCTTGGTTGAAGAGGCAAGTTTCTGTTTCTTCTGGTAAAAGGGCTGTGGTGACAAATAAACGTTCTTCGACATCATCCAACCAAGTAGAGGTGGCTGAGACCCCATCGTATAACTTCTGTTCCAAGTGAATACTCTGCCTCTTCGTCCCTCCACCCTGGAAAACAACAGGGGACAAACAATGAATTATGGTGTTTTGAGAAATAGAAGAAAAATAGCAGGATGGGATGCCGGCCCCAGTGGCTCTTCCTTTTAGGACTGGGATCTAGCGATGGGTCTCAACACTTCGTGCCCAGGGGTGGGACAGCTTCACGACACCAAGATCCACAAGCAAACCAACAGCGCAGCCCTACCTGGGACGAAACCTCCTCGAAGGCCTGGTTCAATCCATCCAGCAAAGAGGTCACTGCAGATTTATCTTGGGTCTCCCCGTCCCCTTTGTAGAGTGGCATGCCAGACAGGAGCCGATTTGGCCTGCTGTAGAGCTGTGGGTGAACAGCAGCGGCTTATTAAGGGCACATGTAGCATGTCCAGCTTTCTCATTTAGCAGTGCATGTGGAAGCAGATGCTGGAAAGGCTGTCCTTATGAAAAACTCTTCTGGATAAATATGACCCCTACCACATACCACGCTGACTAAACATGGTGAGCAGATTCAGCAATGGCAACGTTTCCACTGATGGACTCCAAAGAAAGGTGGTGGGAAACATGCATGAAATCTTATCACAGCCTTCCTCTCAACTTGTCTTCTTGGTTTGAGCACCACCCATGATGAACTAATGCATCCTAAATACCAGATCTACCCTGGCCCCTTGGCTTTCGTCATTCACTTACCTCCTCTAAACTCTCTTAGGTATACACATCTCCCTAGTAAGGACCAAGAAATGGCCTAACATTTAAACTCTTTAATGCTTCCAGTCAAACTTCGTCTCCCATAACTTGTCAAAACACCTCATCCTCATCTTACCTTCAGGCTGATTACTCATTATCTTCTCAACATGCCAGGCTCCTTCTCCACTGTAGCTGGAACGCCCACCACCCAGCACGTCTTCAAAACTCACCAAATTCCACACCTCCCATAGTGGCTTTCCACATTTTTTACTTCTACTTCCCTTTAATTTCCCACTTATGGAGTCTACCATGATTGCTTAATTTTTCAAAACTGTATAAAATATTGCCTTGGTTGGGTTATAGGTTCCTAGGAGCAGGAGCCATATTTTATCCTGGAGCCATGTAGGCTGCTCTGTATAGGGATACTAAATACATTGGAAATGAATAGAGAAAGAAAATTGCTCTAAACAATAAATGCCTTTTGACCTAGTGAACTTTAGGCCAAAAAAATGTGCCTGTTTTTAAGCTTGAGAGGATAAGTATGTCTGGTGTACAAAACTGTCAGTAAGTAGCGTGAAAAAGGATGGACTACAGAGTTGGACAGGCCTACGTCTCAATCCCAGCTCTGCCTCTTCTTTGTCATGAGACCCTGAGAAATTCTCTCCAAGGCTACACTTACAGATCTACAAAGCAGAGAGAACGTCAACCTCACCACAGAGTTCCTAGAAAGCTTACCACCTAGAACACAAAATGGGTACATTAAATGATCATTCCTTTTCTTCTTGGAAACTCCCACAGCTAAACTGCTCCCTCCCTACCTTATCTCCCATCTCTTCACACCAAAGAGAAGAAAACAAACCAGGAGGCACTTTGTACAAATGACTGGTGATTCCTTAAAGAAAGCACTCGAATGCAAAAATGTCATAAAATAAAGAACATTCGATGCTTTCCATTTCTAATTCCAAAGGGAAGAGAGACATGAACCTGAACCTAAACTTTAACAGCCCAGATATCATGTGGGAATGTAGGTGGCCGCAGAACAAGGTTTTTCCAGTTAGCCCAGATGGAGAATACTGAGATGCCAGGGTGGCACCCGCTGAGAGAAAAAGGAGCTCTCCGACATAAGAGCAGGTAATGGATGGGATGTCCAGGAGGTCTGCAGACACTGGATGAATCACGCAGGCGCTTTAAGTTGAATGGACAATAGGTGGAATCCAGGGGATGCTCATTCAATGAATGGAGAACAGTAAGCATGAAATATTACTAGAAATGTCCTGGATTTATCTGCCTCAGGAGAGTCACAAAAGACTGTGGTCCCTGATTTAGGTCTGTAAATATCTCTCACAGTCAAAGGAATGGGGAAACACTATAACATGAAGGCAAGCTAGTGGTCAAGTCCAGGAGAGCTAGATCAGAAATCAAGACTTCAAGCTGCGGGTCTGAGGAATGTGTGATCAGCGGTGTGAAGAAGGATTAACTCAAACACAGGGAGGAGGTCCGTGCAAAACTGTAGGCCAACATCTCCCAGGGTGGAGTATGGTTCTGGGACAACCGCCTCTAGGAATGGAGTGCTCTATGTGCCCTAGGGCCAGAGCTGGTGTCTATTCCTGTGGACAGAGGCAAAGTAGGCTCCTGGCCCCAGAGGGGAGTGAGAGGGTGTGGCATGCCACGAGAGTTTGTAAAATGAGATAGAAATGGATGGCTCTGGAGGGGCTTGCGAACGGTTCCCCATAGATGAGGGGACACGTTACAACATTTAGACCATCTCCTTTCAGCTGATCCTGGCAAGAAGCTCCTCCCCTTTCTCTCCTCAGATGCACCTTACTGATATCCTTTTGCTTCCAGGTTAAGCCTCTCCCAGACCCTAAGCTAGTCCTGGCCAGAGCAACGAGAACAGCAGCCTCCTCAGAGCCACAGTAAAGGTTCTAGAATTTACTCTGATAATACTACTGTCATGGAATGGCCCAGAGGAGCATTGCTGGCCCAGGACCTGGGACTAGGTTTCGGCCTTCAAAATCCTGCCAAGCCACAGCTGGGGTGAGCATCCAAAGGGCTGCCTGGGTTCCTGCCTCACTCACTAGCTCTCTAAGAGGGCGATTCCTCTCACTCTCAGTTGTTGTCTGGCTTCTGCCTAGAGTGAACTAATAGCTGTCATCCACCTGGAGCCTTCTGTTGCTATATCCAATTCCACTGGATTTGGCTTGCTTGGCGGGACCAAGTCCAACATCACACAGTACCTACCCATCTTGGGAACCAGCCTACAGATGGGTTAGTAATCATTCTAGCTGACCACTGGCTTCCCCTTCATTTTAGATCCAACGAGCTCCCAAAATGTTTTTCATTAAGATCTTCTGAAACTATTAAATACTGGAAGTAGCAATGGAAAATAAGATAACATGACAATTACTCCCAGATTTGTGGAATTTCTTTTGCCAGAGATGTGTACATCTTTGATTTGAATCTTTAATTTTCAAAGTTGTAAAAAAGAAAAAAGGGGGGGGGCCACTTAAAATTTAATAGTTTATGCTGAGTCATCAGATATTAATCATCTCTAAGGAAAATAGGATCTAGAAATCAAATAAATTTCCACATACAAATATACAATTAAGGAAAACACGAAACAGGCTTGTCAAGAAACATACAGGATGAATAATTTATGTCATTTTGAATTGATAATAAAAGTAAACATTATTGCACAAGTTATATTCCTTTAGCATAAGCTGTGCATCTTTTATGTTAGTAATAGAGAAAAGCAAAATGTTTGGTACCACTTGCTCTTGTTCCTGTTCCAGAACATTCTGTAGTAGTTTCTGCTTGGTACTAAATTCTTGATGTAGGCTTTCCCATTTCATTCTCATCTGGTCTTCAGCAGGAGATTTCTCCCCTTCCATCCCCAAGTCCTGGGATAACACATCAGGTTTTTCGCTATTAGAAGAATAAATAATCTAAGTTTACAATGTGTGCAAAAAGGTGATAAGTTCTAGGTAACTCATTGTACCTACTAGATCTGGCTCTAAAATTGGAACTAGATTATTTTAGTCATTAGCTTACACTTTAAAAATATAAATAAAAATAGAAAATTTGACACTAACCATAAAACAAGTATATTCTTACTGATATTATAATTGAACCATGAGCACAATTAAATTAAAAATACATTGAAAATAGTTCAATATTAAAGATAAAAAAATAATTGTAACTTTTAGAATCAGAATGTGTATAATTAGATTAGTATCCTTTGACAAATACCCTACAAATTAATTCAAAAGCCCTAAAAATATGCTTAATCTATTGAGAGTTTTATGCTGAGTCCAAAGAAAATACTATAGACCAGGTTTTAGGCTCCAGACTGGGAGTACAGATCGTGAAAGTAAGGTACTGCAGTATCATCCTTAAAGACAGGCAGCAGTGTGGCATCTGAGAAAGACTACGGCTTTTGGGGTGAGACAGATCTGCTTTGATCCCTACTCCAGCGCATTAGATTTGTGACTTGGAGTAATTTGCTTCACTTCCCTGAGCCTCAATTTTCCCATCTTTAAATGAAGACAGTATTTATCTTGCAGAAGTATGAGAATTAAATTTAGAGGCAAGTAATAATCACTCAATAAATGGGGCCTAATGACAGTGGTAACGGTAACAACAAGAATCTGGGGGACCCAAGTTCCAATAGATCCTAGTTTGTCAGGAGTTTTGAAGTCCTAGCTAGAACCATGCCATCTGAAAGGCACACTAGGTTGTAATTACGATTTTGACAGAAGCTTTGTTCAAGTGGAAAAAAAATAACAATTCCATTGGCAAGATAATACTATACACTATGCCAAAGCCAATTCTTCTAAGAATAAGTTTTGAATACAACAGTTTCTTGAGGTAAGTCTGCTGATGTAAGCCTTAAATGATTATCTGTAAGGCTATGACGCAGGAATTCTACTTCTAGGATACAACCGAGAGAATTTCTCCCACCTGTGCACTTAGAGACATGTAAGAAGGTAGTTCGACAATGCCAGTCATAGCAAGAAAAAAACCGGCAACAATGTAAATGCCCAACAACAAGAAAACGGGTGAATAAGTTCTTATTTCACAACGTAAAATACTGTTAAGCAATTAAAATGAAAAGAACTAGATCTATATGTATCAACATGAATCAATCTAAAAAGGTAACGGTGAGTGAAAAAAGTGCCAAAATACAATTGATACCCTGAATTTTGTTTGAGATATTAGTCTCTGGACTTTTGCGTGTTTTTAAAAAAATCTTTTGAAATAAAAATCAAGTTTTAAAGTTCTTATGAAATTAAATTTCTTTATTGTGCTGTCTTTTGTGATGGTGGACTGTAACACATCACTTTGAATTCATTTATGTTTGCACAACAATTTAGGATAAAACCAGGGGATATTTAAAATCTATATCCTTATATTTAATCATTGACACATATAAAATGCCACCAGCTATCAGTCTTAAATTGGAACATAGCCTTTTGTTTTCCATGGAAAATATTCTTCTTTCCCTTTGATATTTATATCAATTAATTTCCTTAGTAATCTTGGAAGGACCCCTCCATCAACTCTCCTATATGTCACATGCTACTTATTCTTTATATATTAAATTTGTACCCACGAAGCAGGTCATGACCCTCCCACAGGGGTTTTCTTACATAAACCAATTCAGATTTAATAGTCTTGGAAAATCAGCTAACAAGTTAAAGCCTGAATATATAAAGGTTTTTTCTAGCGATGCTATTGTTCTGTTAAAACATATATATTTTTTCTTTTGGCTTCTGGATATTGCTTAATTTATGGTTGTTCATTCGCTTGGTATCTTTACTCAGAGATTTGAAAGGCGTGCTTGAATGGTAACTAACCAGATTTGAAGGTGACTTTTCTAAAGAATTTGTATAAAAACTAAAGAATTTATAAGCAGCGTTTAAAATCAGTTTTGTACAGAAAGCCAGTACCGCACCGCAAATCTCTCTTTAAAAAATTTTCATCTGGGTCCTTTCCAAAGCTAAAGGGCAAGGAAAGAAAAAAAGATCATGGCAAGAAAGTTGCGGAAGATTCCTCCTGATTCTTTTTGTGAACTATACACATGATGGGGAGGCAATATGTGTGACGGGTTCTCTATAAAGACAGAGTTTGGCAAAAATATTGAGAAAACTATGAAGGATGAATAAACATCTTAGAAGAACTGGAAACAGAAGAGAAACTGCAAAATGAATGCAAGTCTCGATTTGGAGTCAGCACGGAAGGCACAGTGTTTCTCACTTGGGTTTGTACAGACACACATATTTATGGCCTTATCAGCATTTTTAAGCTTCACGGACAACAGAGATTTTTAAAACCCCTTTGTATTTAATTTAACACAATTTGTGTGTGTTTGTGTGAGAAGGACTGTCACTGAGCTGGCGTCTGTGCCAATCTTCTTCTATTTTGTATGTGGGACAGAACCACAGCATGGTCTGATGAGCGGTGTGTAGGCCCACGCCTGGGATCCGAATCAGTGGACCCCAGGCGGCCAAAGCAGAGTATGAGAATTTAACCACTATGCAACCAGGCTGGCCCCAATTTTAACACAATTTTTACAGTTTTAGGGTTATTTTAATGGAATTCCTGACTATAGATGCCATAATAGTATTCATTCTTATTTTTTAATTGATATTTATTATTTGTATCGATATTTTTACTGTTTTTTGATTTGTTTTTCCTTTCTTGAATGTCTTCCTATTTCCTAGGTATTTTGTTATAATACGTGTATTGACAATTGCATTTTAGTTTGGTTTCTATCATTTTGCCCTTGAAATTCTCAAATATATACATACATATGTATATAGTGAACACTGATATCGTATATCAGTACCAGTATGTCAGCACTGACTAAACTGAAAAAAAATGAAAAAAAAATCTTCAAATCCGCCTTTCCAAAGTTAGTTTTGATAATCTACATTCTAGTCTGGTTCTTACCCACACACACATACTATACAGTCAATTTTTATTTTTATGTTTTTTTGGTGAGGAATATTGGCCCTGAGCTAATATCTGTTGCCAATCTTCCTCTGTTTTGTTTTTGTTTGTTTTTCTCTCCAAAGCCCCAGTGCATAGTCCTATATCCTAGCTGCAGGTCATTCTAGTTCTTGTATGCGGGATGCTGCCACAGGATGGCTTGATGAGCGGTGTATAGGTCTGCACCCAGGATCTGAACCAGCAAACTTCCCAGCTGCCTAAGCAGAGCGTGCAAATTTAACCACTTGGCCATGGGGCCAGCCCCTACATTCAATTTTATATCACATTTTTACTTAGTATCACAGATACATTTTCTGATACTGTTACATAACTTCTTGTTAAGATTATATATACATACTTTTTTTCTTAGGCTTTTTTATACCATTGGGCATTTCTGCCTTTTCAATTATCTGGTATTATAAATAATATTTCAAAATTATCTTTATCATATGTATTTCCTCCTTTAGTTTATTTCCTTCAAGTAAATGATCAGACATGGGAACATTCAAGGCAGTGGAGTTAAAGCTATTTGGCATATTACGTCCAAACGACACTACTACTAAATTACTACCTTTAGCAACGCATGAACACAGAGGTTTCACCGAAACTTTCTTCTTAACGTTTTAGATTTTAAAGAAAGTTTTCTTAGATAACTTCTCAGTTGACATTCACGGCCTTCACAACCCTTCTGTGATGAAGTGGGTCGGTTATTACTCTGATTCCACAGATGAGCAAACTGAGGCTCGAGCTGAGTAACTTTTCCAGGGTGACAACAGGAGAGCTGGAATAAAACCCAGCCTTGACTCAACATACAGGGATGCGTCCACTCCGCTTCAGTGCCTTTTCCTTCCTATGTTTTAAATCCAAGTCTTCAACTTGAAACATCACCTTAATTTTTTTTTTAACACTTTACTTTTCTGCGTATAAGACTTTTGGTCTCCACTCCAAACCAGGACACAAAGCTCAATGACTTTACATGTAGAAATTATAGAAATAGAACATCAAGAAAAATCCAGGGGGCCAGCCCGGCGGCGCAGCAGTTAAGGGCACACGTTCTACTTTGGCGGCCCTGGGTTAACCAGTTTGGATCCCGGGTGCAGACGTGGCACCACTTGGCACACCATGCTGTGGTAGGCGTCCCACGTATAAAGTAGAGGAAGACGGGCACAGATGTTTGCTCAGGGCCAGTTTTCCTCAGCACAAAAAAGAGGAGGATTGGCAGCAGATGTTAGCTCAGGGCTAATCTTCCTCAAAAAAAAAAAATCAAGATATTCAGTAGGCACTTACATTTATTTTTCAGAATGATGTTAGAGGAAGATAAGTTCTTATAGGGAAAATGTTTTGTAGTTATATATGATCACTCAGTTAGAAACAACAAGGATCTAATTTTATAATGTATTTCTTATTTGATTTTAAAAAATGAACTCAAGAGCATCTTCTCTGTACAGATATGCTGACCAGCCTGGAAACAGGGCAGGCAAGTTAGCCATTGTAATTACTAGCTATACTCATGCTGCGCTATGAGATGTTCAAAATGCAAGGAAATTTAGCATCTTAAAGGAAAAACAATGATTAAATTTTTGCAGAAGACATTTAAAATAATTTTTCTTTTTTGACGAAGATTAGCTCTGAGCTAACATCTGCCACCAATCCTCCTCTTTCTGCTGAGGAAGTCTGGCCCTGAGCTAACATCTGTGCCCATCTTCCTCTACTTTATATGTGGGACGCCTGCCACAGCATGGCTTGATGAGCAGTGCACAGGTCTGCACCCAGGATCCAAACCAGCGAACCCCAGGCCACCAAAGTGGAACATGCAAACTTAACTGCTATGCCACCGGGCCAGCCCCTAAAATAAAATTTTGAGTGAGATATTTACATTTCCTCAAATGTCAGGAAGGCACAGTGACAAGAAGAGAAAAAGTGTTTCGAAACATACCCAACACCACCAGAGGTCTCCGCTGCTGAATGCTGGGTCAGAATTTCCTCCCCGCGACTGGCCACCGACCGGAGGAGAGTCTTCTGCTCTGCTAATTCTTGTTCCAACTCCTGCTCAACGAAAAGGACAAATGAAAACAGCTTTGTTACTCTGTGATTCTTGTCTACAATCGTGGTTCTATGTCTAGAAAATTAAAGAACTTTTGTATTCAGTTTTAAAGTTTGCACATTGCATAAAAGGTGTGTTTTAGGTAAATGCTCGAATATTACTCTAAAGTACTCAATAACTTTCTCTGGAGTTGACAAAAGAAATCTCTGAAAAATCTTGGAAAAACCAAGGGGAAAGGAAATTTTGCTGAGCAACGGTGCCCTCTACTGGTAGAAAATGCACTTTCACTTTGCAAAATCAACATTGCCTTGTTCTAGCCGCGAGAGATCCCTGAGAGGAACAGCTCTCTTTAATTCCCCTCTTACTCAATAAATGGGATTATCAATGGATTCGGCTTTCCTTTTCCATTATTTATGATAAATGTTTTTACTCTTTAAGAAAATAAAACATTTTAATATGTCCTATACATAATGTTAAGGTATCAATGAGAAATCATTCTTATTCAAAGCTCATTTGTTTCGCTAGACAAAGATATGCAATCCTGTTTTGTGATGGTACCCACGTGCAAGTGGAAAATAAATCAAATTTCTTTCAAAAACATGTATTTCAGGCTTTTACCAACTCTCAGAGGCCTTCCTGAGGTTTTTATTATATAAAACAGACTCAAATTGGGACAAACTGAAAATAGAGTAGATATCCTTGATAAGGCAGATTATAATTGAGTTGCACCATATATAAACCTAAACGCAAGCTTTTCTTAAAGACTAGACTTTAAAATGACCGATCATTCCAGCGATCACAAGTTAGTACATTGGAACAGCTAGCCGGGTCTTGTTTCTGTCCGAAGAGAAGATAAAGGGGCATCTCTGCCTTTAGTACAGAAGCAACTTATCCTTCTACAAAACTGCCCTCAAGGTGTTTGCTTGGTAGATCTGCAGGTCAGAGGGAGGTAGGAAATCCTTTACTTTTTGTTGCTGGAGGCTGCTCTGTCGCTGGTGGGTCCACGCGGTGCGAGCTTGGGCCAGCCATTCCTGGACACTGGGGCTCTGAGCAGCAGTCAAGTCAGCATCGCCTTCCTCCTTCTCTTGTGCTGTTCCCTGCTTTTAACAAAGTAGAAATCAAGAGCCATCCTACCCACAGGAAAACCTTAACCCAAATGAAGTGACAACTCCTTTAGTGTGGTCTGGATAATGGTACCAAAATGGCTCCATTTGGACGTGAAATCACTCACATTAAAAAAAAAAAAAAAGTAACACAAAACCCATAAATTTATGGCATTTGCAAGAGGGAGAATCACAAATAGATGATTATACTTAGAAATATTTGAGGGGAAAAACTATTTAGAGGCTAGGCTTTTTAGCTGACTGATGTGGTCACCAGATATTATTCTAGAATTTTTTCCACAAGACTATAACTCTGGTTCTCACTTCCTCTACTATCAACACAAGGACCAGACCCCACTGCCATGTGCTGCCACTGCTGGCCTTGATGAAGTTTGGCTAAAGGAAAAAGACAAAAGTAATTACTTATTGCCCAGGCAGGAGTTTATCCTTCCTGCTTGATTATTCTGATGGAATGGGAAAGGCCCTAAAATACTGAATACCAGAATGGAATCAGTTCTGAAGGAGAGCCCTTCTATTCACACATAGGTGTACGCCAAAGGATAAATTACACAATTTTTTTTTTTTTGAGGAAGATCAGCCCTAAGCTAACATCCGCCGCCAATCCTCCTTCTTTTGCTGAGGAAGACTGGCCCTAACATCCGTGCCCATCTTCCTCTACTTTATATGTGGGATGCCTACCACAGCAAGGCTTGCCAAGCAGTGCCATGTCCACACCTGGGATCCGAGCTGGTGAACCCCAGACTGCCGAAGTGGAATGTGCGCACTTAACCACGGCACCACTGGGCTGGCCCCACAAATTACACAATTTTAATATGACTCATTCACTCATGGGGTTGGGGGGATGGTGGTGAGTTATATTCTGCCAACAAAAAGCCACACAAGGGCTCTGCTGGGGAGACAGATAATAGACAAGATAAGACGGATAGTCTAAAAGCAACAAAGAACGTGAAACTAGAGAATGGATCAGAAGCCTGGTGAAGAAGGCATCTCCAGAGGAGACAAGTGTGCCGAGCACCGAAGGATGAGACACGGCCAGCCTGGCAAAGATCCAGGGGGAGGGCCTAGGGAATAGCCTGAGCAAAGCCCAGAAGGGGGAAGAAACTGGCATCTCAGAGAGAGCAAGTGCAGTGAAGGGGCCCATGTGGCTGGAGCACGGGGGGCAGGTGGGGGCGGGTACTGGGCACGTTGCTTCCGCAGAGGAGTCATCCTGCCGTCTAGTTCTGGGGCTGTAGCTCCTCTGTGCTTTGGTCCTGCTTTGCTGTATCCGATGATGGAATGGGACCCCGCTACTCCAGCTCATCGGGCCTGACTGCCACAAAGACCCTTCTCTTTCTCTTCTTTTCAGAATTTTACACTATTACAGGGAAATAGATGGAGTCTGTTTACCCTCCTGTCTTAACTCCTTAGAATCTCATGATGACGTTGGAAAATGTCTGAGATAATGCACTTTGCAAGGCTGGTATCAGTGCTTGAAGTGAAGTGAACTGAGGGAAACAGTGAAAGCTACAGGCGATCATGGAGATAGTCCTCTCCCACACTGAGCCACCTTAGCTTGTGGGGACTTCCTTTCCTTTAAGATGATGCCGCTTTCCAGCAAGAGGATGTGGTTTAGGTAAAACAACGGGGGTACCATTGGTATAAAATACGTGATTTGCATTTTGTAGGACCTTCAGAATGGGTGAAAGTGACGCCCAGTTCAGCATATTCCCCACCCCCCCAGGAACGCCTCTCACAAACAAGCAGCGGATTTTCAAGAAGGTGGAAGGTGCGGGGCGGGGGCGCTCTTCCAGGACTGAAGCCCTCACATTTCTGCATGGAACAGTCTCTCCCATCTGAGAATGCACATCTACCCAGAATAAGTTCTGGAAGATCCTGGCTCTTCCAGCAAGGATGAAACAGCAGGTCAAAAGGGACCTGTAGAGAATGACCCCAAAGAAGTCAGTTGAAAGATGTTCTCAAGCAGAGCTGCTCCAGCTTACAAAACACGACCAAGCGGCATGGCCATGACCTGCTGACTCTCTTTGGTGGGATCCAGTCACCTCCTGCCCACTTTGCTCTTCAGCAAAGGCTTGTTCTCTGAGCCCAGGCTGAAGCCTCGTGTGGTAACTTCTCAATGCACCACCTCACCCTTCGACGCCGGTTAGCACTGCCTGTTTGAGAGCTTTTCTTTCAAATTCCTGACACCAAATCAGTGCTGGAAAAATGACAACTGAAACCTCAGGTCTCGAGAACAGCTTAACCACTTTTACATGCACGAACACACATATTCAGATTCTAAGACTTAAGAGCTAAGAAGGGGAGTCATACTTGACTAATCGGATCCACAGCTTTAGAGGAAAAAAAATTTAAGCAGCATCAAAAGCAGAGGCCAAGTACGTATTTTCTATGTGGTTGGGTTAGGTTTTTCAGTAAGTGAATTTTTCTCTGACCGATTTAGTCACTTTGAAACATAAGACTTGGACCACGGAAAGCAAAAAATGATTAAGAATCCAGTTCAAATTTCACTCCCTCGCCCCTTGAGATGAGAAGGCACTGACAGAAGCAATAAAATAATGGTAATTACGTTCTCTGAGGTCTGATAACAGTTTTCTCTCCCACCTAGGGAATAGGAAGTAAGGGGCTTCTGCACCCAGACTCCCCCTTGGGTGGGGCCACATAAGCTGTTTATTTTGGAAATACTGGAAGAGCAACCACTTTGCCAGGAACATTCCTTGGAAGATTAGTGAGGATTGGGGAATGCTAAACTTTAAATAAAACACTTCTTTATAAAGCATTTCATTATTGATGCAGGGCAAACTCTTGGCTCCTCTGGTGGATGATAATGTGTGAAAATGACCTAAATTTCTTCCAAGAAAGATACCGTGTAATTCAAGAGAGAATATTACGGTAAGTCTGTGTCCCTTCACGTAGAGAAGGAATCTATTTGTGGGGGAAACTGAAGGGATTGGTTATTCTTTGGTACGCACAGAAGTCCAACTAGTTAAAAAGAATGGCTGTAACAGATAAGACAGTTTTATAGATAAGCAAAACTGAGAAACGGTGTGTTTATGGGCACACAAGGCTGAGGAAGGTATTCCAGTCCTGAATCACGCAACCCCCCCCACAGACGGCCAAAACCTCACTGACATCTATGCTCAGTGGAAGATTTTTTTTTTCCCCCTTTAGCGTTAGTTAATTTCAGACCAATTCCGAATTTTCTACACAAAGGGAAATGATCATTTTCATGGCAATAATATGTACACAGGGATCCTTTTATTCCTACAGTTGGAAAAATAATCTCTTTTAAAAGCTCTAATTATAAAAAAATCCATCAAGTTTTTCAATCTTATATGCTGGAAACTCATTAGACAAAATATGTTGGAATCTATAGATGTCTTAAAAATGAGCAACGATTTGGGGCCAGCCCGGTGATGCACCGGTTAAGTGGGCAGGTTCCGCTTAGGGGCCCGGGGTTCGCCAGTTTAGATCCCCCGTGTGGACACGGCACCGCTTGGCAAGCCACGCCGTGGCAGGCCTCCCACATACAAAGCGGAGGAAGATGGGAATGGATGTTAGCTAAGGGCTAATCTTCCTCAAAAAAAAATAAAATAAATAAGCAATGATCAATTTCAACACAGCAAAACACTACCACTCATATGTACATTTCATACGACAGAACCCTCAGGAAAGCTTACACCTGTGGGCGGAGTCAGGACTTTTCTCAAGCTGAAGAATCCCTGTGGCCTGGGGCAGGATCTGCCACATGTGGACACCACAGCCGCTGTCAGCGAGCTCAGCTGGCCCTGACCAGACTGAAACCTTGCCTTCCAGCATGTCAGGAGTTGCTATCCTCCCGAAGAATGTGGCTTGCAAACAGTTGGTTGTTGTTATTAATTACTATAAACACTGCAATTTGAGCACTTACTGTGAGCATTACTTGCATTAAAAACTTTAGGATTTTTTTAAAGTGAAATACTATTATTTCCCCTGCTTTAGAGATGAGAAAACTGATCTGTAAGAAAGGCTGAAGGAAGCTCAAGGATCTTGCTCCAGGTCAATAATGGGTGGGACCAGGATGGGGAGACTGAACAGCATTTCTAAAGTGACGGTCCAAGAACCACGGCTGGTTTCTGGACAGGCCTTGTCTGCCACACAAATTATTTCAAAATTTTAGAATGAAATGTCAATGTTTTAAAATTGGGAGATTTTAGGGGCCAGCCTGGTGGTGCAGCGGTTAACTTCATGCACTCCGCTTCAGCAGCCCGGGGTTCGCAGGTTCAGATCCCGGATGCAGACCTATGCACAGCTCATCAAGCCATGCTGTGGCAGTGTCCCACATATAAAGTAGAGGAATATGGGCACAGGTGTTAGCTCTGGGCCAATCTTCTTCAAAAAAACTTTTTAAAATAAGATAAAATAAAATAAAATAGGGACATTTTAGATATAAATCCCAATTTCCTTTCTCTGGAGGACCTAGCAATGCTGCCTATAGATTCTCGTGTGATAGCAGCTGGAACTGAGTACCAGCTCACCAAGGTCCTGACTAGGCCTGCTTCACTCACTTATATCCCTTCCCAGGCCCTGAGGCCTTGGAATGTGTGTCCCTACCCCTGTTTAATGCCCACTTGTGCTCCATCCCTCCCCACCTGCCTCCAGGGTTAGGACACAATTGGAATTTTATAAATGAAAGCTCTCCCACATAGGGAACCTTGAAGTCTCTCCCTTTGTTTTGGTTTCTTTTGGGATTAAGTTCATTCACATACCACCATTGGAGGGGGGGAAAATGCACAATGCCTTAGATTGATAGTAGCTTTTATAAAACTAAGTGAAATGATGTATACTTTTACAGTTACAAAATCCTTCTAGTTTTGTTCAATTTTAATACCGTGAGCATTTTTCTTTTGTTTTAATTTGCAAAGTAAGACTGTCTGTGCAGTTTAAAGTACGTAAATTTAAAGTGAAAAGTTGTACTTTGTCTTTATTTGCATTTATTTCTCCAATGGTGAAATCAAATATCTTTTCATATACTTCTTAATTTCTTTGATTTCTTTCTTTATATCTTTTGTCCATATTTCTATTAGGTGACCTTTTCTTATTGATTTAAAAAAGATTTGTGGAAATTAAGAGAATTAATTCTTTATCATGTGAATTGCGGTTTCTTCCCTATTTCTCCATGCCCTCTGATTTGGTTAATATTTTTTTGGTTATACAGAACTTTTTCATTTTTGTGTAGTTTTGAAAAAACTAAAATTCTGGGTTTTGGGCATAGTGGCACAGGTCCTCTCTACCCTAAGATTTTGTTTTGTTTTGTTTTTTGCTTTCTTAAGCTTGGCACTTCAGCTAACATCTGTTGCCAGTCTTTTTTCGTTTTCTTCCTTCTTCTTCTCCCCAAAGCCCCCCAGCACACAGTTATAGATTATAGTTGTGAGTGACTCTCGTTGTGCTATGTGGGATGCCACCTCAGCATGGCCTGATGAGTGGTGCCATGTCTGCACCGAGGATCCAAACCAGCGAAACCCTGGGCTGCCAAAGCTGAGTGTGTGAGCTTAACCACTCAGCCATGGGGCCAGCCCTCTAAGATTTTTTTTAAATACCTATACAACCAGAACTTTTCAGGTTTAATTTTTACATTTAAATCCTCATTTTTTGGTGAGGAAGATTCACTCTGAGCTAACATCTGTTGCCAATCTTCCTCGTTTTTGCTTGAGGAAGGTTAGTGCTGAGCTGACATCTGTGCTAATCTTCCTCTATTTTGTATGTGGCATGCTGCCACAGCATGGCCTGACGAATGGTGTAGGGCCACGCCTTGGATCCAAACTTGCAAACCTGGGCCACCGAAACGGAGAGCACCAGATTTAACCACTACCCCACCAGGCCGGCCCCTACAATTAAATCATTGATCCATCTGTGCTGCCTTTGTTTTCTGCAAAGAATGACATAGGAATTCCAGTTTATCATATTTTAATTGGTTCTCCTCTTATTTTATTATTACTTACGCAGTGAGTTATATTTCATCCACCAATTTGAAATGCCACCAACAGCTACCAAATTCTCTTATATACTGGGGACTCTTTCTGGGATCTCTATTCTGTTTAATTTTTTGTTCATTCATTTATTGTGCCAATAGCAAACTAGTCTAATTATTGTAATATTGTATTTTAATATATGATAAGACTAGCCCCTGATAACTCTTCATTTTCAGAATTTTATGATTATTTTCACATTCATTTTATTCCAGGTAAACCTGTTATCATTTTGTCACATACCAAAAGTATACAGTTACTCTTTTAGTTGAGAATAACTTAAACTTATACGTTAGTAGAGGAAGAATTTGATGTCTTTAAAATGTTGTATTTCTATCTAAGAATGAAGTCTCTCTCTCCATTCTTCCACATTCAACAGCCGTTGTCGAGGTCACGAAAGACCTACACATCACTAAACCCAGTGGTTTGTTCCCAAGCCTCATTTCACCTCCTTTATCCCCAAGTGGCTTCCAGGAACCAAAATCTCAGCCTTTCTCCCACCTCTCTAGTTTCCCCTTTTCACCCTCCTTGGTGGGCTCCTCCACATCTTGCAAACTCTCAACACTGCAGTGTCCCAGGGCTTGGTTCCAGGACCTTGGTCTTTATCTCTCCTCCCTCCTTTGGTTATCTCATTAAGTCTCATGCCTTTAAGAACCATCTAGAGGCTGATGACTCCAGTCTAGGTGTCTCCCCTGAATTTCCAATTACTTGACATTTAACAGGCATCTCACACTTAACCTGTTCAAAATTAAACTACTGACCTAACTACTCTTTCTCCCCTCAGATCTGTTCCTCAGATAGTTTTCAACTTCTCCATTACCCAGAATCTGAGAAGTTCTCCCCTCTTCTACCTCTAGAGTAGGGCTCCTCACTGGTGTCTCAGCTTCCACCCTGGTCCCCTAGAGAGGTTAAAATCTGACCTTGTCATTCCTCTTTTCCCAAATACTCCAGCAGCTTCTCCTTTCTCCCAGAGTAAAACTCCAAGGCCATAAGATGCCTACAAGGTCCTTTGCACCCTGGTTCCCCTGTTACCTGTCTGGCCTCATCTGCCACCACTCTCCTCTTGCTCACTCCACTCCAGCCACACTGATGTCCTTGAACGGACCAGGGACGATCCCACCGGGAGCCTCTGTGCTTGCTTTCCCCTTTGCCTGGAACTCTCCTCCTTCACGCAACCTTCCTTCAAGCGTAACCCAAGGGAGACTGCCTTGGCCACCCTGTTTAAAATTGCAAATAATCCACCCAGCCCTGCCTTTCTCTACCTACCTGCCTTATGGCATTTCACCTAGAGCTCTTACCATCTTCTAACCTAGTATATAAGAACGTGTTTCCATTTTATTTATTATCTGTCTCCCCCAACACTAATCCTTTGAAGATAGGAATATATAGACATAGATATACAGGTACAGATAGATAGTTTTTTTCCCATGCTCCTTCACTCTACCACATGGAATAGCAGTGGGCACAGAGCAGTTTCTCAATAAACAGTCACTTAATTATTATTTAGGATGATAATAGTAATATCTAATTTGTAAAGATTAAAAATGAGCAAAATTAAAACACTAAACAATAACAGTATGAAAAGTGCATGGGAAGAAATCTGAGTGAAAGTGTGCTAAGGTTCTTAAACTGATCTGGAGAGAGATTAAGATATAAATGTAGAGTATATTAGGTATGCATGGTAAAAAAAAAAACAAAGGAAAGAATTCAGCCACTTAAAAACAAAGGCTAAAAAGGAAAAGGAAGACTAGAAAGAGCAGGACAAAAATAGAAAACAAAAAATAAGATAATAAAAGTCCAAACACATCAGTAATCACAATAAATTTAAACGGACTAAACTTGCCCTTTAAAAGTCAGAGATTTTCTGATTAGATAAATGTTTAGAACCAAAAAAATATAGTTAAATGTTCTTTATAAGAAGCACATCTAAAACATCAGGACACAGAAAGGGTGAAATCAAAGGAAAGCTAAATGATATACCAGGCAAATGTTACTCCAAAAAAGCTTTAGTAATATAAAACGAATATTAGGGAACATTAAGGTCATTACACGATAATAAAAGGTTCAATTCACCTGGAATATATGATAAGTCTAAAGTTGTGGGCACTAAACAAAAAAGTCTGACTATATCTGAGAAGTAGAATGTAGGAGAAATAAAAGAAAAATGTAAAAATGTTATAGGATATCTTAATCTATGACCCACATTTAAATATTTTTTAAAACAGTGTATTTGCTAGATTTTGCTATTTATTTGCATTTTCTTTTCTTTTCCTATCCTGCAATCTTCAGGTCTATGGATTCAAACACAGTTGTGTGTCACTTAATGATGGGGATACATTCTGAGAAAGGCATCATTAGGTAATTTCACTGTGTGCGAACATCAAAGAGTGTATTTTCACAAAACTAGATGGTAGAGCCTACTACGCACCTAGGCTGTATGGTACTAATTTACAGGACCACCGTCATGTCTGTGGTCATCACTGACCAAAATGTCAGTCATGACTGTAGTCCTTACAAAATCTGTTTGAAAGTCTATGCCATAGTTTATATAAAGCAGGTTTACATGTGAGTATGTATCATTCCCCAACTTTTCCTTTAAATGTCACAGTCTCAGAAGAAGCAGACCAGCAACGCACAAACATTCAGCAGCCTTTGCAGCATTGCATTGCTGCCAGTGGCTGGAGCCCTCACCTGGATGTTGAGCTGCTTGTCATGCAGCGCTCTCTGCAGCTCCAGAAGGCTCCCCTTGAGGGTTCTCAGCTTCACAGCCAGCTGCTCAGCCTCATCCTTCGTGTGAGCCTTGCCCTCCAACATCAGGTTTTCATTATGGACGGAGAGCTCCGATAAGGCTACCACCTTCTGCTCGATTTCCACCAGCATGTTCTGGAACCACAGAAACAAGAATGAAATTCACACACCCTGCCAACCTCTGCAAAGACTGTTTCTCACAGAGAAACACAATACTTTCTTAGTCTTTCACCAAAAGAACATGCCTTCACGTTTTTTTCCTAGTTTTCCCACAGCCTTGAAGAGCAGTATACAGATCTTTTGCAATTCCCTGAGCTTAATTTTTCTTTTTTAAGATTAGATATTACATAATGAAAAATATATTGGAAAAACCCATGGAAAGCACATTTTATATAGCCAACAGATAAGGAGGAAAAAAAAAAAAACCACGCCTTAGTGTTATCCCATTATTATCTTCTAATTTTAGTGTTATATTGTGATGTTTATGGCTAACAGTAGTAAAGACATCACATGATCCATCCTTTTTTTGTCAATTTAAAGAGAATTCTCTCTTCTAAAACATTACTTCTTTGGACTGATTTCTTTTTTCCAGATTGTTGCTCTTATTTCTTGATTTTTATTTTTTTGTTTTTTATATAACGTAATTTTAACCTCACATTTCTGAAACTTTTTCTAAAGATTTTACTTTCACTTTCTGTGAAAACTGTCTAATGCTGCAAGGTTTTCCTCAAAATGGAGGCTAAATCCAGAGAAGCAAAAGTTGCCACTCTTTCAAGGAAAGATTTAAATCAAACAAACAAATAAACCACCACCAACAACAAAATCAGGCAAAACAAATAACACCCATTTTATTCTACAGAAATTGTTCTGTTTTCACATTTAACTCTGAACTCTCTGAAAGGCACTTTCTAATTTATATTCAATCAAGTAATTATTAATGAGAAAAGGTATTTTATTTCCCAGTACAAAGCCAGAATGACTGCCATCAACTTTTAAGAATATAAGTTTGAACCAAAAAACTAGAACTAAATGGAAGAGTGAAATTTTTAATGAAATAAGGCTTAAAAGGTGATTTCCAGAGGATTATTTTTGAGAAACTCATAGAATTCTGTGCAGGATTGACTTTTCCATTAGGCACAATTGGCATGGTGCTGAGGGCCCATAATTTTTTCAGGACCCTAGAAAATGTCTTAATTCTAATTTTCCTTTTTTTTTAGTCAGAAGAAAAAAATGAATATAATATAAATTCACCCTGGATTATATTAGGTTTTGTACCAAAGCAATTGTAAAATAAAAATATAATTTTTAGTATTTTTATAGAGGAAGGGGTCCATGGAAGCCAAATGCCCAGGACCTCCAAAGTCATAATGTGGCCCTACTTCTGTGTCACAGCTACAGTCACAATTATACAAGTGGCTTAAATACTATATTCGAATTGACTGAGGAACTGTTGTGTACTTGTGTGACTCCATAAGCTTCCGGTTTCTAAAAATATTGTCAAAATACCATTTTAATACTTTGTAAAAGTTCTGAAATATGTTATCTGAATTACGGACTTTACGCATGACTATAAAAATAGAGACATCCAAAAGGGAGAGGTGGGTGTAATGATAAAACATAAGTTGGAAATGCTAGTGCATGTGGTAATTTCAAGTGCTAGAAGGGAATGCTAAAAATAGATGTCTCTTTTCAGAAAAGAAACTTTAGAAAAGATGAAATAAAGAATAGAAAACACTCGCACATAGCTCTTTATTCTCTACCATCAAGGCAGAGAATAATAATGCTTTGAATACACATAGGTCAGTTGCCCAAAGAATTTAACAATCTAAATTATAGTGATCAATATTACAACCAATCTCAAATCATAAAAAGAATGACCAAAATGGCATTTTACATATTAAGAAAAAAGTTAGTGTTCATTAATTAATGGTTTTGGTATATTTCCTATGATTCTAAATGGGAGAAATATGAAGTTGTGCATATTGATATCTAACCTTGCAGATTAGGTAGGGTTTTCTGGAGGCTTCCTAGTTAGCTAAATGAAAGAGCTGGTAAGACACACTTCAGCCACATGTAAAATCAAATATGTTGATAATCACTGAAATTTGATGATTGGTACATGGGAGTTCATTGTCTAGTCTCTATACTTACATGTGTGTTGGAAATTTTCTATAATAAAGAGGTAAGGAAATAATATTGTAATAAAAAGCTTAAGGCCATTACCCCTTACATTAATTAATTCCTAGAGACCTCACATCAGAGGAAGAAATTCTCTACTCCAGTCTGTCTGCCTATAACTGACAGTTTTTCCAAGTTTTCCAAATAATATATCAGAATTAGAACCCAAATTACAGGAGATCATCTGGGCACCTGGCTGGGTTTATCCACAGGCTGTTCTACCAGTACTAATTCTTCCCATGGGGTTTCTATTCCTCGTGGGCCACCAAATATAGATACCGTAAGTGTTTTGGTGTCTAGTCTTTAAAAACTATCCTTCAGGAAGCTGAAGATTTTCTAAAGAGTAGATACTATCAGTAAAATCTCTCAAAAAGACTAACTCTAAGTTTGGATTTCATTTAAGCTTTTATAAGGTATTGTTTTTCTACTCTCTAAATATATAAAGCATATGGGATGTGAAAAATCATATATCCAAACCAACCCTTTTTACCATTATATTTTCTATCGTTAAAAAATGTGCTTTGGGGGCCAGCCTGCTGGTGCAGCAAAGTTCCCACGTTCCACTTTGGCAGCCCGCGGTTTGCCCATTGGATCCCGGGTGTGGACATGGCACCACTTGGCAAGCCATGCTGTGGTAGGCGTCCCACATATAAAGTGGAGGAAGATGGGCACAGATGTTAGCTCAGGGCCAGTCTTCCTCAGCAAAAAGAGGAGGATTGCTGGCAGATGTTAGCTCAGGGCTAATCTTCCTCACACACACACAAAATGTGCTTTGTAACTTTGGCATATTCCTTTAGACCATCTTTTTACCTGGCAGTCCACCAGCTGGGCCTCCATGTCCATGGGCTCCTTGGGCGTACCCAGTGCAATGTCCAGGGTGGCCTTAGTGCTCAAGAGCCAGTGGTCCAGCTCGTCAGCTTCACAACGATACCTCTGCAGGGCCTGTTCCTGTCTCTGTTCCTCCAGCTGATCATTTAACTTCTCCTAATGAATTAAGTAGAACATAACACAGATCACCCCAAGGTGAAATAATCAGGATTCAACACATAAAGCAATAGTCCTCAGCCCTGGCTACACATTGGAATCACCTGTGGAACTTTAAAACAATACCTATGCTTAGGCCACATCCCAGAGCAGTAAATCAGAATTTCTGGAGGTGAGTCTCAAGATTAGTATTTTTTAAAAGCTCCTTCAGTGATTTTAAATGCACCTAGAGTTTAAGTATTCTTAAATAATATACCTACAGGACCAGGAAGGTAATGTGAATGATGGAAATTGATCAAGTTTTAGAAAAAAATAATGGCATACAACAGTTAGTAAATGACGAGAAACTTGATCTCAATGACTGGGAAACTGTAGGGAGTGGTAGGGACCGTGGAAACCTGAAGATCCCATGATCCATCTAAGGGGCAGCACCATGCAGTTTCAGGCAATGGACCCCCCCCCCCCAGGAAGGGGGGGCCCAGTGTGACCAGTTTCTTGAGTGAAGGCAGAAATTCAAATTTTTTAGTTAGATCTCTGGGTTTTGTCAATGATAGCACATAATTGATATTAAAAAAATCCAGCCAATCACTTCATTTTGAAATTCTACAAGGGTTTCATAGAGTGATTAGGGACCATATTACTGCATTAAAAAGTTAATTCTGAAGATAAGGTACTCTAAATACCTTATTTAAAAAAATTTTCTTAATAATTTATTATTGTTATTTTTAAATCGAAATTGTTATTAAATAGTTTAGAGATTAACTAGAGCAGACACACTGATTTTAAATTTCTCTAAAACAAGAAATATATGAATATATGACTTGAATAATCTAATAGGTACAACTAGAAAGAACCCACACATCCAACAATAGTCTTGATTAATTCAATTATGGTATAATCAACAGCTAAATAAAATCTCATTAAGTTCATATAATAAGAAATGTAATGAGAACTGATTATGTGCCAGAGAAGCTGCTAGACAGACGCTCTAAAGGTCTTGACAGGGTCTCCAGACTAACCAAATTACGGGAGCAACAATATGGACATCATACATGTTTAGGGCCAGGAATACGAAGACAACAACAACAAAAGGAAAACAGCTTATTTTTACCACATATGTTGTTACCAAAATCTCTCTATTAAATAATATTACAGTTAAGTAACATGAAAACCAGAATCGCAAGAGTATTTCCATGAATTAACCTACTTGCGTTGGCTACCACTGACTAAGGATTCATTCTTCACAGTATTAGGACCACTATTCATAAAAGGCTCTTATTCAAACATAGCAAACCATTATGCAAACCTAAAACTATTCTTCACAAGGCTCTTGTCTACCAAGTATTTGCTTTCCACATTCTCAATTTTTCACGCTGAAATGAGTCAGAAAGGGGTGAAAAGACACATTCACGGCTACACACTGACTCAGTGCTCTATTCACATGACCCTCCTGGAGACACAACACCAGCTTCTTATGAGTGGGAAACAATAAGAACGCAGATCATGTAAGTAACCCGCATACTCGTCAACACAACCTTAAGAGTGAATTTGGACGGGAGGGGCACCTTCAGAGTTACTTGCTACCTCCAAAAGCTGTCGCTTCCCTGATGCTTTCATCTTGATGGTGGACATGCGCTCCGCTAAGACGGTGAGTGTGGACTGCAAGGCCAGCTGTTCCGCAGGGTCACACTCCGGGGATGCGGACACCAGCTCCTCTGCGAGCGACGACTGGAGCTCAGTGATTTCCTCTTGAAGCATGAGAATCTCATCCATCAAGGCCTGTGGGAAAGACTGTGGCATCACACTCATGTACGCACTTTTTTGGACTGAGGATCCTGTCACCAGCCTAGTTTCATACCGACTGAGACTGGAGAAGATATTTCACTTCGAAGTCCGTTAGCCAGCAAACGGGAGGTCTACGAACCTACGTTTCATAATGAAAGTACCAGACTGAACGTCAGGAAACTTCTGACTTTAAACCCATTTGTGTCGCCAACTTAACTGAATTTGAGCACGTTAATTAATCTTTCTGGTTGTCAACAGGCTCATCTGTAATCTGAACGGGGTGTGTTCCTTTATGCCGGAGTCTACAATTCTACGTTGAAAATAAAATTTCATCACTCTCTTCCTCAACATGATTTTTCCCACTGCACATTTCCCCAAGTCTGAGACAGCGCGGCATTTTAATCCAAAACTCACATTATAGAAGACAAGAAAGATCTGTGGCCTGTTTCTCTGTGGTCACCCTCTCCTCCTTTTTCTCCTTCTCTTCCCAACTCTAAAACTGGAAGTTTCTCAGGGCTAATTTGCAGGCCCTCTTTTCTCTCTTCACAGTCTATCCAAGGTGATGTCATCCATCCCCAAGGCTTTAAATGCTTTCTAAAGCTGAACATGTCCAAAGGCTTATACCCCTAACCCGCGCACGGTCCTAAGTTCCAGGCTTCTATATTCAACTTACCTATTTCTTGGGCATCTCCATCTCATTATGTACAAAGCCTGCTTCCTCCTGTGTCTTTCTCCTCTCAGTAAAGGGAACACCCATCTCTTTATGCTTGAGCTCCAGATTTATGAGTCATTATTTACACCTTCTCCCTTTCATTCACCAAATCCAATCCAACACCAAATCCAATTACTTTTACCTCCAAAATATATCTTGTATACGCCCTCTGCCACCCCCAAGTCAGAGCCAACTCTCTCATCTGAATTGTTCTAATGGTCGAATGGCTGGCCCACCTGCTTACACTCTTATCTTTCCAGTTCACTCTTCGCCAGCTTTTAAAAAGGTAAATCAGATCCTCTCACTCCCCTGCTTTAAAATACTTAGTGGCTTATTGTCTGTTTCCGGCCTCAGGGCCTTTATACATGCTGTTCCACGAGCTCTTCTTCCCATTCTGTGTGTGATTCGTTCTCTTCATCCTTCTAGTCTTAGGTTAATTGTCACACCTAGGAGACCTTTCCTGACCACCCAAACTAAAAAGCAATCTCTATTATTCTCTCTCAATAATATGCTGTTTTCCTGCTTAACATCTCTCATAATTACACATGGTTTTTATTTCTCATTTTTCGTATTTTATGACTTGCTCTTTAGCCATAATCTTGACAGGAGAAATTCTCATTTAGGATTTGAATGACGTGTTAGAGAAACAGGCCAGGGGTAGCCCGGTGGTGTAGTGGTTAAGTTTGTGCTCTCCACTTCAGCGGCCCAGGGTTTGTGGGTTCGGATCCTGGGCACAGACCTAGCACTGCTTGTCAAGGCATGCTGTGGCAGCATCCCACATAAAATAGAGGAAGATTGGCAGAGACGTTAGCTCAGGGACAATCTTACTCATTAAAAAAAAAAAAGAAAGAAACAGACCCCACCGGAGGAGGGACAATCACAACTTTGAGTAAAAAAATATAGGCTTTATATTCACTAATATTTCATAGTTTCCTCTGTACCCCCCGACTTGCATACTTCCCACCTCTTCCACAGGATTGTAGGCTTCACTGTGAGCCCAGTGTCTCCTCAGACCGGGCTTTCAATAAATATTTAAAATACAAAACAACAAAAAACCTTCCTCTTTCCCTAATATCAAGTGTCACCATGTCCAATTCATTTTTTAAATAAACTATTACACTGAAATTACATAGATCTAGAAAAGTGCACAGACTCTAAGTGCACAGCTGTATGAATTTTCACAAACAGTATACATCCATGCTCCTGCCACCCAGATCAAGAAACAGAACGTTCCCAGGACTCCACAGGCCCCCTTGCCCGCCTCCATGTTACCACCTCCTGCCTTCCCAAAGGTCACCACAGGTTGACCTGTAAACGTTGTGGATCACTTTGGTCCGTTTTTGAGCTCTTTAAATGGGATCATACCTGCTGTACTGTTTGTGTCTGGCTTCTTTCACTTTCTCTCATGACTGTGAAAGTCACTCACGTTGTTACATGTAGAAAGAGATGATCATTGTCATCATTGTACCGTATTCCACTGTCACCTGGTTTGTAGATCCTTTCTTTTGAAGCCTTTCCAGTGAGTTCTCAGGGGTATCTCATTGCAGTTTTAATTTGCATTTTCTGATGGCTAATGAAATGGAGCACTTTTCCTATGCTTGTTGGTTATCTGGATCGCTTTTATTTGACTGCCTGCTAAAAATCGCTTGCCCATTTTCTACTAGAGTCTGTCCTTCTCTTATTGATGTGGGAAGTTGTTTATATATTCTGGACGGGAGGGCCTTCTTTTGGTTCTCTGTATGCAAATATCTACTCCCTTTTTGTGATGTGGCTGTATACCTCCTTAGTGGTGACCTTTGATAAACAGAAGTTCTTAACTTTATTGTAGTCTAACATGTCAATATTTTCCTTTATTAGAAAAATAAGGGGGGCTGGCCGGGTGGTGCAGCGGTTAAGTGCACACGTTCTGCTTCAGTGGCCCGGGGTTTGCTGGTGTGGATCCCGGGTGTAGACATGGCAGCACTTGGCACGCCATGCTGTGGTAGGCGTCCCACATATAAAGTAGAGGAAGATGGGCATGGATGTGAGCTCAGGGCCAGTCTTCCTCAGCAAAAAGATGAGGATTGGCAGCAGTTAGCTCAGGGCTAATCTTCCTAAAAAAAAAAAAAAAGGAGCCGGCCTGGAGCCACAGTGGTTAAGTTCGCAGGTTCCACTTCTCGGCAGCCCAGGGTTCGCCAGTTCAGATCCCGGGTGCGGACATGGCACGGCTTGGCAAGCCATGCTGTGGTAGGTGTCCCACGTATAAAGTAGAGGAAGTTGGGCATAGATGTTAGCTTAGGGCCAGTCTTCCTCAACAAAAAAAAAGAGGAGGATTGGCAGTAGATAGCTAAGGGATAATCTTCCTCAAAAAAAAAAAAAAGGAAAAATTAGGGGGTTGGCCCTGTGGCCAAGTGGATAAGTGCAGGCTCCACTTCAGCGGCCCAGGGTTTTGCCAGTTCGGATCCTGGGTGTAGACCTAGCACTGCTCATCAGGCCATGCTGAGGCAGCGTCCCACATAGCAGAACTAGAAGGACCTGCAACTAGAATATAGCAACTATGTACTGGGGGGCTTTGGGGAGAAGAAAAAAAAAAAGGAAGAAGATTGGCAACAGATGTTAGCTGAGGTGCCAATCTTTGAAAAAAAAAAAAAAGTTAAGACTTTTGGTGTCCTATTTAAGAAATCTTTGTCTACCCCAAGATCATGAATATATTCTCACATATTGTCTTCTAGAAGAATGCTATTTGAAGTGTGGTCCATGAAATGGTGTCAGTCTGCAAAATATTTGTCACTAGTGCATGACAAGATAAAGATATCGTGAGTAAGTGTTAAGAAACTTTTATAGCAACTTGACATTGACATGATACCCAAGCGAGAGTTTGTTTTATTTCACTAAAATATTGATCTGTGATCGGTCAGAATTTTTTTTTTTAAAAAAAAGAGGTTATTCACCACAGATAGTTTGAGAAGCACTGTTTTAAGACTTTTTTCTACCTTCATGTTTAGATCCACAAGCCACCTGAAGTTAGTTTTTGTGTCCAGTTTAGGTAGGGCTCAAAATTCTCTTTTTTTCAAATGGATATCCAGTTGACCCTGCATTATTTATTGAAATGATGATTTTTCATCCATTGTTTTGCAGTATAATTTGTGACACAAGTCAAGTGTTTGTGCAGGTGTGAGTGTGCTCCTGGCTCCTAATTCTGTCCCGTTGACCCACTTGGCTGCCTGTGCAGATACCACACTGTCACAATTACCATAGCTTTAGAAGTCTCACTCTGTGGTAGGATACATCCTTCAACTTCATTCATCTTCTTCAAGGTTGTGTCGGCTATTCTTGACCCTTTCCATTTTCAAGTATATTTTTTTACACACTTGCAAAATACTTTAGAATTAGCTTGTCAATCTCCACCAAAGAATTTGCTGGGACTTTTTTATAGGATTGTAATGAATTTACAAACTGATCCTGTTATACATCCAAATGGTTTTCGCCCAGTAAATTATTTTCTTCTACTTTATAATCATTTTTTGGTACTTGACTGCCAAAAGTACAAAATTCACATTATTTTCTCTGTTTTAAAGGCTTCTCCACAACTAGACTGACCTCGTTATGTCTTTTGTTGCCCTGTTCCCCTGTACAAGCAAGAAGAGCCTCCTCACTATTTCACACCGCATTCATTCTCATTCTCTCCTCCAAGCCTGTCCTCAAACATCCACATTTATAGTGCCTCCTACTCATTCCTGTTACCATTCCAGATTTTCAAAATCTGTGTCTCCAAAAAGACCTGCTGAAGTCTCCTTTTATCTCCTTCCCACCACTATAACCCACAATCACATTGCTGTTTTTTGCACAATGTGTTGGCAATTCCCCCTACCCCCAAAGCAGCCTCAAGATAAAACAGGTATCTGGGGCCAGCCTGGCGGTGTACTGGTTAAGTTCGGGCACTCTGTTTCGGCAGCCTGGGGTTCACCGGTTCAGATCCCAGGCATGGACCTACACACCACTCATCACACCATGCTGAGGCAGCATCCCACATAGAAGAACTAGAAGGACACACAACTACACACTGAGGCTTTGAGGAGGAAGAAAAAAGAGAAAGATTGGCAACAAACGTTAGCTCAGGGCCAATCTTCCTCACCAAAGAGCAAACAAAAACACAGATATCTGAATCATAAAACCACCAGGAAAAAAACACCAAACAAAAGGCACCTCATTTAATCTCAGTGAATTGACCAGTCAGGTTTACAGTGAAGTCACCAGCTTCCGCTTCAAACACACAACGTTCTAAAACAGCTCTTTGAATGTTCTGCAGTAAGTAACAAAGGAGTTAGGAATTCTAGAACTGTTAGTGTTCATCCTGTTAGAGTCAAGCCTCTCTATTTATGCTTCAAATTACTCTCAAGGGCGAGTGGACAGTTCTGGAAGATAGCTCAAGTTTTTATTTTCAAGACCCAGCAGCCAAGCTTACTGAAGATGGGGTTTTCTTTTGGGGTGATGAAAATGTTTTGAAACCAGACAGAGGGGGTGGTCGTACAACATTGTATAAGTACCAAATGCCACTGAATTGTATGCTTTAAAATGGTTAATTTTATGAGATGTGAACTTCACTTCAATTTAACAAAACAAAAAGATCTAGCAGTCAAATTTGTCTTAACCCTCATAACTGTCTCAGTTGGCGGCCAGATGCTTCTCTACAACATCTGACTCAAAAATAAAGAGAGAGAGATGAAAAGCACATCTCTGGGTTTCTGACTTGTGTTTACGAGGAGGGCGCGCGCATGACACTTATGTGGTTTAGAAAAGTACCCGATCTTCTCTAAGTGACTCACTCTGGGGAAAACATGTTTGGTTCAACACCAAAGGTAAATGTGAATTTCATTGTGCCTTTCAGAACTATGTACATCAGCATAGTTCATTTCAAACTCTGAGTTGTTATATATACTAGAAAAAAACAAAAACAAAAGCAAAATAACCTCAGAGCTCTTCTTACTAGCCACCACTGAGCTTAGTGTCACAGACATCACACGCCCACAAAGCACGAGTGACCCATGATAACGAAAGTCCGAACAGCCACAAGTCAGCTTGTGAACTGCATTAAGGTCTTAAAATTAAATCTGTTGTACAATTTAGAACAACAAGAAAGCCACAGCACTCTACCCAAGTTCAGTAGATTTAGACAACTATGTAGAGGAAAAATATAGGAGTTTGGTTAGCTCTTTAATACTTCCAAGAGAATATTGGGACAGAAATAACAATTGAAATATTTCTATTAATTTAAGGGAATATATAAAAAGTATACTGGATTAGAAATAGTAATTCTACAATAATGCTTGGATTTATTTTTTTTTGAGGAAGATTAGCCCTGAGCTAACATCTGCTGCCAATCCTCCTCTTTTTGCTGAGGAAGACTGGCCTTGAGTTAACATCCATGCCCATCTTCCCCTACTTTATACGTGGGACGCCTACCACAGCATGGCTTTTGCCAAGCGGTGCCACGTCCACAGCTGGGATCCGAACTGGTGAACCCCGAGCCACCGAGAAGTGGAACGTGTGAACTTAACAGCTATGCCACCAGGCCGGCCCCTGGAAATTTTTAAGTACCATTCCAGAAGCTAAGAACCAATTTAGACATCGTGATACCATTAACTTTTCATGTGGGCAGCCCTGTCCCAGAATTGGTAGAACGTAGGTACAGACAGCAAAAGTTAGCAACAGTACGTCAGAAGGAAAATGTTAGATGTGTGATGATATGAGAAATTATACATTATTTATCTTTTCTTTCTGTCTCATTAGAGTATTAATATAATTGTTAAGCTCAAATGATGTGTAATCATCGAATTAGCCGCACCTCCTCATTGCTATAATTGTTAGCATTACCACTCCCAACTTAGAAAGGGACAAAAAGTTATGTCATTGGCCTTAATTGCAAGAAATCAGACTCATTTCTAATTTAAAACACTTCACGTTAGTGTGCAATTTTGAGTTTTCCCCATTAAATCTCTTGAACAAAATAATAATTTTGCGCCACATTCAGCTTATGTGTGTTTTCCTACTAATGCCCAGGAGGCAGCGTGGTAGGGATGATCAGGAGCTGACAAGCATTTTTAATTAAGAACTCTGGAACGTCAGGGCCGACTCCCAGGCTCCCGTTTTCACGCAATCCCTAAATCCTGCAGCACCCAGTGAAGGGCCTTTGGGAGCTGTGGTCAGTCTCCTGGGAGATAAGAACGATGAGCCTTGAGCAAAGGCAGAGATGACCCGGAAGTAGAGAGAAAGTCAAACTACATAAACCCGCTCCTGGAAAGAGTTTCCTGATAATCTGAGCTGGTAACACTCAAATTTGTTCTCATCCAGCCCAGGGATAATTTATACCAAATTCCCGTTGGGCGCTTAAAGGGAGCTGTAATGGAATGGAAGGACGTTCTTCTGCCCCTCCAGGCACAGTGAAGCACAGGTTGGGCAGGGGGACAGCGGGACAGCGGGACAGACAGAGCCCCAGGGAGCACACTGTTGCTCCACAGACAACCCCTTGAGATGGCAATGAGGTGGCCGCTGACCACTGGAAAAGTGGAGTATCAGTTAAAGAGGACTGTGTGCTCAGAGGAAAATTGCACTGCTCTAGTCACCTAAGGCCCTGAGTGTCCTCATGACGGGTGTGGTTCAGGTAAACAAAGGTTAATTTTAATTTTATTTTTTTACAGCACCCTCCCAAACTAGACTGGCTACAGGTGGCTTTGGGACAGCAGAAAGACCCAGAGAAGGTAGTTTTACCAAAATAAGGCCTAAAAATGGATGCTTTGCACTTTGATCTCTATCTTAAGAAGTTACAAGAGTGCCAAAAACCTAAAACCACTATTTCTCAATATGCTGTCTCTAGAAAAAATGTTCTCATTTTTGTGTTAAATTGCAAGGTCCTATACATCATAAAAGAATGCAATTTTGTCTTAGACTACACATTTGAACAAGAATGTATTGCAAGGTTATCCTGGGTTCCAAAACTATAAAGACGTAAAGTAAAGATAAATTACAGAGTTTTACTCTTAAAGCTGATGAATTTCCCAGTACTTGATGATACATATACCACATCATGCTTTTATAGCTCTTAATTTGCATCTAAAGATATATTTCTTTTCCTCTGTCTCTCATAGGGTTTCCACATGCTCCTGAGTTCTGGCTGGGGACAGGCAGTATTTCCCAATCTCATGGTGACTGCATATTTGTGCATTAATAGTACACCTGATAACATTGCTACAGCATTAACCAGATTTTAATACATGTATCTTCTTAGCATGCATTTTAAATTGATGCATTTTTAACATCTGTCTGAGTGAAGTTAATGTAATCATCTGTTTCTCGTTGCCTAATTTCCATAACCTTTTAAAAAATGATTGAAGTCAGGCACAACCCCAAGATTATAACTTAGAACCCCTTATTCTTCAAATGCTTCTTTACCCACTGAAGTCTGAGAGTTCTTCTCTTGAGTGATAATGGCGAGGTGCTGGCTAAGTTTGTTAAAACAATACAGTATGCTCTCCCAAACACTTGCTTGGTTGGCCGACTAGCCCACAAGAATGCACCTATTAAATCATGCAGGAAACTGAAGTCATTGTTATTTTTACCTGATGTTCGGCCATCTGGCTTTCTGGACTCCTGCCAGGCTCTAGACTCTCACTGAGTTTCATCTCGATGGCCTCCATCTTTGTGGAGATGGACTGGAGGGAGTCCTGGTACCTTTGTTGGCGTTCCAAAGCTTCATAGAGTGTGCGCTGCTTTTCACTGATCTAAAGAAGAAAAGGGATATTACCCAATGTCTCCTAGAGCCTTATCTTCTAGATTAGGACATTTCTTTCCTCACTGCTTTACCTCTGTGGCCCAAGAGAGGGTATTCAACTGTGTACAGGATGTGTCAACTCAACGCATGTATTTCACAAGACAATCTAAGGTAATTGGCGTCTGGTGGGCTTAAACAATTCCACGTTTCAAAGACTTACCACATTCTTTAAGGTTTCCCAAGAACGCTGCAAATCATCCAGTTTAGCAGTAGCAGATGGCTCCAGGCCTGCTTCATAGAACTCTTGGGATGGCAATGTGCTGGGGTGAATCCTTGCCGCATCCGTCTGCAAGCGCTCAGCAGACAAGGCTTGGTAATAAGCGATGTCCTGGGGGGAAAGCACAGCATTGGATTCAAGAGGAAGACAAAGTTTAGGTTAACATGCTCTGGGTACTATCTGTCATGTGGAGGAAAGGATTCATACCTTTCAAGGGGCCACGAACTAGTGAAGTTAGTCAATTCTTGTGACAAGAAGAATTTAATGATAATATCAAAGCAAATTACACTTGCTTTAGAACTTTGGTTTACATTTAAAAAATGAACACATTTACCAATAGTTTAAGTTGCCAAAACTCGTTCTTATTTCATACTTGATAAAATGAAAATACAAAGGATTTAAGTGGTACACATATTTAAAGATTGACTGGTATAGCAAAAAAAGAGAATCCAAATGATCCATTTCCTAAAATGCTGTGTAATGTGCTGATTAAAGTTTTTAATAATTTAATAAAGCAATTGATTGAAATAAAATTAATCTGCAGAAAGTCACTTTTCAGATATAGCCAGATCTTCAATATCTATGAGCTCACTAGTCACAGAAATTAATTTCAATATTTTAATATTAAATAAGGGAAAATGTAATGGAGAAGTTAAAACTACTCTAAGAAACAAAGATAAAAAAGTTTCCTTCTACTTGGTTCCTGGAAGTGCACCAAAAATAATCAAAGTGAATGATAAAAACTAGATTTTTGAATTTTTTTTATGTCTGGTGTTATAAGGAACATTACATATTTTATTAGTATTGATAATGGAATTTACTATATCAAAACATATGATTCATGTGTTTTCAATTGTTTCTATGGTTATTTATCTGTATATTAATAGAAATTGAATTAGGGAGTAATGTTTATATTTGGGAATTGCTGTAAAAAGTTCACAACTTCTGCAGTTGTACTATTGAAGGTAATTATGTTAATTTAAAATACCTGGGCTTTATTGATAGTAATGTGTTGGTAAAAAGTATGGAAGAAGGCCTCAGCTGTCTGAGAAACCAAGGGAATAGCAGGAAGGGGCCTGGCATTGGGGGGTCTGTGCAAGGGCAGAGCAGGGTTGTGTAGCGGAATGAGTTCAGACACGAATCTGACACCTGAGGCCTTGGGACACCTCGGATCCCAGTGGAAAGTCTCCTCCGAAGGAGCTACGTAACTGGGAGAACTCACTCACATCTCACACATTAGTTCCCTCATCTGTTCAACATGGGGTGGTTCTGAGGGTTAACTGAAGTCAGTTTGAGCGGCCATGAGATCTTCTGCCTATTTTGTTGCTGTTGCTGAGGCTTCCAGATAAGTCCTCAACATTTATTGATGACATTGGATCATGGAGACTGGTTCCTCTTCATTCCTAACCCGGTTACCACCTTGAGATGAACTGGATATTCTCAAATCCTTCATAGGCTCACATCCATTCGTCCTCCCCATTTCCACTTCACCCAGTCCTCCACACCCTCGCACACGACAGCCTGCCATTGCTGAGCTGGTTCACTCCACGTGCCCATCTAGCTATGGCTAAAGTTACTTAAACCTTTCTCTTACCAACACCTCTGTTTCCTTTGCCCTTTAACCTCTGCTTCACCTACTCGGAAAACTCCAATCATGACCCAACCCAACTTTTCTTCCCAGAGTGACTGTGTGTTCACACTTGCATACACACACACACACACAAACACACAACCGAAGCCACCAAGGAGATTCTCCTGCAACTTCTCAAATTTTCAAGTCTGTCTATATTCAGACTCATTTTTATCTCATGCTTGTCACTTTCCCTCCCACCTACCCCCAGAATCCCATCCACCTTTGCTTTTTCAAGGACCTTGGTCCATTAACATCCTCTCCTTTTCCCTCTTTATTGACTTTCTCCTTAGCATATAGAGTGAAATCTTTCCCATCTGAAAACACCTACATACACTCTTTAAGTTTTTTTTTCTTGTGTGGAATCATATATTAGAAAAGTCCACAAACCGCAATGTGATGGATCATTTCACGCAGTCGTGATCATCATTTCTTCCTTTTCTCCCTTTCATCTCATAATCCAGCTTCTGAAAATAGTAGTTTATACTTGATTCGTTCACCTTCTCCTCCTCAATCCACTTCTAAATACCCAACTGGGCTTCGATCCTAATGATTCCACTAAAATTGCTCTTGCTACACTCATCAGTGGCTCTTTTCTATGGAATAAAATGATTATTTTTCAGCCCTTCTCTTCCTTGACCTCTCAGTCACATTCAATGCCACTCACCATCCTTCTTGGGAGACAGTCCCTTTAATCTCTCTGTTCTCCTCCCAGCTCTCTAATCATTCAGTTTTTCTCTTTTGTAGTTTGTTTTTCCACTCATTTTTAAATATCGGTGTATTTATCAGCTCCAGACTCACATAACCATTTTTACATGTATATCCCTCAGGCTCGTCAAACTGAACATTTCCCAAAACAACATCCAGGATGAGAAATGAATTTAGGAATAAAATATAAGGTATAATCCATCTTTCAATAAATGGAACTTCTACTGACCGAAGCTATAAACTTGAGATTCACTCTCTGTTTCTTCTCTCCCTTACCACCCACTGCTTTGGTAAGGATGAAGTTCTATTGACGCATGCCCTTGCCACAGCATGGATTCAGGTTCTCATTACAGCAACAACTTTCTAATTCCCAGGCCTGCCCTGCAGGCTCCCTCTGTCTTGCATACATTTAGCTTGGCTTATACAGTGTTTTAAATTATTTAAAATCTCTCTTCGTTGAGGCATGGAGATTTCATAAGAATCCAGATTCATGGCTTCTCTTGCAAACCGGAAGGTATATGAGACTGGACTCTGTGTCCACATGGTGTCAGTAATTCTAACAGAGGGGAGGCTGCCTCATTCCTGTGAGAGGGGCTGTCTAGGTGTCTACAGTCCCCAACTGCGTCTCTCACTTAGATCACCAGTCCGGGCAAGGCATCAAAATGTATAACTTCTGTCCCTACCTACTTCTCTGGCTCTGAATTTGTCCTTCTCCATTCTGCTGTCTGCACTGATCCAGAATGATCTCTTCTAAAACTCGCTTCTGCACATAGCTTCCAGTTAAATTTCCTCAATGGTTAACTCCTAGCTTCTGGATAAAGTTCACACTCTTTTGTGTGGCATTCAAGGTCCTTCATGATGTGCTTCCTGCATCCCTCTCAGCCTCATTCCCACCCCCCCCCTCCTCCTCCTGTGTTTCTCCAACTACACTTACACTAGTAGCAGTTGCCTTGATGGGTCATTTTCCTTCCTGTCCCCACTCCTTCCTAGGTGTGGTTCCTTCTGCCTGAAAAAGTCCTTCATATCACTCTAGTGTACTCCAACTACCTAACTTGTATTCTTTTCTTAAAACCAAAGGGTGCATCCTTGACCCATACTGAACTCCAGCCTGATTTAGGTGCTTTTCTATGTCCTCCCTTACCACTCAGTGCTTCTGTCAGACCACTTACCCCTCTATTGTAATTACTTGCCTGCTCTCACATAGACTGTGAGCTTTTTTTTTTTTTTGAGGAAGATTAGCCCTGAGCTAACTGCTGCCAATCCTCCTCTTTTTGCTGAGGAAGACTAGCCCTGAGCTAACATCCATGCCCATCTCCCTCTACTTTATACATGGGACGTCTACCACAGCATGGCTTTTGCCAAGTGGTGTGATGTCCGCACCCGGGATCCGAACCGGTGAACCCCGGGCCACCGAGAAGCAGAACATGCGAACTTAACCACTGCGCCACTGGGCCGGCCCCGACCGTGAGCTTTTTAAAGACCAGAGAAGGGCCTTTAGTCTTTGATCCTGAGCATGTCATGGAGTGTTTGCAAATAACAGGACAGCATACATGCCCATAATGAATTATACATGTAAAAGCACTTTTTATAAACTTTATTATTTTAAACACATAAAAGGGAGTACTCTTACTGTCCACAAGGAAAAGTAAAAAGTTGTCTTACGTGTAAAAAAAATTTTTTTTTTGAGGAAGATCAGCCCTGTGCTAACATCTGCCGCCAATCTTCCTCTTTTCTGCTGAGGAAGACTGGCCCTGAGCTAACACCCAGGCCCATCTTCCTCTACTTTATATGTGGGACACCTGCCACAGCATGGCTTGCCAAGTGGTGCGCAGGTCTACACCTGGGATCCGAACAAGCAAACCACAGGCCACCAAAGCGGAACTTGTGAACTTAACCGCTGTGCCACCGGGCTGGCCCCATACGTGTAAAAATTTTAAATTAAATATTATAAAGAAGGCCCTCAAAAGAGCTAGAATAAAATAAATTTGTTACCAAAAAACCTTCTGTCTGGCTCTTTCATGGGTGAGTGTGCGTGTGTCTGATGGTGAGTATGTATGTATGGCTCAGGCTTATTAAACAGGAATAACGACTCCTGGTTTCTTAAAAGGATTTGAAAATATATCACCTTTTGTAGATGAATAACTTAGCTCTATTTAAGGACTACATAGATTTAATAAAAGAGTCAGTCCTGTAAAGTAACGACTAAATAAAGACAATATTTAACATAGTGAGGAATCACGGTTAGAAATACGTCTCTCGTTGCTTATGTGCCTAAGTTATAAGAGTTATTATCCAGAAGATTCCTAAGGAAATAAACTTGGAAAATCATAGCTACTATTTGATTAGCATTTTCCAGTTTAAAAGGTACTTTCACAGCCAGCCTCAGTGGCCTAGTGGTTAAGTTTGGCACACTCCGCTTCAGCAGCCTGGGTTCAGTTCCCAGGTGCAGACCTACACCACTCGTCTGTCAGTGGCCATGCTGTGGCAGCTGCTTACACACAAAAAGAGGAAGATTGGCAGCAGATGTTAGCTCAGGGAAAATCTTCCTCAGGAAAAAAAAAGAAAAGAAAAGAAAAGTACTTTCATAATTAAACATTACATTTAACTTCACAATTTTGTGAATTAAGTAGCATTGCTTCCCATTGCAAATGGGGGGACTGAGGGGCATCCAAGGTACTTTCACCTTAGAGGAGGAAGAGCTGGGATCCATTCTGAGCACTGGACTTGGACCCCAGCGCTCTATCCCTTCCTTACACTGCTGCTCTTTTCAAACCTCTACTTCCCTCAACTCTTCAAGGAGCTGAAGTCTTGGCTTGCTCTCATAGGATCAAGAAGCCTGCAGCAAATTCTGGAGCTGCCTCGTTATTTCTACCCTCAAGTAAGCTAAATGGTTATCACATTTCAGCTAATAGCTACTGTCAGAGGGGGAACGTGCTGACTGCGGAGGGAGCAGTTATATAACGGAGATCTCCTTACGGGAGCGGCGGCTCAGAGCCTTTCTTAACAGCTGCGATTTTACAAAGCAGTTCTATCTGGCTGCTCCTCCAAACAGCTGTGTGCATTCTGTACAGTGTTGTGAGTCTGAAAACTGGAATTTATGGGGATTCTAAACGTTCTCCTCAGTCTCGAAAAAATTTTGCAAACCCAGTGCGTCACTGGCCACGATGTATATTTGTTCATTTTCCTCTGACTTCTATCACTCTTCATTACTGCCCAGGAATAACTTGTGGCTGCAGTGATGGGTTGATTTGTCTGAAGACCACCAAGCATAATACTTTTGCTTTTTAACTGCTTCCTCTGACATACACAAAATAACAACATTTTTTCCTCACTTGCAGTATCGTATGTAAGTATGTTAATAATGTGATTTAACTGGTTTCCCCGTGACAGGGGGAGGGATGTCAAAATGAGATTAAAATAAAGCATTATCTCACTCATAATTTTAGGATTTGTTTGAGCTTGACAGTTAAAGTAGTCATAATAAAACATTTGTGGGGCTGGCCCTGTGGCGCAGTGGTTAAGTTTGCGTGCTCTGCTTCAGCAGCCTGGAGTTTGCCAGTTCAGATCGTGAATGAGGACCTACACACTGCTCATCAAGCCATGCTGTGGCAGCATCCCCCATAGAAGGACTGGAGTGACTTACAACCAGGATATATAACTGTGTACTGGGGCTTTGGGGAGAGAGAAAGAAAAAAAAAGAGGAAGACTGGCAACAGATGTTAGCGCAGGGCCAATCTTCCTCACACACAAAAACCAAAAACCAAAAAACATTTGCATGTTTTATCATTTACAGGACACTTTCACATGTACATTGAAAGACTTACAAGAAATAGCATCAAGACTTGTAATTTTAGAAAAGGGATATTCTTTCCACAGCGTTAGTCTCAAAGCCAGTGTTTATTGGTCAGTTTGAAAATTTTCCCAACATTAGGCATATTATATAGGATAAATTTTTCCTATACAATAAACAGCTGACTATGGCCATATTTCTCTGATTCTAATAACATCTGTGACCGCAGGGAAGTACACAACCTCAAAGAATGAGTAATTCATATTTTAAAATCAGAATTTGGAGAACAGTTTCCCAAATTCCCCAGAACTCCCTGAACTTCTCCTTTTTTGTTGTTTTTAAATTTCCTCTCATCACTTTTGCTGTTATTAGTCCCACGTCCACCTTTCTAGAATGTAAGGTCCTTGAGGGCAGGGGTCACTGCTGTCTTCTCCTTTGTTGCATCTCTGGGGCCCAGCACAAGATTTCTTGCCAAGAAGGTGCTTAGAATGCATCTGATAAATAAATGAATTGACAAGTTCCCTGCAGCTTTATAGATTTTTACCAAGAGAATTGCTTTATCTAAAGCTTTCATCAATTTTATTTTCCTTTTCGGGGGAAGGGAGGTTTTTCTTTATCATAGAAGTCCTATTTTGAATGCTTCTGCTCTAAAATAAAAATACTCTGACTCATTTGAAATATAGCTTATGTTTGCTCTGCTCCATGCTTCTTTCTTGATAATAAACCTCAATTTCTTTGAACACAAGTAATTTCATAGTAACATAATTAGAATTGTTTTAAATTTATTTTGGCTAAAGAAAATAATACTTACCATGCATTAAAAATTTTTGGTTATTGTAAAAGCATCTTTTTTACTTCTATCCAACATTTTTCATGAAATCTTTTGCCATATTTAATTTACTATAATCCATATCTAATATGATGTACAATAAAAGGCACCTCATAACAACAAAATATTATCCCCATTTTATAGGAATTAAAATTTAAGATTATTGAAAGATAAGCAAGAAAACACAAATCTTAGGCATTCCAATATATATATTGGCAGACAGCCCTTAAATTGGTTGACAATTAGTAAATAAAAAAATGTATGATATGGTAAACAGGTTTTCCATCTTCAAAATCTGAGCTGTGTTCAATGAATTAAATGTTCAATGAATGTGAAAATAGCAATGAAACCGGGTTATCTTAGAACAGTGATACACACATTTCATCTTCTGTTAGGATGCAGCACTCCATTAGAGACAGCTGTTAGAAACTACATAATGCCTTAAAACAGGCCTTTCTCCAGCTGTAATTTCCGTGACCTAGTTTTTGCTCATCTCATTGCCAGAAGCCCAGGAGAGGAGATGATGTGTTAAGCCAGTAGTGGTCGTACATGATAATCACATTGTCACATCTAACGGTGTGTCCCTTCAAGTCTAAGGTCACAGCCACAGTCTAATAAGAAGAGAGAATGGAGTCCTGCACCCATCCAGAGATTGGAGCTAGACGAAGGCAATGCCAAGTGTGTGGTACCTGGTTAACAGAAGCATCTGTATTAGCCACGGGTGAAGGGGAGCGACAGGCAGGTGGAGAGGAAATCTCACTGTTGGTTCCCTCCTCCCCAGACTCCTCAGTGACAGGTGACAGCAAAGTGTGACAGCGACCTGCAGTCATCTGTCACATAAAAAGTAGCCCAAAGGACATGAAAATCAGTTAGCTATGTCAACGAAAGACCTGGTCAGACACAGGTCAAACCAGAGATGATTATATAACACATATATATAATATATAAGGTTAGAATTACTGAGACCCAAATTTACATACAAATTCTGTGTTAGTACTTAAAACTTTTGTCCTCAGGTGAATAAGATGCTAGAGACTATTTGTAAAACCAACAGGGGTCAGGGGTGCATATCACATTAAGAGTTTTATTGTTGATTAAATATTTCTTTAATTTATTTTCCTTTTCTTGTGTCTTTATAAATAACTAGAAAAATTATGAATCATAAAAATGAGGGAAGAGTGTGGAATACAGCTGAGTCTTTCGTGGACATCTTAAATTCCAAATATTCTAGAGATAAATCTAGATAAAAATTCTAGAGAGATAAATATATTACCCAAAGTAATATATTACCAAAAAGGTCCAGGTATGATTTTAACTGAGGCACAGCACATATGGATGGAAAATATACAGCACTGGAAAACACAGAATTACCAAAATAAAGAATGCATTGTAGATGCAAAGTGATGGGGAAATAATGTTGCAGGTAGAAATTAATGGAACTTATTTATATTAACCTAAAGCTAAACTTTGCATTTTCTATTTTCTTATTTTTCTAATAATCAGTTTTCCATATTTTTGAAAGCATTTATACAACAGAATACACAAACACAAAATATCTAGTCAGTCAGTGTTTTGGCTTGGAAAACACACAAAAAATACAGGTAGCATGATTCTCCCATCCCCCAGAAAACTAGAAAACTGTGCAAAGGAATTTTTTTGAAGCCCGGAGCCTCAGCGTTATTGCTAAATTACAAACAAATGCGGGGCCGACCTTTGGCACGTTAAGTAATTCAGCAGTCTCCAGCAAGTAGTTTCATTTCAACTGTCACTGTTTACAGTGTCAAACGTTGGCCGTGGCCCAAATGTAGTCAGAGAGTTAAGGAGACTGTTCGTCAGCCCTAATCTGCAAGACTGATCGCTAAAATAAGCCACGAGAGCCACTGGCCAGGGGACAGTCCGAAGAGCGCGCGCTGGCGCCCAGCAATGCAGGCCTTGACCCTTACTTACCATGACCACAGAGGGGTGGGCCGAGGTTGCGGGGAGGAGCTCCCCCTCCAGGTCCTCTGTGCCCTCCGCCAGCCCGTCCACCTCGGTCACCGTCAGCAGCATGGTGGCGTGCTTGGCTTTCATCGTCAGCATCTTGCACTTGGAGTTCAAAGAGGAGATCTGCTCCTGGTAGCCCTTGATTTTCTGAGCCAGCTCCTGGGGAAACATTTCCCCCCGCCCCCGAGTGTCAGAGCAGCATCAAAAGGAAAGAGAACTAGTCGCGTTCATCTTCCTCCAGGGCTGACCAATGAAATCCCAGAGCTGTGCTAGACGGCAGCGGCGGCAGCGGCGGAGAGGCAGGATGTGGACTGTGCAAGCAAGCCGGCCTGCAGCGCTCCGGAGCCAGACCACAGCGCAGCGGGGCGGGAGAGGCGCTGGGAGCGCGGCGCCGGGCCCGGAGGAGCTACGCGGGGCGGCCCGGGTTTCTAATCCGAGCAGATGCTCCATACGGAATCGGGAATTTACGTAACACTGAGAACTGGCAACTTTCTTTAAAATGCCTAAAGAATCTGAAATTGCCAGATGGTTCATGCCGTGGAAATTAGGTCATGTGATGACGAAAACTACAAAAAACGCAATGCTCAGCTCTTACCATACTGAATATATCAAACGGAGCAGTCATCTGTTACAGACAGCTTCGCAAAGTAAATTGCTTGTCAGTTCCTGTGACCCCAGGGGGTTGTTTTTTCCGGATAAGCTAAATATTACATATGAAACCTTCATTTTTTATGCAGATTACTCCCCAAATAAAATTTTGTACATTCACCGACTTTTCTCACATCCTCTATCATGCCTCAAATGTTTCTGATGCTTCAAACTAGAGATGTGAACTTGAAGTTCAGTTCAAATTTAATGGCTTTTAAATTCATTCATTGTTGAAAAAATTTGTTTTGAGAGATAGAGGTTTTAAAGCTTTTACCAAAAGTTTATTGAAAATATGTTCTGGACAATATATAGCTGTTAAAAAATTCTAAAATATTAAAATTCTAAAATAACCTAAAATGCTAATTCTAAAATATTAAAGTTATATTTTCTTACTTAAAAGATACATGCAGCTTTAAAAAAATGAAGATGAGAGGAAGACTGGCAATAGTTAGCTCAGGGCTAATCTTCCTCAAAAAAAAAAAAAAGAAGATGTATATTCCAAAACATTAATCTTAAATGTACAAAACCTTTACTCTTTTCTATTCCTTTTTATTTTATTTTGTTTTAGGAAGACTAGCCCTGAGCTAACTGTTGCCAATCCTCCTCTTTTTGCTAAGGAAGACTGGCCCTGAGCTAACATCCGTGCCCATCTTCCTCTACTTTGTATGTGGGATGCCTACCACAGCATGGCGTGCCAAGTGGTGCCATGTCTGCACCCGGGATCCGAACCAGCGAACCCTGGGCTGCCAAAGCTAGACCTGTGCACTTAACTGCTGTGCCATCGGGCCGGCCCCTCCTATTCCTTTTATTTGGCTCTTTTGCCTGAAAAGCTGTCATGTAATGTTCGTATGGAACACATTTGGTGATGGAGACATTAAATGTCAATGTCTTTAAAATGATAGTGTGTATGTGTATGCATATACATACATACATACATGCACATATATGTGTGTATATGTGGATATATACACTATCATTTTAAAGACATTGACATTCAAAATACAGATCTAAACTTGAAGTGCAGAAACAAAATGACAACATTAACAAAATGGCATTTATGTATATATATGTATATGTGTGTGTATAGATATAGATACACATATAGAGATAGATATCATATATATAGATGCCATTTTGTTATTCTTGTCATTTTGCTTTCTTTCTCCCCTCCTAATCAAAACTGACAAAGTAGGGGCCAGCCCCATGGCCGAGTGGTTAACTTCGCACACTCTGCTTCGGTAGCGCAGGGTTTCCCCAGTTCAGATCTTGGGTGCAGACATGGCACCACTCATCAGGCCACGTTGAGGTGGAGTCCCACATGCCACAACTACAAGGACCCACAACTAAAAATATACAACTGTGTCCTGGGGGGCTTTGGGATAAGAATAAAAAATAATAATAATAAAAAAAAGATTGGCAACATTTGTTAGCTCAGGTGCCAATCTAAAAAAAAAAAAGAAGTTGAAAAAAGAAACCTGACAAGGGTAGAAGAGAAAACAGCCCAGCAGAATTCAGCCAGCAGCCTGTCTTCGTAACTTCTAGTATAGTTCAGGAATTTTTAAAACAAGGATTTAAAAAGTAGACATGCTCACTTCTTGACCTTTTAGGGCTGCAAATACTCAACTAAACCTCATAAGATTTTTAAAATACTGATTAAATAGCTATTTACTACATCTGGCCTAGTGCCTAACACATGCGTACTCTATTCTAATTAGTTAACACACACATGCGGAAGATATCCACCAGCTCCCTGGACGCCTTGAATTCTGTTTTCATAGGACAAGTCACGGAGCCTTCTTCAATAGCTTGCCCCACTGGGGTAGCTTTGAGGAATCTTTGTGAAGTCCAGTTAGTCTTAGCTCTTCCACCCTTTGTGTCCACGTGGATGGCCATGGCCCCCTGCTGACAGTGGAGAGCCCCTGCAAAGGTGTGCCCACAGTGACAGCAAGCGCTCATTTCCTAAATCAGAGTTCTCAACTTTCTTGTGCATAAAACTCGTTTGGGTTGTCGGTTAAAAATGCAATTCTGGTCTCCGCTTCCAAAGACATTGATTTATTAGGCTTATGAGAATCTGCATTTCATAGTTATCCATGACTCCCTTGGAGAAATAGTGCTCTAGAACTTTCTTCTCTAAGAATAAACCTGCTCATATCCCATCGCCTTTGCGGGTTGGTGGTCAAATCCACTAAATTAAAATGGAGTGCAAATGGGTTAATGTGTTCTCCGTTCTCAGGAAGCATCTGTATTTTTAGTTTTTACTGGATATTTCTGAAAATGATGATAAAAGATGAGTATAAAGGTGGGAATTTCAGGTGCAGAGGCCATTCTGAGGAAAGCCACTCTCTGTGGAGGAGGCCTTCAGGGTCAGGTGGAAAACAAAGAGTCTGAGTACTCTTTCCTATGATTTCAAAGTGGCAAGATAATTTTTTCAGGGGCCAGCCCGGTGGCACAGCAGTTAAATGTGCACGTTCTGCTTTGGCGGCCCGGGGTTCACTGGTTCAGATCCCAGGTGTGGACATGGCACTGCTTGGCAAGCCATGCTGTGGTAGGCATCCCACATATAAAATAGAGGAAGATGGGTATGGATGTGAGCCCAGGGCCAGTCTTCCTCAGCAAAAAGAGGAGGATTGGCAGCAGATGTTAGCTCAGGGCTAATCTTCCTCAAAAAAAAAAAAAAGAAAAGAAAAAAAAGATAATTTTCTTCAAATTAAATGCAACCTTTGAAAAATTACTGAAAAATGTGAATTCCTTAGAAATGAATAAATGATCAGTTGTTTTTGAGTTAAAGTTGTCCATACGAAACTAGGCTCACTTCAAGATTGAAATTCCATTAAAACAGATTGAAAATGCAGGAAAAAGCATTCTTCCAAACTTTTCTGTTATCATAAATCAGGCTCTTTCTCCTCGGCACTTTCCTTCCTGTGTTTGTTTTGTACATACAATGAAGCTCACACAGAACTACCTCATCGTGAATATGAAAATGTTTTCTAGATCATGTGACAAAACAACAAATATCAACACTGATATTTAGCACAGGGAGGAGAAAATGTGACAAAGTGAACAGATCACTGAGCCAGGAGGACAGTTCACAGCTGACTGTGCTGAGAGCTGGCTCTGCGACCTTGAGCAAGTCATTTATTCTCCTGAACTATCATTCTTCTCTTCTGTGCAATGAGATAGCCCAAATAGTTTCTGCTACACTGGAAATATTGTGGAATTTGGAGCCAAAGATACTAGATTGGAATCTGGGGGCCGGCCCGGTGGCGCAGCAGTTAAGTTCACATGTTCTGCTTCTCACCAGCCCAGGGTTCACAGGTTCAGATCCTGGGTACAGACATGGCACCGCTTGGCAAAAGCTATGCTGTGGGAGGCATCTCACATATAAAGTAGAAGAAGATGGGCATGGATGTTAGCTCAGGGCCAGTCTTCCTCAGCAAAAAAAAAGAAGAGGATTGGTAGTAGTTAGCTCAGGGCTAATCTTCCTCATAAATAAATAAATAAATAAAATAAAAATAAATCCGATTCCGGTTTCTATCAGTTACTAAATTTGGGAGCTCAGACAGTCATTGAAAAAATTAGTTTCTGTTCTCTAATCAGTAAAATGACATGATAAGCAAAAATCCTTACCTCACGGGTTCTTATAATAGATAATGTAAAACTCCCTTGTAAATTGTTTTTAAAAACTGTAGTAATGATAATTATTGTTATTCTAGACAAGATTAAAAAAATATTTTCAGTATTATGATAGAAAAGTTGTTACAACAAAATTCTGGCTCTTACAAAATGAGATTAAAAATAGTTTCAATATAAGTTTGTAATATATAATCTAATGTGTGTTATATAAATAGTAGTTTCAAATGTTTGTATAACATACTTTCATTTAACCAATGGCATAAGAGAAAGAAATAGTTAACATGGATGATATCTACAGTGTAGGAGTAAATGTAGGTGGGATATTTATTTACATTATTTTGTAAATCATATATAAATGTAAGTGATTGATGCATTGGATGTATCAAAAATTAAAGAGTTGCATCTGGAGAGGGATGTAGTGAGATTTTCCATCCTTAAGAAGCAACAATTGAAACTTCTGAGAATCTCACTATGAAATTTTGTTTAGAAAAATAGTTTGTTGCTGTTATGACAAAAGAGTTAAAATAGAGCAAACAGAGGGAAAAACTACATGTCCATCCTCGGCACAGAGAAGACACCATTATTCATGAGGCTATGAGCCAGCCCCCAAGGGAAAGAGTAAATGTAACCTATGTAGGAATTGACAGGTTGGGAAAGGAAACTCACTGCTAAGTCAATGAGCACCAACACTTAAGATCTATGAGCTCTGAGACCACGTCTGCACCCGGGGGGTCCAGGTCATGAGGTCATGACGATGTGAAAGGAACAAGGAAGAAGGCATACTTGACAATCCGGAAGATACCAGGCGCCATCTGGAAACTAGCAAAACAAACAATGCGGACCACTTGCTGACTTTGATGAAAGGAGCTGAAATGACCCATACTTGAAAGAGCAAATGATTTTCTTTTTAATATGAAATATCCCTTCTTTTTAAAGAGGGTGATCAACATAGCAAGACTTTGAGCATTGCAGTATCTTGCAGGCTTTCAGGACAGAGAGTAGACTATGTTTTAGTGTATTAACTGAGAATTCGGGGTGCAGGAGACAGTGGGACGGTTTTGGTTGAGATATGACATGAATAATGTGTAAAGAGGTTTTGGAATCAAGGAGAAGATTCATGGTACTGAGTCTTGAAAAGGATCAGTATAAATAGCCCTCAAAATGCAAAGATAGGCAAAGAGGCTGCCCGAGAACTGAACACGTTATGTGCCAAACAGGGGGAACCTTTCTCCTTCAATTGCTAGAAACCTGTCCTCGTCATTTGCCTGTATTGCTGTCTCACCTCGTGCCGAGAAATCTGGGCCTGCAGCTCCTGGATGTTACTGGTGGCCACAGGCTGGTCCTCAATCTCTCGGTGAGCTCCTTCGATAAGCTCCTGCAGGTGCTGCATTTCTTGCTCATACTGTTCATATTGCACCGCAGCCTCCTTTAAAAAACAACAAAACAAAACACATGATTATCTATCTCAGTAACCGTGTGAGTGACTCTCTGCTGCTGTCTGCCAGCCTATAGCACTAACTCCTATCTGTTTGTACGTCTAGGAAATAAAGCAATGATGGGTAAAATCACTAGATGATTCAAATCCTCAGCTTTACTCTGATATTTCAGAGCCTCCTCTCTAAAATATTTTGCCAAGATTATGGATGGACTCAAAATAGTTAAATTGTTACATCCTCTCTCATCTCCCTATTTGTATTGTCCTATAGGTGGCAATGCCATGGTCAGAACACAGTGGGAAGCAGTATGAAAAACATGATTGCTTCGTTTTTCCATCTAAGAAGTGCTAAATATATACATAAGTCATCACCTAAGGACTGGAGTATGGGATAAAAAAAATGAATTAAGTATGACTTCTATCCTCAGCAATTTACTGTTTAACAAATTACAGGATAACGCAAGGAGCAAGGATAGCTGACCAAAAAGACCATTAGCAATTTAATAGGAGGATATGTACGCAGTTTTTGGATAAAGCAGATGAAATATTAGTTCAAAGAAGATACGAGGTAAATAGCGTCATTTCTACCTAGTAAATGACTCTTCTCTTATTAGGTGAAGAGACTGAGAATTACACTTGAATGTATTTCTCAGGCAAGAAAATGCACTGAGTGCATCAATAAGCTGAAATTTGAAAAAAAATTCTGTAACATATGCTACCAATAAAATCATATTATGAGGTTCTAGATGATTCTCAGGTGAATAATAAGAGATAAAAATAGACAATTGAATATAAAATTAAACTTTATAAGTAGTTCCTCATTAAAAAAACATTGCTAAAAGATAGTTTTCACCAAAGGATATTTTTTAGAGAGCTTTCCCCAGCCTTTTGTGGGTGATCCAAACGATAGCATCCCATCTCCTCATTTTACATAACCACAACAATCTGTCAGATTTAACACTCTGGCTGTGTTTTGACGGCTGAGCCCACACAATGCTAAGAAAAGAAGCCCATGACTCATTTGCTATGCTCTGCTGGCCCAGCAGCACGTGCCTGCATGATGTTGTACTGTTGGATCGCTGTGTGCTGAAGCCGGCTGGCCTCTTCCTGCAGGTGCAGAGCAGCGTGGCAGAGCGGCAAGTTGGTGACCACATCCTCTGGGATCCGGAGCGCGCTCTGGCAGATCTGCACAGCGTGGACCTTTGGCTTGAGTGACTCCATCTCAGACAGCAAATGCTGAAAGTTCAAGTTCACATTTTATATTCTATAATATATTTTACAATTTTGTATTTTAATAGTTTATTTCATAAGCAAGAGACATTTACGAAATTACAGCTCTCACAAGTTATAAGCATTTTCCAAGGAATATTTTTTTTAAATAATGCATATAGGGCTAAGACTATAACTGAGTTTAGAAATCATTTTTCCTAACTATCCTCTCTTAAAAATATAGCTCCCCACTCCTTTTTCCCAAATTATTTTTCCTTACTTGTCGATGAGAGAGTTGTTCCTTGAGACTAAGGCGTCCAACTTCTGGAGAGGTCAGGGTTGTCTGGGCTTGCTCCAAAGCAAACTGTAAGTTTTTAAGCTCTGTTTCAAATTTTCTCATATCCTGTAGAATAAGAGCAGTATGTTTTTGTTTTTGTTTTGAGGAAGATTAGCCCTGCGCTGACATCCGTGCCCATCTTCCTTTACTTTATATGTGGGACGCCTAGCACAGCATGGCTTGCCAAGCAGTGCCATGTCCACACCTGGGATCCGAACTGGCGAACCCCGGGCCAACAAAGCAGAATGTGTGCACTTAACCGCTGCGCCACCAGGCCAGCCCCAATAAGAGCAGTATGAATGTCAATACATAACATAAGCATTTGAAGTCCCAAGTCACAGGTGAAGACTAACACCAGTCAAGAAGGCACATCAGAGGTGAGCATCATATCTCCACTATAAAACCACTATTTTTTTTCTAATGATAGATTTTCAATTTAATTTTTTTTTTTTTACCTTGGCAGCATCATGGAGATTCTGCAAACGAATTTTGATCACCTGCCGCAACTCCTCCGTCTCCCGTCCCAGTTCTGCCACTTGCTGAGACATTTTTTCTGTGTAGTACACGCTAGCGAGGCACTGTAATTTCTCAGTCATTGCTTCCAGATCGTTGTGGATTTCTTCCGATTCTTCTAGCATGGTCTAGAGTGAATTGTCAATATTCATGACATTGACAGGTAGGCAGAGAGGTATACGTAACTGACATGGTGTGGGGTAAAGACCATCAGACTGGGAAGGGAGGAGGAGATGAAATTCACACTTCCCCTGTGCACTGTGAAGATTCTGTGTCTTATTGTGTCTAACCTTCACACCCGCTCCCCACCCACTGTTATCTTCATTTCACAGAAGAAGAAATCGAAGTTCAGGAGCTGTAAATAATTTGCTGAGGCCACATGTCACTAAGTGTGGGACCCTAAGGCTCATGCTCTGTCTACCACCCACGCTGCTCCTGCTGAGGGTCGGGACGTGAGTATTCCAGCAGTGGAGATGCTCTGACACATTGGGTACTTTCATCAGGTCGCTGGGCTACCTTTTCTCATACTTAAACCAAAGACGTTCAGCTCTCATATTCTGTATCTAAGATCTAAGCACATATTGATCTAAGAAATGAAAAAAGACAAGAGCATTACAAACAAACAAAAAGTCTTTGATCATTTGCTTTAAAGGGGTAGCATCTCCTTGGGATCCTAAGAGGAATAAAACACAGCCCTCGTCACTCAGGAAAATATCATCTATTAGGACTAATAATAATACAAATTGTTTAATAACCATGTAATATGCATTATATGAGAAGAGTGAAAGAGAAGAAAGGGTTAAGGATGTCAGAAATGAGATGTGCTGCTACTTGCAGGAAGAATGGGGAAAGGCTTCCTGGAAGAGTCACATCTGAGCTGAGTCAGAAGGATGTTTCCATTTTGACAGATGGGGAGGATGAGGAAAGACATTTCATGCTGAGGGAACAGCATAAGCAAAGGCACAGAGTTGAGTGAGCACAAAATGTACAGTTCCTGGAGTGTTTGATGTGTAAAGAGGAGAAACAGGAGATAGGACATTATTCTTAGGCAATAGATCCTATTTTTAAAAATAAAGTACATTTTTCCTCTCAAAGAATGTCATATATATATAACATTATATATATATATTACTTATTATATATAACTTATATATATAATATATATGTAAAGCTTGGAAAATATTGAAAATATAAAAAAATAAAATATTCCATAATCCCATACCCCAGAGATAACTTAAAGTAAGAGATACTGCTGTTGCATTTGGGTATATTTTTTTGGTGATTGAGATCATAACATACCTACAATTTTCCATCTTTCTCACTTGACATTAGAATGCATGCATTTTCTCTCTATGCACTGTTTTTGGGTAAACTCAGCTTTAATTCCTAAGGCAAGCACAGGAGAGCTCCTCAAAACCTTGTCTGCAGGCTGAGTTCTCTCCCGAGGTTCCATGTGAGACAACCACCAATTCCTGATATCTGTTTCCCTATGTCCCTCAGTGTGTTCAACCCTCTCAGCAGCCAAGTCATAAAAACATGGTGGTCATTCTTGGCTCCTCCTTCTCTTCACCCACACCCACATCCAAAATTCTCCAAGTCCGGAATTCTAGCTCAGTAATACTCCTTGATTTGGTCTTCCCTCAACCTCCAACAAGAGGCCTTGTCATTTTCTAGTGGAATACTGACACCACCTCCTATGTTATTTTTCCTTCACCAATGTGTTTTCCACAGGCCACCAAGTCAAGTCATCGTTCTTAAAAGACAAGTCTGAACCTGTCCCGTACCTCAGAGTACCTCTGAAAGACTTCACAGTGACTTGAGGATCAAGTCCAAGTCCTTCACAGGCGTTCAGGATCTGTCTTTTTCTTATCTCTTTATTCTTACCTTTTATGCTTCTTTCCAGCTCCCCTCTGGACCTCCTCCTCACATTGCCCCCCACATACCAGAGCATCCCTCACTCTCACTGCTGGGGTTTCAACAAGGGTTTTCATCTAAAACACTATCCCCAACAAGGAGGCCGTGTGTCTTTCAGAACTCAGCCCAGTATCACCTTTTCCTAAGAATGCTTCTCTGACATTCCTTTCCAACACCCCCCCCCCCGCACCCCCCCCCCCCCCCCCCCCCGCGGTCTGGGTAAAGCATCCTCCAGTGGGTCCCTTCAGCACCTGACCCCTTAATCCCTGCACTTATCACACTGCATTGTCATGGTCCAGATCTGTCTGTCTCCTTCCTCCCTTTAATTAACAACCCCCTGGGGCAAGCACAGGGAATAGTCTTTGTATTCCAAATTCCTAACAAAATTCCTACCTTTAGAAAGGACTCTATAAATGTCTGTTGAATAAATAAATGAACCAGTGCAGGAACTATTTAAAATAGAAGGCTTCACGGTCATTTTAAAGACTGCATTATATCCCATTATAGCCAAAAATTTACTCAGAAAAAGTATCTGATATTTAAGTTTTCTTTAAAATTCCACTATAGTTGTTAATACGACATACAATATTTTCTACATTTTGGATTACAGCCTTAGTACAGAGTCCAAAAAGTCGAATCAACAGATCAGATTGGTACCATTTTGATGATAATGATATATTTTGCCAATTGTTTTTCAAAGAGATTTTGCTGAGCTCCCAGTAGTGTCTGAGAGCTCTCACTTCCTTAAATACCAACTTTTAAAGAATAGTGTTAACTTGATAGTTCAAATGCTCTCTGTCTTTTAAATTTGCATTTCTAGATTTCTAAGGAGGTTGAATCTTTCATTGTTTACAACCAATTGTAACTTAAGTCTTGTCTGTTAATATGTAAGCATATCCTCCGGCAGAAGACTGGAGTTGTTTAAGATTTCTGGAGAAGAGTGTGGGAGATTGGTTAGAGAAGACTGTAGATGCGGGGGAACCAATTAAGAGCCTGTTAAAGCATTCCAAAAAGGAGAAAATGAGGCTTTGATCTAGAAACCTGTCAACTGGAATGGCAAAAGGGATGGATTTAACAGAGATCAATATACATAAATCAGAATAAAAGAGAAAAAATCTGAAATACTTGAAGATATCCATGTCACTTAAATAAAAGTTATTCTGTATTTTATTGTAAGACTATTAGATAGCTGTATCTAATTCAAGCCTAAATTATAAAAGGATGAAATAATTTCCTGGATGATATGACCGAGAGGAAATGAAGTAATGTGGCCACCACGGGATGCAGACTCATGGCTCATTCCCAGCCGACCACTACCTCCTGTGGAAGGGCAGATGACAGACCAGGCAGAAGGCTGAGACGGAGGGGGCCTGAGAGCTCTTACTGAGCGCCCACCTGCCAGGTAGTGCGCTTAATGTTTACACATATGTTAAACCATTTGATCTTCATAATAATTCTGCAATATAATTTACATCTCCATCTTATATATGAGGAGAGCAAATTCAGAGAGCAAAGCAGTTTGCTCCAAATTACACAGCCCTAAATGGCAGAGCTTGGTTTTCCCATCAGCCTCTTTCTACGTATCACTACATCACTTCATGGGGAAGAATTTCCCATCATGTCCCTGCACATAATCGTTTCAAAGAAGCTGCTAAAAAAAAAAAAAAGAGTCCTATAGGACTGGTTATTTTTGGTCTTAGGGAAAGGACAATCTAGGGGAGATGGAGCATATTTATTCCTTTATACAGTGTTAGGAAATCTCTTTGGTAGCTACTGTCTGCGAAACAAATGGACAAGTTGTTAGAGCTCCGTTAGCTTTCTTTTTATCTGGCACCTACAATAATTTTACACCGTGGTCCTCTGAATTTTGTCAGTCCAGCCAGTTAAATCCAATTGCTCTCTTAGTTACTCTTTTGAAAACTAATTTCCCCAAAGTTACCTGGTGTGAAATGTATTGTTCCCGAAGTTGGTTTGCAGAATTCCACGCAATCTTCCCATGTACCAAGATTTTAGCTTTGTCAATCCACTTCAAAATCAATTCAAGCGTTTCATTGTATTCTTCTAAATGTGATGCTGCCTGAAAAGTCACCAATATTCAGATAACAAATGTAAGCTCTGCTTCTTGAGCTAGAACTCAGTCTTCTCTCTTTCTCCTTGGATACAACAATCCTAGGAGCTGATCATTACAATATCTGTGAAATTTAAAGGTATCATGAAAAATGATTTTCTTGTTGAAAATCTGTCAAGGACTTCCCAGTGTCTTTAGGATAAAGTCCAAGTTTTTAATATGCTTGAATAACAACGTCTTTTAAAGAATTCTTTGCTCTCATTTCTTTTTCCACCATCTAGCTCCCTTCTATCCCTCCCTCCTTCCATACTCCACTCTCAGTGAGTGGGGAATATAGCATGCCAGGTTTCAATACTATAATCCATTGGTTACCAAATCCTGATTTAACTTGTCCCTGATTTGAGAAAAAATAGATTTCATTTACAAAAACTCAACAATTATGATAGATGTGCAACTTGAACCAATTAAGTAAATGCAAGCTATTATATATATATATAGCTTACTTTAATACTTGAATTCACTCCAAACTGATTTCATAAAGCATGTCAATAAACAAGTATTCACTTCACAAAATATTTCTCCAGTTTACAAAATATTCACCCCAAAAGACCATATTTATGGTCACCTTTGTCAATGAATTTATGATATGGTTTGATATAAAATAAAGGCAGGTTTATGTGTAAATCTTAGGAACACAGGTGTGGTACAAAATAAGCTACACTTAAATTACCCTCATCATTGTCAATATTATCTTCTCATTTATTTTCACAAGAGAAGAACAGAATATTGTATTTCTGCCTCAGAGATGTTTGATTACTGGCTTGGAACACATACCTGACTGAGCTGGGAGAGCCGACTCTCAGCCTGTTTAATGGTCTGCTGGTGAAGTTCAGACAGTTTTCCTATCTTCTTGGCCAGTGGCTTACCCAGTTGGCCATTGTGTTCCGAGAATTTCTGTACTGCTTCATCTAGTTCCATCAACTTTACATTATAGCCATTTAATTCCTCTCCTAGCACCTAAATAGTCACAAAACGAAAGCTCATTAGACCACAGCAAATGAAGATCTCCAGGTTTTCCAAGATCCGAAGGATTATATTTTAAATGACTTTTGTAAAGAATAATTCTACTATGATCAGGTTGCTCTGTTTCCTCGGTTAGAAAGGCAGAACAGGATGTTTTGTAACTCTCCTGTTTATTTCCTATGAGGCTGAGAGCTAACATTTTCCTTCTGCCCCACCCAAAAAGGATTAGTCACTTCACTCACCAGCAGTGAGAAAACAGATTTAACTACCAAGAACATCCTTCATTCTGGAATTTATACACTCGTATTCCTAAATCATTATTTAGTCCTTTGACACTCTTCTCTCTCACCCACACACGCATGTATATTTATTAATACAGTTCAATTGTAATGATAAATTATACAATATAAATAAATGTATGCTATTTGTGAAATTTCTTTATTGGCTGCCTTTACTCTCTGGTTTTAATAAGCTTGCTAATCAAGAAAGCTTTTCTTTTTCCTATATCCTCAAAATAAACTAACTCCAAAAAATATTTAATTCATTTATTAGCACCCCTTATATTTCCACATCTCCTTCCTTACCTTTTGTTCAGTTGTAGCTTGAACTAAATTATCTGTCTTTGCTCTCAGCTGAGTCAGAATTGTTGTGAGATCTTTGGCTATCTTCTGAATTTGTCGGCTGAATTCCTGGCTCGTGGCCTTGTCCTGTTCAACTTCTTTTACTTTGTCCTGGATCTAAATAATTAACGAGAACAGCAAAACCAACCGTGGTTAAAATTGGGTAATCGATACTAAAAACCTCCAATCTTGCAGTGTTGACAAGGGACACTTTAGGTCATCATCACTGCTTTGGCATTCGTGGGCTTTGTCAAACCAGCCGCATGCACTTTCCAAGCTCTCATGGCTTTCCATGCAGCCCGACTTCCCACTGTCTCTAGGCATTCACTGCACCTCTTTCTGCTCCTGTTTCAGCAAAGGAATAAGAAATGCAGGAACAGTGATTCACTCATCAGATGTAGTTACAGAATACTCATTATAGAAAATGATATAGACAGCAGTGTAGATAGCTGAGCTTGAATCCTATCTTCTCCATTTACTAACTTTGTGACCCGGAGCCCACAAACTCCTCTAAGCCTTTTTCTTCATAAAATGGAAAACCTTCCAGATAATTGGAGGCACACGGATTTGTTTCCAAGTACCTTTTCATAAGTAGCTGTTAATAATCTAACTCTTTTCCTAACTTTCCAATTATATCTTCATAGTATGACAAAAAAGCATTAAGCACCTCCAATGGAAAGGAAGGTGAAGAGTTAACATTTACAAGTTTCTAACAGCTTTGGTTTGATTTGATAACAAACATTCATACTTTTGCTTATAGTAAAATACCAAAGAGAAGAAAGAAATGTTTTCTTTCTACAAATGAAAAGTCTCAAAATCTCTTTAATTCTGGGGATGTAATGTACAAGAAAGTGACTATTGTTAATAACATTCTATTGCATATATGAAAGTTGCTAAGGGAGTGGTTCTTAAAAGTCCTCATCCCAAGAAAAAGTTTTTTTGTAATTATGTATGGTGTTGGATTTTTTTTTTTGAGGAAGATTAGCCCTGAGCTAACATCTGCTGCCAATCCTCCTCTTTTTGCTGAGGAAGACTGGCCCTGAGCTAACATCTGTGCCCATCTTCCTCTACTTTATATCTGGGAGGCCTACCACAGCATGGCATGCGAAGCAGTGCCATGTCCGCACCCGGGATCTGAACTGGCGAACCCCGGGCTGGCGAGAAGCGGAATGTGCTAACTTAACCACTGCACCACCGGGCCGGTCCCTGGTGTTAGATGTTGACTAGACTTACTGTGGTGATGATTTTGCAACATATGCAAACATCAAATCATTACATTGTACACCTGAAAGTAATATGATGTTATATGTCAATTATACCTCAATAAAAAAAAATCTCTTTAGTAGAAAATCATTTTCACGTAACTTTTAAGAGTAGGTTTTTGATTTTCATTACTTTAAGTGTCAACATAAATGGAATTATTGTGTGAACGTCTCTATTATAGGGAAATGTCTGCAGAGAAAAAGAAAACTTAAATTTGAGCCCTTTTTTTTAAAGATCTGAACTTGCCAAGTCAACCTTCCCCAGAGACCTTCCAATGTCTAAGAAGAAAAACGAAATAGGTGAGTTAAATGCTTCAAATAGAAAAGAAGCGTTTTAGTTTAGGTCGAAAACATGATGTAGTAAAATTGGATTTTAATGAAATTTTTTAAATGTTCTGCATCATGTGGTGGAGAGTCCAAAAAACACAGCACATTTGTATGAATTTTATAGTTTTTACAACGCAATGCTACTTTCCATTTCACGTAGTACTTTATAATTAGGAGTATATCTTCTTCTTGTCTCTTATAGACTGCTTTTAGCTAAATTGTGCTTTAGCATCATGCCACCAAGAAGGTCTTAAAAACGTTTCCATACAGATGCTACTGAAGCTATTTTCACAACATGAAAGTGTGTCCTCTTTATGAGACCTAAGATAGACATCTCCCTCTGATCATACTGCTATGAATGACTATGTATCTCTTCGTTAAAAGAAATAGCAAAGATTTGTTTTAAAATTTATAGACATGGAATATGTTTCACTCCTTTCCTTGGTTGTTCAAAAGTTAGAATTAGACTGATGGGCCCTCCTCTGGAGACATTATGGGACCCTCCAGCAGGCATTTTGGGTAATAACTTTATGCCTAGTTTTATCTTATTTTTTCCACTTTGATTTTCTGTTTCTTCAAATATCTTCACCTACTTATATCCTATTGCACTGAAATAACAGCTAAAATAGTACCTGGAATACTGTAGGCACTCATTAAATATTTATTGAATACATGAAATATATCATTTTTTTGTTTGTTTCTTCAAGTCATTTTTTTATGTGTGTGGAAAAAGGTGAGAGAAGCAGATAAATAATCTTTAATTGTATGACATTATTGTTCATATCTATGATGATCTGTTTCTTGCCTGTGAATAAGACCTCTAATTTAATATTAATATTATTACTGTTTTATACTAATCTGTTTTTTAACTCTGTTTCCACGAAGGCATGATTGCAAAAATCGAGGACTCACAGAAGAGGGTTGAGCCTATAAAAGAATGGACAGGCACTCTTTCTTGACCACAGGTTTACCTGATCATGGATAGTTCCTAGGTCCAATGCCACTTCAGCTAACTGAAGGGAGAGCTCAGAAGGTAATATAGTATAAAGACCCAGGTACTTATTCTTCTGCTCTTCAGCCGTTTTCTCAATGTTCTGTCGGTGATTTGTGGCTTCTGTTAGTAGAATCTGTAGAAAAGATCAAAATAAGAAACTTCTGGGAACCTGACATGGAAATTGATCTTTATGAGTACAGAGACAAGACTATGTATTGTACATCAAAATATGATTAAGTGTGGAATCAGAGGAACACATTTTTTTTAAAACCACACTTTTCTATAGTCTCTGAATAAGAAGCGTGTCCACTTTCTACAGAACAAAAGAAAGTCTCATGAAATAATACTAAAAGCATTTTATACAACACATTTCTGAAAACTTTTAATTCAATACTTCATTGAATATAAACAAATGTGTCTAATTAAAATCAGGACAATTTTTTAAGTGATGGGTATAGAGAATGAGGAGAGTCTCGTACCTGAAGTTCTTCAAGTTGAGCATCTATTTCTATTGTTGGATTCCCCAAATATTCCTTTGTTTCCTGAACCCAAGATTTCACAGAGTTGATTTGAGTCTCCACCACTTCTCGCTCCCTCAGCTCTTGCTTGACCACCTTTCCATTATTCTTCACTTTCTCCTGCATGCTTCAGAAACATCGAAGAGAGGAAGCAGAAGTGGATTTGAAATGAATGGAACCCCCTAATACATGACATCATATTATCAAAAACAGACTTTTTGCAAGTAAAGACACTTCTCCAAAACTACCAGATAATTTTCAGTAACAAATTTAGTTCAAGTATAACAGAAGAATATACATCGTATGAAGCAAATATTTATACCTGGAAATTTGAGAGTTGATACACTCCTATCCTACTAAATTACAATTAATTTTCCTCTCTAAAATAACTTGGAGATTATTTGGTTATTTATTTCCTCTGTGGAAGTCTACTCAAACGATGCAGAATCATCAGCATTTAAATGTAATGTGTAATAGAAATATTTGTGATTAGAAACCAGTCTTTAAATAAAGAATCAGGCTTCGTAAATTTTACAGTTGATAATGTTCAACATCAGAAATGTCAGTCTTTATTTGAATTGAAATAAATTTGGTAAAAAAGTTGAAATAAGTGCAGTCAGATTATCCTAAATTCATCTATAAGTGAGGGGGTGAATGTAGGATATGTCTGAGTAATATTAGTTAACAGAGGAGTTAAATTATCTCTTGACATTTCTTTTCTTGCCCAATAAGTGAATCAGGCTGGTTATATATCATTCAGATTAACTTTCTCTTTCTACTAAGTTCACTACCACTTAATGGCTATTATTTACCTGAATTTTGGCATCATCCTTACTCAAATCTCTGTTACCCAATTTAGACAATGAGTTATCAAGCTTTATCAAAACTAAGCTCTCAATAGCTCTCAACTGTTTACCTTTCAAGCTTCATTTCTCACGATTTGCTCCATCACCCAACAATTCCCTGAAAGTGACATGCTTACTTTCAAGCTTTCTTATGTGCTATCCCCCAGGTTGCAGAACTCTCCTCCCGCATCACTGTCTAGCTCACGCGTGCCCAGTCTTCAGCTTAAATCTCTCTTCTGAAGGGAAGCCTTCAGGGAGTCCTCTCCTAGGTTAGTTGCCTCTGCTTTGTATACTCTTAGCACTCTTTCCATGCTCAACCTAAATGGTTTCATTAGTTGTTTGTCTCTGCTGCTTGACTGTAAGTTTTATAAAGGTAGAGATTGAATCTGTTTTGTTCATCACTATATTTCTAAATACTACTAGATACGTATTTGTCAGATAAATGATTGAACACTTAAGAAAAATGAAAGCAGAGATGATGGGAACAGATCCCCACGTTTTTAAAGCAGCATGATGGAGCACCCCAGACTCCAACGACACTCTTCTTCCCTTGGGTCATGGCCAAGGTTAGTAACAGAGAATGAGAGCAGGTGTATAATTACTTCAGGCACCGATCTTGCATTGCCATGATTTCCTGCACGATGGGGGGCTCTTCTCCAGGGGATGGCGTGGCCCCGTCCTGGAGCATGCTCAGTGCTTGTTGCCTCAGCATGCCGAGGGCTGACTGTTGCTGTTCCAGCTCTGCAACGAATGTGTCATGACATTCAAGAAGAGTTAAAAGTTCTGCTTTTGAGGCTTTCTCTGCAGAACTTCCTGGTAATTTATCTTGCAGCTGATCAATCATTTCAGTGGCTTTCTTAACCTGATGATGAATGAACAGATGATGAAGCTCAAAAATAAATAAACTGAAAAAAAATGAAAATTCCAATAGAAGTCACATCTGACACTAACGCATTGAAACACATTAAAGATGATGGTATACATTCTAAATTTTGGGAAACTAAAACCTGAATAAACTTCTTAACATGAAAAGAAAGACCACCTCTATAATTCTGGGTTTAAAGATTTAACCTTAAAATATCAAGGCAATCAGAAACTGCACAACATAGAAAAAGGTTTTTTTTTTTTGGAAACTAAACAGACAAATGAAAACCTGTTCCAATATTTAAGTTAACATGAATATGTGCCTTTGAGTCATAAAGGAAGATGTGGCTTAAAACATTGAACTCTACTTAAAAGATAGAAGGAATTAAATATAGGATTTGGTAAATGAGTTAAATTCCTGCTCATTTTTATGGCAAAGACAAAATATTTTGTACTTTTCCAGGGCCAGGTGAGAAAGTTTCACTAAGAGCCTAGCAAATGGGGCAAAGTGGGCTTGTCTTCCTTTCAAAATTTAATTGCTTGGTTTTTTTAAATTAAAATAATTGGACCCTGAATTGGGGCTAAATTGTACATAGCATTATGCTTCATAATTTGGTTTTCATGTCATTAAAATAGAGATTTTTCAAACAGGCTTTTTACTTCATAAGGCCAACTTCAAAAAAGGAGCAAAATACTGCTTTTCAAATACACTATCGCCAGTGAGGAAACAATAATTTGAGCCCATCAGTAATGGAAAGTACCTTATTGTTAAAGCTCTTCCACTCAGCCACTGCATCTTCTAGAATCTTCTCCTGGTCCTGGGCTACAGCACGGAGACGACTCCAGCGCTGCCAGACAGTAGTCATTGACCTGCTTATGGTTGCTTTGCTTGCGTCATTTCCAGTTTTTTCCAGTTGTGAAGCTTTATCCTCTAGGGTCACAATTTTCTCGTGGAAAGAGTTAACTACTGACGCTAAACCCTGGGGTGGGGGGAGAAGAAGGGAGGTTGGGGAAGAGATTGATTTCTCAAGTTCTATGGACTTTGGTAAAACCCAAAATTACCTACAGAAGGAAATGTTCCTACATAAATTTATTTTCCCCTGGTAACTCTTACTTTTACATTTATTTTTTAACTGAATTAGAATTAGATTTTTTAAAGAGGTAAGGTGAATATTTATTTATTAAAAACAAAAGTTTATTTGCTACTTGAGCTGTCATTCTCCCATTTTTAAAAAGCAGCAAAAATATAAATGAACTGAATTTGATATTTAAGTATGATACATTCTACCTTATATTGCTGTGGTATATGAGTGAGACTCCGTTATTAAGTTTTGAATTTTATTTAATTAATGTAAGTTATCCTCAGAAAGTATTTACTGAAACTTATTGTCACATCTTATCAGAAGCAAACTGTTTTGCATGTCTCTTTTTAAACCCAGTGATGCATTTCCAATGGGAATCCTAAAAAGGTGACAGCATTTAATTACATTAAAATTGCTATGAAATGTGGTTAAGTATATCTTCTTCTTATTTAAGAAACCCAGGTGGAAATGAAGATTTATTTACCTGTTTCTGGAACTATCATATTACAAAGAGCCATTACAATTACAGTGAAAAGATATTAAAAACAACAACAACACCAACCTTGTGTTCTGACAATTTTTCTTCTGCTTCATGAATGGAAAAAGTCTTCAATAAAGAAAACTCAGACAGTTTCTTTTCTGCATCATTCATCAATTCAATAACCTCTTCCCTTGCCTTCTGGTAATCCTGCCACTGAGCTGCACATCTTGAAAAAGTCCAACAAAAGTCAATAAGCAACATAAAATCACACATTGCATGCAGAACTCTGATGTCAGTATGTCTAAAGATACTTCAAAGAGAAGAAGGAATTTATGTGCTAATGTATATCATCAGCATATTCCTATTTTCCATGTGAAAATCCATTTCACTGGAATATAAAGAATAAAATCAAGTCTATACCTTTGCAAGAGATCTAATTGGGCATGTGCATCCTGTATTATCCTCTGGCTCCTCTCTTCCAAGGAAGCCATTTTCTGTGCTAAGTCCTCTCTTCCAGTTGGTTTGATGAGTGGGTCCAGGCTGGCTACCAGGCCTTGGAGCTCCTCCAGATTGTGGTGGAACTGATCCTCTGTACTAAAAAATTCCATGTGGCTCTTCACATTTTCCTCTGCACTCTCCACATCTAGGCCATTCCCCGCCAGCTGTAGCATTTCATGGGCATCCTCAAGCCAGTCATTAGCTGCTTGAAATACTTGATAGTATCTTTGACATTGACTGTATATTTGAGTCAAGGCAGCCTGAAAAACAGTAATTGCAAACACAATCAAGTCTCAATTGCAATGTGTTTTCAGGAAATAGTTTAATGTTTCCATTTCTTTTCCAGTCCTCAGACATGTGGATGTAACTGTGTAAGTGAATTGATAAGTTGGTGGAATTTCTTTTGGTGCAATCCATTACTTTTATTTATTTATTTATTTTGAGGAAGACTAGCCCTGAGCTAACATCCACCACCAATCCTCCCCTTTTTGCTGAGGAAGACTGGCCCTGAGCTAACATCTGTGCCTATCTTCCTCTACTTTATATGTAGGATGCCGCCACAGCATGACTTGATGTGTGGTGTGTAGGTCCATACCCAGGATCTGAACTGGAGAACCCCAGGCCGCCAAAGCAGAGCGCGTGAACTTAGTCATATCGATTAAGGGGTAGCCCCTATGTGCAATCCTTCTGTTATTCTTGTTATAATTTTATTATTGCAGTTAAAATAAATAAACAAGGCTAGAAATGGAATAGAAATTTATGGTGGTATCTTGACTAGTTCTGAAATTTTCTGCTCTAAAGAAAAAATATAATGCTTAGTAATATGAGGCAGACTGAATATTTACTAAAGTGAAATAATGCCTCATTTTGTCAGAAGTATAATCACACCAGTGGAAATGTAAACTGGTACAGCCACTATGGAAAACAGTATGGAGGTTCCTCAAGAAATTAAAAATAAAACTACCGTATGATCCAGCAATTCCACTTCTGGGCATTTATACAAAGGAAACAAAATCATCATCTTGAAAAGATGTCTGTACTCCCATATTCATAGCAGCATTATTTACAATAGCCAAGGTATGGAAACAACCTAATTGTTTGTCCAAAAATGAATGGATAAAGAAAATTTGATATATATATATTGGAATATTATTCAGTCTTAAAAAGATAAGGAAATCCTGTCATTTGGGAAAACACGCACAAACCTGGAGTATATTGTGCTAAGTGAAATAAGCCAGACAGAGAAAGACAAACACTACATGGCCTCACTTATATAAGGAATCTTTTAAAAAAGTCAAAAATCATAGAAACTGAGAGTAGAAAAGTAGTTGCCAGGGACTAGGGAGTGGACAAAATACGGGAGGTTGGTAAACGCTAGAAACGTTTAGTTTTAAATTGAATAAGTTCTGAGGATCTAATCTGTAACATGGTCACTATGGTTGATAACATTGTATTGTATAATTGAAAATAGTTAACAAAGTAAAAAGTAAATGTTCTTACCATAAAAACAAAAGGGTAAATATGTGAGGTGATGAATGTGTTAACTAACTCGATGGAGGAGAATCCTTTCACAATGTATACGTCTAGCAAACTATCACATGTGCACTTTAAAAATCTTATAATTTGTCAATTACCGCTCAGGAAAGCTGGGGAAAAGAAGGAAGTTTAATAACAGCACACTTCCTAACTGGCATTCACCAGATTCAATAGCAATTTCTGGAAGTGAAGCAGCAGCCCGTAAGTCTCGAATAGAGACTAAAACAGAAAAGTTTAAGAACGCAGAACAGACCCCTATGAAATGAAGTCCATTCAAATCCAGAAAGAAGGGAAACACTCTTGGTGGCTGGCAACGACTAGACATGACAAGCCATTACTGGGCAGGCAAAGACACAGAGACGTGGTAGAGAAAGTACATGTAGGATTAGCACATAATAAGGAAAGAACGAGGATGCAAAGCAAAGAATCACTGGTGGAGAATAGAAATGGCCCTAGACCCAGGACCTTCAGTTATCTGAGCCAAGACTATCGATACGACTACCAAGCACAACATGGCGGAAGTAGACACCTTAACAGATTCAACTTTGGTTCAAATCTCACCAAATCCACAGAAGCAAGCTGACATGGCAGATGTTTTTCAAGAATGAAAATTCCAGGTAAATTCTGTCTGACTCTTCACTTTAGGTTATATATTCTATTTATATCTAGAGCTATAGGGAAATAGTTTCTAAAAAATTTTTAACGATGGCCTAGAATCAACATAAAAAGGTAAAAACATACTAAATAGACTCTATTTTAAGAAGTCATAATTTTACATGATGAAGTTTATTAAGATTTTACCCAAATGTTAAAATTGAAAAAGTTTTATTATTTAGTATTAACCTTAATCCATGTGGAAAATAAAGTTAAACGATAGCCAACATTGACGGGTGACTACCTCTATATCAGGTCTACACTAAGAATATAGATCTAAAGAGGGAGATATTATTACCCCTCTTCCACAAAGGGAACACTGAGACTGAAAGAATGTAAGTAATTTGCTCAAGATCAAACAGTTGAGATGAAAACCCAAGTGTGCTTTACACTGAGGCATTAGCTACTATACTATCCTAAGGAAATTTGTCCCGGGCTGCTTGCCGAAGACAAATGGATGCAATCTCACAGAATCAGAGGGACTGAGGACAGATATGGAAGAAAAGAGCCAAGGGACTAAGGAAGTGAACTTCTGGGCACTGTACATCTCCTTATTTTTGAATGCACAGAAATTATAGGCCCCCGAACAAGCCGCGATTAGGAGGCCACACCGGGAAGTTCTGTGTATGTTCTCATTTCTTTGTTAACCTCAAGGAAAGTCAAGATGAATATCACAGTCTTGCTCCTGTTGTGCTACAGGGAAGCAAGAGAAGAGAAAACACTCCTCCATGAGGAAGGAGGGAAGAGATGGGACAACCCACAAACAACGCAGCTTGGCGTCTGGACCACAGCTGCATTGTCCATCTGCCTCTCTCCATTTGGACACTCTTCATCTGGTGCTAATCTTAGAAATGCCAGGTTTTGGGGCCAGCCCCATGGTCGAGTGGTTAAGTTCGTACACTCTGCTTTGGTGGCCCAGGGTTGCAGTTTCGGATCCTGGGCACGGACCTACACACTGCTCATCCAGCCAAGCTGTGGCGGTGTCCCACATAGAAGAACTAGAATGACCTACAACTATGTACTGGGGCTTTTGGGAGAAAAAAAAAAAAAAACAAATGCCAGGTTTCACATTGTTTTAAAAAGGCATCACTAATTATTCATTGTTAATTTTATTATTAATGTACTAACATATGGTGTTTATTATATTAGCACTATCATTTATTATCTTTCCTAAAGGGGAGAGACAACTGAGGTATGATTGTATTATAACTACAGTGAAGTCAACGTGGAAATCATGTGAAATGAATACCACGTGCATAAAGAATAAAAACATCTTTTTAAGCCACTGTTGAAGACAATTCTACCTAGGATCAAAAAAGAAACTGAAGGAAGCAATTCTAACAGCAACAAAACCCCCCAAAGTTATTGTACCTGTTTACAAAATAGCAGAGTGGAAAAAAGGAAAGAGACGGCCAATTATGCTGACCTGTCTGGTGCGTAAGGCCTCCTGAATGTCCCCATCAAGCTCCGAGAGGTCAGCAAGAGTGTGTTGTAAATCAGCAGACAGCAGCTCCTTGGCTTTCGTGGATTTTTCCTTCTCCTTATTACTCAGGGCATTCATTATTCTCAGGCTGGACTGCACCTCCTCCTGATGAATCTGGATCTTCCTGATCTCCTCCTGGATGTCCCTCAGGTTCAGGTCCAGGCACAGCGGGCCACTCAGTTCTGCCTTCACGCTCCTCAGCCAGTCCAGGGAGCGGCTCATCTCGGTCTGGAAGTCTATGCTCTGCACCATGCGGTTCTCACACTCGGTCACCGTCGCGCCGATGGCCGAAGTCAACAGTTTCAACTCGTCTTGCCAGGACTGGATCTGATGTTTGGCTTTCTCGTAAGCCAAGGGATCAAGGTGTGGCACAAGATCTTCAAGATGCACGGTCACTCGTTTCAGAAGAATTCCTGAATCCTGAAGGCTTCCTGCCAAGGAGTGATAGATTTTGAGCTTCTCCTCCGCGGGAAGCGTCTCCTCGTTCACTTTGGACTGCTCTGTTTTCACATTGTCTAGCTGTTTCTCTAGCTGGTGGCTCATCTTTGTGTGCTCTTGATAAGCACTGGTGGTGTCTTCTAATAAGCTAACCCTTTGTTCTGTTTGTCGCTTCAGCCTGTGGTACAAGGTGACAAGATGCAGCATCTTGTCTGGCTGCCAAGGCTGACCCGTGCTGCGAAAGCTTTCTTTCTTCTGGTTCAGTTCACCCACTGCTTCCCCGTGGCCTGCCACCTCCCCCAGAAGGGCTCTGCAACCCTCCTGAAGAGACAGAGCCTCTTCAACAACCAGGTCGGTGGGGACGTGGCTCATCTTCAAGAACTGGTCTTCGAGTTCACTCAGAGACTGGGTTGTCAACTCGATCAAGGAAGCATATTCTTTCCGAGCAAGAATTGCTTCTTGGATCTTATAGAACTTGTCTTTAGCTAAGGCAACGATGACATTAAATTGCAGGGGCAGAGCGCTGAGTTTTTCACTGAGGTAGGAATGATCGACTTCATTCAGCGATGGCAATATGGCCTGCCCGGTTCTCTGGAGCATAAGTAGGAGATTTTCATATTCTGGAGATTGTTCCAGAATGTGTTGGTATTTGGCCAGTTGTGTCTGAAGCTCAGTACTCTCATTCATTAGGTTGATTTCAGGAAATGTAACAATATCTGCTTGTTTTAGCCAGTGACAAGCTTTATCAAAGTCTTCCTTAAAATGCTTTCTAGAAACCAAATTTTTCTCTAGTTCTTGTAGCCGATGGCTACACTTTTGTAACACAGTGTCGTAGACGCTCTGCAATTCCTGAAGCTTACCCAAGACTTCACCCTTTTCCTGTTCTGTGGCTCCCTTCATTAGTTCACGACCCTGGGCCCACAGTCCGGTGATCTCGTTCTGGTAAGTCTTGAGGCTGGCTTGCGCACTCTTACAGGTTTTGACCTGTTTGCTGACATCGTCCGGTAACAGGCAGATATGGTCACGGAACATTATCTTTCGCTCGTGTTGCTGAATTTGGCTGGTCGCCTGGAACACCGCCATGAGAAACTGGGTTTTCTCGGACAAGGCCTTGTTTAAGTACTTTCGTCTCTGGCCCACTAAGTCACTGAGACAATTCACATGCCTTTGTGCATCAGAGAGTGCCTTCTGGATTATCTGCCGCTCATTTAGGCCAAGATCAGCCATCACCCTGTCAGCGTCCTTCATGAGGGATTTCAAGAGCATCTGTTTGGCCTCCAGTTCACTGCAAATGGCAAGGTGATCCATGAGAAGGTTCTGAGCCATCTCAGGTGGGGGGCTCTGTTTAAGGGCCTCAGCAATGTTGGGTTGCTGTTCTTCTGCCCACTCCATGAGCTCCTGAAACCTGGACCGCACCACATTTAACTCCTCCAAGTTGGTGACTGATACTTGGATTTTCCTTTTAACAAGGTCCTCAAGCTGAAACCAACGTTGTTCCAGGTGGCTCGTCTGTTCTTTGACTAATTCTTTGTCATCTAAATTCAGATGTTCTATCATTTTCTGCTTTTGATCTTTCAGATTGTCAACAGCCTGCTTTCTCTCCTGCAATGCCAATGCTAACTTTTTCAAAGCCTCCAGATGGACAGCTGTACTCTCTGCATCAGATCTATAAAGACATAAAAACAAGTTAGCTTTAGTCAATATCTATGTTTGTTCATACTATGTTAAATTTCACTTCACCATTTTCTCAAAGTGGATGTTCTTAGCTTGGAGTAGCTCAACTTATGGGTTATTGACAGAGGTGCTAAAATTATTATGGAATACAAGACCTATATAATTCTACATCAGAAGTTGAACCAAAACAAGTTGCCTAGACTCTCCTTCTAGCTAATGCTGCCCTCCCATCACATCTGAAATGTACTTTTAGCTTCTTCCTCTGGCCCTTATCAACTGAGCAGAATTTGCATATTAACAAGATCCCTGGATGATTTGCGTAAACACTAAACATTGAGAAGCACTGATCTACTGCATTCTTGAAAATGGCACTTAAAGAAATTAATAAGTGATCCACGATTTATGTGCTTTCCTGGAAGAAGAAGCTTCAGTAGACAATATAGTGATGGATAGTACAGTCCGTAGGATACAACCAGTGGCTCTAACAGCTGTTCATTTGTGTACTTAGATACTTTTATCATTAGAAATCTTTAAAAACAAACATGAACTGCAAAGAATTCTCATGTCTTTGACTACAAAACACACATGACAAAATGGAATCTTACAGTCTCTTTCACCTACAAAAGGATCAGTTTTGAAGTATGAGGAGCAGGGTTGGGAGGCAGTATGATGACTTCTGTTTGAATATATTAGGTCTGAGGTGTCTGTGGGCCAACCCGATGGAAGTGCCTATTATAAGCTCGAAACATGGGTTTTTGCTGATAGTGACAAGATCTATCCCAAAGCCTAGTAAAATGTTGAGCATCAAGGAAAAGTAAACAAATTAGAAAATAGTATACCTCTCCACCCGACAAACACTATGATTTAACTGTATCTAGAATAGCATTTTCAGTTTTAATTGGTACAAATGAATAAATCTGGGCAGAGGAAGCGCAGATTTTAACAATGATAGTGATCAGAAGTATAGGAAGATTTCCATATAAGGACCCAGTGTTTGGGGGGAGGGGATATTTGAAAGAATCATTTTCAAAGAAAAAGCTTAGAGGGGTTCAATCACTACAAAATCACAAAGGACACACATTAATTGAATTTGGGTTGTTCAGTAAATTCTAGAATACCCTAGGTACAAGACAAAACTTGACTGAATTACAGAGAATGTATTAGTTTACGGCATTGGCAAGAAAGCTATGGAATATACAGATTCAAGGAGGTTTCATTTCGCGAATTCACAGATGATGGTCCCATAGCTGGTAACTAGACAAAGCTAGAGATATTCTTGGGATATTCTTTGAAATCACAGTGTAATAGTCTTTGGAACACTCCTTGAGGTCACAGGGAAAAACTGTGCTGTTTCCAAACATTCTCCTGCAAGCCCCTGGATAAATTAATATTGAGTGAGGAAAACCGTGACTCTATATCCATATGAGGACATTCAGTTCTTAATATTTTATCAATATTAATAATGATACTCAATAGATGTTAAAAAATATAAGTGAGACATTTTAAATTTTTATAGAAAGTAAGAAAGTCCTGGCTCAGCATTTTCGTGACCATTGGAGAATTGCTGTTACCTGGCCAAGTTATCCCATTCTGTGGTAAATTTTTCCAAGAATGCTTCAACGACGTTCATACAGTCATGGTAATCTCTTGTTCTCTGAAGATCCTCTTCCCTTTGCAAACATAGGTTGTTAGACTGAAGGCAGAGGTCTAGGCAGTGGTCATTTAAATGACTTATTTCCTTGTGTTCAGGAGACTCCTGCTTCTTGGTTAACTTATTCACCTTGTCTGTAATGGCGGTCACTGACGCTTGCTTTCCCTGTAGTTTCTTAACAAAATCCTAAAGAACAATGACAAAGTAAATAATGTGTAGTAAACCCTCATATAAGTATAGAGTCAGGCATACAGGTAATACCTCTAAACACTTTATGTAATTGAAGAATGTACAATGAATGTGTCATAAGGGACAAAAAGAAAATCTAAAAATTGCCATGCCTCCTTATGAAAACAAATTTCCAAGTGTGTAAGAATCAAAGGATAACTGCGGTATTTTTCTTTATTTGGTTACTTCAAAAAGTATAAAGAAAAACTGATAAATGTGAAACAATATTTCAGTCATTAAGGAGAAAAGTTAGGGGCCGGCCCGGTGGCTCAGTGGTTAAGTGTGCACATTCTGCTTTGGCGGCCTGGGGTTCACCAGTTCAGATGCCAGGTGTGGACATGGCACCGCTTGGCAAGTCATGCTGTGGTAGGCATCCCACATATAAAGTAGAGGAAGATGGGCATGGATGTTAGCTCAGGGCCAGTCTTCCTCAGCAAAAAGAGGAGGATTGGCAGCAGTTAGTTCAGGGCTAATCTTCCTCAAAAAAAAAAAAAAAAACGAGAAAAGTTAATATTTTCTCTTAAAGTGCAGCCTTAGTTTTCTAAAAAATTTTAAAGTTCATGCTTTTGAGGAAAAAAATTTAATTGATGTCATCTCTATTCTTTTTTCTGCACATGCAAACATTCCAATAGAAAATATAAATAATGCAAATGGCTCACTATCACAGAGAAAAAGAAATCTTAAAGTTTGTTAAAAATCTGGTACAACTTCAATCAAGTTAATATAATAATTTTTTGTTATATTTTAAGTTATATATAAATGTATAATATAAATTCTATTTCTTTTGGGGGGAGTGAGGAAGATTGGCTCTGAGTCAACACCTGTGCCAATCTTCCTCTATTTTATAGGTGGACACCACCACAGCATGGCTTGATGAGTGGTGTGTAGGTCCATGGCTGGGATCTGAACCCGTGAACCCTGGGCCACCAAAGTAGAGCACAAGAAGTTAACCATTATGCCACTGGGCCAGTCCCCCAAAATTCTATTTCTATTACATTTCAAATTAATTATATACTAATACATATTTTCTATATTAAATATATAACTAATTGATACATTTATAATCCTACAGCTTTAGCCACATTGTGATGAAAAGCTAGTAACTAATAAGACTTTGTGTGTGTTTAGTGGCAGAGTCCTCTGGCTGCTTTGTTGGAAACAAACTAGAGTGTCAACGTCCTTCAATGCAAGTGGCCCATTGGAGCTCCAAGAACATATTTACATGTTTCCTTTCTGATCTGTCCTTTCCTGGCACCACATGAAGGTTGTTCTGATTCTATCCTACTCCTTAAATAGCTATACTGTCTTCAAGGGCTGGCTGACACACTCCCATCTTGGCCTCATTTATCTCCCCTGGAGACTCGTTCATCCCCACCTTTACTTGGGAAACCATGTTCTGTGCAATATTCAGTTCCAGTTCTGCATGCCTCCTCTTCATATTCTGCAGTTGCTGATCGGCATCCTGGAGGTAAATCCAAAACTCAGCCTTCATGTGCTTGATCTCTTCCCAGCCCTGGGTTAAGTTCTGTGCCTGGGCAAGCCTTTGTTCAATCTTCAGAGAACACAGAGGCAAAAGTTAGCAGCAATAGATAGAATCATTTATGTTCGATGAATCAGAGATGCAATTCTTCAGCCTGTCCATGTACACAGGCCAACACACTCTAGAACTTTTAGCAATTTATTAGGTCAAAAGCTGCCCACAGTTTTCCACAGTAGGCATTTCAGTAGACACATCTGTTTGACTGACTCAAGAATTTGGTTTTGGGGGTTAACTAGAAAAGTCTTCTATTGTTCTCTATTGTACATTTGTTGACACTTCTTACAAAACACCAAGTTTTTAATGTTTTGGATATATTTTTAGATCTCCTTCACTGGTTTTTGAAACCATATATTTCAATAAATCATTTCTGTAAAAAATATGAATTACATTATCTTTCATAAAGATTTAAAGAGATTTGCTTTGATAATATAAAAGTGACAAACTTACAGTATTGGAATATCCACATTGTTACTTATTTTAATTCACTATTTTTTTCCTTTAGGTAATTTTACTATTCTGTGAATACTCAATCAAGTAAATATCAAAACCAAGTGGTGCTTTTTCTTAAACCCAAGCATGTTGAATTAAAGAGCTTCAGGCAGCAGTGCCAAACACACAGCCCCTGTACTGCCATCTGTCTGCTGTGGACAGGCACTGCTAACTCATCACAATACTTTTTCCACTGAGCCCAGATACAGCTTCAGAATCCTTCTCAACACCACACTCAGCCACTGCCAATGGATTTGAAGGGTCACCACAGATGGCCTACTCTTTGTCATCCCTAATATAAAGCAAGGATCAGGAACCCTTTTCATATTGAGTGTCACCTAAAGAAAAAGATGGAAAAGGAGTAAAGAACAAAAAAATAAGTGGAAAAATAGGAAAAGAGGAAGAGAGAGTGGTAATTAAGGAGAAAAGAGAAGAGGAATGAGGTGATAATGATTAGCAGTTCACTGGGACGAAATGTTTCAGTTCCAATTCAGTGGCGTCAGTATCAGAGTGTGCTTGCTTTTCTGTGACAGTTGAAATTCAAATATCTGTTTATTATAATGGCTGTAGGAGCATTATAGTAAGAATAATTGAAGGAGATATTTTCTTTTACATCTAACAATCAAGCAGGAGAGTAATAAAACAGACAAATCCAACATGATTTTTAACTTTTTACCATTTGCTCGGTTTGTTGAATGTCTTTTGCTGTGGTTTTCACTGAAGAGTTCGACAAGTCACACATGGAGCAAAGGAGATCTAAATAAGTCCTTGCTTGTTCCTGCAAAGCTCTGAAGTGTTTGACCTAAAAAAACCCCACAAACACATACTTATCAGAGTGAAAGAGACGCATGCTATATTTAGATAGCAGATATTTGTACCATTTGTAATGTTTTGTTGACATTTCAAAAATAATCTTGCTACACTCAGTATTTGCACCATTACTGTAAATGACAAATATTAGTGACTTGCAGGAAAGAATTCCAAACACACCGGCAGGAACCCATTTGTCCACCAGCTGCTTCTCGTTGTCATGTTGGCACCTGGTCTGGAACCCAAGAAGGATCAGTGTCCTCCTGTAACCACAGCTAATTCTGGTAGGTGTAGCGAACCTCCTGTTCTAGCAAAAGGTCATTGGGATTCACACTACTTTTCCCCATTCCTTTTCTTTCTTTCCTGGTAAAAAACAAGGAGAAAAATCCAGCTTTGTTCTGGATTGTTCTGAATAAAGTACATTGGAAACAAATGGCCACAAGAGGAGGAATGACTCAAGAAACCTCATAGTCTAATGAAAAAGCACAGGATAGACAATCTTTAATTCATTTCTTGAGTCAAGGAGAGCCATGTTTCATTTGTCCTGATCCTATTGTTTATAAGGTATAATATGTGCACTTTTGTGAACCATTTCACGACTTAAATAATGTAAATCTTTAAGCCAGAAAGTATAGTTTATGGAATGAATTACCTGGACACATTTTCTATGTGGACTAAATGCATAAGTACATTATTTTAACCTTAGTTTGAGAAAAAAAAAATTGAATTATTTACTTAGTACTGTGACATCATATCTGGCAGAAATAACCTTTACAACTAAATTCCTTTAAAATAGTTTTCCCCAGGGTTTGCACTGCATAGAAGAGCTGATTAGTACAAAAATTTTAAAAATATTCCTCACGTATTCTGATTGTTTCAGCAGCAACATTTTAAACATGTGGATGTCAAACTAATATGTAGTAGGTTCCTTTCACATGATAACAATGAATATTCCATTCATCGTTCATTCAACAAGTATTAGGCACCTGTTTTGTGCCAAAAAACTGGGAGAAGCTAATACTGCTTTCCTGTTTACAAATCACATACATTGCGGTATGACATTTAAATTTCTTCGTAACTTTCTGAAGCCAGTATACTTATAACCACTTTGCGTGTTAGGATACCAGGGCTCAGAGAAATTAAGTGACTTACTCATGGTCACCGCACCGAGGAGGAATTAGAGTAGATCTCTCAGCTACAGTGCCCATGCTTTTTCTATTCTACCAAGCTGTCCCTCAGTATTGCATCCACCTTCCTGGCTAGAACACGAACTTGACCAGAGTCAGGCGCAGACTTTACTTATACTTTCCTATTCCCAGGAGCCAGCACAGTTTGGCACAGAGTAGGTACCTAATACGCTTTCACTGAACGTCTGAGAGAATCACAATACAACATAAACTTTCAGGAGTCAAACTACCTGCTTAACGGCTTCCGCCCGGCTAAGAGGTGGATGTGGGCTTGGCTTTAAGTCTGGCTGGACTGCAGAAAGCCAGGCCTGGCACTGCTGTAGAGTGTCCTGTCGACTAACATGCTTCTGAAGTTCATGTTCAAGACTCTGGTACACCTGAGACAAAACAAGCACGAAGCAGTTGTGAGGGCTGTTTCAGACGTCCATAAAGACCCCTGGAATCAAGCAAAATATGTCCCCAAATCTATTCAAATAGATTTCCTCCCAGGACTCCCCAACACCATACACATATCTACAGAGTTTGCATATGTTCCAAAATGTTACAAAGCAAAATGGCCACCCCCAGCCTATAACTTCTCAACCCACGCATTACGATGTAATTTCCTCATTAGGGGAAGAGAACGTGGGCAGGGTTAACGTAACTGCAGAAATGGGTTAGAAGGCATCAAATCTCTGAAGAAAATTGTCAAACATAAATTAGAGGTTTTTGCAGCTTGCCCTGTGGTTTAAATATTGCACTTTTTGTTTAAGCTAGAAACTAAAAGTAAAAATAAAATGTTATTTAATGAAAAGATAACCAGTATTTCTCTAACTGAAACGCCTCTGCTTTAGGGGTAGGGTCAAATTGGGACTAAATTATAACATAGGAGGGGAGAGTTTCATACCTTCATTTCATTTTAGAAGCTGTGTTCCAAGATAACAATAATCTAGAATAACCTAAACATTTTATAATTTGTCTATTCAATTAATTAATCCTCAACCAGCCCACCAACTTCCATTTTATCCATAAAGAATATATTGAGAAAGTATTGTTTCTCCTTGAAATCAAGATGAAATAAATCTATGATATTTTCTGAACAAACTATTTCATTAAAAAATAAAATAAGAAGGAAATGAGGTTAGTCTGGCTTTTCTTTCATTGCTGCAATGACAGAAGTGGTAACTGAATTCTGCTTCTCTCTGTCATCTATTAAATTCGTCCTTTTCATCTGATAGTGGGACTACCCCTTATTTATTCTTATTGTAGCAGAACTAAAAAGAACAAAGCTGTTTTGTTCTCTTTATCGTTTTTGCAAACTTTAAGTATGAGGTTCTCACTATGTTCTTAGAGTTTCATCTGCTTTTAAAAATTTTATTTTAAAATTGTTTGTCTTTTGAATAGTTACCAATGTTTCTTTAAAAATTTAACCTGTACCCCTAATGCATAGAAAATAACCCTACAAAGGCAGTGTTCAATAAATCTCTGTTGAATGAGTGAATAAACGAGCTCACCAGAAAGCTCCATGCTGTTTTTTTCATCTTGCTCCCTCTTCCTCCTTTGTCCTTATTTGCAATTATTTGTCAGATTCCTTCATCCTTCTTTTTTATTAACTTTTTGAAGGTGAATTTTCTAGGCCTAGGGCATCAACTAACATTACCCAGCATTTTTTTTTTAATTATCATGACGAGCACAGACCATTCTCCCCATGTCACTTGTGTCTCCAGTTCTTACTGACTAGACCAGTAACAAAAATGCATGAACTTTTTGCTATGTCATTTAAAAATTCTAGAATAATAAAAAGCAATTCACTAATTTTACTCAATTTCTGTTAAAAGGAGATTCTTATCCATCTTAAGACTTATTTCTATAACATTAAGGATTCTATTTTAGTGAAAGCATATCCATTAAAATGTAACTCAAAATTGGTATTTATTACTTTTCTCAATTTCTATATGAATGCATAAAAATATTGAATTACAGTAGAACCCAGGCTGCACACATTTAAAAAGAAAATAATTATTGTGAAAATTACAGAATAAACTTATTTGGTGTTACAGAATAAATGGCAGATTAGAAAGAAATATTGATGACATTCAAATTCACAAAAATTTTTCACAATCAATTAATGGAAGAAAGGAATTGAATAAAACTGAATGTCTGAAATTCAGCACTTTGTCACATCAAATAAAGGTACGATATATTAGTATGTAATATAGTAATATGTAAATATAGATGTAAATATATGTAAATAGAGACTGTGAAATCAATCCTTCATTTCCTGTCTGGACATACACCAAAGCTATCCCAAAGACTTAAGCATCAGTAGTACTATTTTTAAAAACCTCTAGGGGCCAGCCCCGTGGTCCAGTGGTTAAATTCTTGAGCTCTGCTTTGGTGGCCCAGGGTTTCGCCGGTTCGAATCCTGGGCGCGGACATGACACTGCTCATCAAGCTATGCTGAGGCAGCATCCCACATGCCATAACTAGAAGGACCAACAACTAAAAATACACATCTATGTCTCGGGGGGCTTTGGGAGTAAAAGGAAGAATAAAATCTTAAAAAATAAAAAATTAAAACGCAGACCAGCGAAAAAAACACATCATCATTCTAGAATGTTCCACTAGTACTCACTCTCTGAGCTGTACTGCAGATTGCCGAGTAACTATCCCTCGTGCCCTGCAGATGAGTGTGCACATTTTGTTTAAGCTTCGCTTGAAGGTGGTCTGCACATTGGCTGATCAAATCGTCACCTTTAATTTTAAGGTTGTTCAAACGTTCTTCAAAACTCGCAATTTCTTCCATCATTGCCTACAAAAATGAAACCAATACGGAGTTCTCACAATTCCATTTTTAGTTTTTCAATAAGCCATTTATCAAACAGAAAGCTTAAGATCAATAATTTCACAGTTTAATGAAAGTTTTGAAAGAGTTTTGCAATTCATCTCAGTTACCATATTAGCAAATTTAAAAAAATAATGTATGTTTTCAGAGATACTTCAATGGGAAGAGTTACTCAGTTTAATGGATTAAGTTACATAGGGAATAATGAAGTAACCTTTACGACTAAAGAGAATTCATGACTGATATCACTTAGAGAGATACGTGCTCTCTGGTATTATTACCAGAGAAAAGGATGTTCATGCATTTTTTAGCTCTATAAATTATAATTCTGGTATAATTTATGTTTAAAACAATCTAATCACTATTTAATCTCATTTGTCTAATAAACTAATATCTGATTTATATAATAATCTAATATCTAATTATCAATTTATGTAGCATATAATTACATCTAATGATATTTATATTAATAAAAATAACATTTACCACTTACCATTTAGTAAGCACCTGCTAGAGTCCAGGAACTATATATAAGCCCTGATAAATGTGTATTATCATTATTTTACAGATGAGGAGACTGAAGTACAGAGAGGGTACATAATACGCTCAAGATCACACCGCTAGTAAACACAGAGCCCCAGGCTTTGGACCCCTCTCTGCCCGACTTCGGCTCATACATACCCACGTGTTCTCTGGCGAGCTTTCTCATAGATCGCAGAGGAGAGGAACACACTTTTTCAAATCAGGCTGTAATTTCTTTATTAATGTATGATGCTAATGACAGGTGACACCTTTCAACACAAGGTTTTCTGGGACATGCCAATATATCTAAGGGAAACTTTGATGGTCTCTCAGCAGCCCAGGATCCACCATTTTTTGCAATGGTGCTGAGTTAACGGTTATTAAATACAATGTATTGAAAGGATCCATTTTGTCTTCGAGTTGGAATAGAACCACCACATCATGAGATTACTGAAGGTATTTCCTCAATGCCTAGTAGAATATATCATGTGTTACTTTTCTATTCATCTTTGCTAAATAAATTCTCTCCTACAGGTAGGAATCCTGAAGCCCAGAGAGGTTAACTGGCTCTCCTAAGACACACTGCTAGATATTGACTATGTCATGACAAAAATTCAATTTCCAATTAAGGTCATCAAAATTGCTCCATAAAATTGTGGCCATATGACATCTGGCATATATAATTACTAAAAATACATGTTAATAAAGATGAGAACACCTCATATCAGTGCCATACTTGGCGGTTTACAGAGAGCTTTCATGTACATTATCTCTGTGATAACCACGACAGCTCTGTGACTGAGGAGGCTGACATCATTATCACTCTTCACAGAGGAGAAAAAAGAAGAGGCTCAGAGAGACTAAGTGCCTCCAGCTAGGAAGGAGAGAGTCTGGCCACAATCCAGACTTTCTGATTACTATTCCTGTATCCTATTTTTGGCTGCATGTTTCTAAAATAATCTCTTTCTTTGATGAATTGCTCCATAAAGATTAAATTCTGTGCTAAAAAACTGTTAGCTGGGAAGAATGCTACAATGTGTTCAGAAGTTGAAATGCCAGGATTTAACTGTTGTTGACTAAAATATTGAATTCAACTGTTCTCAACTGTCAGATGTTCTCGAGACTCAGACCTGATTCTTTCAGCACAGTCATTACAATTCAGGGATGCGCGTCCTGTATCCTTCAGCTCTTTGGATGTCAGCCTTACCTTGTGGTGGGCCAGTTGCTGAGTAATTGTCTCCAGACTGCTTGTCTCCATGAGGTCGGGCGCCACCAGCCTGCCTGACATCTGCAGCAGCCACTTTTCCACTTCTTGGAGCTCACTGTTGTAACCTTCGTGGTCTCTGACTTTTGCCTCGAGACTGCAGACATGCTCCTGTGAAGTCAGGTACCTGTTAGAGGTGACTTTCAAGCCAAAAGTCCACTCAAAACTCTTTTATATTTTTAAAAACCCAGTGCAACTCATAGGGTAGGTAAAGTTACACATATCAGGAAATTACTAGGAACAGAAAAAAACATGGATTCATTATGCCATTTTTGCGCCCAGCTGAATAAAAGGGAAAAATGCCGATGCATACCAGCCCTTACAATTTTCTGACACATAAAAAGGAGGCAGGAACATGATGCAGTCTATACAGAAGCCGAAATACAATGATATACACCTGAAATTTACATCATATTATAAACCAATGTGACCTCAATGAAATCAATTTTTTTCAAAAAAGGAGTCAAGACTCCCTTTTGGGCAAATAAGCACATTTTTATTGAATTTCTGATCTTTCCTTACCTTTCCTGCACTGCAGAGGTCCTGGTAATCATCTTGAAGTTTATCTATTTTCTCCTTTAAAGCAACATCCTGCACCAGTTCCAGAAGAGCTTCCCCTTTCTCTCGCACTGATTTTACTGATGGCTCGTGAGACAGTACCGTTTGTTGAAGAGACTTGAATTACAAAGAAAAAAAACAGCCAGTTCATCTACGTGATCAAGGTGAATACATCCATATGCCTGTAGCAAGTATGGGATGGTCTACCCTAAATAGAGATCTGATACATATTTTATAAATTAATAAATGTAAAATATCTAAGAGAGATTGATTTTTTATGGCTAATACAGTTTTTAAATACAGAATAAAAGTAACATATCAAATAGCCCTTCCATGTGGCGAGGGAAGTATGGAAAAGAATTATATTTGGCTAAATTTAACATAGTTCATATTTCTGGCTTCTACCTCATTCCTTTCAGCAGAGAAAAAATACTCAAAGTAAAATGAAGGGAGCAAGGTACCATCTTTTGATTTTGAGTTCAGGAAGTCAATTGTAGCTTGAGCTGGATGTGAAGTTGGGGAGATAAAAATTCCAGCCGCAACGTTACTGTGACCAGCTAAAAACATCTTAATATATAAAGAACTCAGTGGGGGAAATAAAAAGAAGAAAAAGCACTTGTGATTCTTAACGTGGCACCTTCAAAGACACGCTGTCAGGCTTGGCAGAAAAGCCATGGACAAGAATAGACATATTGGTTGGGGGAAGAAAAAGCTTCCGACAGGAAAAGCTTTGAGGTAAGCCATCACACTGTAATTCTTAAAGACTATTGCTAAATCATCCTGGTCAAATTTAGAATACAAATTATCCCACCTGTAAGCTTTTATAATTGTTTCAAAAATTTGAGGTGTTGAAATATCTATTATCTATAGGATGTATACCTATAACCACATCACTATTCTTTCAAAAGTTTCTAAGGCGTTTTGCTATTGTTGGTTAATTAGAACTTATTTTTTTACAGTTGGTTAATTAGAACTAATTTTCAACATACCATAGGTCAGTTTATACGCCTTGGGTACCCAAAAGATGAAGGGAAGACTAGATGAAAATTCAGATAAAACCTATAAATATGAGACCATGATGCTAGGAAGATTTATCTGGAGGATCCATATATCCGGATCTCACTGTCAGAATAGATCTCTATTTCTTGATACAATCTTTGAATATTAGGCAAATAGGATTCCCGGATGGAAAAATAACTCTGATGTAGTGCATCTAACCAAATAAATCTACGTCGCTCACCACCAGTAGAATAGACATGTTAAGGATGTTTCAGACATCCATTAAGAGTGACACACACCAGAATTCATCTCCCTCCCATTTAGTCCCTACATGACCTCCTCATACATTTGTCAATGAATAAGAACACACTACCTTATATTTAGATAACTGAGCTTTTTTCTCATATAATTCCATTTTGGGTTCTTCAGGAATCTGTAGGATTTCTTGGTATTCTGCTATCCATTGAGTTAATGCTTTATATTTATCTGAGAATTCCTTTGCTAAATGAAGGCCTTTTTCCAGAGTCATGTGCTCTTTTCGGACAGTGCTGGTCAGTTCCTTCAACTGCTCCACGTGATGGTGGATCTCTTTTCTTAACGTCTCTGCCTCATCATCCTCTAAGTATCTAAGAGCTCTCTCTCCTTTCTCCCGGGCCGATTTCAGCAAACTGTGGCCTTTCTCCATGTCTTTTAGCAAACCCTGAGAGAGCAGGTAGGGAACAAACATAGAATTAGTCTTATTTCTTTCCTTTTAAAGAAGAGACTTTCAAGTCCCATTCTTGAGTGCATCTATTTCCCCTTAAAATACGTTTTTGAAGTTTAGAACCAGATTTGACCTGCCAGGAATCCTCTTTTCTTTATTTTAATACACGCTTTAAAAAGTCTTCATCAATATACCACTTCCAAATAAGAGTCTTAAAAAAGAACTTGATGTTTCTCTCATCCTTAGCAGTGTTCCTAGAGATGTGAGTGAAAACTCTAAGGCACAATGCCATGAATTTGAGATCATTTTTTCTCTCTTAATATTTACATTAAATTGGAATTTGGTTAAGAATTTTGTGAGCAGTCATGTTTAAGACATTCAGATGATATTATATCATAAATAAATGGAAGCCAGCTTTTGGACTTAAAGAGCTTATAACTTAGTGCAGTCATACACCACATAACGATGTTTTGGTCAACAACAGACCGCACATACGACAGTGGTCCCATAAGATTAGTACCATATAGCCTAGGTGCGTAGTAGGATATCCCATCTAGGCTTGTATAAGTACAGCCTAAGATGTTCACACAATGATGAAATTGCCTAACAATGCATTTCTCAGAATGCATCCTCATCATGAAGTGATGCATGACTGTATTTGGAGTGCAATGATGAACCAAGGATTACTAATTATGCTACGCAGGAATGAACACATGTGCTCCCAATATCTACACAGGAGACTGGAGCAGCTCAGTGAAAGGTGAAAGGTGGAGAGACAAGTCTGATGTCTGCTTGCCTACCTCCAGTGTCCTCATTTTTTTCCCCATCATTGCTTGATCTACTTTATCAATTTTGGCAGCCACATTTTTGAAATTTTTATGAGTGGAGCTGTACCAATCAGAATAGGAACTTAGGGATAATTCTGATTCCTCCAAACTCTGGATCTCTTCCTCCAGGAATTTTATTTGTTCCTTTGAAAGAAAAGAGAAAATTGAGCAGTGAATTAAAGACCTATGCCAGTGTTTTTCTTGAAAAATATGCATCTTCACCGGAAGTTAATGAAAAAAGGAACATTTGGGCTTGTGAAATTCGCTGGCCTGCAGTGAGCAGCTGATGGCCCGCTCACCAGGACTTGGAGAAGAAGGGCCTGGTATCTGGAAGTCAGCTGGGTGGCCTGGCAGCCCAGTTGGCTGCTCACGTGGCTCTCGTCCAGGATCTCCTGCGCTCTGGCTCCCACTTCCTCAACTTCATCTCTGTATGTGGTGACTTCTTCGTGCCACTTCTGAAATGATGTAAGTATTGGAAGAAAGGTTTAAAGCTCAGGCATTCTTGAATAAGACAAATATATATATCTTCTCAATAGAAAATGATCTTAATATATGTTTAGAATACTTATTCTAAGATATAATTTTGAAAATATATCATATATAACTTTCATGAAAAATTGTATTGCAACAACATGATAAAAACAAAATAATTGATTTGGGCACTTTCTGTATACATTACACTGTAGTTCAAGAAAAAAATAAAATTTTATATATATATAATCTTTTTAATGGGAAATGATTTCAGTGTATATTTATTCTGAGATATAATTTTGAAAATGTATCATATATAACCTCCAAGAAAAATTGGATTATAATAACATAATAAAAACTGTATACTTTATGGGTTTGAGTACTTTTCTATATATATTACACTTTAGTTCAAAAATTTAAAGAAAAACAGAGTAACATAAATTTTTATATCTTCTGTTAGGCTTAGGTAAATTTAAAATAGATAATAATGAAAAGAAATTCTAAATGCTTAAGTACTGTTTTGATCATGTGCACTGAACTTACATAAAAATTATAATAAAATTATCAAGTATTGTTTCAATGCATTATATGAAAGCAATTTCATAACAGAACCATAAACTTCAATGACTGCAGTGCTAGCATCTATGTACCGTTACAAAGCAAAGTAACAGGGTATGAGAAGAAAAATAGAAGATATTTCATTAAATTATATTTTATTAAAGACCAATTTAGGATTCTATGAAATAATTGCTGTACGAAGAATGCACTGCTGTAATTTATTTTAAATCTCTAGGCAAGTGAAAAGAGATTTTGCAAAATCTAAGTCTTGGACAAAGTTACTAAATCTTTTAATGAAACAAATGATGCAGGATCATTGCTACTTTGACAAAGAACAATAATTTACGCCAGTTGTACCTTCATCTGATGCAACTGTGTCTCCTTGGTTGCCCGGTTAGACTGACGTCCAGGCCTGAGACTCACTTTCTCCTCCAGTGTTTTCAGCCACTCATCTACTTGCTGAAACTTTTGTTCCATCAGCCTCAATTTGTTGACTACATTGTTGAACTGAGTCCGGGTCTCAGACAGTCTCTGCTGGTAAGCCTGCCAGTCCTGCCGGAGTGACTCTAAAGCTCGATCCTCTGTCTGGGGGATGCCCGACGGGATCACTTCCTCTCTGGTGTGCAGCACTGAATTCAGCAGCGCCTGCCCCTCTGCGCAGTGCACTTGTAGCTCCTGCCGGGGAAGAATATGGCGGTCACATGTCATTCATATTTTACACCTGCACAGCTTATCACATCTCACCCAAACCAACAGTGCCAGCCTGAACTTCACTTTAGAAAAGAATGATTTTGAGCCAGGCTTGATGGCCTAGTGGTTTAAGTTCCATGTGCTCTGCTTCAGCCACCCGGGCTTGGCTCCTGGGCACTGAACCACACCACTTGTCTGTCAGTAACCATGCTGTGGTGGTGACTCACATAGAAGAACTAGAAGGATCCACAGCTAGAATATACAACTATGTACTAGGGCTTTGGGGATGGGAAAAAAAAAGAGAGGAAGATTTGGTAATAGATGTTAGCTCAGGGCAAATCTTTCCCAGCAAAAAAAAAAAAAAAAGAAAAGAAAAGAAAAGAAAAGAAAAGAAAAAGAAAAAAAAGAAAAAAATGATTTTATTCTGTCTTATACAAAATATGTTTACCTAACACTGAATATTATACCCTAAGGCAGAAGAAATATTCTGAAATATTTCCAATTAAAATAATCAAAATGTACATATACACATATAAATGGACACTAACACACAGAAATACTTTTCTCAATCGTCTTAAAAACAATTTCTGAAATTTGACTTCTAAACTTACAGGCAAAAACACTTGTGATTAAAGGGTTATTGTTTAAAAGAAGAACCTAGGCTTTGTATGACTCATAATCTGTTTAAACTGCCTAAGGCTTCTTGCTTTGACATTGAAAGGGATCCGTGCTACACTTGTGGCTGAGAGAGGAACAATGGACGCTCTTTTTGCTAAGGAGGGATCCTTTGCCAAAGCTGTTCCAGGGACTGCAAAGGCCAAGAAAGGTTGGCTCTGGGGAGTCCAGGGCACATAAATCTGGGATGTTGAACCATCACAGCTGCCCTCTAGGTGCTCCCAGGTGCAAAAAGATTTTCCTCCACCAAAGCATAAGACCCCAAAATTTACCCTACAAATTCAGACTGACCCGACTCTTAAAGAGCATAAACTATTTTTCTTAGAAAGAAAAACTCTTATATCCTTAAAGATGTTGGCAACACAATACTGTATACTTGTATTTCTAATGTTTAAAAACTCCATACTGTTACTCTATCTGATCATCTAAAGTCGAAAGGAACCGAGTCAAATCCCACCAAGAATGTTAAATGTAGCAACATATTTAGTTAAAAGACAGTATTATAAAAAAACTTTGATATTAGCTTAAACCATGTCAAATTGCTAATATCTGACTATTTTTATGTGAAAAAATAGCAATCTCATATGCTTCAAACTAATGGATACATTTTTCTTCAGCTATGATGTTACTTCAAGAATGTTATAAAGTGAACATATTGTAAATGGAAGAGAAGAATGCTAAAACACTAATCAAAATGGCCATAAACACAAATTTTATTCCAAAATTCTTATAATTCTTTTAAAGTTAATTTTGTACAATCTCTTTTCTTAATCCAGAGGTTGGCAAACTTTTTCTGTAAAGAGCTGGATAGCAGATATTTTAGGCTTTGTGGGCCATGCATTCTCTGCTGCAGCTACTTACCTCTGCCTCAGTAGCACTAAGGCAGCCTCTGGCGATACATAAATGAATGGGTGTGGCTGTGTTTCAATAAAACTTTATTTAAAATACAGGCACTGTGGGCCATAGGCTGTAGTTTACTGATCCTTGCCCTAATTTATTAATCTTCCCAATATATCACCCTTTCCACATTATATAACAGTTTTCTCTATCATACAAATCATCTCTGTATTAGATAAATTCTTTTATGTCCCATATTTCAAGTATTTATTCTGAAGGGAAAATATGGTTCAATATTCTAAAAATCTATATGTTCTGTGACCCAAATTAGGCGTTCAGTTTATACAAAATAATTTGAGTGTGGTCCACACTGCTGGCTGACCTCTACACCACTGGGAACGCTGTAGGACACTAGGATGCTGAAGAAGTTCTGCTGTACAGCAGGATTATCACAATTCTCCTCTACCTTTTTTTGCCACTATCATTTTACCTCCTTTTTAATGCTTGTGGTGACTCAAAATAAGATAACAGAAGCATTAATGCATGGTGAAAGAAGAGGGGGGAGCTGGGTTTGGACCACATTACCATTGACTGAAGTAAAACATTTTCTTCTGACTGGAACAAGAGCAACATCTGCTGGTGACGAGTAACTTACCAGTCCAGCTCCTACAGAAACCTCGAGAGCCGGGCATCTGCTTGCCAAGACTGTCTGGAGTGAAGTGCTGAGAGGGGCCATTTAGCCAAAACAGTTCACTCTGCTGAAATAACTTACAGCAGCTAAAGCTGGCAGACCAGAGTATCCTACTATTTTAAAACAGAATGGATGAGATCCTTAAATAAGCTAAAGAAATTATGATCCTTCTAACTTGGACTATATATTTATTTCATGAATGGATCATTATTTAAAGATTTTCTCCCATCTCCTTTAATCCTTTCACAACTCGTCTGTGGAGGAAACTGAGTTAGAGAGGTTCTCTCTTGCTCAAAGTCACCCAGCGTCAGGTCCCACCAAGGATTGGAGTCTAAGCTTCCTAACCCCAACCTTGTGCCCCTGCCATCATATAACTTTCCCCGAGACCAACTGAAATAGACAGAAATCTTACACGCCAGTGATGACCATCTCAGTCTCTGCTTTTTCCACCTTGTTCAAGCTGTAGGTACATCTTGCACTATCCTGAACGAATTTTAATGAGGGCTGATAGCATGTCAGTGAGTTCCATCATACAACTAGTGGGATATGGAGTTGACTTGTTGGCCTTTCCCCATTCTCTATTGTGTATGGCTGGTGTCCCCTTCTTGGGGCACCTCTCTAGCCCCTACCTCTCTAGGTAAGATTAAGGGCCTCTCTTTGATGCTCCCATAAGATCCCTTGCATTAGTCTGTTATTGTTCTTATTACATTGTTTATAATGATCTACCAATAGGCCTGCATTTATGACTAGATTGTAAGTTCCTTGGAGGCAGGAATAATATTTTAATCATCTTTACCTGAAGTAGCTAGCCAAGAGTCTGCACTGTATCAGGTATTCAATAATGCTGAATGAATAAATAAGTAAATGGGTTAGGACCACTTTCCCCACTTAGGTGTGCCATCTTGCTCTAAATTGCAGCCTTCTTGCCTGAGCTCCAGCATTTTTTCTAGCTCCTCTTATGCCTTCTTCTAGGACTCTGACCCTGGGCCTACATCCTCAGTATGTGGGAGGTTTGGGTTAAGACCAGATGGCTCAAGATGGTGTCATCAGTTTGACTTTGAGGAGTGTCACATTCTCTTGACTCCTGTTGCTAGGGCCCACATCTAATTCGATCCTTTAGGGAACAACAGGCAGGTAGGCCAGTCAACACCATACATTACATCACTAGTCATTCCTATGAGAGGTCACCTTCGTAGCTGAACGAATTCCTCAAGTTTCAGTCCTGCTCAGTGTAAATTGCCTACCAAGCGATCTCGACTGGTATACTACTGAGGTCCCAGAATGTTCTAGATCAGAACTTATGAGGGTTTCACTTAATATGTATCAGCTATTTATAGGCTTTAAGGTCATATTAACTTCCCATTGCTTAAAATAATAATTCCATATTCAGAATGAAAATTCCTTTGCTTTACCTGAAGATCCCGCAATGTTGACTCATGAGTGTGGGCATCACCTTCAAGAACTGAGTATCGGTCAAGCTTTTCTTGTTCTTGCCCCAGCCAAACTTCAAATGCCTTCAGGTCTCTCTGATACTCTTGGTGCAATCGAACTAGTTTTTCAGACTTGGTTACTGCTTCCTGTTATTAACGTTTAAGATAATTAAGAAGGGAATACATTACTACGTGCACTTTCAATGTACTGTAAGAATTCACTTTGGGAATTTTAGAAAAGCATGATTAGTAAATAATTGGGAGACGAATGGTTTCCTAGAACAAGGAAAATTCAAGGTTTCTGTAAAAAATATAAATACATAGTGTCAGGATTAAAAGAGATCTTAAAGATCACTTTGTTGAATCAACTTCCTGATCTCTGAACTCCTAATGAAATGTAACAAGGACATACCAAAAAAAGGAAATAACTTTACTTGTCATAAAAATAAACTTTTGCTCATGAAAACATTTGGAATTCTTAGACCCTGCCTTCAGTGAGGATTTGGACTCATTATGGATTTAATTTTCCATATACTTTCTCTAATGAAGTAGGATGCGCTCTAAAAAGCTATTTTTATTTTCTTTGTGAGGCCTAAATGAAGAACGATAAATACTATTGGTGACCATTTCCTGCTTTAGAAAACTCTACTCGCCATACATAATAAGGCATTTATGAGTCTTCATTATGAAGCCATCCAGAATTTTTCTTAACTTGGTACACTTCTAGGATTTTTGAGTTGAGAATTATTTTCTTCAGTAACTTTCACAAACTAACAATATTTGAAGATTTTGTTTGGTTTTGCCAGTGGTGTATTTAAGGTATTAATATTCATTTTGCCTGTTTTGTGCTGTCTACTTTCATTGTCTGTCATTTTTAAAAATAAATGAGTCTTTAAATAAGCACAGCTCTAAACACTGGTATTTCAGTGAGTCCGCATGGAACACAGTCAGCCATACCTTGGCCCTCTCTTTGATTGCCCTGTATCGCTCCTGTAGATCCTGGAGTTCTAACTGGGTGACGTAGTGTTCCGTCATGCCAGCCCCCTTGACTTCGATGGTCTCCAGCAAGCTGCTGTGACTCAGAACTTCTTCATTTAGTAACTAGAGAACATTCAAAAAAATAAAGGAGTTACCACATACATCATCCTATCAATGATACTGCTAAAATTAAGATGTTTTAACTGTACATTTGACAAGTGATCTCAGATTATCGATAGATAGATAATCTACCCATCTATCTATCTATCTATCTATCTATCTATCTATCTGTCTATGAATGTATGTGTGTGTGTGTATGTGTATTTGATATCTGGCCAAGAATTTTCTCTGAGATACTGATTCCAATTGACTTGGATATCTCAAACTTAATGGGTCCAAAAATGGGCTCTGGATCTGCACTTCACCCCATCCTTCCCTAGCCCACACCAAACTGCCTTCTCCTTCAGTCTTTTTTAAAACAGTAAATGGCACTACTTCCCACCCAAATGGTCAATTCAGAACACTGGAAGTCACCCTTTCTCCCCGTTTTCCATCATTCCATCTGTGATGAAATCGTGCTAGTTCTGTCTCCTCATTATATCCTAACATTTGTCCTCACGTCTCCTGCAAACTCCCTACCCCATGCTGCTATCATCTTTTACATGGACTTTTGCAATATCCTGCTTGGCAGGTGACAGATTCTCTGCCACCAATTCTTGTACTGTCCCTTTTTCTAAACTCCACACAGCAGCCTGGGGGATAAAGATCATAAAGGGAATCATGTCATCCCACTCCCCCCAGCTTATAACATGGATTATCTTCCCAGTGCTGTCAGGATCAAGTGGAGAATCTTCAGGCTGGTTAGCATGGCGATGCATGATCTGGTCCCTGCCACCTCTGTCAACTCACCTCTGTTTATTCTCCACTCCAGCAATACTCCGCCATTCTTTTAGTTCCCCTTTCGAGCCAAGTTCTCTCCTACCTCAGGGCCTGTGGACATGCTGATTATTCCATCTGGAATACTCTTTTCCCACCTCCTCCCCAGATCAATTTCTCTGCACTAAATTCCTTAGGCATAGTCCACTTGTCTACTGTTTGAAAGAGGCCTTTCCTAGCCGTTCCCTGACTCCAAGCAATCCTGTCCACAGTACTCTCTCTCACAGCGTGCCACTTTTTTCTTCAAGGTGCTTATCACCAGTTACAATTATTTATTCATGCATTTATTGATTGTACATGTCCCCACCAGAACCCAATCTTTGTTTCATTTACCTAGAATCTGGAACAGTGCCTGCATGCAGCAAGTTCTCAATATTTATTGAATAGATGCATAATTTAATTAATTAGGCAGCAGATAATTATGATTATATTAATTTTCAGATGCATAAATGAGATCCAGAAATGTTAAGTGATTTGACATACATCACATAAGGTCTTTTAGTCATTCGGATAGCTTTTACTCAGCATTTGCTCTGTGTCAGACAGAGTCAAATGAACAGGATATAAGGAACATTAAGCAACATTCTCCACTGAGGGAGAGAGATATGTAAGCATATATTCCATAAAATTGATGAAGAGATATGAACAACAGAGAACAGAAGAACTAATTAAGCCTAAGGTGGTGGTGTTATCCTAGCAAAAATGGCTTCTGAACTAATTCAGAAAGGTGAGTAGGAGGGTGCCAGGTGCAGAGGCTAAGGAATTCTGTGAGAGGAAACAGATTCCGCTAAGGCATGGAACCACTTAATTCCATTTAACGCGGCACATTCAGGAAATAGTGAGAAATACAGTAAGGCTGAAGCATGGGTGGAAGGAGGGTGAGAGAGGGAAGGAAATGAGGAGGGCAAAGGCAATTACTGAAATTCTTAAAAACCAGGTGAGGGAGGTTGGTTTGACACTGTAGACAATGGAAAGGCAACGGGGCACACAGGCAGGAAAGGGAGATGTTCACCTTTATATGAAGAGAACAGTAGATGGAGACAAGAGACAAAGCAGGAGTTAGGAGTCTGTTGCAATTCAGGGAAAGAAGGATGGATTAGAGCCAGGAGACATTTCTGAGATGGAATCAGCAGGAGCTAAGGCCTAACTCAGAGTGGGGATGAGAAAGAAGGAGCTGGGGATAATGAAGTTTCCAATTTAGGATATCCAGTATGAGTTACACAAACGAACTGAGATTGAGAATATGAGTTTTGGAAGGATTTTGGAGTAGAAGATAGCAAGAAATGCTTAGGACATGGGAAAGTTGAGGTGGAACAGGTCATCCATGAATGTGCCCTGGAGTAAGGCTATAAATCAAAGGTCTCCAAAATTTTATATTTGAATACTACTATCAATAAAAAACAGATTTAAGAACATATCCCCAATATTGTTATTTATTTAAAAACTCTTTACATGAAGTACCCTTTTCATAAGCATTATGAAAAATGTACAAAAATAGAAACACAACAGGATGTGATAAAAAGAGAGCATTTTTACTTCCTAATGATGAGCAGGCTGAAGATATTAAAAGACAGTACAAATTGCCAAATTTAAACGTATCATAAAACATGGGTCTTTGAGGTTTTCCTGGAAGAGAAAATTTTCACTCACTAATAAAATAGCCACAAACAGAAGTCTGGTTTAAGAGGCCGTTAGAAATTATAGTCAAAACCCAATGTATAATGTACCTACGGGAACACCCCTGATTACCAAAAATGGGATATGGATAATCCTATTTTTGTATGACAATGGCATTCTGAAGAAGTCTGTCAGAGAACACAGGGAATCAGAAAGCCAGCCCCACCTTGGCTTTCCCCAGAGCAGTTGTCTTCTCCCGCAGCTCTGCGTACTGCCTTTCAGATTCATTCAGGCTGGCTTCCACACCGTCCATCCAACTGGAGAACTGGCGAACGTCATCTTGATAACTTGTCCACTTAGACAGAGCTCCTTCAAGTTGACTGAAAGGTATTTGATAGGACAATAATCTATATTGAGAAGCCTTATAAATCCAACCTGCCACCCTTTGTCATTGTCTGCTCTGTCCATTCCACCAGCAGGAAGCCCAGAGACATGGGCAGGCTTGGGGTGGGCTGCGTGGCGAGGGCTTGCCAAATCTGAGTCTGGGTCCCTGGCAAGTATAGCTTCAGGAGGCCAGGGACAGTTAAGTCCAGGCCAACAGGAGGAAAAGTGGGACTGGATATAAAACCTGGCCCAGGTCGCATGAGACACGAGGAGGGCAACACCACGAGAGGTCCCCTGAGCAAGGCTTTCCTGGAGCCAAGACTCTGGGCAGGAAGAGAATCCATACTTAACTCCATCTAGTTGACCAGGGCATCCAGAGGAGAGAAAAAAGGAATAAAAGACGGAAGGGAGAGTCAAGCAAGAACAAGCACAATAACTATCTTGGATGAGATTTAAAAATCAAAAATTCACAATGGAAAAATAGGGTAACATTTCCTGAATTGGTCTAATTATTAAAACCTGATTATTTCTCTTATAGATAAATTAAGCATTTCCTTCTCTCAATACGGATGTTTCATTTTAAACTCCATTAATCACTCGTGTCTAATTTTACAAGCATGCTTTGAGTCCTTTTGTAGCAGACACTGCGCTCCACCCACACATACCCTCAGACCCCACCACTGCAGCAGGATGCCAGCTGGACTCCTGATTGCCAGCTCCACGCCCCCTCGGCCTGAGGGCAGTCTCCGGTCGGGTGGTGGTGCCTCTCAGCTCAAGGCTGATGTAGGCAAGAACTGCCAGGGATTTTTGCCTCCTGGGGGGCAGCCCTCAGCTGCCCTCCTGGCTCCTGGCAGTTTGTTTATAAATATTCCAGCCCGCCTGCCCTCACTGGGTAACTCCAAGACACATGGTCTATACTGGCTCCCAGCATCGCTGGCCAGATTAAGTTCTAGCTACCCACTGCAGGACACTGTTTGATAACACGCCTTTTACTGGCTGCTCTCCCTTCCTCAGCTCTCCTTCCCATTCCCCACTGGTGTTTCCTGTAGTTACTTCCCAAGGAAAGTACTTGGTTTTAACTAATATATCTATATATGATGAAACATTTGTTGATCTTTTGACTTTTTAAGCAGTCAACAACAGCAAAAGAAACACGCAGTTATAGTTATATTAAAACATAGGCATAGTGTTGTAAGTCAACCTAAATGCAAGACTGTACCTGCCAGTTTCTTTTGTTCTAAGAAGAAAAAAGGGAGGGAGAGAGGAAAGGAGGGAGGGAGGAAAAGAGGGAAGGAAGAAAATGGGATGAAGGGAGGGAGAAATAAAGGGAGGGAGGGAAGGAGAGAGGGAGGGAGAGAAGGAAGGAGGGAGGAAAGGAGGGAGGGAGGAAGGGAGCAAGGGAGGGAAGGAAGGAGGGAAGAGAGAGGAAAGGAAGTAAGGGAGGGGGGAAGGAGGGAGGAAGGGAAAAAAGAAAACCCTAGGAACAGTCTGTTCCTGAGCTATCACATTGATTTTTAAGTAATGGCTTCGCAGCAGTCGCTCTAGCATCACTGACCTTTTACAGCGAATCCCTGCAGACAGGAGGGCAGCCCACATGTCCTTCACGCTCTGCAGTTGCTGCTGAATGGCAGCAACACCTTCCGGAGAGGTGTTCTGAAGGACAGACTCCCCTCTGGTCACTATCATTTTCATCTGGATCTCTTTCTCCTGTTTCACTGACAGCAGAGCCTATAAAAGCAAATACAGAAGTCCTTTGTCATTTGTGTGTTTAACATTTATGACCTTAAACATTGCAGAGCTCCAAAAGATAGCAGAATGACAAACAACTGTGTTGAGCCCTGGATCTCTCAGGCTGATGCAGTGGAGGGTGGGAGAGTCACTTGCTGTGAGGGCCAGTAACCCGTCACCAGTTACCTGCTGGTCTCCAAGGGGCCTTGACTTTTCAGGTCTCAATTCTTCTCTGAATAATTCCTTCTTTCCACTAAAGTTTTATTTCACTGGTTTTCAGTAAGAGAAAAAATAGACTACAATAGAATTCAGAAATTCTCAAAGGTCACAGGATGAAGAGCTTTATAGATTTCAAGGTCTCTAGCACAATAAACTGAAAGAAATAGATTAATTCATAGGATAACTTAAATATTTCAAGTTCTTTGCAAGCTCTACTCTTTTTCTGTATAAAAAGGAAGATTTGAATTCAAAGTTATAAAACCGATAGTTTCCCCTAAGGGGCAAAGCTTCATCTCTCTCCCTCATCTGGACCTTGCTGACCTCTCCAGATTCAGCTTCAGCCACTTAGTACCGTCAGTTTTTGCTGCAGCAACAAGGAACTGCTGGCAATTTTTCACACACCATGCTACTTGTTTTCCTAAGATTTCACTCATGCTGGCACCATTCTCAAATCTTGGTTTAGGTATTAGACTTTCTGAGAAAACTCCTCTGACTCTCAAGCCATCCCTTCTGCACAGTCCTACTCCTCTCTCTGTCTACAACATCCTAAGCATATCCCTCTCTGCTATTATTGTCTTCTCTGTTTCAGCCTCCAGCCTCAGACAATGAAATCCTGAGGAAAGTGACCATATTTTACTCATTTTTGAATCCCCGGTGTCAAGACAGAGTGCCAGTTTCTTGCAAGATACCCAGTATATGAATGAGAGGTAAATAAATGCAGAATAATTATTTTATCACAAATGGAAAATAGAACTAATATCTTGGGATGAGAGAAGAATTGCTTAAATGATACAGGCAGGCAAGCAAGTTGAAGAAGATGGGAAATGTTTTGCCCTATAAAATGTTTTATCAAAGTATTTGCTCGGAATAAATATTGTCTGTGATGCAATTTGAAACTAGCCTCTTAACTGGATATATCAAGCAAGTAACCACGTTTAGGTTGCTATTTTTTAAAGTTATTTTATTGAGGTGGTATTGGCTTATAACATTGTGTAAATTTCAGGTGTACATTATTATATTTCGGTTTCTGTGTAGACTGCTTCATGTTCACCACCAATAGTCTAGTTTTCATCTGTCACCATACATATGTGCCCCTTTACCCTTTCCGCCCTCCCCCCACCCTCTTCCCTTCCAGTAACCAGCAATCTGTTCTCCTTATCCATGAGTTTGTTTATCTTCCGCATATGAGTGAAATCATACATTATTTGTCATTCTCTGACTTTTTTCGCTTAGCATTTATGGGTGAACATGTCTGGGGTCAAATGATTCAGGAAAGCTTAGGCCAGGACATCCTATGCAAACAGGGTCACACCCACAGAGCATTCTTCAATGTCTTGTGGAGAGTGTGACATAATCCACCAGGCAGACAGAGACTTGACAAACTTCGAGAAAAACAAATTCTGTACGTTAGAGAAATTTCTCTAAAAGTGCGCACCTCAAGTTTGAGCATCCTGCTGTCCAGCACGCTTTTGTCAGATGTTGGGTGGCAGTAAGAGTCCAGCATGTGAACGGCATCTGTCATCCAGTCCTGAAGTTCTTTAATCCCGAGGGAGAATTGATTGTGCTCTGCCACAGTCCTATCCAGCCTTGACACTTTCTCCTGGAAAGGACAGGAATCGGTTTCCAGCTGTCCACGCCACAAAGACTTCACAGCCTAAAGCTACTCAAATTGTAAAGCTAGCCATTTGTTTCAAATAACTACCATCAGCCATAAATCCATATGCTGCGCAGATCTGATCATGTCTGTATTAATCTGTGAGACGTATGGAATATCTCTCTCAATAGTAAAAATAGAGAATACTTGGATCAGAAATCAGAAAAATTACAATTTACTGCCCCTCGACTTTCTTGTTATTCTTCTTTACGACAGTTGTGACTGTTTTCCCAGAATCAGTAAAATTTCTTCCTAATGCCTTGTCCGGGAGACAAATCAAAGCATTTCTACTTTTCACATGTCACATTTGGCTCAACTGATACCACATACCCATGTGGCCTACACTGTAGCCAGTTCTAAAAATCAATCATCTGAGATTTTGGAATATCCCTACATTTTAAAAATTGGGACTATAAAGGTGATTTTATTAATTAAATGTTATATCCAACACAGTGAAGACTTTATGAATATAGTTTATAGCTCTGAAAGCATTCAAATATCTATTGATTTTGTTTTTAGTGGGGAAGATTGGCCCTGAGCTAACATTTGTTGCTGATCTTCCTTTTTGCTTCTTTTTCTCCCCAAAGCCCTAGTACATAGTTGTATATCCTAGTTGTAGATTGTTCCAGTTCTACGTGGGATTCCTGTCACAGTTTAGTCTGCGACCACGATCCCAACTGGTGAAGCCTGGACTGCCAAAATGAAGCACGTGAACTTAACCACTTGGCCACAGGGACAGCCACTCCATTGACTTTTGGTGTCTAAATAATTACAAAGGAATAGAAAGATGTCCTTAGTTCATTTTAATTCTAGATATGCACCAGATTTTCTAATGACAAAAAAAGGTAACATATCCATAGAAAAAACATGGATGCAAACCCAGACTATTTGCTCCAAGACCTATACTAGTGGAACGGTCTCAATGATGTTTTATTGAGGACTCAAATTAGCAGACCAGGGGCTGGCCCCATAGCATAGTGGTTGAGTTAGTTCAGTGTGCTCCACTTCACCAGCCCAGGTTTGCAGGTTTGGATCCCAGGGACAGACCTACACCACTCGTCAGCCATGCTGTGGTGGTGACCCACATACAAAGTGAAGGAAGACTGGCCTGGATGTTAGCTCAGGGACAATCCTCCTCAAGCAAAATAAGAGGAAGATTGGCAATAAATGTTAGCTCAGGGTCAATCTTCCTCAGCCAAAAAAAAAAAATTTTTAAATAGCAGACCAGAAGTAAGTCCACACTAAAATAGGTGAAGCCAAATTATAGTAGGTTCTTCACATTCTAAGATCTGAAATGCAAGAGAGAAATGTAGGGAACAAATGTTACAAGGTGGGCCTGCCCCACAAAGTTCAAGATGGGTCTGTTTTATACCAGCTGAATGCTTTAAATGATGTCAAAGTGGGATCCCATTTATTTTTTTCTAAGCTGTTAGAAAAGAGAGATAATTAGTTATATGGATCATTGCCAACTTTGAGCTCTGTTCTAGAATCTGAACTGAAACTCTCAATCAACACATCATTGCCTGCTACGTAATAAATATAAAGGACTTAGGTTAAAAAATTATCCCAAACTCATTATATTTAGTCCACTAAAATTTAAACTGCTTTGAACTCATGTTTTTCTAAAGTAACTTAATGTGAGCTTCTTTAGACACGAAATTCTGAAGGTTTGCCTTATGTTTATGCTTTGAGTCTTCAAAATAAGAGCCCTGGGGAACATACCATTTCAGTATTAAAGGGAATATTTTGTGCAATAATAGATTGGAAATCTCTTCAATCTTGGGAACCTCCCTTGCTCTTTTCAGACAACCACAGCAAGAGGAGGCAACACGAATGTTTGACTTGGATTACAAGGCTGGGAATAACACGTACACGCCTATGCCTGACCTGGGCTTCTCGGGCTGGATACTCTGCACAGCCCTACTGAGACTCCAGATTTGGGACCTCGGTACCACACTCACACACAGCACATGGCAGGCGTTACCTTTGTTAAATTGCTTAGAGCTAGATACTGAGAAGACAGCTGCGACACTCTGTGCATAAAGCTCTTGCTGGCAGCTTGTCCTTCCCACAGCTGCTGAGCTTTCTCTTTTAGCCTGTTGAGCTGAGGTTCGTAGCAGTTTATTTCCTCAAGGACAGACTGAAAAGCACAAGCACGTTACTATTAAGAGGCAGGGGAAAAGCACATGGGGACGAAGCTTTGGCCCAAAGAACATGGAAATAAACACTGACAAGTAATAGGTGTGCCCTGAAGACTTCATTATTTCCAAGTTACACACAGTATAGACTATAGGACGGAAACAAATCATACCAAAAGGAAAGCCAGAAAACATAAAATCTGTCAGACAGAGGGAAAGGACACACTATGTTCAAGGTGGGTGATCTACTTGAGGACGCTCGGCATGCTCCTGATTGCACGGATGTACAGAGGATGAGGATAAAGACTGGTCTTCACCTGGAGCTTCTGTTGTTCTCTCCTCTTTGCAGGCAGATCATACAGGCGGTTGCTGCTTTCATGCACCACCTTCTCGGTTTTACTCAGCCAGTCCTGTACAGGCTCAGCGCTTACTTCAAAGTCTTTCATTTGGATCTTTAGATTCTACGAGGTTTTAGACAGTGTTAGGCACAAAAAAGATTTTAGTCCAAGTCCAAAGTCCTTCAGTTGGCATTCAGTTTGGCCCTTGCCCTCCCCTCCCCTTCTTTCTCTGTTCCCAATGTCTGGAACATTCTATCATTCACCTTAGCACCTGTAATGATTCCTGAACATCCTTTAAGAATTTTTTATGGCCCTACTTTTTAAAAAATGAACTTTTCCCTAATTATCCAGCCCACCTCAGGGTTCACACCCACTTCTCAACTTCTATCAGATTGTTGTTTATTTATTATATATTTGTTGTTAGTGCTGTGGATTCTGACTCCTAGTGAGCCTGTGTACAGCAGAGCAAAACCCTGCCTGGTCTTTTTGAGCCATCCTCTCTCCTTCCAGCACTCTATCAGACAATGCTCTACTGCTATTTATAGGGTTTTCATGGCCAATTTTTTCAGAAGTGGGTGGCCAGGTCCTTCTTCCTAGTCTGTCTTGGTCTGGAAGCTCCACTGAAACCTGTCCCCCATGGGTGACCCTGCTGGTATTTGAAATCCTGGTGGCATAGCTTTCAGTATCACAGCAGCTGCCACAGCATGACAACCGACAAACAGGTGGTGTGGTTCCCTGACAAAACGAACCCAGCCGAGGTGGTGAGAGCACCACATCTTAACCCATAGACTCCCAGGGCTGGCCATTGTTGTCTATACCAGTTACCATACACTTTGTCATAGACTGGGTTAAATGGTGAGTTTCCATCTCACGCAGGCATGCCTCATCTCCACAGCTAGATTACAGGCTGCATGAGGACAGGGCCAGTGTCTAACACTTCCTGGGACACACCATGGAAACTTGTGGGAATATAAATAAATATTAGCAAACATTTTGTCGATTTTGATTAATGTTAAGACAAGAAATAGCATATGCTTTATATGCTTATTATATTCATAATAAACAATTTATTATAATTCATAAACATATAAGAAATACCAAATAGTGGTCTGTGTTTATTACCTAAGAATGTTGTGACTACTTCCATAGACACTTTGTAGGCACTGATAGCTGTACAATGTATTTGATAAAGTTTTATAGGGTGCCATTTCACTTTGGAAAGGTGTCTAGGTCCTATCTCCATTGTATAAAAGTGCTAGATTGAAGTGAATTTGAAATTTATGATACCATGTGACCAACCAAAGTCTTTTAATTAATCAGAGCTTTAGATAAATTATCAAAGAGCAAGTCCATGAAGGTTAGCTGAAAAATCTAAGTGGTAAAGACTGTAGGAGCTTGAGGGTCAATGACTCAAGGTTCCATCTGTATCTGATTCAGGGTGTCCAAAATGTGGGGACAGCCATGCCTGCCACAGTCACCCTTAGGGAGATGGATTAGCTATGAGAATGCTTTGAAAAATTAAAAGTGCTTCACTAATGTAAGATACCAATGTTCCTGGAGTATTTTACTAAAGGTAAGCCTTATGAGGGCAGGGATTCTGTTCTGCTTTATTCTCTGCTGTATCCTCAGAGCCTAGAATAGTCCTTGGCAAATGGAAGATGCTCAGTGAATATTTGTTGAATAATTAAATAAATTCATAAATTCAAGGTGTTTCTATCTTCCTGCTACTGGAGTCTTGGGGCTACTACACTGCAAACCGGGCACCATGATTAGGAATTTAATTCTACAGGACTGAGGAGCAAAGTATTACGGGCTCAGTCAGAGATATAACACAAAAAAGTTGGGTTCCTAGTCTAAGGAGTGAAGTCACAGGGTATGGGTGAGGGGCCTGGGAAACATGAATCAAGACAGCTTGATACTAAATCAAGCAACTCCCAATTCCTCACGTACTTCCTATCAACAGGGGTGCGCACCTGCTCATTAAATCTTCAATCTACTTTCTTTTCCAATTGTTTCTCCCATGGCTTCAATGACCACCTACAAACTCTTAAATTTATAGAATTTTTTTTTATACATCACCTTAAGTCAGACTGTCTGGGTTTGAATCTTTTCTCCATCACCTAATAGCTGTGAGAATTTAGCAGATTATTTAACTACCTTTTCTTTAATGTGCTCATTCACAAAATAGAAATAAGAGAGCGCCTCCCTCCAAGAATAGTTATAAGGATTAGATGCATGAATATATGTTAAGTGCCTACAACAGTGCCCAGCATTGGTAAAAGTTCACTATCACTGATATTGTAGCTCTACCCTTTCTCTTGAGCTTTGTACTCATTTGAAACGCTACTTTCCTGTCCATTATCTGCTGAATGTCTTGCAGGCACATCAAATCTAACATATATTAAATTGAATTAATTTTTGCTATCCCCTTCAAAACTACTTTTCCTACCATATTCATGTCTCAGTTAATAGCATCACCATTCACGCCATCTTCTAAACTAGAAATGAAGGACTCAGACAATTTCTCTTTCTTCTCTGTGCCCCTCATCAAATTAGTTACCAAATCCTGTTGTGTTTTACCTTAGAGATAAATTCTCCATCCATTATCATTTCCTTAATTCAGATCCTCATCTCTCTCATCTGGAAGATTACGAAAAGTTTTCTCTGGTCTTCCAGCTACTTACTATTCCCCATTTTGGTCTACACTGTGGTCGGAGAGGTGACAAGTTTATTCCAGCTTGAACACCTGTAGGTTCCTCACTCAGCCTTTCTCAACCAGGATTCTGGAAGAGAATTATGCCCTAGTGTCCTAAGCGATCCACTGTATGTAATGAATTACCTTCTCTCCTATGCATCCAGAGTAGTATGGGTTATGCTCCATACATGAGAAAATTGAGAAAATAGATGCTGGTGTGGGGTTCAGATAAGGAACCCTGATGGAGGGTCAAGGTCAAATTGCTTAATATACAAGATATTTCACTATGTGGAGCTAATCTTCACCTACAGTCTTATCTTTGTTGCTCTTCTCGCAAAACTCCAGGTGGATATCAAACTTCTCAAAGTATCTGATTCATGGTTTTCACTCACGACTTCCTGGCCCTGCGCATTCAATTCCTCCCACCTGAAATGCACGTTGGCTTCAGCAAATTCAAAGAATATTTAGCCTTCAAGATTCAGTTAAAATGCCACCCCTCTGGAAACCTTCCTTGACTTCTCTAAGGAGAGTTAGCTGCATCCTTCTTTGAGTGACTACCATATCCTGAACATACCTATAAAACACTGCAATCATGTCTTTACATACTGTTTCCCCCTCTAGAAAGTGAATTCCCTGAGGAAAGGGAAAAGACTAACCTTCTTGTATTCCTGGTATAGTGCCTGGCACATAATAGCAATTATGTTTCTACTCCTAATAGAAAGGAAGGAGAGAGAGGGAGGGAGGAAAGGAGAGAGGGGAGGAAGAATGAGAGGGAGAGAGGGAAGGAAGAAAGGGGCGGAGAGAGGGAAGGAGGGAAGATGGAAGAAAATAGGGAAGATAATTCCTGACCTACTCATCTACTCTCAAGCATCTCTTGAACTAGATAATCTTGCAATTAATGCTAGATGTGCTAGACTCAACAGTAGATGCTTCAGGGCTGAGGCCACATTGCCCTAATCATCCCTGTATGGTTTAAGAGTAAATTTCAAAACACCGCAGGATGGTTATCCCTCTCTATCCAATGAAGGACGCCTGTCACGAAAGAATAGCCACCATTACAAAGGAGAACTACAGTGGTCTTTAGTTAGGAAATAATCAAGGAAATATACATTTGCTCTTTCTAGATATTAATTCGCTATTATTATTTTTTTCCATCCTGCAATAATTGTGATCATAATCAAGTTAAGGATCTATTCTACCAGGAAGTATTGTTTTAAAAAGAAAAAAATACTCTCCATGCCTTGAAATTTTTCTCCAAGTGAAGGGGTGGCACACAGAACAGATTATCTCACAGGAAAAAATAATTGCATTGTGGCAGTAGTTATGCTACAATTATAGTAAATTTAACTTATACTATCTCTAGATAAAATGAAATTGTACACCATTGCCTCTTTGCATTACCAGCTCCTAAAAACCTACTACTTGATGTCTGCATTAGTTATAATATTTCCTCTCATTTACAGTATTTTGCAGCCTTACATGAATACATCTGTTCATCTTCCTGGAAGAACTCCCAAAATTCAGGGATTTCAAATGAAAGATTAAGTGATACGTGTAAATGTAAAAACTAGTTGTTCCTAGCGGGATGGGCATGGCCAAGTCTATGGTACTAGCCCCAGCCATGCAGGAAGGTATTCCTCAGTAGGGCTCATGCTTCTAACACTGAGCTGTTTCTCACAGTTATCCATCTTCCATTTATATTCAGAGAGGGATGACCAAATTGTTGACAAGGGGACTTGGATATTGAAAGTGTGGTTTTACTAACAACCACAACAACATCAACAATAAAAAACAACACAGACCATGCCCACATGATTGGCTATGTTATACCTCGAGGGCAGACTCCTTCTGGTGGAGATTTGAATGAAAATTTTTCCAATCCTCTTTTGCAGTTGCAATTTTGGCCTGGATACCATTAGCTTTCTCTTTGGTCAACAGAGTACTCAAAAGTTCTCCTTTAGATAGCATCGTATTTAGCTTGTGTTGTCCATTTTCACTTTCTGACAACAATTCCTATAAAGAAAAATGTGAGATTAGATCTAATAAAATGCTCTATGCTTTAAAATATATTGATTTTTCTACTTGTTTCTCAATAAAATCAAAGAGAAGAAATAAACAATTTTTATTGTGTATATTAAGTGACTAACACTCTTTTACCCTATCTGTACATGGGAATAATAATCTTATATACCTGACATGGTTACTGTGAAAATTAAATGAGAAAATGCACTTAGAAGGCTCAGGCACAATGTTGGTCACATAGAAAGAGCTCTTATTATTTCCTAAGTCCCTATTAATACATAAAAATAGCACGCATTTATATGAATGGGCTAGTTTCTCTTCAAACACAATCAATTGTTTTAAACAGGGATTTATTTTAAATTTGAGTTTCTGAAGCAAAACTTTAAAAGACTTATAAAAAGATCTAGACACACCTTTTTAATCCATTTAACCACAATTATTACAATTAATTGATAAACTCTTACTTGTATTTTCTGAAGACTTGTTGAAACTTCACTAATATTTTGAGGTATATCAAAACATTTGGCGGTAGTGATTTTTGCATTAACCAACCACTGCTGGAAATCCTTGAAGGCTCTTCGAAATCTTTGCTGTAAAATCTGTTCTTTATTCTGACAGCCCTTGGATGCTTGCAAACAAAGACTAAACCCATGATTTGAAACATTTAATGGAAGGAAAGAAATGATAAAGTAGATTAAAATAATGTTTGATAGAATCAACACTTAGAGTATGCACTCATGTCATTTAGCAAAGTATTTAATGATTACTTATATTATTATTGAAATCACATCTTAAAATAAACAAACCTCTGGCTTCTTTGTGTGAAAATATTTTGAATACCAATAAGGTTCATGCTCACCAATTATATTCTTTAATCAGGCCAGAAACTTTCCCACTGTATGTACTCAGGTCTCTGGAGAATCGACAAAGTTCATTCAGCTGAGACTTGAGATCCTCAGTCTTAGGCTCTGCTTTCTGTAGGGCATCCAGTATCTCCTATTAGGATATAACAAGATGGAGGAGCAAGCATTTAAATTGGGTAATTTCCACATCCTGATACTACACGTGCCTAAATCATGTTATACATTATTAGCGAAGGAAGAGCCAACACAGTAAATTCAGTAAAGAAATCAGGCCTATTTTCAGGATTCCCCATGGCAAATAATAGGACTTGGCTACTTTGCATCCTTTTCTAGGCACGGATAGGCACTCCAGCAGCAAATGTTGCCCAGGAGTCAAATGATCAAGTAGTCAAATAACTTAAAGTGGGACGAGAAAAAGAAAAGAGAAAAGAGCCAAAACTGTAAAACAGTCTGGCTAGGCCATTGCAAGATATGTGTACTGTTTCAAGGTGAAGGGAAATCATTTCAAAGCAAAGCAATATTTATTTTGGATGACTACATATACGGCAATTGATTTCATGCAGTATATTCAGTTAACTTTGCCATTAAGGATTTGTTATAGTCCACAGGTCTGATTCAACCACTAATTCAGTCATTTCATAGCTTCATTCATACAGTCATCAAATATTTGCTAAATGTTTGCTATCTGCCAATCATTTTGCTGGATTCTGGGACCCCCAATATGACCAAAGGTGTGGTTCTTTTTCTTGGATAGCTCACAATTTAACGGATGAGAAAGAGACGTGAATAATCACAGTGCTGTGAATATCTAATCCAAAAATAAAGTCTTGGGACTTGATAAGTACACCCCTGAAATCAAGACCATGGTCCACGGAGTTACACGCTGTGCTTTGCAATCGGAGCGTTTTTCTTACAGGATTGTCACAAAGAGCAAATGAGATCAAATTAGCACAATTCCTGGCACACTAAGTGCCTAATCAGTAAAAATAGCAGGTAAATAACTCCCAAACATTTAAATGGGACAGTATGGATAATGGTCCGCCAAGGTGAAAAAACAAAACTAATTAAGGAGGAGAGGCAAGAAGATGAGTAACTACTCAGACAGCTGTTGCTGTTACTATTATTATCTTGAGAGATTTTTATCAAGACATGGCCTAGATTTATAGGAAAACCACGCCTCTCACCAAACCAGGTCTGTGTCACATTCCTAATCCTTGTAAATGGCACCACTGTCCTCCCAATGATCTAAATCAGAAAACTAAGCATCATCTTGGCCTCACTCGTTTCCCTTCTCACTCCACACAGGAGAAAGGAGGGCTGGTCTAGTCTTTATCTAAAATATCTCTTTTATCAGCTCTCCTTTTTTCTCTGCATCTTGACTCTCACAGTCCCCATTGACATCTTTGTCGTTTCTTTCTGGAATGGCACAATATCTTCTTAATTTGAATTCTGTTCTCTAGTTTTCTCTTGTTTTTCCTCATTCTTCAGTCACTCTGGATCTTCATGCTGTTCCTCCACCTCACCCATCAGATCAATTTGTAATTGTACCTCGAGACTCAGCTCAGATAACGACTCCTCTAAGGATTCTGCACCCTCCTCTCCACTTTTGGGGGCTCCTCATTTGAGGATAGACAGCACCTTGTCTGCACTTACTACAATCAAGTGTCCCCCTTGGTTTTGAATTTATAGGCCTTTCCACCTAGACTGTGACTTTGAGAGGAAAGATGGTGTTCTCTTGGTTTTAAAATTCTTTACGTAGCTTAGTGTCTGGGCTAGAGGAGTCTAAAATATTTTTATTTACAAAATTCATAAATAATAACTAGAAAGTTTCTGAAACTCCAAATGCCAAACTAGTAACTACTATTTTACAAAACATTGAACCTTTTATTTAAGGAGAACAGAAAGAATAATAAAAATAAGATCTAAAGAAATTTACCACATACCAAAAAGTAAAAAGAACCAGAGATTCAAAGTAGTCACATTAGCTGATAATTTGTCCGATTAAATGATATCCAAAGTGAAAAGCTTTGGACCAAAGCTTTATACTAAAAACTTTCTATAACTGCATCGTAAATTAAAGCATTTTAGTAGAGTCTTTCATTTTATAAATATCAGGTCATATTCTTCTGTTTCACTTAATCATAGAATGCATTTTTTTTTGTGCTTAGAGGTTGTACAGGTTAAGAAAATTGCTAAATTTCTGACTCTAATAACCTAATGGATATTAAAAGACACGAGTTTTGCAAACACAGTGAACAAGATTTTTTTTAACATGATTTTATATAGTTGATAGATGATAATTCATTTTTATTTTTTAAAGGATTTCTTGAGTATCATCACTTAATTACAGAAGAGAAAGTAAATACTTGTGAAAGTTCCTGATTACTATGATTTTCAACAATGGCAAGCCCTCCCTAATAGCAAAACAATGCCATAAGAACTCTTGAAAATTATTGTTTTGTAAAATTTTTCCTATGCATTCATTGTAATGGAAATATTATCCCCACTTTTAAAAATCTTTCCTAGTTTCATTGAGATGTAATTGACGTATAACATTGCGTAAGTTTAAGGTGTACAATGTGTACATATATTTTTGTGTTTATATATTGTAAAATGATTACCACCATATCATCATCTAACACCTCCATCCCATCACATAACTATCATTTCTTTTTGGTGGTGAGAACATGTATTGTCTCTATTTTTAGATAACATACGATTATTAGAAATAAGAGAAAATCTGAATACTGAGAGGCAATGTAGTATTGTCATCGAAAGCACGGGCCCTGGAGCTGCATCTGGAAGTAGATCTAACTGAATAGCTGTCATGGTTGAATTGTTAGTACATTTAAAAGTCCACGTTCACTTTTGCATTACTGTCTATCTTTTTTATGGGCCTCACCTATTATTTTCATGAGTAGTATCAATGTAAAAAATGATAGCTTAGAATAGAAATGTAATTTAAATACAATCAAATATTGCTTTGAAAAAATTTCACTGATATTCATGGAAGAGAAAGGAAACAAAAAAGAACCCAGACATTGTAACTGGCTTTTTGATATCAGAGTGAATAATACTGACATCAAGGAAGAATTACCAATGTCCTTGTCCCTGTTTGACAGAACTTCTTTCTGCACTTTATTCTGGTGCTTAAACCTAAACTCTAGAAAAGGCATCAGAAAAAAAAACAAAACCCTAGAAACATTATAAAGAAAATAGTATAAAGAGATGATTATAAAGTTTTATTTTGTGGGGTGGTATACATGTTTCAAGTACTTGATTTAAAACAAGACAATGTTGGAAATACTACATGACTTTCTTCCTGGCTGGAGCTATTTTGAAAGGATTATAATATAAATAGAAACAGAGAAGTTTACTTTATGAAAACTTCCTTTTAAGGACATCCATGATTCAGAGCACTATAAAATTGCAAATATTGAAAGGTTTTCCAAGATACTATTTAACAGCAAAAGAAAGAAAGAGAATTTCAAGCTTCTGCCCATTCTTCACTCTCCTTTTTATGCTTCCCTTTCTCACATTCTGAAAGAGCTGCCATCAGTTTAAAAAAAAAAAAAAAGGTCAGAGAGCAACCACCAAGCATGACGTAGGAGTTCTGTTAACGGGTTAATTCAAGCACAGCTGTCAAAACCACACATAGCAGAGCTAATCAAGGCGAAAACTATTAGTTGAGCTTTATGAGATTACCAAATACTTCTTTCAAAGCTAGAAATTCAATCCTTTAATTGTTGGAAATAACTCACTGGCAGGAAACAGCTATGACTCTCTGTCTATTTATGCCTCTACCCACAGGCCATCTTTCAGACTGAATGGCTGAATACAATATTACAAACTCTTACACCATAAGAATGAAAGTAAAATGTTTCCACTAACAATAAATGTTTCCTACAATAAATAATAATTCCTTCTCCCCTGTATCTGTATCTTTACAAGTTGGATTTATGAGAGGAAAAAGATCCCCTTTGAAAATTTAATAGGATAAGTACTTATTTCTCCCAAGTCTGAGTGTTGCATGTTTTTAGTTAACAAGGATTATTTTAGCATCAATGAGACCCAAACAACAATTTTAGCATAACCACCAGTAGAAAACAGGAAGCCCACTTACTTGTCCTTTCTGCCAGCATTCCACTATTTCCTTATCTGTGTTCTTGCCTTCCAGGAGAGTTAACTGCTGAGCCCAGCTTGTCAGAAGGGCACTGAACTCTTCCAGGCCCTGCTCCAGTTGAGCCACTTGGCCTGAGAACTCCTGTTCCGAAAGAGCCATTTGGCTAACGAGGTTCTCCAAGCTGGTCTGCGTTTGGAAAACACTGTCTTCCCACTGCTTCCAGTCGGCGCACAGGGCCTGCATCTCCGTGTCCATGAGCTCACACCCACTGGCAGTTGTGTTCTGTTTCACCGCAGGAGCCAGAGACTCCACTCTGCTCAGGCGGCTTGCACCAATCTCTCTGGAATCCATCAGCTCCTGTAATGGAATATCGCCATGGTAACCGAGAAGGCTGTGAGTCACTTGCCCAGCTAGTTTCCAAATGTGTTCAGAGGGGGACCCTGTCCTGCTAGGAAGTTTTAGCAAGTGTGCCACAAGGAACCAGAATCAATTCATCCGCCCACCCCTAAGTTAGAATAGCAGAGAATTATCATCGTGAGCGTCAAGGCTTGTGGCAAAATAAGCAGAGGAATTCACGGCATCCTGTAACACACTAAACCAGGACCCTGAAATCAGGCTTTGTTTGAATATACGAAACTGTTTTGACACTGATTTAAATATTTGCCTGTGGTGCATTGCTCCCATAAACACGTGAATCTGTATTTCTCCCTAAGTTGATAGACAAGCGAACGAGGATTGCTGCAGAACTATGCTCTGCTCGTGGTCTATACCCCAATTCCATCTTCTTCCACAAGACGGGGGCTTAGATCTCACTTCTGTTCTAGAGGAATCATGCTAACCCATCCCACCAAAGAATGAGCCCGGCTCAATTTCAGTGCTTCAGCACCTTAAGTAAACATTTTTATAGTATCTAAAATGAATAATTCACAGAGACTTAATCAAAAGTTCAAAGCAATCTTTAGACTGGGTTCATTTATTGCTATTATTTTTACTTTTAAAAAACTCACTAGAAATTGAACAATTTAGCTATAACTTTTAGGCCGAAAGCACACCAATATTCCAAAGGACAACAAGATAAAATTAAAATATGCATTGCTGATTAGGAAAAATAGTGACATCTCTTTCTGAGAATATATTCTTTTGCTGAAATTTCTTTCACTGAATTCATCATCTGGTTTTTATATATTAACATATCTGTTGCTAAAGCCAGGATTCTGTTAGAATTACTACAAAAGTATGACTTCACTCCTAGATTAAATAGAAGGAAAAGATGATTATTAGGGAAAAAAACTTCAAGAAGAAAATCAATTACAAATTAACAGGTGTAGAAAATATATGGGTGTTAAGTATGAAGCATGCTTAATAAATTGTTAAGCATAAAATGTCTTAACTCATCTATATAATATAGTTCACATTTCATTATATTAGATTGAAATAAATATATCTTCCACGGTTATATACAAGAGAGCCACGTTTTAGTATAGATCATGTACAGGTATTTAGTTATTTAGTAGTCCAAAGCACCATCACATGAAATCCTTACACAGCTGGCATTTAATAACATATCCATCCTTCCTTCAGCAGCAGGATTTTAAAAACCTTCCTTATTTATCAGTGCATATAGTAAGTAGTGATTTGATAAACAAAAATTGTAACTTTTTTAAAAAAGCTATGTCTAACTATTAATTTGAATACTTATAATTTACCTTTGAGTGATTTCAAATTTGGAGGTCAAGGGGTATCAACTGCCAAAAATCAGTTTCCAAAATACTCTCTAATGCATTATCCTAGTTTTCTTTGGCAATAAAATGGGGTATTTCAATATTTGCAATCGCTAATTCTACTTGCCCAGATTTTGAATGAGGATATCATCATCTTAAAGTGTTTTGAAATGGCTTTTAGACATGTTTCCTTGTCTTGTAGGTAAACTCTTTAAAAGTATCCTGTGCATATACACACATGTATACACACACACCCTCACACACAAACAATTGGTCTTGAAGTTGCCTACTCGGCGGTTAGCCCTGGAGGTGGGGAGGGATGGCATTAAAGGACAGAGGAGGAGCTTCTGTCTTTCCTCCAGGGTTTCTCCTCACCCACACATCGGCCTACATTCAGGCCTGACCTGGATTTCCGAGAGGCAACCTCTGCCAGCCTTCACTTTCTCCTTCCCAAATTCCAATTTCTTTCTGCCAGCTCTTTCTTTTATATTTCCTACAGTTTTAAAGTATTTTTTAAAAAAGAGTATTTGGCAACCTAGGAAGTAAGCTTTGTAAAGGAATTCTCATTTTTCTCACATCGACATTTCAAGACATTAGTCCATCCTTGCTGTCTCTTATTCCAACCTATCATTCACTCCTAAATCCATGCAGTCTGGTTTCTCGTCTCATCTGGCTGTGCAGATGGCTCTTGGTGGTAGCCAAATAGCCTAACTGCCAAGTCCAGTGGACATTCTTTGGTCCTCCTCTTAATGGCAGCCTCTTGCTGCTTCTGTGATGCTGACCATGTCTTTCACTAAGGGACTTGGTGGGACCACACCTTCCTGGTCCTCCTTTTTTAATTGTTTCTCCTCTCTTTTCTCCACCTCCTTTTCAAACCCTCTTCTGTGGCCCCTTAAATCTCGACAGTGCCCAGGTTTAGGTCCTGCACCCATTGTTCTCTTTGCTTTATATATTGATCTTGGTTTCATCGACTCTGATGGTTTCACCTACAAATTATATGCTGATCACTCCAATCTTATGTCTTTGATCCAACTTCCTAACCTGAAATTCAGACCTGAACATTCAACTGCCTCCTGGATATCACCACACCACAGTTCAAATCCCATCTGTGCACAATTAAACTCACCATCTTTCCTCCTCTGTAACCCATCTCCTCTGCATGTACTTGTTTTCCTCAGATGGAGATAGCTCTGTTGACTCTAGGTAAAGTCTTCACCATTGCCCTTGACTTTTCCCACATTGTCACTCCATAGCCAATTAAATCACTCACTTACCAAATCCACTGGATCTTACTGAATGCATTCTACGTGTCAAGCATGATGCTAATGTTTTATGTGTATGAGTTAATTTAGCCTTCAGAACTACTTTATGAGGCAGGTACTATTGTTATTCTTATTTTTCCAATTAAGAGATTGAGGTTTGAGGACATTAAGTGACTTGCCCAAAGACACAGCTAACCAATCAGTAGAAGCAGGATGCAGCACTGGGTCTCCGTGCTCAGAGCCTAAACTCTAAAAGTATAGCAAGCTATCATTACACTTGGTATATCATTTTATAAAAATCAGTTTGTGCATTTCCTTTCAACACTGTGAGCTCCTTGAAAGATGCAGAGCACAGATTGAATAAATGGGTAGACGGGTGGATGGATAGATGGATGAATAAATTAAAATATTACTGAGAAATGTGTCAAAGAAGTATTTGAAAGAATCACAAGATAATAAAAACAAAAAGTGACTTTATGTGATTATCTCATTTAAAACCTACATAGTCATCATAAGATTTAAATAAGATAAGCACTTAGAAGTAAACTCACAAAATATAGTCATTATTGTTATCATTAACTATGATTTTTATGTTCTGATCTCCAGGGATTCAGAACACAATTTGAGTCTTAAATTTCTGACCATAATTACACTATTTATCATCAACATTTCTCATTTAAAATTAAGCCATTGAGGATTTCACCATTGCTTAATTTTTAGATTAAAGGCAATTATCTTCCACAGAGGGGAAATGATTGCAATTTAATATTCAAGCAACTAGAAATATGCTAACAGACGCTAAGATCTCTGACTCCCTCAGATGTGTGAATTTCTAAGCTTTAAGTTGTCCTTATAAGGAGCAAACTAGATGTTAATGTTAATGTCCTATAAATGTCTTTAAATGTTTTCCCTTTTGTTGTCATACTGTTGGCTAGGAAAGCAGAATAAAACATCTAGAATGACATTTCCAAGTTATTGTTCAAATATGTTTAACTGAATTACTTTATAAACTTTTCTTCCACTGTGCTTGAAAATAGTATCCAGTTCTTTGAGCCTACCAAGCTAGCAGATATTTCATAGCCTCTCATACTACAGCAATAAGTACACTTGCATACAGAAGAAAACATAGAAAATGTTCCATCTTGCTTACAAGTGCAAAGTGTTTTGGATTCTTTTTTTTCTCTTACTTATGTTTAGAATTGGTGAGGTGCAAGGTAATAAACACCAACAAATAGAAAATAGGAAGGAAACATTTTGAATAAAAGAATCTTATCCAAAGAATTGTCATCACAGGTATGTCGTACTCAAGAACCAATGAAACGATGAAGTTACAATATCTATTTATTTTCTGACCTTAATTTTAGACAACTTTTTCTGGGTGGCTAATGAGTCTCCAGACATATCTGACCACCGGTGAAGTTCCTCCTTTGCTGAATGGAGCCAATCTGTGAATTCCTGGATTGCATCCAAATACATTAGATGGTCTTTCACGATCTCTTCCACTTTCCTCATTTTCTCCTGGTAAACAAAGAAAAGGTTATTTTAACTGTAGTCACTATTGAGAATGTGAAATCAGACAAGACAACAGGTCTGATATAGTGATCTCAGAAGATTTCATTATTCTCGAATTTTCTCTATGTTTAATGTCTTAAAATAAAAATATCAAATCTTAATTAGACTGAAAGACTTTGAGGAAGAAACCATTTTTTGCTATAAGTTTACTTTTGTCCAGCTTTGCATAAAAATCTATGCTTAATGAATGCTGACTAACATCTCTAATAATCCACTTAATAATTATAATAACTATTCTTATTATTTAAGCCATTATTTGTATTGGTTTTGTGTACAGCACTCTGCTCAGCATGTTAAATTCATTTGCTCATTTAATCCTCACAACAGCTCTGTGTTGTAAATGCTATTATTATCAGCATTTTACAGGAAAGGACACTTACAGGGGTTACAGAGCCTATGTAACATGCCCAAAGTCATGTGTCCAAAAAAATACCGAAGTCAGAATTCATATTTAGGTCTTTTTGACTCCAGAGGCATAGCTCTTAATCATTGCCAAGGCAAAAATTAACATAAACTAACACATATGTTAATAATTGTAGTAGAAATAATACAAAGAGAGTTCCCAAAAGGAAAACCAAGAAAGGGAAAGAAAAACCTTTCCCTTATTTTAACATTGTCACAAATATACAAAAGAAAGTAAAGATTCAGATAGAGAATTAAAAATAATCTTGATATTACATGAAGGAGCCTACATCTTGGAGAATACAGAAATGCAGTTTTTACTAAGATGGGAAATGAATGAAAAACTTAGTACATGACTGAAATCTGGGAGCTAAATAAACTTACATTTAACACAACAACTATAAGTGGCAGCAAATGAAAAAGAACTTCAAACACTGATATTTGAGACTCAGACAATCTTACAAAGAAAAGAAACAGGTTGACTAACATTCTAAGTGAATGTCAAAAAACAAAGAATAAAAAATAATCCCAAGATTACAGAAAGAGAAAACTTCATGGGCATCTGCAGCTGAGAAATGATATTTACATAATAACAGTTCACTAAATGTACAAATAGTTTTAGAGCAGCCAATTCTCCAATAATCTAACCCATAGCCTATTCTTTCCCTGAGCCTTGAAGTTCTTTCCTCAATACAAAGCACTAACCTTGGCAACAGTCATTATATCATTGAACTGTGTTTTCAGTTCCTCTTGAGCTGCTTCCTTGAAAGACTCGTCCTCAGTCTTCTGGCAGAGCTCCCTGGACTTTGTGATGAGGCGGTGCAGGACTTGGGCATGTTCTTCCCCCTCAGACACGATGGACTGAAAGTGGTCCAGAAGGGCGAACTTCTCTTTCAGACCTGGCTGCGCTTTCAAGGGATGTTCCACTTTTTGGTCCACTGATTCCATCCACTGCTCCAACTGGTTTTTCCATTCTAGATAGTCATTCCATTGGCTAATCACAGCCTCTAAAGTGCTAGAATTAATGTCACATATTATAAAAATAAGTTATCTTGATATCTTTACTGAAAACCAATTATGAGGACACGGCATCCACATAAGCCATTTTACTGAATATTATTGTAAGTGATGAAAATGCTGCTCTTAAGTGCAGGGAGAAACACTACTTCACCAAGCCACAACAGAGTTTCTTCAAATGAAAGTGAATCCACGTCAACATTTGCAGTAAGATGTTGTAGTCATATATGCATATGGAGATTTGTCTTCCAGATGCTAACTGTCCTAAGTGAACGGACAAATTTATGTGTTGTGTTGTTAAAAATCAGCACTGGGTTATCATCAATTAAATTTCATTTAATGTATATCAATTCTTAATTTTTTTTTTTTTTTGAGGAAGATTAGCCCTGAGCTAACTGCTGCCAATCCTCCTCTTTTTGCTGAGGAAGGGTGGCTCTGAGCTAACATCTGTGCCCATCTTCCTCTACTTTATATGTGGGATGCCTACCACAGCATGGCATGCCAAGCAGTGCCATGTCCACACCTGGGATCCAAACTAGTGAACCCCGGGCCAGCGAAGTGGGACATGCACACTTAACCACTGCGCCACCAGGCCAGCCCCAATTCTTAATTTTCTCAGGCTCAGTTTATCTTATTAAAATCAGATGGTAATGACTTATTGACTGGAATTTAAAATGTAAGGTATTCTTTCTAGGTAAATAATATCATTAGATTGATTTTCACCTAAGGATACATATATGCACAATGTTTAGTGTTGAATGTATGAAAGAATGAAGACTCAATATATTTATAATATAAGAAATACAGTCACAAATGTAATAGTCAAGAAGACAACTCTTCAGAGAGTCAAGTAAAAGGCACTCCAGGCTGGCATTTTAAAATTTTAAATTATTCAGCTTTACAAACTATTCTAAACTTATCATCAGTGACCACTCCCAGCCTCCTTTGCATGCAGTCCTATGATCCTGGAGTTATATCTTTGGTAAATATACTTCTAGCATTTGTTCAACTTGTTCCTTTTGCATCAATAGGAACCTCATCATTCATGCCTCAAAGTCCTATTCTTTCCTCAAAGGATTTTCTAGAAACCCCAAATCAATCTCGCCTGCCAGAAGCCACCCCAGGCCCTGTGTTCTCCTACAGTCCACAGTGTCTTAGTAACACAATCTGAGTCAGAGTTTTTTGGACTGTATCCTACTCTAACTTCTAAACACTCAGAGGGCAAAAACTACTTTGTTTTGCTTCATTATTTTAGCACACAATTTGAACATTGCTACTGCTCAATACATAGCTGTCGAATTTAATTTCTTGCTGAAAGAAGAGTCAAGGGTCTGAATCTTCTTCTTGTATTTAACATTTTGTCCTAACATCCAAAAAACATTCACCCATGTTCCTGTTCACTTGTATGAAGCTGGCCTGTGGCCAAGCTTTGGGAAGTTTAGTTCATGCTCCAGCAGCCAACTATACAGGATAATAAAACCATAGGAACTGATTTTTTTTCTTTGCTGACCACTATGAGTTATTACTAAGATTAAAAGTCCTACTGACTTTGGGAGTCACCACCTGTGCTCTATATTAAAAGAAAAGAACAAAACCTAACCTCTAAAATTTTAGTGGTACTCATGGCTCATTGTTTACATTGCAGTGTTTTTTGTTTTGTTTTGTGATGCACTTGAATCTTTTATTCATCTATTGATTATTATTGTATTGGGCACGCACGTCTTCAGTGACCTAAAAGCATATATAACTTCAGAATATAACTCCTGGAACGTATTTCAGTACCATTCTGACCGAAGGTCATTTGTCTGACAAGCCAGCCAGATCATCTGTGGATACTCTGAGACGAGGGAGGGAGGCAAAGATCTTCCACTCATTAATGTAGCAGCACCACCACCACCTGGTCTAACAGTCGGTACCTTCTCTCCTTTCTTATCAGCATCTGGTGCGGGCTTCTCACCAGAGCCTCTACGGGGATTCTGGGTGGGTCAATGGTTGGGTGAGAATGTCCCACACACTGTAGGACCTTAGCTCTCGTGGCCTCAGTCTCTAAATGCCAGGATACCCCCTCACTGTGACAATCAAAAATGCCCCACACATTTCCTCAACCCTAAAGTGGGTGACATTACTTTGAATTGAGAAAAAAGATTTGTTCTTAAGCTCAACACTTGCCAACAAATTAATTTCCTGTATGTTCCTTTAAAAAGCTTAAAGTTATTAAAGACCATATATCCTTCCTTTGATGAATTGAAAATAGATATTTTACTGAGCCCACGTTGTGTGCAAGATTCCACGTGAGATGTTATGGGAGATGTAAACATCACACACACCAGTCCTTACGGAAAAGACAATGTAGGCAAAGACAGGCATGCATACAACTAGCTAAAATGATACGCTTGGTGACTCTACACAGGACAGCCTCAGCACTGCTCCATCATTTTACTAAACCTCTGGGCTTTATTTAGGCAAATCAACACTAAAAACAGGCTCTGTACCTCTGAGCACGGACAGAAGAGCTCATGATGTCAGCCCACACGTCTTTGAGGGTCTGTAGCTGAGTCTGAATCACCTTCTGACCTTCTTTGTTGCTACTTCTCAAGGCCTGCTCCCCTTTGCCAATGGCCATGTTCAACTTAACTTCTCCTTCACCCTTCATCAGGAGAATATCCTATAAGGGAAGAATGAATACTTGTGAGTGGGATTATTAACACCTGATATTTTCAAAAATGTTACGTTTCCCATGAGAATTAAGGTAGGGAAGACCTTACTAACTTTAAGATAAAAACAACGAACTCTGCATCCTTTTGCACTATAATACTTTACTTAAACATTACATATCAGGAACCTCGGAGTCAAAGATTAACTCCAATTTAAATTCTTGGAAAACTTTGGGCCACTAGCCTAGAAACTGTAACGATATTCAATTTGGTTTCAGAGTAAAAAAAATTATTTCGGAAATAAAGACACACTTGTGAAAAACCTAACAGTCCCCCTACCTCCATTGCCTCGCTAATTGCTGTCTTTCAAGGTCACCTTCACTGACTGCAGTCTGGGTTGGTGATCTCTTTTGTGTTTTAAACACACGTGATTGCTTCAATCCCTGTATAAACGTTATACCGCAGGTAACAATGCACACGTTGGTCTCTCTTGTTAGACTGTCAACTCCTAGAAAGCAAGGACTAGCATCTATCTCTATATTCCCAGCAGCTTGTACAGTGCTTGGAGTAAAGTAGCCATTCCATAACATTGGCTGAATATTCACTAAATGACATTAAAAGTGATTTCAAAGTTACTAAAACAAAAACACTCCTCTACATAGAGTAAAAAATGACCCCTCCATATCTTTTTTGCCCAGGCTCTCTACTTTGCCCACATAATCCTCATTGAGAGGTTCACAGAACAAGCAGGACCCAACTCAAACATTTGTGAATCTAATCAAATCCGTCTTCCGAAGTTGTGGGTGTCTGGCTGGTGCCACACGCACCTGGATCTGTAACAGCCGTTTCTCCAAGGTGTCCTTGCTCCCAGGGGTGCTCTCTGCACAGGCCAGCCTGTCTTGAACGTCTTTCACCCAGGACCACATGCTCCGCAGCGCCTCCTCCAGGGCTTCGTGCTCCTGCAGGGCCACCTGGCAGCTTCGCAGTTTCTCTTTGGTCATCCTGAGCAAGTTCTGGTAGTTAGAGAGGAGCTGGGAGCACAGGCGTCCCTCTTTCCCAGCACCGTGGCCTTCTTCACTGAGAACCTGCCCTCTCTGCGAAAGCTTATCAAGAGACTCTCTAAAGAAAACGGAAAAAACCAAAATTTAATTCTGACATTTGGGAGTGCAGGGGAGTGACAAATGAATGTTGATACTGGAGCAGGAACCAGAAACCAGACAAGAGCTCACAGCTGACATGCCTTTAAAATGAAGATTCTGGGGACCTGGCTGGCTACCTGCATTCTCTATGGTTTCTCCAACTGCAGTCAACATACATCCGGGGATTTGATTCAATCTGTGCTGTGCCTAAATCCACACCCAGTGTATTACTAGGAGTTCACTTCAGAAAATAGCCGGGGCCTGCCTCTCCAGGCTCATCTCTAGCATCTCTCCGTTCCTATTTAATGCTCTAAGCTTGAATAGCTCCCTGAAATTCCCCCAAACACTCTGCTCTTTTGTATATACAAGGAGATTTCTCCTTCATGAAAATTGTTCCGCTCTCCTCTGCTTCTTTCCTGGCTGGCTCTTCAACTCTCAGAACAGGCCTTACATCTCCAGGAGGCATCAGGAAGCCCTGAGAGAGAGGAGAGAGCATGGGACCCCTCTTCCATGTGGCCTCTGCCCTGCTACCTCATACACCCTGCCTGTCTCCATCCACAAGGCTTTCGCCTTCTAGAAGCCAAAGCTACCATATTTGACTCCTATCCCCAGGACCCAACACAATGACTGGCAGAAATAAAGCTAAAACAAAAAATTTCTTTGAAAAGGCCATTTTATGGGTGCTTCTGGGTTTCCTCGTTGTATCTGAGGGAATTTACTCATCTCAGTTTGGAGTTATGTTAATCAGGACGAGGAAAAACGGAATCATATGTGTCTGGGTTGGCTTCATCCTGTTCTGAAGTCTGATCAGTACATCTATCAGGAAATGCCTGGGATACCAGAATGGAGAGTGCAGATGTCTGAACACAAACTGTTGTGAGTACAAGAAAAAGAATATGAAGCCTGTCTCCTACAATGTCTCAATTTTTTCCTGAGCAGCTACTATGTAACAGCATCCTATGGGCCTCCGGGAGATAAATAAGACATATAATATTACATCTGCTCTAAAATACATTTCTTATAGTTGTAGTCTGGTGAGACAAGGAGGTGGCTTAAGCAACGACGTGAGTTTAATAATTCAGGACAACAGATATCACCTGTTACTACAAGAGAACTGCTGAATGGATGTTAAAATTCAATGATTCTCAAGACTGGGGTACTTTTAAAACTATAAGGTACAGCATATCCCCCCAAAATATTTGAAGTACTGGAAATATTATGATGAAAAAAATCCACAAGACTGAGAGGAACAAGCAATAAGAAAGTCAGGTTGTAAGTGAACAAAAGTGAGGCCATCTTGTTTCGCTAATTGGCCCCAGCCTCTCCTCTGTGTGAGTACTTGCTGCCCTGCACCTACTCTAAAAACTTCACATGCTCTCCTAATCTATGGCCTCTTACTTATGCATGTGCTCCCTGATAGCTTGATAAATTAAAACTTTGTTCTATGAGTTTCTCTCCAGGAACACGCTACAGGTAGGAAACACAGCTAACAAGGCATCTATCACAGCTGACAGAAGAATGGAACAATGAAAGACCCTGGAGTCCACCATGCCTGAAGGAAACCCTCTCCTTACTGCTCATTTTCTCTACATAACTGCCTCAAGATTCTGTAATCCTTGAAGATGGGTTTTTGAGACATTAGTCACCTGTCTTCTGATTTGCTGGCTAATCTAATTAAACTTCCTTTCTTATTCTCTAAATCATTGTGGTTAATTGGCTCAGATTGCAGTGAGCAGGGCAAGCTCATTGCTCGGTATCAAGGTGACCCAGCCGGATAACCTGAGGGACCAGCAGAGCGTATTAGGATTGTCTGGAGAAGCAGCCAGTTAGAAATAAGCTGGGAGCAAACACACCTAAGATTCTTAGCATCTGGTTCTGGGATTCCAGAATACCAGAGAGTAACAGTTCAAGAAGGAGTGCATGCTTATCAAGGTCAAAAAGCTGCAATTATTAGAAAAACAATGGGGAGTAAAGAAAAACATTGAATTTGGTGATGAAGGGTATTCAGGCCACTTTCTCCAGGGTAGTAAAGTCATATGTCTGTAATATGTAATAAAGTCATTTTAAAAGTTTGGAAGGAGGAGAGAAGCAGGTCCGGCCACGTTATATTGTCTCCAGACCAGAGTCAAGATCTAAAAGGCAAAGAAAGTGCAGTGTAATTTTCAGAAAGTTATATAGCTAGAACGAGGCTATTATTCAGTCAATCCAGCAAATATTTTCTATTTTTCCGGCACCATAACAGACAATACGAATGTAAGGATGATACAGACCTGAAGGTCCCTGGCCTTGAGGGACTCACTGTTGGGGTTGGGTTGCCTCGAGTCCATAAATTGCTTACTCCACAGTCAGGGCCCACAGGAATGGGAACAAGGCATTCCAGGAAAACTTTATAACAGTCGTCAAAACAGCACATCAACAACTGTTGTGGATATGGGTTCTGTTTGTGCATTTGTTTGCATGTTTGTTTTTTAAGACAAGGAATACTCAAGTATGTTTGACTGAAAAGAGGACTCGGCAGAAACACGGAACACTCATGATCTGAATCAGGCAATTTTTATTCAATTGATCACTGTGGCTGATTTGTCTGATTAAGCGGGCTGGGTGCTAGCTGTGCTGCGTCACAGATGAGAGCATCTGCTCTTGAAGAGGACAGGTAAGGGGTGTGGGGTCAAGCTGCACTCTCCTGATGAAGGTGTTCTATCTTTTGATGGAAGAGTTCCAATGAGGCAACTGAAAATGCCAGAGGTGGAGCATGAACTTAGCAAGCAGAGCCCTCAAGGTAGTGGAGTCAAAAGCATAGGTCAGCGAACTTTGCCTGGGAAAGAAGCCAGAAACGTTGGCCCAAGAGGGAAGCAATGAGGAGACAAACACTGTAGTGGAGCAGAGGAACCTCCAGGACAGTCAGACTGAATGACTGTACCTGTGGCTTTACTAAGAATATTAGGAGGATGGAGTGTATTGGAAACGGAACTGGAGGCTGAAGTGTGTGAAGAGTATATGGAAATTGGGGTCGATAGCATTATTTTTGTAAATGAAGAGTATCTTTATAATCACTGTGCATTTGTGGTATTCTATTCTTCAAATCAGCTTTATCTTATCTTAATAGATCCTTATGATAACCCCTAAAAGGAAATTACAGCATTACTAACACAATGTTTAAAGGCTAATATCAATAAGTAAAGGAAATGAGTGACCTGCCCAATTTGTTGAGCAAAGGGAGGTGGAACTGCGATGCAGATCAGCTCCTTACTTCCATCCGTGTGCTCTCTGGAAAATACCTCATTGCCATAAGAAACACTGCACAACCATTTGTATTCTAGACATTCAGGGATATGAACATAGAACCAGCACCCATCAACCAACCAACCAACAATCAAACCAAATAACCAACCAACCAACCAATGACATGCGAGTAGGGAAAGGACCCAGCCCATTTCTGTACCATACCTTGCAGCCAGGAGTTCTCCCAGAAACATTTCAACTTTATGGACTTCATTTTTCTTCTCAGGAATGTGCTGTTTACTCTCTCCTAAATTTTCTGTACTTAACCTTTCATCCATTTCACGGATCCATAAGTTCAGTTTTCTGTGCTGATCCTCAAAACTAAAGAAAAGGAAAATACCTTAGAGAAATTATGTGCCCATTATAATAAATAAATTCTAATATCTGAGGTAACAATGGCTATGGCAATTAAGATTGCATGAGTTTTCAAGTATGGAAGAAAACTCAACAATAAGCCCATTGAAATTATCACTTATTTCAGTAAAAAAATGACAAATCATGGAAATTTCTTTTGAGATCCACACAGAAAAAGAATCACCCTATTTTGCTGACTTGATTTCCTGGTAATCACAGCTGGTAATTACCAGCACGATTTCATCCCCATGTCAATATGCACTTAACTCCATATCTTACTACAAAGACTCTGAATTGGGGTCAGTGGATAAGTGGGTCAGTGGAAGCCCTGGGAAAAGAAGAGAAAGTCATCTCTGTGTCTTTCTTGTATCTTAATTTGCTTGTATCTTATGTGGATTTTCAGTCATGTTTGTATTTTACTGGGATATGAATAAGGCCCATGAGCACAAGGTCTCTAAGTTTTGAAAGCAATGTAAATTCTCTAAGAAAGCTGGACAGGAGTCAGCAAATTACTCTGCCACCAGAACAAGGTTTTTTGATTCCTTCTAATTTTATATTTATCCCTATTGACATAGCATCCTGACTGGAATCTCGATTCACAGAAATTCAGTAGGTGTTTTCTGCCATGGCTCCAACCCAGAAGAAATGAACACAAGGAAAACTCTTGGATAATCTAAAACCTGGATGTCAAAACTCTAATATCTTGAGTTAGCCAAATAGACAAAAAAAAACAAACAAAAAACATGCATTTATGCCATTTACAATTACTAATGAATATAATTCCTTTCTTTTTCTGTATAGAAAATAAAGCCAAATGATACCATCAGAGTCCAAGCATTCAATTATTGTCCTAGTATGAACCTGTACTCAAGGTCAAAGCTTATCATTATTTAAACTCACAATTGCAAAGATTATTTCTTTGTTCACAATGGTTTTCCACTAAATCTTTGAAAATATATTCTGTGTATGATGAAATCTACGCTTATCAAAACAACCTACCTCCCAAGTTCTAAAGCACAGTCTTGAAGAGCCTGTTTGTCTTTAAGGCATTGTTTCAGAAACGCTTGAAACTCTTCATTAGCCTTTGTAATTTGTTCCTGAATGCTACTGACGATTTGTTTAGACACATGGGCGTACAAAGTTTGTCCTTCTTGAGTCACGGCATCAAGCTTGCTCTGCCCATCACTGACTGAATCCAAAATGTTCTGTTTGGGGAAATAAAGGTAATACGAAATATCTGCTATGATGCAGGGACCCTGGTGCATGGGAGCATGAATTACAATTCTGAGCTGGGATAGTAGAGCAAGAGGAGACAGACAGAGCCCAAAGGAAGAAAGCCTTTAACAAAGCTGGAGGGAGAATGGTGTACACAATTGGACATAGTCAAGGCTCATAATGGAGCATGGTGCCTGCCAGTCAGTGGAACCACTGAGAACAAGCTGTGAACAGCAGTGACCTGGAAATGAGGATGTTGTCATCAAGGTCTTGTTCTCAGTCTCTCCCCATTCTCACTGCCCCAGCCTCGCCCAGGCCACACCTCCTCATAGGGTTAGTGTCATCTTCTAACTGGTTAGCTGCCTCCAGCCCTCCCCTCCTCCTTCGATCCACTCTGCTCACAAAGCCCTGACTTCAGATCCTTTCTTTGCTTGGTATGCACCTCTCCCTTGGGAAAGACCACATGCGTGGGCATAGCTTCAACAGAGCAAAAGAATCTCAGTACTGCTGTGTTGCAATTGTCACTCAGACTTTTCTTTGTGGAGTTCCACTGCATCTCAAGCTTAAACTCACCCTGCTTCCTGCAAAACCACTTCCTTTATTATAATGATGTTCCTACCCTATTAATGAATTATCTACATAATTGTCATCACCCATTCAGACACAAAATCCTCATGTTCCTCATTTTTAAAAGTTTTTTTTTTATACAATGCTTGACACAGTGCTTTGCTCAGACGAGCCACTTGAAAAACTTGGCTAAAACCTAATTTGAACCTAGCCTTCTGTCAATTGTTGCTTAATTCTACTTCACAATGGCTTCTCCTTACTGAAGTCATACATTTTCCAGTCAGTAAAACCAATAAAACCTATAATAGCCATTGCTTTAATTTGAATATATCCCAGCTCTGAATGTAGATCATCAGTTATTAAAAAACACAAGCCAGGTCTTCTTTTTAAAACTCTTCCATGGGATCCTGATATAAAATAGATACAATTACCTATACTTTTACTGCTATAAAAATTCAAACTAGATTTAATTTTGAATAAATTCCAAAGAATGGTCAACAGGCTAGAAGAGAGAGGAAGGGATCTAGAAATTCTGGAGTTCTACCTGAGTTTTTCAAGTTACTATTCATATTGCCCATCTCCTTATGACTCAAGAAATCTAATTCTGTTATGGAAGAAAAAACATATTGAATAATAAAAGAAGATTTGGGAAAAGAGATGATTTAGGTCTGACCTGAGGGCACTTGAGTACCATATGGAGAAGAAGAAAAAGTGCTTCCTTCCAGCTTTTGTACCTGGAGATCATGGAGCTTTGCTTCTAGAACTTTGCTGTCACCAGTTCTATCAGATGATTTTTTTGCTGCTTCCTTTGTTCCAGAAAACCATTCTTGAAATTCCCGCATAGACTCTTGAAAGTAGTAAAAATGAGAAAAAAAATCCAACACATTGAATAAGCATCCAGGATTACCACAATGAATTAATTCTGGCCTTTAGCATCTTGCCTTCCAAAATATTCCACAAAGAAAATAATAACAATAATATAGAAAATAGTACAGCACGGTCCACAATCATGACTGTTCATGGCAAAAATGAGAAAGTATCTCAAAGAAAAGATAGAAAAGATATTCGTATTCCAGGAATGTCTGATTTCCCATTGTGTTTCTTTCTTTTGGTAAAGAAAGATAATTAATTGTCTGAATATGTAAGAGTAAAAGGCAAGAAATGCTCTAGAGGTGACAAAGCCATTTTTATGGCAAAGGAGAAACCATCTCCTCTGTCCTCCGTCCACGAAGCTGACCTAGAAAGTCATTATGTGTCTGCATCAGAGCATAGGCACATGGTGTGGGAAGCTGTGTCATGAACATATGACAGCAATTTCCTGGATTATATGGCTGTGCCGTTTCATGACCTCTCCTAACACCTGAGTTTACTGCATCATTTCATCACAGCAGTGGAAGTAATTTTCCACACAAATAAAAGAAAACCCAGATGAAATTCAGAATCATCAAAATGGTGGATTCCTACTTTCTGGGGAGAAAGAGGAAGAATTCTGCTGATGGTGAGAGTCCGTGCACAATCCTTCTATTGCTCAAATCTCCACTCTCAAACAAATTTAAAATTATATTCTTGTGGGAAGTTTTCCCAAACTTTTGCTGGCGGTTTCTAGGCAGCATTTCGTTTGGATTCCTTCTCGTAAACAAACCATTGACGCTAAGGCCTGTCAGAGCTCACCATTGAAATGTTTTTCCAGAGAATCCTGAAGGCTGGCCTGTGTTTTGGAGCACAGCTGGCTCGCAGCCTCATGTTTCTTTATCAGCCCGGTCATTGCACTGCCCAGACTCTCCAACTCAACTGAGTGGTACTTGCGACACAAGCTGTTGAGATTTTCCTGGGTGGAGCTGATGTTGCTTTGCTGACTTTGGAGTTCTTTTTGTATTTCCTGTAGAATAAAAGCATGCCATGAAGGATATCCACCACATTCAAGAGAAATACTTCAGCTACTCCAATATGGCACTTTGTTTGAATCTGAAATTGATGCTGTTGAAATCCACTCAGTAACGTTTACATTCTTGTGGGATTTTTTTCAGTATTTGTGATAGATCTGTGTTGACACTTTCAGAAAGTTGCCCAGTTCTCCTCAGGAACAACTGTGAACACCTGTTGGGAGACAGCTAGGAGGATTTGGGTTATAGTCTAGGATTTCAAGCAAATCAAACAAGTCCTTACAGATTCGAGCCCATGACCTTTGGTAGAGTCAATTGATTAGAAATTATTAATAGAGTCACCCTCCTAAGTTCGCATTCTTCAATAGGCCACTTGGGCTTTGTTTCAAGGTCAGAGGCCCTACCAACAGCACCAGTAGTTAATTTAAAAACATATGTCCTCAGTCTCAACTATAGTAAGAAAATATGTTGAAAGAAAACAGATTATCTATCCTGAAAAGTCAACTTACAATACAAGCTTTAAAGACAGTGGATCAGAAATGTCATCTATAAATATGAACAGATGACATGGAAGTGGAATGTCTTCTCAGCAGCTTTTTAAAAAAATATATCCTTCTCTAGATGAAAGTAGTCATACTGGCCAACAAAAATAAAGTATGAAAAGCTATTTGGCATTCAAGTTTGAAAATTCACGGAAATTCAAACAGTTCTTCTATATGTTCGACCCTTTTACTAAAAAAATATGAAGAAGCATGGCCTATGAGCGGGCCTACAGCAACGCATGCTTTCTGAGTTTAGATTATTCATCTTTGATTTCTTACCACCTGCGTTCATTTCTCCACCTGTTACTTACTTTCCCACGTCCCATATCATGAATTAGTCGGTCTAGTGTTAACATGGGTAACTGAGAGCAGAGGTTATATCTTGATTATAGTAACCACAAATGAGGAGAACTAATATTTCAACTGAAGTATAAACACTTAATAATAGTTTATGACCTACCTTCACCTTTTTCAACCCTTCGCAAGTCTCAGTTTGGGCAAAGTTCATCAACGATTCTTCTAGTTTTGTCAGCCAGGTTGTTATGTCATTAATAAATTTCTCCACCTGTGTACTCTGAGCAGCGAACTCTTTCAAGGTTCCTTTTGCTTCTTCGGTAATTTCTTTGGCATGCTCCAGTTTCTGCCTTAAGTCTGCTTCTATAAACTAACCATAAAGTAAGATTTCATTAAAATCTGTGAAAACCAGAACACTCATTCAGTAGGAATTCCAATCGTGTGCATCTTAATTGTGAAAAAAAAAAAAAAAAACCCACATAAGCCTAACCACGGATGCTAATTCAACTTTTCTAAGCAGGAAAACCAGTGGGTATAAGTCGCCAAACACTTTGATGGGAAAATGGAAAGAGTGAGGATTGCGGTTAACATGGGACATTAAAGTGGAAGTTTCAGCTGAGGTTGCAGGGAATATGCGAGATCCAACGTTCCAAAAGCAGGTCTAGACCTACACAGAGTTAGCAAGGCGGTCACAAAATGGCTGCTCTTCAGTCTCTCCGGGAAATGCTCATGCATGTTTTGCTCTGATGTAACCACTACTTTGGACAAACACCACTATCAGATGTTCTCATAAAGCAATTTTACTTGTGTCTCCCACTTTTAAATATTCAGGGAGGCTAGATCTTCGCTCCTCCTGGATGATTTAGTTCAGGACGGGCCTTGACTTCCCTGGCCCCACAGATAATAAAAGGACTTATAATCACGATAAATTGCAAACAGTTTCAATTTCATAATTAAAGCATCCAGGCGCATTTACTAATCAAAACTTTGCACATAAAGTTAACTTAAAGTTCACGCTTTTATCTTAGCTGCAAACAGGAAGCCCGCAGTGGAGAAAGGGGCCGCGTGCCTCTTTTTGTCTTTCTTCACTTTATTTCTATTCCCCCACTTTCTACAGCTCCTGACCCCTGCAGGCTCAGACAGCAGAGAGGTGGGTGAGGGGCTCTGAAGTTTTTTGACAGCTGTTGGGAGCTGGCCTCTGTGCTCCTAGGCCAGGCAACATTTCACATTCTCTCCTCTCATGGGCCTTAGCCTGTTGGCTTTTCTGCAACTCCCCTCACCTCTGCGACTTCCTCCTGGAGTTCCCTAGATGCAAGTGATGCACTCTTCTCTGACTCTTTACTTTCTCCTTCTGCAGCCTGTGAGCATCTCTTTAACTTCTCAAGGCTGAGGCCTGTCATCCCCCAGAAAGCTCTCTTTGATAACCTAAGATATCCACAGGCTGTTGCTCTCTTCTTTCCTTTCTTCTCAAAACTCACTTCTGGGACAGAGGTCACTCTCTAGCATTCACCCCAGATGACTCTGCGATGCAGGCCACTCAAAATAATCATTTCTCATGGGGAGTTAGATACTAGACACCTGTGTCCGCCAACAGGGAGCATATGTCATACTCTCCAGGTGGGACCACTGAAACCCTTCTCCCGAGGCTTGAGGTAAGTGCAGGCCCTCCCACACCTCTTCCTTGAGTATTGGTAGGGGTGGGTGTGTGAGAAACCAGAGTCAACAGTAGCTGTCCCCTAAAACGCTGCCTCCATCTTGACTCCGTGAAAGTCCAACTGTTGCCCATTTATATCCTTGACACAAGTGGCACGCATCAGCTCTCCTCCTTTAGTTTTGCGTATGATTAGCACTCCCTTCACCTCTTTTTGCTTCAGGTGAAACTTCTAACATTCTGTTACATGTAATCCACCGATGGTAATAACTGATGGATACACAGTCTCAGGTCAGAGAAAAAGTATAGTGATCAAGCAAGATTGATGGGTTAATGAGAATCAGTAAATAAGGGACAAAGGCAAGAAGGGAAGAAAGAAAATGTAGAGAAAATCTATGAGGTCAGCAACAAATATAGAGGTTTGTTATATAGCCTGGAGCCTGTGGTGCTGGCTGCCAACAGAGACCCACGGAGCTGGTTGCTCTTAGCTCTCCCTCACTGAAGCAGCCCGGGTTTGCTGGTCAGAACTGCTCTACCCTGGCCTGTGGATTGGTGCCATCTAAAGAGCCTTAAAGGGAGATTTGCAGTGGTGATCCTTCCAAATCCAGTTATTGAGTGAATGAATTAGTGAAATCTCAATAAGGATATCATTATTCACGGATGTGGTTTCTATTCTTGTCTAGACATAAAGTGGTCCAGGAGGCAAGCTGGATACTACTTCCAAAATTTAGCAAGGAAAAAGGGAACTAATCTTATTATAATATTTGAGTTGGAAATATGCTATGAATACTGGCAGAAGGAATTCTAAAGATGTTAATCTTTTAACCCCCATATATGATAATATCCACGTTTGCTTGGAATTATGATGATGATAACAATGAGAATATACATATACACACACACACATATATATACATACATACACACACACACACACACATATATATATACTTTTTGAGAGAGAGAGTCTAGTAGACAGTAGTTATTACAAGTCTGAGTGAGTGCTTACCTGAAGCTCTGGTGGTGTTTCCAGATTTTTAGTTAATTCTTTAAGATCATTAACTTTGGAATGAAGTTCTTCCAATCTCAAGGCTTTGTTTTTAACTTCAGACTGCCAAAATAAACAACAAAGGGGAAAGGCATAACTAATCCAAACATTGACACACTACATTTTGAATTTCATAATTTCAAGAGTTAATCTTGTCAAAACGCCCCAACTTTAAGCCAGGGTAAAAAAAGAAAAAAAAAATCTCTGTTTCGCTTTCTGTGGGCCGCCTTTATGAATGCGGGAAGATGTCACTATTAACTTTCCCTGGGAATGTGAGGGAGTTTGCAGAACTTTCTTCCCACCCTTTTTTACTGGGAGAAATAAAAAGCTTCTGGAAAAAATTAAACACTGACCAAAAGTCTTGAGTCAGTGGGGATTTTCAACAGACTGTCATTTTCTCATTAGCATTAATATCACTGGTTACTATGGCAGCATTAAACTCTTGAAGTATTTTGAAGCAAATACACATCAGGAATGATTAATTACCATAGACTATATGTAATATATAGGAAACATTTCAAATAAAAATGTAAAGGATATTAAAGCAGAAATCAGGTCAATTAGGAAATTGACATCTAATATTTTGCCTTTTTTTTTTTTTTTTTTTTGCACCAACACTAACAGAAAAAGAAGGAAGAACAAGCAAAGAATCATTACTGAACAAATTAGATGCTTGTAAGTATCATTCGTTATTTGGGGCCACAAAGGAACATTTAATCAAGTATCCCTCTCAACTTAAATATCCTATTTTGGTGCTTTGTGGACACTAACAAACCTCCTGATACTTTCAGTCCCGAAAGTAATTAATTTGTGCAGTAAGATGTGATGAGCTAACTGTCAGGCCCATTGCCACTTCTCCAGAAGCAGACTGGGCAATTAATCACACCCATGCACCTACACTTCCTTTGCCGCACTGCAGCAGCAGTGACACTGTTAGGCACTGCGCTGAATGCAGTTCCCTGATTTTATTAGCTGGTGTACCACACAGACAGTCAGTAACATAAAAACCCATCTCTGTGAGGGACTGAACCAGGACATATCGAATGCCCACTGACGCCCAGTGGCTCCCTGGATCCCAGAGTCAGGAGTAGGAGTGAACTATATGTTGGCTTAACAACTGGCTCTCCAAAAATTGGCCCTGATTTGTAGCATTTACCACCATTTCGAACTATAACATGATGCCACTGCACATGGAGCTGGAAGAGATGCACAGTAGTCCACCGTTCTACAGTATGTCTACCACACAGATACAATAAATGTCAATAACTTGAGTCTAGATAACAGTAATATGTAGAATACTAATTAGGACGTGGTGGATTTTGAGTATTCATTACAATTTACTTAATGGTAACTTTATTTACAATTTAATTGTTAATAATGGTTGGGTTTAACACTGGCTTGTAAAATTCCTGAAAATGTAATAACTGAGTTTTACAAGGTAGGACAAGCTCTATTCCAGTACACACCACTGTTTGAGCTGTAATGTTAATTTAATGTCAAAGATAACAACTAAAGACACTGTGGTCTCCTTCTCCTGAGTGTACTTCTGGTCTGGATAATTTCCCCTACTTCTGTTTGTCCTTAGAAATAAGAAAAATCTCTAGAATGTTCTTTGGGTCAAAGACAGCTGGATAACTTAGGTAATAGAGATGATTCAACTCTACTTTTTTCAGACTACAGTCATTCACTCATGTATGTATCATGTTCCTGTGTGTGCCAGTCACAGTGCTGGATGCCTGAGCATACAATGGTGAACAGTCTCTGCCCCCACCAAGAGGACAGTCAGTTATATGCTTTGTGAAACACGTTATCTCTTGTCCCTCTCTTTCCTTTTACCTTGCTTCATTTTTCATTATAGCCCAATGACTACCTGACATTTTACACACAACATATATTATAACGTAAATACCATGAGAGTAAAGACTTTGTTTTACTATGATATTCTCAGTGTCTAAAACAGGCTCTGACATATTTTAGGTACTCATTAAGAATTTGATGAGTGAATGAATAAATGAATGCAAGAAATGGGAATTTTAAATGTTTAAAATAAGTTGGTGACTAGAACTTTCAAAGGCCACATTCTGTGGAAGCCTGTAACACTCCAGTCTCCAGTTTCTTCCATTTCTGAAAAGGAAGTGGAAGAGCCCAGCACCTAGAACTAGTGTCCAGCACATGGTAAGTACTCACTAAACATTTTGTTTGAATGAAGAAAAAATAAATACTGGTAATACTGAAGTACAAACACTTTCAATTGGTTTTCCAGTAGGAAGGTGCCATACTCTCAGATGAATGGGAAAAATTATAGATTTTATGGGCTTTTAGTTTTATGCTAATACTTCAAGCAAAGAGCCCCAACTAAGAAGTGACAAAAAGGCAAAATTAAAAAACCACAAAAACCCTCTTATCCACAGCCTATTCAACTTTCAAGCAAATAGTAAAAGTTAAGAGTTTTGTTTCACTCATAGGTATCTTGAAAGGAAGAATGAACTTCAAAAGAAAGAAACAATTTTCTTGTATTCTGGTCAATTAGCTCCCATATGAGGGTAGAATTTACCTCAAATTCTTTTAGGAATTCTTCTGCTTTGAGGCTGTTATTCAGGTTGCTGATGCTTTCGGCCAGCTGTGGAACAGAATTGTTTGACCATCCGTCAATCTCCTCTTTACCTGACAGTACATCATTCCAAATGGACAGGCTTAGCCTCAGCTTATCCATGTTTTCCTCAATTCTCTCTGATACCTGGGATAGGAAACAGAAGCCAGATCATTAATAGTCTGAGTCTTTAAGATGCTCTTTGCCCCATCAAATTAGTAAACATGTCAATGCTTCCTTAATCAGAAAATCATGTTTTGATTGAAAAAGTTTTACAAAAATTATTGTAAACCAATTGTACACGTGACTCAAGAAGATGCTAACCATTACATAAATTCTTTCCGTCACTGGGAGGGTTGATTGAATTTCCGAGACATTTGATTTTCATCTGTAAATTAGGGAACTAACTACAGATCTATCGGAGTCCATTATAATGCAACTCACTCTGAGGTTGAATTATACAGGATAGGAGTCCATCTAGGGCAGAATTGAATTTATCTCTGAAAGTAGCACAATAAGCCCGTTTATTTATAATGCTGGGATGTAAAATAGACGTGAGTAGACAAACATATTTACAGAATAAGTAAATACAAAGGAGAGCAACCAACTTTGCATGCTTAAAGCATTATTGCTTAATACTCTTCCCATAATAAGAATGTCCTTTTAAAAGTGGAGGAACATAGGTTTTCTGAAGTCACAAAATTATTTGATTATAGTGTGCAAAATCAATGTCTAACATTAGTAATTTAGCTTAAGTAAGGGAACTCATTGTAGGTTGAGCATCTGAACCTAGATGTTGATAATAGGGGGCCAAAGGAATCACTGGGCTTTTGAGCTGGAAGACAATGTAAGATATGTATGGACTGAAATGTAGAGTTCCAGAGAGATCAAGTAACCTGTTCTCTGGTCACACAGCTAGTAAATGACTGAGCAAGAACTAAAATCCACGGATGTAAATTACAAGTCCAATGTTTTTCAATGCAAGATTATAGTCATTACTTTTAAATTATTATACATTATGTTTTAATATTCTGTAGGGTATTTATAAGTTATTCTTCTATTTCTATCCATTATTCCAGAGTTTTGAGATGAAAAAAGTATAGAGTTATAAATTTGTTGTGATTGAAGCTATCGAGTGAAACTCTAGAAAATCCGCCAATAAATTTTACCAAAATAAAGCAAATAATTCTTTCACTATTACTAAACTTTATGTGAACACTGTTTTTCTTCAGAATATCATTTCGCATTTTGCATTAAAAGTTAAAAATGGAATTCACATCCTTGAAAAATCCTTGGCCCAAAAACGTGATTGAGAGTGTGATAAACTGTTCATAGGGTCCCAGATGATGAGCTTACATCCAGCCATTTGTCCACGGTGTTCTCCATGTCTCTTTTCACCAAGGTGAAATCACTACTGTGAATTTTTTTCAGCTCAGATAACAGCTGTTTTCCTTTACTGGTAAAGTTATCCAATTCTTTCTGCTTATTACACATTTCGTTCTTGGCAGTTTCATGCTGCGGACATAAAGGTTTCTTTAATTAATAAAATAATCAGTGATAAGAGTTTAAAACCACTTGCCCCTGAAAAATTTAATTCATGGTTGACCTTATGCAGAAACCAGTGATATTAATTAACTATACGAATATATATAATGTAATTTTCTTGAATTGTTATAATCCTAGGATACCAATATTCCTAAAAAAAAAAAAGGGTTGAGCTTTTTAGTGTAAATTATCTACATCTATATGTACCAACGAGTTGAACAGAGAATCTATTATGAGTAAAAACCAGATGTACTAAAATAGTCTATTAAAATAAACACATTTTGAATTATTACCTTGGATAGGGCCCATTTCAGGTCCTCCTGATCTTTTATAGTAGTTCTGGTTGCAATCACATTGCTGGCCTTTTCTAGGACTTTAGATACAGCTGACTTCAGATTCTGGTATTCTCTCATTAAGTCAATAAGTCCACAGCATTGACCCTGGCTGTAATGATGACAGAAAAAAGATCATTTATTATCACGTATCAGGAAAGGAGAGAGATTCCTATGATTAGACTTGATACATAACTACATAAATGTTTTCACAGATGAATGATGGAATCAAGAGAAAACCGTATTTCTGCCTACTGAGGTCAAAACATTCCTGGTCAGGTTGACTTAACTCTGATGTCTAATTGTTCTCCACGAATGAAGAATGCACACAGCCACTAAAGCAAAATCTGTGACCTCATTGACAAGCAAAGATGCAGCATATGTTCTTGACAACTCAAACACATAGATGTCTACAAATTTTTTTTTTTTAGGAAGATTAGCCCTGAGCTAACTAATCCCAATCCTCCTTTTTTTGCTGAGGAAGACTGGCCCTGAGCTAACATCCATGCCCATCTTCCTCTACTTTATATGTGGGAAGCCTACCACAACATGGCTTTTTGCCAAGCGGTGCCATGACACACCTGGATCTGAACCGGCGAACCCCAGGCCGCCAAGAAGTGGAATATGCGAACTTAACGGCCGTGCCACCAGGACAGCCCCCAACAAATTTTTGTTTTTTAATTTTTCCATGATTTAATTACTTCATAATGGTGCGCATCATGGGAAAGCAAAAAAAAACCTCCCAAAACAAACAAAAAAACCCAAACAAAACACTGCTGAATATTGAAAATATATATGAGATTTTCTTCTCCATTTCAGTGACACAAATTTTCATTGACTATGAATCCCCTGAAAAATTGCCAAAAAAAGATAATATTTTTTGTTTATAAGAGTAAAATGCCTTCGAGCAAGGAATTCTCTATTAAGAAATTTTTGCCAAGAAAGAGATGTGCACTAAGCTTTAGATAAAATGATATTCTCCACAACGTCATTTATAGCAGGAGAAAAAAATAGAAATAACCCATATGTTAAAAGTAGGCACTAACTGAATGAATTCCGATACATTTTTATAATTGAATACTGTGCAATCTCAATACGTCACAATTTAGGAAAATGTTTAATAACATGAAATAAAGTTTGTGCAACATGATTAAAAAAACGCATACATTAATAGTCTACAGTATACAATGTGCTCTCAATTTTGTTTAAAAGGCCTTTGTATGTGATGTAAGGTATGTATTGAAGTTCATTACTTTTTAATGCATATGGAGACCACCTATTCCAGGACTATTTATAGAAAAGCCTATTCTTTCTCCATCAAATTGCCTTTGCCCTTTTGTCAAAAATCAACTGAGGGTGTATTTGTGGTCTATTTCTGGACACTCCATTTGTTCCATTGGTCTGTATGTTTACCCTTTAGCCAACACTGCACTAAAAGTGAGTAATGTGAATTCTCCAATTCTTTTTGTAAATTATACTGTTCCAGGTCTCTTGCCTTTACATATAAATTTTAAAATCAGCTTGTCAATTTCCTCGAAAAATTCTGCCAGTATTTTGCTTGGGATTATATTGATATAAAAAAGAACTCAATAATAAGAAAACAAACAATCCAAGAAAAATTAGCTAATTTGAACAGGCTGATTTGAATAAGATATATAGATGGCAAATAACATATCAAAACATGTTTGATATCATTAGTCATCCAGGAAATACAAATTAAAAACACAAGAAGATATATCTACACATCTATTACAATGTCCAACACACAAACAAAAACTTGACAACACTAGGTGCTGGAAATGATATGGAGCAATTGGAACTCTCATGCGTGCCTAGTGTGAATGCAAAATGGTACAACTACTTTGGCAATTTCTTATAAAGTTAAACACACATTTACCTGATAACCCATAATCTCACTTTTAGGTACTTACCCAAGTGAAATAAAAACTTACATACACACAAAAAATGGAACACGAATGTTAATAGATGCTTTATTTATAATTGTCCAAAGTGGAAAGACTCCATTTATATGTGATTTTGAAAAAGACAGTACTACAGAGACAGAAAACTGATCAATAGTTGCAGGGGACTGGGCGTGAGGGCGGGACTGACTACAAGGAGACAGGAGGGTGGTGGAACTGTTAGTGTGAAATGTGATAATCAGGATTGTTATACAACTGTATGAGTTTGTCAAATACATAAAGTTTAAGGGTGTAGACTGCAAAGGGTGAATTTCGCTGTATGTAAATCAAACCTCAATTATAACCAAGTACAACAACAAAACCAGAGTTAAGAATCTCATGGTAGCACTTTGAAACTGCTGAAACTTTTCCTTTTAAGCATTGAATTTCACATGCACGTAACTGTTACCTCCAGATAACGTCCTCAATAAAGTTCTGTAGGACACTCCATTTTTAACGTTACAGAATACCTAAGATGGCAAAAGGTATTTAATTCTTGGTCACACCAACGCAAATCAACAGGTAATGGCCCAATGTCACAAAATAAGTAGAAGTTAAAAACAACAATTGAGAGATTTTGGACTTACTTTTCATGAATGAGTTTTTTGGTATCATTCCAGGTGACTTCTAAGCAGTTGATCTCCCTATCAACTTCAGGCGCAAAGCCTACATCTTTCTGGGCAATTTGCTTGGCTTTATCTTTCAACCAACATAGTTCATGCTCATGAGAATTCAATTCATCTTCCAACTGATTAAAGACTCTCAGCCTGTAAATTAAAATATTTTACTATTAATTTACTAAAGGTAGCGAACTAATATATCCTTTCTGTAAAGCATACATATAGCTAGAAAAATTCTTAAGACACCAATTAAATTAATGCATATCAACTGGTAAAGATGCTTTTAAAGTTAACTTTGCATAACTCAGATTGTACCCCAGAAAATATTTAAAGCCTATTTCACCACTCATCTTCAACTTTCTATTAATTTTGTATTCTTTTTTAATTTTGCTTTCATGGCATAAAGCTCTTAAGACTAGGGCTGACCTTGTAGGCAAAGTAGGAGAGTACTTATTGCAAGGTCGTGTTGGTAAGAAATCCTTTTGTGCGATGAGGTCAAATTCATGTAAAATAGTGTTTAAAGATCACGGTTGTTTCATTCAAAATAAAAACAGCTTTACTGAGCACCACATAAATATTTATTTTAAAAACTTAAATTGCTGGCTTTATTGAAAAGATTAGTATGAGAAAATGATAATTTTTCTGTCCGTAATATATTAATATTTAAGCATTTGTAAAAAGTGGCCACATAGAGGCAGCCATTGACTCTTTCATGCTTGCATTTTAACATAGTGCTGTAGAGTTTGTAAAGTGAGTAAACATGAATTATCCTATTTAATTCCCAAAACAAAGGGGCCGGGGCAGGCATTGTCATTAGCTCTGTCTTACAGGAAGAGAGGTGACTTGCCCAAGGTCACACAGTGAGGCGTAAGCATGGCTGGGATTCAATACAGCCATCAATTTAATGCAACATTTTCTGTAGCCTCCGTGTGACTTTGCTGAGTTGTGTGTTCTGAGTACTGATACGGCTCTTGACTCCAACCTGGGCCTCCTTCTCCAGCAATTTTAGGATCTCCTGTCTGCCTGGCCTCAGCAGGCCAGAGAGGGTGATGCGGCCTTGCAGCACCAATCCTCCCACTGATTTCCTGGGCCAGTCCTTTGACCCTTTGCCACACTTGCTCCTCATTCTGTCTTTACTCTGGAGGCCATTTTTTCCTCCCCAGATCTAATTCCCTTTTGTAAGTTTATTGTTAAACTAGTCAGATAGCTTATTGCCCATGAGATGTGTAACTTCAGGAGCCATTGTCATCTAACTAAAGCCTTGGCTTAATGTTTGGAAGCCAATGGCAATGATCTTGGCAGGGCCAAGATAATCCTTATCAATTATGGACGCATTGATATGAATGCATTTCAGCTGTTTCTTTATCCCCTGAAAAAATGGAAGAGAAAGGGATTGTGAGAACATGAGTAGGGAGAAGGTTCTATTAAGAAGGAAAAATAATATTGAAAAGAAGGCTACTGTAAAAAAATTACTTTTCAAATTTGTGGCAGGAAAATTCCCTTGACCTCCTAGCTTCTTCATTAAACTCACCTGACAAAACCCCAACTTTGTTTCAACTCACTTCTACATACCTCTAAGCAAACAGTTCAAAGTAGTTGAGGAGAACCATTTTGCTAAACTGGTTGGTTTCATTTTTTTTCCTCCCCAAAGCCCAGTACATAGTTGTATACTCTAGTTGTAAGTCCTTCTAGTTCATCTATGAGAGCCACCACCACAGCATGGCTACTGACAGATGAGTGGTGTGGTCCTGTGACCGCCACCGAAACAGTGAGAGTGCTGGACTTTCACCACTAGGCCATCAGGGCTGGCTCTCACTGGTTTCATTTTAAGTGAATGAATACAAATCTCAAATGACAGCTCATCACCTTACCAAGCTCTGGAGGTATCATTTCCATTTCCTCTCTACAAGGGAACAATTTCATACCATTTTCTCTCTGCCAACTTCCTGTTGCTCACTCTCAACTAATGAGCTCCTCAGTCTTTTCTGAGGGGCTAGCAGCCACAAGGGAGGAATTCTCTCATGCTTTTACCACCAGAACTACAAATCTACTTGAATCACTCCCTTTCTCCTGTGCCTGCATCCTCTTTTTTTTTCTAAAACCATATGAAACTTCTGTTTTTTAAAGTACACTTTTTAGTGAGGAAGACTGGCCCTGATCTGACATCTATTGTCAATCTTCCTCTTTTTAAAATTTTTCTCCTCAAAGCCCCAGTACATAGTTGTATATCCTAGTTGTAGGTCATTCTAGTTCTTCTATGTGGGATGCTACCACAGCATGGCCTGATGAGCAGTGTGTAGGTCCGTGCCCAGGATCTGAACTGGTGAATGACAGGCTGCTGAAGCAGAGTGTGTGAACTTAACCACTCAGCTACGGGGCTGGCTCCTCTGCCTTCATTCTTGTCACAGAAGATGAATCCCTTTTCCTATCAGTTAAAAATTGCTTAAAAATAGATAATATGATCTATATACTCTATTATAAATAAGATCTCAGAGTGGCTTATATATAGCCCTTAGAAAAATCCTTGAGGAAACCAAAGAAATTTTAGTACTTCTTAAATGTCAATTAGTCATTACTTTTGTCCTCAAAATACTAAAAGAAGAAGTTGCTAAATATGGTATTATTAAAGTTTTGCACAAGAATTAATTCCAGAACAAATAAAAAATAAACAAGGGGCTGGCCTGGTGGTATACTGGTTAAGTTTGCACTCTCCACTTCAGCAGCCCAGGGTTTGCAGGTTCGGATCCTGGGTGCAGACCTACACACGCCTCATCAAGCCATGCTGTGGCAGCATCCCACATAGAAAACAGAGGAAGACTGGCACAGATGTCATCTCAGAGACCATCTTCCTCGAGCAAAAGGAGGAAGATTGGCCACAGATGTTAGTTCAGGGCCAATTTTTCTCATAAAAATTAAGAAAGAAATAAATAAATGAGACAACTGGCATCAACACAGTTTCCTTTTACCTCTGTTGAAGGGCTTGGCGGGTAAGTTCTTTCAATCGCTCTTTGTCAGTCCGCTCTTCGATATCCTCAATGCTTTTCAGCAACTCCTCTTTCTGGTCTTGGAATGCTTTTTTCAGTACTGCCAGGGCATCTGCCTCACTCTGCTTGGTTCCTAGAAGGTTCTGGATCCTCTCTAATTCAAAACAGAGATGATCAGCTGTTGTTCTGCAGGAAGTCCTTTGCTCAGAACTTCCACTTTTAAGATGATACTGGGCTTTGGTGAGAACACCATCAAGACTGATGGCAGTAGATTCTAATGTTTTAACATCTTGAATAGCATTCTTTAGGTCCTTTTCTAATAAGTCAGACTGTTTCTTATTCATACTGTGGGTTGCTTCCACCGTTTCCCTCAGCCGGTGGAGAACTGCTGACAGAGAGGCATGGCTCTGTAGGAATTCAGCCAGCTGGGCAAGGGCAAGCTGCCGTCTCTCCACGACCTGGCTGGCCTCCTCGAAGAGCTGGAAGCAGTCCTCCGCCTTGCCCTGGAGGAGGTGGAGGTCCTCCCCTCGACCCAGAGCACCCAGCCTCACGAGGTGACTCTGCAGACTCTGCAGTTCTCCCTTTTTGCTCTCTACTTCTGCTGCGTGGTCCTGGAAGGGAAGAGAGGGCTATTGAATCCTCAGAGGCACTATGGCTGACGACACAGATATATTCAGGATTTGTGATGTCAAGACACATTTTAAATACAACAGATGGTATAGTATTAAAATGTCATCTATGGTGAATCTTTTAGAAGTGTTGTTAAAATTTCCCATTTTGCTCATCTACAATTTCACATAAAACACAAATCTGATTTGGAACTAATTCATCCAATGGAAAAGAATTTCTTTGTGGATAGAAATAGTTAAAAGAAATTTTATATACATACATACACATAAATTGGAAGATTTGAAAAATGTGTATATGTATATGTACATATGTAACCATAGGACCAGTTCAAATGGGCCATATTATATCAATAACAGAACGTTAAAGTCACCTTGCAGGGCAGTGAGCCAAACTGCAAGTCATGGAGCTGGAGTGCACAGAGGAAAACATTTTGACCTGAAATAACACCTACAACCAAGGTTTCTCCCCCAAACCAAACCAAAGGACTGGGACATGACTGGAACCTGAAAGCTAGACCCTTTTCAGAAGTGAGAGGTCCATTGTCTATGAGGATCTGGTGTTAAAGCCCTTTTCATACCTCACTGTAAATGGTCTTGTTTAAAGTCCTTTCAATCAAAATCTGTCCTGCAGCTCTTCTGCATTACAGCCTGCCCTCCCTAATCCCTTAAAATTTCACCCCAAAACCAGAACTGGGGAGACAGATTTGAGAACCTTGCCTCCCATCTCCTTGCTGGCTGACTTTGTAATAAAGCCTTTTCTTTTCTCTAAGGCCAGTGTCATAATATTGACTTCTATGCACATTGGGCAGTAGGCCCTTGCTTGGTAACATATATAGTTAAAAGTTATGGTACTTATATACATAGTTAAAAGAAATTGAAAGTTTGGAAGATGTTAAAATATATATTTAATACAGCGAATTCTAACAGAGCTTGTAGGAAAGGAGTGTGGCAAGAGATGAACATGAACCTCTCTTCAGAAGTAGCGGGTAAAACAGACGAAAACCTGCACAAGTTTTAGCTGGCTTCTCTCTAAAGAAACATAGACTAACCAGGTGAGACTGTTGTATACAAAGTTTGACCAGCTCACAATAAATCATGTTTAAAATCTACCAGAGAATTGCTAACAATCTTAGCGTGGTTCCCATTAAAGAGAAATTATTCCCCATCTTAATCTTGACCACAGTGGCCTTACCATTCCCCTTAGCTTGACTACTAAACTTTAGAGCGTTTCTTTGAGCATTTACCTTAGAAAACTTACAAACTCATTCTCTGTCCCTTTGAGATATAAATCTTTTTAAAAGCTTCAGGACAGTTTTACAACCCAAGACTATCTTTCTCAAGGACCCAGGAGTCATCCTTTTGAAATGTATTCATCAAGGAAAATGGTGCCCATATCTCCCAGTCCCTTTAGACGGTTGGAGCCTAACTTCCTTGGGCACCTTGCTCCAAGTTGTAAAACTACCCCTGGTCATGAAGACATGAAAAAGTACTTTTCCTCTGGGTAAAACCAATGAGCAAACCCAGAATAGGGTGGGCACTCATAAACACTAAATATTTTATCATTAAATATTGTTATATGCTTATTATGCAGCTTATTTCCAACTATCCCAATACTTGATCAATATCTGACTTTAAAAAAGTTTTTTGATACCAGGATAGATATTATGCATAATTTGTAAATATGAATAATAAACCATAAATTTTAAATAACTTTCAAGCTAAATAGTAATTCAGAAAAACAATGTCATTAAAAACTGAACAGGAATTCAGTATCAGTTTTCAGTATTGGAACAAAGCAAACTAGGAAGCTTAAAAATGAACATTCTCATCATTTCACCCCAGAAATCATGTGCTCCACTTAAGAAATAGCATCTTAAGGTGGTTGCCTATTTTATCTGAAGTGGTTTTATACTTAATTTATCTGCATAACATTCCCTGGACCCATATGCTCCATTATTAAAACATTTACACATGAATACAAAGTTAAAATGCTGCCAGGTGTTTTTTGAAATGCTGCATCCCTTTATAATTTAACAGTTCCCTTCTACAAACAAATTCTTCTTCCATCTTAAAAGAATGCCTTGTACCTTGTGCCGAGTGAGAGCTGCCTGATGGTCTGTTAGGCTTATCTCAGAAGTAGTCTGTAATTTACTGAGAAACAGCTTAATCCAGACAGAAAAGGAAAGCAGTAGTTCATCAAATTGCTGGTGTTCAGCAACCACCGACTGAAGAAAATTAATCCTATGTAGAGAAAGATGTTAATGTTAAAATGTCCCACAAATGAACAGAGAGTTTGAAAAAGCACATAAAGCATTGGCCAGCTTAAACTAGTTTTGCCTCCTTAACACAGGTTGCTGTTGATTAATTAAACCTTGCCCAATAACAGAGAGCACTGTGCATGTGCCAGGCAGGAACCCACAGCCACGGGATGACCCTGGAACCAAGAATCTTCAGAAATGTTGTTGTCTGAGCCCTTTAGGAAGTGAGAAGTCCCTCCAAAAGGAAAATCTGGCTTCCAGCAGCTTGATTACCATATACCGACTGATCTGAGGGTAGCCAATCAGCTTCTCCCCCTAACTCCTTAAATTTCACCCCAACCTTGCATCCAGGAGACAGATTTGAGAGCCTTGCCTCCTATCTCCTTGCCAGTTGACCTTGCAATATAGCCTTTTCTTTTCTCAAAAGTAGGTGTCACGGTATTGGTTTCTATGGGCGTCGGGCCAGGGGCTCTTTCTCAGTAACAAGTTGATGATATGTTTTTGAAATAAGTTTAACTAAGGGCAAAAGTGATGTTGTCCTGTGTGGACAAACCAGAAATCTTTTTTTTTTTTTTTTTAAGATTTTACTTTTTCCTTTTTTTCCCCAAAGCCCCCCGGTACATAGTTGTATATTCTTCATTGTGGGTCCTTCTAGTTGTGGCATGTGGGATGCTGCCTCAGCGTGGTCTGATGAGCAGTGCCATGTCCGCACCCAGGATTCGAACCAACAAAACACTGGGCCGCCTGCTGTGGAGCGTGCGAACTTAACCCCTTGGCCACAGCGCCAGCCCCTAAACCAGAACTCTTGAAGTTTTCTACTTCTCAAATTCTGTTTCTCTCACAATTTTCCCTAAGTCAGTTAACATTTCCACCATCCACCCAGATGGTCCTAGGAGCCATTCTTCAGCTCTCCATTTCCTTACCACCACATCTGATCTATACACATCCTGTTAGCACCCCACCACAGTATATTCTGACTCTTCTCTCCATTCTGCACCCTGGTCTAAATCTCTTCTCTTGCCTGCACTCTACAGCCTCCTAAACTGGCTTCCTTCCTACCACCATTGCCTCCCTACAATCCACTCTTTAGGTGACAATCAGAAATGGTTTTAATGTCATTGGAACATTCTCTGACAAGCTTAAACATGGGGGCAGTTCCCTGTTGCACATAGCAAGGCAAGACCCTAAAACTCCTTACTGTCATCTACAACGTGGTCTACCAACTTCTCTGACCCTATCTGAGACAGCCCTGCCCCACACTGCCACTGACCTCTCTGCTTCCCCCAAACCCCTGCTCATTACTGCCTGAGAGCCTTTGCCTCTTTTGCTCCCTCTGCGTGTATGCTCTGCCCCCAACGCACCACGAGTTTGCTTCCTGGGGCAGCATTCAGATCCTAATCAGATGTCATGTCCTCCAAGAGGCTTTGCTTGACCACCCATTCTAAAGATGCACCAATCTACAGTCTCTGCCAAGTTACCCTATTTTGTTTTCTTCATATTACTTACCACCACCTGAAAGAGTCTTGTTCCTTCATTTGTTTAATTGCATGTTTATTCCCTGCACCTGTCCTCCCCACTCAGTGCGAGACACGACTTTACCTGCCTTGCTTACTATTCTATCTTTAGCAACCTAGAATGGTGGTGCTATGCATACGGTCAGGGTCATTCAATACTTGTGTAATTAATGAATTAGATTGATTAACAAAGGTGATCTGAGGTCAGAATCCAAAACCAACATTAAGAATAAGATCTTAATCAGACATCAATATTCATTACAATGGTTCATATCCAAAGTTCAACTTTTTAAACACTTTCATCTTTTAATCCTTACAAAACCTTCTACACATGATCTTTACATGTATGAATTATATTTTGAATGCCGTCACACATTTGTGCCATTTTGAAAGGCCTTTCCTTTCCCTCTGTGAGAGGGGCAGAGGGTAGATCCTCCACTATTTTACAGAAAATTACTCATTTTCCAAGAGTTGACACCAAATCCTTCTCTCAGCCTTTCCTGAACCCATCCAGATGTCCCTTTTTTGTTCCCACAATATTCTGTGTTCACCTCTCTCATAGGCTTCCTTGTTATCCCTGTGCTGATCTGTAAAATACTTGAGTCCAAGGTTTATTTATTTTTATGGCTCCAGTGTCTGATATGGTGCCTGGTACTCAGCAGGTGCCCAATAAACATTTGCCGACTGACTGAATATATGAATGAATAAACAATGGAGCAAATACAAGCTCCGTCAAAGGAGAGTGGAACTCTGCTTAGTACGGCTACCCTCAACACACAGAAGAGTGTTCTACTCACTGTAGGAACTCAATAAATATTTGCTGGACCCATGAATTTAAGAAGTGATCATAAAGGTGAAATACCTTAGCCAAGATCACATGCATAATCAATGCCAATTTAAGGAAAAAAATGTCTTCTGGAATACTAGAAAGGTATAGATGCCAATTGATAATTATTTCATTAATTAAAATTGAATCTATGTTTGCTTCCTTTAATATGGTAATAATTTCCCTTGCTCTGTACAAAGATCTATACTGCTATGGAATGGAGTAGCTTATATATATAATACCTCTGATTGAGAAATATTACATGAGGCAAAATTTTAATTGCCATTTTTCTCCTGTACACAAACAGCTTGGGCAAGAAATAATACAAACAAGAGCAACCTACTCTCATCAACATATTTCAACTAGTTTGATCACTTTCCCTGATTGTAAGAGTAAAATTTTAAATTGAGGTTCATCAGAAATGCTAATTTTTGAGCACTTTGATTTTGAAAATGACAAAGTCATTTTCTCCCCTTCTGTAATTATCCTCTGAGTAGTCAGGTTAAATAAAATAAACAACACTCTGCTTTCTGAATTTATATTCTCACTATTTCAAAAAATGAACAATATTAGATGTTCTTTTTTAAAAAAAAAAACCAAACCTTTTGCTAATTATCTGTGGCAAATCTCTCCATCTTTCATCCAACTGCTGCAAATGTAGTTTCATCATTTTCACATCGTCTTTGGAGGCCACTGAAAACAGTGATTCCTTCAACTGCAAAAGGTTGCTGTAGATGGAGGCCTGGGATACGACTTCATTTTGCAGCGCCTGAGAGAAGCAGAATACATTACAGATCTCATCCCAACATGATTGACCAGGAAGGACCATGTGACACAGGTGGTTGTTGTCCAAAGGCTTTGTATTCTTACAAAATGGAGGTCACTGGGACCAGACTAAAGAGAGTTTTTTTTTTTTTTAGGAAGATTAGCCCTGAGCTAACTGCTGCCAATTCTCCTCTTTTTGCTAAGGAAGACTGGCCCTGAGCTAACATCCATGCCCATCTTCCTCTACTTTATATGTGGGACACCTACCACAGCATGGCGTGCCAAGCGGTGCCATGTCTGCACCCGGGATCCAAACCGGTGAACCCCAGGCCACTGAAGCAGAATGTGTGCACTTAACCACTGCACCACCGGGCCAGCCCCAAGAGAGTTTTTATTACTTGATTTAGAAATGGATCCACTTAACCTCTAATGCAACATAAACACTGCTACAGAAACCTGAATGAGTTTTCCAGAGTCTGAGTTCTATTGAGTTAGGCAAAGCTAGAAGCTGTAGAATTTCTTTCAGGATGAAGAAATTGAGTAGGCAAAGAGAATCAAGGAAAAACTCTTGCTGAAGGGAAACAATGCATATCTGACAATAATAGAGACGCAATTCTAGGTACTAGGAACACAATCTCCTTCTCTGTTTAGAGAAAATTTTAGGCCAAACTGGGGAAATTAGGGACTCTTCATTTTACTTTCATGCAACAGGATGACATTTTTAATTAGGCCATGAATCTCTTAGGTTCTGTGAGTGATGCATAAAAGTTGTGGTTTCTACCTAACAAGAGATAAAATATAAACACTCATAGAGATAGGTAGTACCAGAACGGTGTTAAATGGAATGATAGGTGTAGCATGGCACAAGGTAGATGCTTGTCAAAACGTTTTGTTTCTCCTCCCTAGTGAGGTCACGTGTGTGATACAAGCAAGATCACTATAGGTATCAGAGGAAGGAGTACACAGCCCATGGATGACAAAAAAGGCTGAAAAGCAGAATTGTGGCTTAGGCTGAGTAGGACAGAGGACACAAGGACAGGAGGTGGGAAATGTACAAAGAACATTCAGACCACAGTGGGGTGGTAGCTTGGCTGACAGCGCCGGGATGCAGGAGTCACAGAAGCCTGTGCCCCCGTCTCTGTCCCCTAACTCATATAGCACTTATTTTCCATATAGACACATGTAGGAATACAGTTTCATATGATCAGATATCTTTGTGTTATTTTTAAGAAGAGGATCTGTGACTTCCCTTCTTAGAACACCTCGCACAGTATTTATAGGACAATAAACATCAGATTGTGGGCTGAGGATTACCTTTATCCTCAGGCAGGATATTTACTGAAGGTTTCTGAGCAGGACTCTTTGGGAGATTAAGGCAGAACATCACTGTTTAATAAACTAAAAAGGCAAGAGAACCAGGAGCGTGGGGAATCCTCAAAATCAAGGGAAGAGAAAATTCGAAGATAGGGCAATAGGCTCCGATGCTACAGACACTCTATGATGGAGGTTTTGGAGAAGCAATTATGAAAAGTAAACGACCCTAACTTCCTCTTAAACATTTTGTAAAAGGTGATAGGAGAAAGCTGGGGTGTAAATCTGTTATCCAATAAATCTCTTTTGAGAAGCAATTTTGCCTGTTGAATTTTTGGGCACGGACAGCATCACTTAAAGCAAGTTATTAATCTCCAGAAATCAGTAACATTGTCGGTAGTTTCAATCATACTTAAAGATTCTTTTTTACATCAAGGATGTAATAAGCTAATATTCTTCATCTTTCTATCATCTGCATTAGTGCTCATTCACTTTCTGCCTTGCCAAAAATAATCATTACTGTGACTTCTTTCTACACTGTATTCCTTTTCTCTTAAAAAAAGACTTTTCATTACCAAAAATTCATGGAAATACAAAAGTAGAAAGAATATAGCTATTCCTCAGCTTCAAAAAGTTATTCATTGATGGTCAACTTTGTTTCATTTATGTTTCCACTCACTCCTCCTTCAACTTCCCTGCCAGATCATTTGTGCTCAAATATCAGACGTTATATTACAGGCTTTTCTAATACACCCTGGAAACTGACCATCACTAAGTTCACCACCACCTTCTCTTTCAGGTCACAGATGCTCTTTTGCTCAGGATCACAAAGCCAAAACAAGAATGGATAGAGGGTTTTGTTCTTGTTTTTCTCTTTAGAATGCAGCCACAATAGAGTATATTATCTCCCTCACACTCCCTTGAACTTGCCTGTGTTAACTGAAGTTCACTCTCCACTTTGACTCTGTCTGCAGAAATGTCCATTTCTGGGGAACTGGCGATAGCTTCACACCGCTCTAACCAGGTCAAAAAGGTTGACAATTCTTTCTCTAGCCTAAAGAAAGCAGAGGGAAGAAACAAGTTCCTCCAAAATTATCCTACTAAAAAACTAAACCTTTCTGAAGTTGGAGGGGTGCCACACTAACCATTACAAATAACACGATGTTGGTTACCTCATTCCTAAATGTGAAGGTACAAAAACCACTCCTTTCCTTTTCATGAACATACTTGCACATGTGTTTAGATCTGTGTAATATGTAAAGACACACATACATCCTCTCCACTCTTAGGAATCTTCAACTTATAACGAAGATCAAGATCTTCCCATGTGAGACACGTAAGTTGAGAAGTTTTACATCTGGGATGATTATTTCCCATCACTTAAAGAACAGTTGGTCCCGAATTTCCTATTTAAGAGAGGCTATTCAAACCCATGCACCCAACTCAAGAAGAAAGCCCGCTCACCTCTGCCAGTGGGCCAGCACGTTCTCCAGCACAGTCTGTCTCTCCTTAGCCTGATTCAGCATCCCCTCGTATCTCTGCTGCAGGGCCGCGGCCTCCTGGACGGAGGAGCCTCTGTTAGCAACCTTCCGGGCACTGGCTGAGAAAGCAGCTACTGTGCTGGCCAGCGATTCCAGGGCCTGACAGAGATCCTGACAAGAGGGCAAAGGCAGAGCAATGAAAGCACAGCATCAAGAAACGAGACCTACATTTTTCTCTGAGACCCATTCTCACTGAAAATTTTCCATCTGTCATAATAAACAGCAAGAGTGCTAAAAAACGTCCCTGCCCATGATTTTCAGCAAGACCTAGTGAAAGTGAGGAGAAAGTTACTTCATGAATGCAGAGATCAAAAATGAGAATAGAGAGACTGTTCCCCAAATAAAAATTTGTTGCTGTATATCTGACTAATTTCAACTTGCCCTTAAGGATTCAAATCATTTGTGAAATTTATTATTCATTTTGTGCCAAATATATGAGTATTTAAAAAAACATATTCCTAATTTATAAGAGCTACATATAACATGCTATAATTTCTATTAAAAAATATAAGGGAAGTTATGGCTGACATAGCTGCTGTCAGGAACCAATGATAATATTAACAATCAGGGTGCCTGAGAATGCGGCAGGTACTTTGTTATGTACATTACATATATCAACTCACTTGATCTTCCCAAGACCCCTAAGGGGTATATTCTTTCATTATCCCCATTTACCAGATCAGCAAACCAAGACATAGAAAAATAACTTGCTTTAAGAAATCTAACTATTAGAAAAAATAGAATATCACCCTCTCTAGTATCAATTATTAACTTAGTTGTCTATTAAAATAATTCCATCATATTCAATTTTTCTCATTTTGGGGGTATTTTAAAAAAATTACATAAGTAACACAAGAACTCATTCTTCTTATAAATATTCACACAATATAAATTCCATCCCCTTTTCAGATGTGTCTTTGTCAATTGCTTGCTTTCTATCACGGAATGCCTTTCTCTGCAAATATGTATATACCTGCACGCATGCACATATAATAGGGCTAAATATATATATTTATGTTTATTGACTAACACATGTTTCTTTTTAGTATTTCTTTGTGCGTGATTCTACCCCTTTGCTCCTTCTCCTAAATTCTGCCAGAGGCATCTGTTTCTTGCTTGGGGAAACACCTCCCAGTGGTCACCAGTTCAGAGTACAGACCAAAAAGCTAGTCATTGGAAAAAGGCCAGTGATGATATATTCTTTGCATATCTGAGTGTAGTGGATTTAAGTCTGAAATCTGCCGCACACATATATTTTTTTTCCTGCACATAAGATTTTTTATAATGCTGGGAAGATTAACAGGGTTTATTAAAGCTATAATCTGAAAAAGTTAAACTCTGTAACTAAGAGAAATACATTTTCAATGAATACTCCTTTAATATAAAATTTTCATGAAAATTTATTCGCATACTTATATTTCTTATACTATATGAAGCGAATACATTTGGTCTATATCATTCCTCAAGTAATATAAAAATCTTTTCAATTTTCACTGTCATAAAAATGTGTACAGTTTTCTTTTCAAGCAGGAATTATCAAATTTCTGAGTTGATAAATAAGCAGAAATGTTGAGGCACACTCTTACCATATGTTCTTGGAGGACTTTGTATGTTTCTGTAGCTGAAGAACATATTTTGATTGGCTCAGCAAGTTTATTTTCAAATTCAGACACAGACTGCTGGATCTAAAACATTGATGAAATATAAAAACAATGGTGGGAAAAATATGCATTTAGGCAGAAAAGTTATTGAGGAAGCAGAAAGGCTATCTCTTTTGGATAACTCTCAGTGTGATGATAAAATATTTATTTTTCAAAACTCTAAAATCAATGTGTCTCATTATTTGGAAAGAATATAGCTAAGCCTGAATGACTTTCTAAACACAATGTATAATGAGATTTTTATATTCCCTCGAAAAAGGTACCATATAAATAATTATAACCTTAGTCATCATTGATAACTTGGTAAATGATCGGCAAATTGTGTCTTTTCCTTATTCCACTATTTCTGGACTATCTTGCATTTTTCTATAAATGTAATATGAAACAGGTAATTTTAGTATGCATGGACCAATTCTCACCTTTCTAAGATTCTCCTCAAACTTTTGCTGCTGAGATAGATGTCCCAGGATTGTTCCTTCCAGACACTGTGCATGTTCTCGAAGTTCTTCCCAGTATCTTCTTATTTGTGTTAACTTGGCTTTGATTCGAGCAGATTCTCCAGTGGTAATAAATTGGGCAAAAGACTGAGCTGCTTCTTCTAGTCCTGTAATGCTGCTGATCTTACTTTCTATTTCTTGAATTATGACCTAATATTTAAAACAAGAAAAATGACAATGTAGGCTGAGTAACCTTGTCTTCCTGAAATGATATAATTACCTGTAGAGAGAGAAAATCAGAATTTTCCTTAACTGACATTTCAATATACTTGGACCATTAGAGAGCAGCTATGAACAAACACCATGTGTTTCCTGACCTCATTTGGGGAGAACAGATATGCAGGACACATCTAAAAACTAGAAACTAATAGTAGCCATGCTTGGTGGAAAGAGAATAGAGAAATAGCTACTCCTGCTTGCAGTGAAGTAAACAGGGAGATGTCGCTGGAATTCTTACAGCATCTCTGAAGGTACAGAGAATTCCCTGCTTATCTTTGGCATCAAGCGTCTGAACCAACTGATCTGGAAAGCAGTGTATTCCACTAACTCATAGGAATGCTAATTTGACATTCATTTAATTTTCCTAAAATGTAGTGGAGTATTTCATATTTTACCAAGCTAAAAGCTTTTCTGATTCCACTCCTACCTAAACTCAGTCTTTTTGAATTTATCGTCTATTCTTTATGCTAGTGGTTTCCAAATTTGGACTATGTTAGAATCACCTGGCCCCCATCTGCAGGGACTCAGCCTTAGTAGGTCTGGGGGGGTGGGGGGGGTCAAGACTTTGCATTTCTTACAACTTCTAACAATTAACAGATGAAGCAAGCCACTGCTGCTGATCCCTGGCTCCACTCTGTGAAACACGCTCTGTTCATTAGCTGTGGCCTCTACAGTAAAGAGTCTACATACCATAATATCCATTTGGGGGAGGTGGACATTTTATGTATTAGCCAACAGCTGAAAAATACTGAAAACCACTAAGGATGTATGTGCGTGTGTGTGATAAACATAGAGGCTTATTTATGGATAAAAGAATAAAATTCTTTCTCTGAAAAAAAGAGCTAAATCATCCCATCAAAATAAAGCCAAAAATTCAGACAAGTCTCAGTTTCCAATAATTTATATGAAAAACAGTTACCGTAGAAAAAAATAAATGCGTGACTTCTATCTAGATAAGAAAACAGTCAGAAATAACTTTTATCTACCTGAGACCAACAGAAATCAGATTAGTGTCCAGTACACATCACTTATTTATTTTTATTTTAATATGCATGACTATATGGGTATCTGATAGATATTTGTTGTTTGAGCATTAATACAATCTTTCTTAATTTTGCTGTTTTTTAAGATATGTTTTAGAAAAATTACTCATAAATTCAACAAACATATATTGAGTGTCATAGGAGACAAAAATTGTTCTACGTGCTTGTAGCACCTCAGTGGAATGATCTCAGTTAAGATCAGAGGTCACAGTTCTTAGAGTAATACATGTCGTGGATAAATTAGTGCAAAGTATATAATCATATTGTTGGATTGTGGCAAAAATATTTATAATCCAAGAAGAGAATGCGGAAGATGAACCCAGTATACATTCTTATCATTTGTAAATTATCATTTAGGACTAAGAAATCAGTCAATTTGGAATAACATGTAAGAAAGAACAAAAATGGGCTTAGAGATAAATATCTTCCCAAAAATGCAAATACTTCATTAATTTTAATCCTAAGGTTGTTTTAAAGTAAAAACACTATGACAGATGTTACTGTATTTTTAATATGTCCTTTAATGTAGTCTTGTTTGGAAACAGAACATGAACCTATTAGCCTAAATTCCATAGTACAGTATATTTCACTCTATCTTTGCTTATTTCTAGCAAATATGTTTTTCCTGCTATTTATAATAATTTAATACATTTCTAGATAGTTTTAAAAATGCCATATTAGAATGTTAAAATGTATTTCTAGTTTGACAGCATGGAAATCCACAATTGAATGCTATATATATATTAAAATAAAATATGTAATCATTTTGTTGTCTAAAGAGTAACAATGCGATGCATTTGATCATGATATATTTCAGACTTCCTGGAATTAAGGTTTAAATAATACTAAAATGAATTATAGAAAAGATAAATAAGTTAAAAGTGCATGTCAAACATTTTTGTAAGGAACTTTTTGAGACAAAATTATTTAAATGTGCTGTTCTTTGTTTTTTTAGACTTTAGTGAAAATGATTAAGTGATAGCTTTTAAAAACACTTTTAAAGGTTAAACATATTTCACGAATATTCTTTAATGGCTTGGCATCTATTTTTCCTAGCATATCACACAAGACAAAAGCAGACTGTGTATACCAGACTCCATGTATCCTTGATTGCAAAAGATGTGTGATAAACCAGGATAACCTACACAGCATGTCATTTTGGCTTAGCCACATTGCACCCTCCCACTGTGCACATGGTAATGACTTGTTCTGAGTCATAGTGTGAAATGTTCTCTTACCTTGGTATTTATTTTAACCAAATGAAATGGCAGAGGGTTTTCCCATTCCAAAAATAATGAGCTGAGATCAAAAAAGAAGGTGCTGAATTTTGCAAATGTGTTGTGTAAAAATAAAAGAAAGAGATCTGAACATTCAGAATTCATTTCTTTCAGCCCATTTTTTCTTAAACAACTGGAATGAAGTGGACAATGATAGTCTATGCAGATGGTTATTTTAGAGCTGGAAGAGCTGAAGTATCAAGGCACCTCAGTCCATGTCCATCATAAAAGAAAGCACTAGAGCGATGGGGTCTGATAGCTTCTCCTAAAGAAAGCAATTTCTCCTCCTTGTGTTTTGTGAGGGTAAATACCACTAATACTTGAGATAGACATTTGGAATAGTTCTTATAAAGTACAGTTGTGGATGATGAGTATATTTCATGTGACATAAATGAATCAACAGAGCACTCCAATGGGGTCAATTGAAAATCAAGGAAAAGAATAATGTAACCATAAAAACATTTTAATGATATTGCACACAATACTGATTTTGAATGCATAAGCCAGACAATATTAATACATAATTCCACCTATAAAGTGTTGCCCGGTATCGGTCAAGACCTCTTAGCTCAGCATTTTGTGTGAATTTAATTTTAATAGAGTCACAGAGCAATGATAGATTTGTCCTGGGGCCAAATAGCATTGGATGAAATATAAGAAGGGAGTTCTTAAAAGCTAGACATGGATTATAAACGTAATGTGTGAGCAGGTCACCTTAATTTGGCTGATTTGCATGTCCATGGCAGATGACGAAGTTTCCAGAGCACTGAGTTCTTTTTCTTTCTCAGTAATCCAGACGGACAGGGTCTCAAAATTATTGCCAAAATGATCCCACTTGTTTTTCACCATTTCCATGGTTTTAATACTAAAATTAACCAAATTAAGTAAATAAAATACAGTATCTTAATAGAGAATAATACATTTTCCTTTAAATCACGAGGTGAAGACATTTGTGACCACGTTGAAGTTGAAACTATTAGCAAAGGAAAAAAGCACACTTGATCTGAGTAGCCAGTCAGGCCTCAAGTCTTTCTATCTCCTCTGAGATTGAACATTTAACGAGGTAGCATGTACGCTATGTTATAAATGGAACTGTGCTTCAAATAAAATATTGCTGGGTCCAAATGGGTTTGAATCCATGTACAATCTAGGTAAACTCTGCATGTGATCAGTAGTTACCAGGATTTATTTTAGTAATTTGCCCACATGGATTCCGGTGGTCTTTGTGGTCATGGTCCTCTTGTTCATAGAGGAGAGATACTACAATGGTGCTTTATACCCAAAGATCTTTATGAAATGCATCTTTAAATCAATATAGAGCTTGTAATCTGAATCCCACGCTGCCTTGCAGGAACTGTACCAACTGTTAGAGTTAAGCCTGCAATCCATAATCTATAACCATTTCAGCTCTTCTTAGATGTCTGTACAGTTGATTCCAAAGGACTTTTATAAATTCTTGTACCTGAGCACCCTCATTACTTTTAGACAACTTGGGTGTTATTTGTAACCAATCTATTGAACAAATTTCAACTATAGATTCCCAGTTTGTATGAGCTAAGCACATATAACCATGTACTTATGGCTTTCAGTTTAGAAAAAGACTAAGTAACCAACAGTATATCATTGAACTGATAAGTCTTCGGGTTAAAAAAAAAGTGAATTTCCCTGTTTACCAAAAGGCACTTGAAGACATGAAGAAAAATACAATGGCATCATTGATTGTCAAATTAAGTAATATTGCAGTCTCAAATATATACCCTGGATGTGCCTAATGCTTTCATCAGTAAGATAATGCAAGCTATGTTATATCACAAGTTTTTACATGAAATAAAGATTCAAATGGATATTCGTAGTAAAAGTAGCTTCCTTTCTAATAAACTTCAAGTTTTACTATTTCCATACCTTGCTGGATAATATTTAATATAAAATTCTCAAAGTTTTAAGTCATAATTTGCTTTCAATAAGTTATTTGACAAATTTTAAAGTTTAGGCAAATGTACAATGTTAATTTCAAGGTGTTAGTATTAAAAACAAATTTTACATTTCAAAACCCATCTTAGAAATTGTCCTATACCTTAAGAATAATATATATTGGCGATTTGCCTCTAAATAACCTTTAAAATAGAAATGTTCGGCCATATTATTTTGAGGAACATTGGCCAAATTCTCATATGTTTATCTCCTCCAAATTATTTTGTGTGTATATTTTGTACATAACAGGCTACCACAGGCCAAACTATTCTTTCTTTTTAGATAAACAAACATTAAGTGTTTAAAAATAAAACAGATTTTCGAAGTTGATTTTTGGAAATTATATCAATCAGTTACAATCTGAATATAGAGGCACTATAAAGGAGCTCTCTGAGCTTCTTGAAATGGGAGACACTTGGCTTATCTCCTATGTTTTCAGGCCTAGAATCTACATAACCAAAATATCTCCCCTTCTCTCTAATTGGTGACAGCAGAATAATTCAGTAAAAAAATTATTTTAAATATTGGTTCTTTTTTTGAGATTTCCTCTCCAATATACCAAGGCCACAGAATATAATAGATATGGCTTTCTCATGAACAGAATCAATTTACAATGCCAAAACCACATCCCTTATATTTTTCTGCTCTGTTATAGAGGTTGGTTTCTGGATTGGTGATACTTTCTTTTGAACTGTGAGTTGCTTCCTCAAAACATGCTGAAATACACAGACACTTTGAGAGTTTCAAAGAATGTTTTGAACACAATAGACAGGAAAGGCTGTAGGAAACTTTATCTCAGAGAAGAAAGTTTAGGACTTGTCAAGCACATACTCTTCTTCAAGCGTGCCTTCTAATTTTTTGACTTGCTCTCTGACTGATTTGGCCTGCTGTTGAAGCAGCTGCTTATTCTTGGGCCCAAGTGGTATCTCTGAAGCTTCCTTCACAAGATTCTCAGCCTGGACTGCAATGCCTTCAGTTCGTTTAGAGAACTCCTAGAAAAAGATATTATAATTGTTAAGAAGGCATCTTCTATTCAACTCTGCCCTCCATTAAATTGCATATACTGCAGAGTCTCCCCCAGAATAGATGAATAGATGATTCAAACATGTACGAATATTGGCATATAATATTCTTAGCAATAAAATGGACTTATTTTCATCATGACCAAAATAGACACTTTGCTAAATTATTTTCATTTTATATACACAACCAGACCTTCAGAGTTGGATAACTACCTTTGTACTTACCCAACAATTCTAACAAAAATGTTTTTTCCATTGTTTTCCTGGTTTAGGTTTACTGTTTGCAATTCTAAGCTACAGTACAATAATTAACTTGTCCACAAATATATCAGTCTATTATAGGCCAGTTCGGGCAATGATCAACAGTGATTGATTTTTTTCAATCATAAATATAATAGATTTCTAGGCCAATGAATATAAATATTTATTTAGTTGAAGAATATCTTAGTCAACACAGAATATCACTGATCTGTAAAGAAACATTTTGTTAACTGACTCTCTGGAAAAAAAACAATCTGATCTTAATGCTTACCAGCATTAAGTATGCATATACTATAATGATGGAAAGAAGGTAAGATTGAACTGGTCAAATCTGGACTAGAATCTTGGATTTGCTAATTACTAGCTTTTTCACTCTGTAAATTACTTTTCAGGCTCTTTCATGTAAAATGCAGATAGTAATTCCTTTCTTATAATTTTACTGTTAGCATTACATTAGCAATTTCATTTTTAAGTGTCTGGCACTCTGGCAGTTGCCTATTTTTTTTTAATGTTTTTCACATAAAATTGAGGACAACATGCTTTATAAACTTCATGCACGGATTTTCAATAATAGTGAACTATTTTAATTAGAAAATAAACATGTTTGAGGCAATGGTAAATTGTAGTTCTCTGAATCTGGTCAGGTAGATATACTGAATACTGAATTAGGAAAGATAAACCAAGACATAACCTTGAGTGAAAACAATTAACTTGGTGTCTCATTTCTTCTCATGTAGGGAATCTCACAGGAGGTTTAAATTTTGATCACAAACTCCTCTCTCCTAAATAGATAATGTAGAAATCTGATGTAAATAATTTTTAAAAATCAGACTTCTGATAGCCACATTTTCCCAAAGAGCAACGCCCAGATTTATTACATAATGCCGCATGAAGACAAAGTCCTCTTGGAAAGATCGATGTTACTTTGGAGAAGTACCTTGCAACTTAGAATAAAAATGAGTAAGTACAGCTTCATTATGGTACAGAGATTTATAACATCCTAAAATACAGTATTTGCTAATGTCACAACACTAAATTCTGTTGCTAAGCGCCCCCACTGTCACTATATATGAACTTGCAGTCACTGCAGATTCAATTGTGAAGACTGAATCACAGCAAAGTCTCTCCAGAACCCATGAAGAGAATCTGAGGTGTGAAATAAAGCGCTTTCCACACCCCTCCTAGTGTTTCTCAGAACCCAGGAAAATACACGGAGAAAGTAGAGTTATATTTGAAAATGCTTATATACATTCAAACTAAGAGCCTTTTGTGGGAGCCCTGGATGGGCAAAGCACAGTGTAGTGGAATCCAAAGAGCAGAATGATGTTGATCAAAACCAAACTAAACAAAAGTAGAGTAACGTTGTAAGGCCTTGTCTCTAAATTCTAAGAAGAAGACATGTAAGTGGCAGCAGGATGCAGGAGGAAACAGTGGACTTTTGTCACCAAATAGGTCTGGAGTTGAAATCAGGCTCTCTGCTTCACTAGCTGTGTGACCGTCAGCCACATAACTCCGAATTTTCATTTCCTCATCAGTAAAGCTCTGTTGTGAAGATTAAACGTGATATTTCTATGAACAGCCTATCACACACTGGCAGACAGAGAGGACTCAAGTTCCTTAGGGCAAACATGCAATGGCTACAACTGCAATGAAGGCTGTATTAACAATGTCAAGTGATCGAAGAAGTGAAGAACAATTTTTCTAGATTACACGTGCTTGTGCAGCAGCATACGTAAACAATTAGTAAAGCAGCTCAGTTTTGTAATGAAAATATAATGTAGTGGCTAAGAGTGTGGGCTCTGGGATTTGATTCCCAACCTCACCAGCTGGCAACCCCGAGATCTTGGATAAATTCATTAACAACTTTGTATCTTATATTCCTCCTTGATACAGTAGGATTAATAATGGTACCTATTTCTTAGGATCGTCTTGGGGATTAAAGGAGATGGTAAACGCCAAGTGATTAGATCAGCATACAAGTTCAATAATTGTCACCTCACATTATTAAATCAAACCCAAAGTATGCAAGATTATTGCTAAGGAGAATTCTAATAATAAGACTAAAGAGGTCACATTTGTTTCATCTACAGCTGATAAACGCATTCAAAGGGATCAGAGCCACAGGGTGTCAGAAACCCGGATGGAACCTGGGTGGAACACCCATATGATAATTAACCCAATAAATAGGTTTGTATTTATAAAAGACACCTGGTATATTTTTAATATATAAAATAATTAATATCAAAAATTTAAGTTAAAAATGCTATGTTTAAATGGCTGCTGAAAATCAGCCTTTCAGAATTGAAAGATTCTGTGGCCGTACAAAACTTCAAACTCCTCAGTGAGTTAATAATAGGAGAAATAATAAAAATTAGCAGTATGAGAGACAGAGAAGCCTTTTACTGGTAAGAAAACAGAAGCACAAGGGTTTACTCGCTAAAGGCTACAGAAGGATGAATACAACAGTTTCCTTTCTTACACATTGGCTAACACACTTCTGTGCTAATTCAGTCTTTCTACAAACCCAAAATACATGCACTAGGAACTAGAAGAATGTGTACAACTCCTCTTAATGCTTTGTACAAGTTTATTGGTATGCTCTGAGTATCCAAGGCATTTGAGTTTACCAAGGCTTGAGCTCACCAAATGACATCTACTACGGACATCTCTTGGACGTCCCCCTGGAGCCTCGAACAGGTACATCCAAACCTGAGTTGGTCATCTTTCCCCACTAACAGCTACTCCTTCAAGTTCCCGTCTCGCTCCCACTGTCTTGTCAGGCTCGGATCCTTGGGTATCACCTTCTTTTCCTTCACTCTCTGTCTCTTGCACCTGTCCCCATTGCCATCCCCATTACCCTAACTCATGTCCATATTAATGCACACATGCAATAACTTTCTAATTGGATCTCATGACTCTAGTCTTTCACCCTTTCAATTTCCCACACCTGCTACAAACTCATCTCCCAAAAGTAAGCTCTGATCACATGACTCTCTTTCTTACAAACCTTTAAGGGCTCCATGTTGCTGAGAGAGTAATGCTTTAGGCCTTCAAAGGGTCTTTGAGATGTGGCCCAACTTTCCTTAATAACTTCACTTCCATTTTCCTGATTTACAACATAGAACCCCATATCTAACACTTTTAACTTTCATGCCATCTCCCATTACAGAAATGCTTATTTTTTGCCCCAAACTCTGATTTTCTGTCTTATTTGCCCTTCAAGATTCAGTTAAAAATATCACTGCCTTCAGAAAGATTTTTTTATGGATTCATCTATTAGGGAACTCACTGTTTCCCACTTTAATGAAAACTTTCTCTTAGTTCTTGATATTTAAATCTTATTTATGTTTTCACTTCCCAGAGAAACCTGACCAGTGTGTTGGAGAGTGGATCACAAATAAGCGGTAAGTATTGATTAAATGAATAATTATAATAATTAACAGTAACAAGGGAGTAGAAACACGGTTTTCTTCTGAATAATGAATACCAAGGGCCTCTGTGGTCTTATTAACATACCTTTGTCTGTTCCAGTTCTGACGACAAGCTTTCCAAACTGCTGAAACTCAAGAAGCGCTCGTGGCTGGAACCTGTTTGAAAAAGGTATCTGACCACTGTCTCTTTGTTTGTTTCAAATCTCTCCCATTTTCTTAACGTGAGCTAAATTTGAAAAAATAAATAACATATCACGTTATGAATGACCAAAGAGTGTCATAAAATATTGTCACATTTCCATTCATTTGTTAGGCTGTCAACTTCCAGTTAAATCTCAGTTCAAATTTCACAGTTACACTGAATAAAGATGATCCTAACGTCTTCTATAAGAATTTCCCTTTCGAGTTTCCATTCAACCACAAAAAGAGGATGTGTGGACTAGGACTCTTGAGTTTTCTATCAGCTGTAAAGTCCTATGAATCTAAAGACATTACTTAAAATGTAGATGAAGGAGAAAGGAAAAGAAAGTCTCCCAATTTCTCTCAAAAGAAGAAATGATGAAAGGAAAAGAGAGAAGGTGGAGTGGGCAGTGAGCAGATGGCAAAAACTGAAACGCTTTTTAGGGTAATGTGTCAAGATCACAATAAAGGTTTGGCTGCTGGGCTGCCTGGAAAAGTAAAATGACCCAATGCAAATTTCTGGATTCAGACAAATGTGGATCAAAATGCTGGCTTTATAATTAATCACTGCTCTGTGACTTTGGGTAAAATCCTCAAACTCTTTCTTTTTAAGCATCCACACTTGCAAAATGTGCTAATTACAGTACCCATCCAATAAGGCTGATGTGAGATAACTCATGCAAGTATTTAACGCAATGCCAGAGCATCAGGGGAGGAAGCAAACTATTGCTTCCCCTAGTAGATGTAATGGGTGACCCAGAAGTTAACACAGGCCTTGACTTCTGGTCTCCTACCTGGATGCGGCGTTCCTGCTTCTCCCTGCTGTGCTCCATGCTGTCCAGGGTGCTCTCCAGCTTCCACAGCTCTTCTTGGGCCTGGCTGGGCAACCCACCTTCCCCCTGCCGAGCCTGTGCGAGCTGCTGCTGCACATCCTGCTTCTTTGCAGAGATCCTCTTTGTCTTTTGCTAGAAGCATGTGTTCCACAGATGGATATAAATATTACTCTCTAAGCAGCTAAGCCGCGACATAAACACCCACACTTTAATAGAGGTACAGAAAGGTGGACCTCACGCAGCGAGGGCCCAAGCTGTATTTTAAAGTTAACACAGTTAAAATGGCAATGGGGACTCTATGTTAGTCAAAGATGGGCATTATTTATAAATATTTTATGTTTTCAATTATAAACAACATAATTAATTTGGTCTTGGTGTTTTCATTGTGTGCAAATTTAGACAACACTTTAGCATTTGTGCAATACTCCCGGAGGAATTTGGCAGAACTATTTATTTGACATGATTCTCCTTAAAGAATTATTTTCTGCCTAAAGCACAAACTCTAAACTCCAATTTTTTTTAATCATTTAGGCGGTAAAAATGTTAATATTAAGATATTTAATTCCTGGATATATTCAGAATGATTAATCTCTTGAGCTATTTGGGGAAAGTAATGTTTTAAAATAAACTTTTTATTGAAGTATAAAGTACAAACAGAATGGTATGCAAATCTCAAGTGTACAGCTCATGAATTTTCACAAAATAAACACATGCATATAACCAAGCACCTGGTCCAAGAAATGTGAAAAATTTTAAAACGTTAATGTAAATACCTATAATCTCATATTTCTCTGACTTAAAGTAAATTGAAACCCAAACACCACTTTCACAATGACTGAGAACAATGCAACACTATGCATTTTTTTGTCCTCACAGCCTTTTTATAATTATTAAGTAAGTCGATAAAGTCTAGAGGCTGCTATTTGTACACTTTTAATGCAACCTCCATTTTTCTGTATTATTATATGCAAAATTAGCTAGCATCTTGCTATACATTGTTAGCTAGAATTTTGTCATTAAAATATTTGATTTGAATCATACTTCCACTTATATTGAGTTTGACAAGTAAAGTTGATTAAAATTGTTTATTATCTATATATGCACTAGAACTTCCTTACTTCCATTTCCAATCCTTTCTAAGAGCATACTCTTCAGAAAGGTCCGGTAATTCATGGAAGTTATAATTTTCCAGACTGAGATGAATTCAAAGTTGTTAAATGAAGAACAAGATTGTAACATAATGACAAAAGAATAGCGATCTCAAATATGGAGCAATTTATCTGTGCTTTCCTTCTCTGTTATAAAAAGAACAATTTAGCAAGTTTTATGAAGGTTTTTATGGCTAAATCAACTTGCCCTCCACAACATTCCTTGAACTTTTTGATTTCACCAAATCTCTCGGGCTGAGAATTTCTCTTGCAGGATCTTCTGAAATATTTAATATTTAACAGAACAGAAGTACCAAGTTCTTTTAGCCATTCAACTGGATCCCCTCATAAGGCCCCTTCCTTCTTCCTCAGCTTGGTGGATACACTCTTCACGTCTCTGGTTCCGTCGGTAACTAGCCAGCTTTGCACAAACGCGCTGGAGTAAAGAGACACTCTACCTGGTGATGAAGGAGCAACTGCTGCGCTTCGAACAGACTTTCAGCGTCCAAGATCTTCTCGGCTTGTTCCTGGACTTCTTTAGAGCCAGAAATTAACTCTTCAAGGGAACTTTGGACTATTTCTTTGTACTGGACACAGTCCCCAAAGTTGCTTACCCTCTTTTCAACCTAGATTTTCATGAAAGAATTGTAAATCATGTGCTCATGTAATCTTAAATATTTTAAGAATATGTGTGAAGTCTTTCTGAACAACTTGAAATATATACACAGATCTAACTTTTATTCTTTCATATATTTTTGAAGCTTAGTTAATTATTATTAAACTGCATAGTCACTTATGGGCATCGCAAGCCTCATTTGATACATAAATGGTGATAAATTAAAAATGGTAAACGTGTTATAAGAAAGCTGAGTCCATCTTATTTAAAGTAAATAAGGAAAAAGTCTGCGGAGAGGAAAAAGAAGAAAAGAATACAATTGTTGAAAATGCACTTTAAATATTTCTACATAAATATCACTATAATTTCTAATTTTGTGGTTCTTTAGTGGATTCTTTTCCTTGTCACTTTCCTGAATTTTTAGCATTTTCGTCTAATTTCTGCTTTCTCTATTTTAGTGTCACCAGCATCTTTTGTTTTCAAAGTCTATCTCTCTCCATCTTCACTAAGATCCTCATTTACACGTTATATCATTTGACTTCCACAAAATTCTCCCAGTTTCTCCTTCTCGTATCTGATCTTTCTCTTTGACCTTCTTCTGCTCTGAGGTCACCCAAGGTAACTTGGAGTATGCTCTTCTCCAAATAAACAGCAATAAGACCCTATGAAAACCACCATCTCCAGATCTGTCAATCACAGCTCTGTTGAGAGAAGTGACTCTTCATTATGTATTGTCAATCTACCCACAGCCTTTTATCCTCCACTGGACAATTGCAAATGCTTTTGTGTTCAGCATTAAATACTAAATGGATTATAATCAAAGGATGGACTGAATGTATCAAGCCACCTTTTCATATAAATCTTTACATGAACAGAATGTTTTTCTCCATTCCTCTCTTTTGGCTTTCATTAAGTGATTAAGTAACAAACAAGAGTATTATTATACATTATACAGAAGTTTAAGGTAGATGAGTGTACAAATAATCGTCTCTATTTGGTAGAGGTAGAATGTTGTTACAAGTCCCATGGGCAGTATTGTGAGAGTACTTGGAAGATAAAGCAAATAAATGGTAAAAATGTTAGGGAGACTGATAATTTCTAATTTTAAAGGCTGCTAATGTGTTTTTTGTGTGTGTGTGTAAAACACAATATAAGTTAATCTATCAATGTGACTAAGACTATTTGTTAGGTCTTGGTTCAAAGATACCTGCATATATATTTACTTTTTAAATTATTATCCTTATTTTTACCCTTACCTTCTTGACCAAAGAAGGTGTAGAGAAGAATAACGTCAACATTTCACTTAAAGTATGGTGACAACTAACTAAACTTGAGTATTGCTGTGAAACTTGGATGATCAAAGAATTGAAATAGCTTATGTTCCAAAATTTGATTAATCCTATTGCTATTTTCAATTTGTCAACAATTGTTTTTCTATATCAAAACAACTGTTTTCTACATCAAAATTCTCACATAAAACTAAAATCGTGAGCAGTCGGAGTATTTTTGGCTTCTGTCAAATCACCACTAGAGTCTCCAGCAGATCTACACGGATTAAAAATATATGAAAGGCTAACTGACAATCAAACTGTGAGATTTGGGACATCTAGAGAGAATTCTAGATCTTCAGAATCAGGGAACTTTAAATCATCCAATGGTATCAATTTTACTCGCAATTTTAGAAACGATTTCAAGAAACACTGATAACTATCTATTCTACTCTACATTCTCACATTATCTTCCCATCCACAAACTCATTAGACTTGTATGACAGCCTGGTCAGTAAAAATATTCTTGCCAAGGGTAGAAGGGCCCCTACTAGAAATGAAATAGATGGGTTTATATATTTCAATCTACAAAGGAATATAAACATTGAAATGTACATCAAGAAGTTTAAAATGAATAGATCTTACCTAAAAGAGATTTTACTGGCCTGTTGACTAAACATGGAATATCTTATTATTGCTAGCTGTCAGACTATTTACTCTGTTCCGGGCACTATACTGTTTCACAAACATTATTGCATTTAACCCTTGACAGCACCTTTGGGAGTATTTTTAGCCCTGTTTTACTAGTAGGGAAATCAAGGCCCAGAGATATTAAATAACAAGCTAAAGGTTACATAGGGAGTGGGGTATCAGAGTTGAACTCTAATTCTGGGTTTGTTTGGCTCTCAACTCTGTGTTCTTAACCTCCATGATATACCTTAAACTGACGGAGAAATAATACTTTTAGTAAGAGTAACAAGTTTGGGTCTGATGAGCTTTGTACTGTAGATAAAGTTCATTAACCTGTACTAACAAACCCAATGATGGCATAGACCCCAATTCAAGCATCTCCTCATCTTCCCCACCAGTCTTCATAGAAATATCTTAACCATTTTGCTTCAACTACACTTTCTTTACAAAATTACTTGTTAAACTACAACCAAAAGAAAAAGAACTTTCCAGACTTCTCACCCCGAACTGTGTAGTTAGAGTGTGAGTAAATGGTATACCTCTGACAACAAAGTTACAAAAGCCTTGAAGGAACTAGACAATTTTGCCAGCTCATCTCCTTGCTTCTGGGCTTCGTTCTCAGAAGAAACTTCAATCAAAATTTTAAGCCTGGATTTCAGCCAGTTGAGAATCTCGCCTTTTTTGGAAACGTCATTTCTGATCTCCTAGAATGAAAGAATACTTTTGATGAATAAAACACAACTGTGAATCATAGTCTTCCAGCAAGAAAGAACTCAGTCTAAGAAAGTTTGTAAGGTGCTGGTAGGGGAGCCAGACATTCACTCACCAAGAGAATGCCTGCTTGTTTTGCTTTTTGTTCCCATATTTTACCATAGTCTATAAGGGTCAGAAAGAAATGTTCCCCCAAGCCAACACCTGATGTGTAAAATCCATACTATCTATACCAAAAAGTTACCTTCATAAATCCATGGTTAGATATTTGCGATATTCTCTTTATTACAACAAAGATGCTTCTAAAGGTACTGCAGAAGAATATGTGACACCAAAATTGGGAATTGTAACATATACTTTGTTACCTTACTTTCTGTGAACTGGAAGGAACATAGTTCTTTTTTAAAAAAGAACGAGAGAGTCCTTTTTTTATTTAGCTGATTTCTTTTATTGAAGAGTTTACTTGTGGAATATTATTATGGATGCCCTAAAGATTTATTTTAACTTCATTCACTCATATTTTATGCCTCGTTATTGTTAGTTTCTGAAAGTCAGTACCCCAGATAGTAAGATACACAAATAAGAGCACAGCCCTAATCCAGGAAGTGAGGGCTTACTGGGAAGATCATGCCAGAAAGACTCAGGGGCCTTGATCCTGGTAGGGCTGCTGACCAAGGGAATGGTGACTGGGGCAGCCTCTCCCTCCCACCTCTGCTCTGGGTCACATGAGGGCAGTGGTCTCCAACCACGTGTACTGCTACAGAGGGTTTTACAGGGCAAATGCATACCAGTGGAAAACAGTTGGTTCTGGAAGCAAGTGGCCTTTTTATTCTAAGTGAATATTTGTTTTGACTCTAACAGCAACTCATAGCAAATATAGATATCCTTCCATAGGTATGATATTTTTGAGCACCTCTAGCATTGAAGGGGATTATAAATTTAACAGAAAAAAAAATGGAACTCAGAGGATAGGAATAGAAGGGAAATATATTCTCATTAACAGCAACTATGTGACTTACAAGGATTCAAAATGCTGAAAGATAAAGAATTTTCATAATAGTGTGTGTCTATAAAACCAAGAGCAATGCTAAGAGGGAGAGCGTTGCTGTGTGCCATTCACGGAAGGCAAACTGGGTTCAGGCCTCACGTTCTGTCCCCCTGGCTGTACCCATGCTCATAGGGGCTGATCCAATCCAGGCTGAATGTGACATCAAAATGGTGCTTAGAGACATTGCCCAATTCCCTCATTTTCTGTGACCTGGCTTTTGAATGGCTGGAAATGTAGAAAAACCTATAGCGTTTTTGTTTTCCATGACACTTCTTAAATCTTTGCTGTGTTGTAGACCCATGCATGCAATTTTCCTCCCAGGATTCCCCATTAGCTAAAGATGCATTAGAGGCACCACTGAGCACGAACACATCTAAGTGCTAACAATGATTCAACAGAACAGAAACCCTACAGTTCTCCACAGTAACCTGAGGAGACTTATTTTTAAGACAATTTTCAGGCACTTAGTTTTTTATAGAAAAAAGAAAAGGCACCAGTTAGATTGTCTATCATTGTTTTTTTATTAATGGAAATTTTCCAGGAACAAAAAATGGCCCATAACTTACTTCTACAGCATGTTTAATGTCTCCATGGTTGGCAGTATCGATGGCCTCACTCTTAATCTCCTTCAACTGTGTCTCCTTTGCAGATATCCAAGATGAGAACTCAGAAATTCTGAAATAACACAGGCATTTTCTTATTAAAGGGAGAAAATATCCCAATGGTTAGAATCCATTTTCTACTTTGAATTTATTCATGGGAATTTGACAATCAACTGAGCAGCAAATTGATAAACACATTTTCTGGAAACTATTCCTTTAAGAGGAAGCTCAGGGCAGGGCTGGCTGCCTCTGTGCTCAGTCACTTGGAGGAAGGAGAAAGTGTAGCAGTGAACTCAGTTGAGGAAAAGATGTGTCCCAGGGCCCGAGCACCTGGGAGTAAGGAAGGTACCGCTTGATGTCCAGCCTCACGCGACTCCCTAGAGTGACACAGAACCCCAAGGAGGCAGAAGTCCCCGTTGGGGACATGAGGAAATTGGGGAGAAAGGGATTGTCTGATTCTACTTCAAAGAGATAACCTGAGTCACTTGGAAATAAAGTGCTTTACCCTGTTTCTGACTGAAACACACTCTTTTTATTAAATGAAGATTTTTGTACAAGAGCCTGGGCAAGATCGTACAATCTGATTGTCTTTATTGTGTAAGATGAAACATACGTCATTTCTCGTTTTGAGATTATCTCTGAATTAACAGAATTCGCAGAGACTAGATCCTCCTCTGGGGACAGTTCCAACCCTACCTGCCAGTGTAGTCCTTCCACTTGTCCGGGTCCTCCACGAGCTTCGCATAGGTGCTGTCAATGGCAGCTCTGAGCTCTTTGAGTGTCACGTGGCAAGTCTCAGGGGTGTTCCTTACAGGGTCCCGGACTGGGAGCTTCAGACACAGTTCTTCAATGAGCTGTAACCTTTTCTCACAGAGGTGATGAGGACCTTTGTCACTGAAGAAAATCTAATGAGCAATAAACATTTATATAATCCCTGTGGGAATCCATACAATACTTTTACATCTTCATAGAAGATTCCCATTTAGTTTTAGCAGTATAAACTAATTTGGCTATTCAGTGTTTTCAGACTCAAATGAAAGCATCAGTTACATCCTTGCAGTAACAATGTGACTTTGCATGACTGCACTGAGTTATGTGAGACCTACCCTGTGCTCTTTAAGGATCTTTTCGCTGCCTTCCTGGGGCACCAGCTTGGTCTCTCGATCCAGCTCGGTTCTGCACTCTTCCACTGAAGCTAAGAACCTATTCTTCTCCACATCAATCTTCAGATGAAGCAAATGATATGGGGCTTCTCCTTGAAGATCCTACATTCCATAGGAAGATTTGGAAAAATATGATACCATTCCTGATTATGTACATTTCCAACTGAAGTGGCGGAAACCATAAAATAGTTGCTTTAGGGTCCATATAATTTAATTACTATTGTCTGCCCCTGGCTGTTGTGCTGTGTACTTTTCCAAGTACTGGGACTGCAGCGAATCCTTTCAGCCTGCCGTGGGTCAGGCGTTTCCACAGAGATTAGTCCACCTAATTTTTACCACAGCCCCGCACAATATTAATGTTCTATTTTAAAGATGAGACCATTGAGGCTCAGGGTAAGTAGAAAACCTAGATTTTAACCTAGATTTAAATCACACACTGATCCCACATACCCTTTCCCCAGCAGGTCTCCCTTTTGAGTTTGTCAACAGCCCTGTGAGCTAAGAAGGACAAATAATACACTCACTACACAAAGGGGGAACTCAAGGAAAACTTGTTAGTAAAAAAAGGCAGGATTAACTGGCCCACAGCTCTGACCACCTGCCATGACCCCTTTTCCTTAGAGCATATATTGAGAAAACGCAAGCAGCACGAATCTTTTCATGTTCTTTTTTTTTTTTTTTATAAAAGATTTTATTTTTTCCTTTTTCTCCCCAAAGCCCCCCGGTACATAGTTGTATATTCTTCGTTGTGGGTCCTTCTACTTGTGGCATGTGGGACGCTGCCTCAGCGTGGGCTGATGAGCAGTGCCATGTCCGCGCCCAGGATTCGAACCAACGAAACACTAGGCCGCCTGCAGCGGAGCACGCGAACTTAACCACTCGGCCACGGGGCCAGCCCCTTCATGTTCTTTTTTGATATAAGCATAAGCTTCACCATTACCCTTAGTCCTACAGTTTAATTTTAGCCAACTTGTGTCCTACAGCATTTAAAAGGTTGCCTTTAAAATAAAATACTAAGATAACTGATGAGAAAAATGAGTTGGGGCTATGGAAAGACTAGGACAGATTATGTTCTAGAGAGCATAATGTGTGTGTGTTTAAAATAAAATACAGCCTTCAATTATAGTCTCTATTCCAAATACATTTATGATATGTTAAGCCTCAAAGATACTTTAGAAAGCTCAGATTTCTTCAAGAATCTTTTTTTTTTTTTTGCAGGGAAGGAGTCATCCTGAGCTAACATCTGTTGCCAATCTTCCACTTTTTTTAATTCCCAAAGCCCCAGGGAATGGTTGTATATCCTAGTTGTAAGACCTTCTAGTTCTTATATGTGGGACACTGCCACAGCATGGCTACTGACAGATGGGTGGTGTGGTTCTGTGAACCGGAAATGAACCCAGGCCGCCAAAGCAGTGAGAGCACTGAACTTTAACCACTAGCCATGAGGGATGGCATGAGAATCTCTTTTTTTAATTTTCAAATTTAGCAAGTAAAAAAGATATTTCTTTAACTGTGCTTGTCCTATGCATAGGGCTGATTTTTTTAGCCTATGTTACTGAGATTAAAGAAAAAAAATCCATGAGGCTGGCCCCATGGCACAGTGGTTGAGTTTGGTGCATTCTGCTTTGGCGGCCTGGGTTCGCAGTTTCGGATCCTGGGCACAGATTCACAGATTCACTCTTTTCCACTCTCCAAGTGGGCCCACTTCTCTCTTTCAAAGCTTTCATAAATATATGACTTGTACCTTTTTGGACTTATTGTATATTACACTTTCATTATTTGCAACCAATTATCTCCCTGGCTGGACTCTAAGCTCTGGGGAAGAAGATTATGCTTTGCTCATCTTTGAATCCTTAATTAATAAATGTTTTTATTCATATTTCTTAGGTCATAACAATCCAAACCAGATGATAAAATCTTTGAAAAGAGCAAATATATATATGTGTGTGTATATTATATACAATTATACATATTTATAAACATATATTAATTTTAATTAAAATATTATACATTTATATATTATCTAAAATATTTTTATGTTAGTATATATTTTATAATATATATTTTATTATATAAAACTTATGAATATTTCTTATAATTGCAGTAGTATACCTAACATAATTTACTCAGATGAGAAGAGTTTACTAAATGTTGCTGAATAGCTAAATGCCTTTATCATTCCTGTCCCCCAAAATATTTAGGAAAAGAAAAAGAATACTCAAGTAATATGATAAAATTTATGCTACTAAAAGAAGAGGAAAAACGAAACTCTATCATATTTTATTCAGTTTTCTTTTTAAGAGTAAGGGCTTACTGTTGTCCCTTACATTTATTTATTTATTTACTTATTTATTTTAAAGATATTTTTCCTTTTTTCTCCCCAAAGCCCCCCCAGTACATAGTTGTGTATATTTAGTTGTGGATCCTTCTAGTTGTGGCATGTGGGATGCCACCTCAGCATGGCTTAATGAGCCGTGCCATGTCCGTGCCCAGGATTCAAACCTGCGAAACCCTGGGCCCCGGAAGCAGAGTACATGAACTTAACCACTCGGCCACTGGGCTGGCCCCTCAAGTTTTTTTTTTTTTTAAAAGATTGGCAACTGAGTTAACAAATGTTACCAATCTTCTTTTTAATTTTTTTTTGGCATTTTCTCCCCAAATCCCCCCAGTACATAGTTGTATATTTTTAGTTGTGGGTCCTTCTAGTTGTGGCATGTGGGACGCTGCCTCAGCATGGCCTGATAAGTGGTGCCACATCCTCGCCCAGGATCCGGATCTCGAAACCCGGGGCCATCAAAGCAGAGCACTGGAACTTAACCACTCGGCCACAGGGCCGGCCCCTCAAGTTCAGTTATTTTAATGGGAAAAGTAGCTATGGTGACTTTCCATAAATTTCTAAATTTCTCTTACAATTGGACCTTAACACCCTCATGTTTTCTCCCATCATCCATGACATACAATGTTCCCACTGTGTCTCGACTCACCTTCCACTGTTTATGCAGCTTTCTGACAGCTTCCTGCAGGCCCTGCTGTTCCTGCTCAGGGAGAATGTCGGTGAGCTCGTCACAAGCTTTCAGAAAAGCATTGAGCACCCTCTGATCCAGCTGACTGAAAAACTCCTGACAGGAGAGGAGGACAGTGGTTAAGAGTGTTGAGCAGAATAAAAGGCAACATCAGACGCTAGACAGTGAAGTAGTCATACCTCTAACAAGCCTCCTAGCCAGCTTTTGCCCTCTTCAAACCTTCTGGGCAACAACTATTTTTTTCATATGGAACTATAATTATCTATAGCTATGATTCAGAAGCTACCAAATCTGAAATTCAACTAGTACGTTTTATTTTTTAGAAAAAAATCTTTACAGTTTTCAAATTTGGTAGAATGTTCTGGAAGGCCAATAAGAGATCCTAGAACCTTGATTCCATATTGATAGAGTTTTAGTTCCTCTTTGGTAAAGTCAGAAGAGCAGAGTTGAAGCCAGGACCAAGCCTCATAATTCCCCATTTCCTCATTGCACTATGTTCTAGGCCATGCTGGTTCCTTATGAGCCAATTCCACATTCACCCAAGTGCAAATGTGAGCACACATGCTATGGACTGAATTGTGTCCCTACCACCCTCTGCCAAATTCATACGTTGAAGCCCTAACTCTGTTAGGAGATGTTGACGATGCAACCTCTGAGAGGTGATTAAGTTCATACGAGGTCATGAGGATGAGACCCTCATGATGGAATTAGTGCCCTTATAAGAAGAGACATCAAAAATCTTGCTCTCTATCCATCTCTGCCATGTGAGGGCACAGTGAGAAGATGACCATCTACAAGCCAGTAAGAAAATCCTCACCAGAACCCAACCATGCTGGCACCCTGATCTCACACTTCTAGTCTCCAGAATTGCAAGAAAAATACATGCCTATTGCTGAAGTCACCCAGTCTATGTAATTTTTTTATGGCAGTCCGAAAAGATGAATACAACACATGTGCACATATATGCATGACGAAGTCTCACACAGTTTCAGGAGTGTGTATGCAGAGATATTTTGAAACCACAGTGATTTAAAACAGAAAGTGCCACACTGTAGAGGTGTACCAACTGGACGAGATGTTGGGGCATCATAGACACTAATCCTAAGTCCAGTCACTGCATTCATCATTTGAGGGTGTGGTTTATACAAATATCCACTGAAATTTCAGAAAACATTACTCAAAATAGGTGTTGTCAGAGGGCGCATCATCTCCATAGACCATTTAATAGATTACTAATATTCTCAATATTGATAGGATTTAAACGAGTATGATTAACAGGAAGATGGCTTCACAATAATGCAACAAGTGCGGATCAGCTACCAAACTTCAAGTAACAATGGTATTTGTACTACGATATGGCAGATTTATAAAATGAGCACAAAGACTTTGCTATCCACCTAACATTATCTCCTAAAAAAGGGTATCTTGGTTATGTAAGAATATCTCAACTAAATAATGAATTGGTAACTTGGAGAGCCTGAATTATCTATCCTATGACTCTCTACCACTCCAGTGGCTTAACAATAGCTAACTGCAAGGCAGCTCATCAATTGCTCTTGAAGTCCTTTTTGGTGCCATTTATTTGGATCTCACACCTAAAAAGTTTCTGCCTTCCTAACTCACCTCTCACCTCTCTCTCCTCTCTCTCTCACTATTAGATCAGGATGCTTTTTCTTTTGAGGAAAAGTAGCTCTGAGCCAACATGTGCCACCAATCCTCCTCTTTTTGCTGAGGAAGATTGGCCCTGAGCTAACATCTGTGCCCATCTTCCTCTATTTTATATGTGGGACACCTGCCACAGCATGGCTTGACAAGTGGCATGTAGGTCCATGCCCGGGATCGGAACAGGTGAACCGGGCTGCTGAAGCAGAGCATGCAAACTTAACCGCTATGCCACCTGGCTGGCCCCCAGGATGCTCTTTTCATTTTTCATCCAAGATTGCCCGTCCATGTCCTCACGTCAAGTGCCCCATAGGGGATGAACTCACAGTATGTCTCCTCAGGAGGTCTTCTGGATTCCCCTTTTCCTCCATGCCCTCCTGAGCCGTCCGCAGCACCTTCTCCAGCTCTGCTCGAGACTCCTCAAATTTCTTCATCAAGCGGCTGTTGGTTTCCACGTGTTTCTTCCAATCTCCAGTTTTCTTTACCATATTCTCGATTTAGAAAATAATCATAATGTGATGCTGCTTTCTCATCTTTGAGAGTATCATTTTGTTAAAGAGTATGTTTCTTTAAAAAAACACTTGAAAGGAATACATTTCAATTCCATGAGAATAATCAACGCTTTTTAATATTAATTAATATTAGAAAAAGAAGAAATAAAATTATTGGTTTTCAAATACCAGTTTGCAAGAGTGAAACTATGAAATGCGATGAGTACATGCCTTCATTCTTTGTATTTTCCCAATTAGCAGACATTTGGTCCTGTCTAAAATGTCCGTAAGACATCTTGTCCTGGTCAAAAGGTCCTTGACATTTGGTCCTGTCCAAAATGTTCGTGAGCATATTTTGTCCTTATCAAATGGTTTCGGACAGGACCAAATATCAAGGACTTTTTGGCATGGACCAAATGTCTTATGGATGTTTTTGACAGGATCAAATAGTCCTGCAAATTTCAAGGACCTTTTGGCATGGACCAAATGTCTTATGGACATTTTGGACAAAACCAAACGTCCTGCGAGGATTTTTCCTTGCGCACATCTCTAAAGTGGGGAGAGAACTTACTTGAAAAGCAACATGAGCATCTGCAATCTGTCTCTGTAGCTTCTTCTGATCAAAATGCTTTAACACCTTGCTCAAGGTCACAAACTTTTGAACATTTTGACTGCCTTTCTCAATCTGTGTCATAGTTTTCTTACAGCTTTCTTGACAAGCTAACAGTTCCTACAAGGAAAGGAAACCCACAACAATAGTATTTAAAAGAGTGAGAAAGAGAGTGACCATTACAAAATAATTAGAAAAGCATTATATAGTTTTAGGCTTTTAGTCAGCAATAACTATTATCAAAATACAGAGAAGTATTTCTCTTCAGAAGAGCTCAATTTTCAGCAATCACTGAAGTCAGTGCTTTTTATATAAGGCATTTAAATGTCACACTGAGTTTTTGAGTTTGTTTTTTATATTTCATGCCCATCTTATTAACATCAAGAGAATGACAGAGAATCAAAATTGTGATTTGTGTAGTGCCTGCATTCCTCCTACCAACAACTAGGCCAACAGTTTATTGAAAGAACAATAATGAAGTCAATCTACCTATCAGGTTTTAATATGGATAAATAAATTTAGCACCAATGCACATTGCACTTTACTGAAAGAGTCAGACGCAGAAGATGATATACTATTTGTGTATCCTAAAATGTACAAAATTTGAATTCCTAAGGTTCACAACATATCGACCTCAATAATAAAATGGTGGACCCTGGATCCTAACCACAGAAGGCAGCAACCACAGGCCTGGGAAGATTTGCAACTGTCACACATTTGCAGGAAGAGAAGCAATGCTGACTCATAGGCGCTTCCACCTCTGATCCGCAGCCCGGCATCAGAGCAATTTCTGCAGCTGATGGCACAGAAATTATCCAGTCCAGCCCGAGGTAGACAGTCATTTTTAGACTTGAATCCACACCATTTGCATTTCAACATCCTCAATAACTTTGGAAAAAAAATTTCAAACTGCTCATTTGGATACCAGTTTTGGTAATTTCAATGCAAATATTAAGAGCAGGGTTTTTGTTTTGTTTTGGCAAAACAGACTAAGGACATACTTTTTCCTTTTGAGGATTTAGGAGGTAAAAGAGTAACATACATGAGAAAGATACTAAAAATTATTAGTCTTTATTATTATTAAAGTATACAATATTATTTTAATTGTGGAAGAATTCTTTAATGGCAATTTACAGCAATTTGGGAATGTAATAAATGGCACTATGACTCAAAATGAAAAACAATCTTTATCTCATATGTTTTAGAACACATTAGAAAAGGGTTGGGTGGTATAATCATTGTGGCTTTACTATCAATAATAATAACAATAATTGCTACTTGTTATAGAGTACCTATTTTATGCTATTATGTGCTAGTCGCATCATAGAATATCTAATGTAATCTCCCCAACAAGCTCTTAACTTAGGTATTATCACCTCCATTTTAAGGTGAGGAAATAAAAGCTGCCCAAGGAGTTGTAATTTGCTATAAGAGACCTAAGATCTGCATACGTGTCTGACTCACTTCCTATACTCTCTGTTCTTTCTACTCAGTGGTGCTGCCTTCCTTCCATGAATCTATTGCAATTAACCCAGTGGCAAACCTTTTGCCTGTTAGTTTCACCCCCCTCTGATGGATAGGTTCATTTATAATAAGCCAACTAAAGAAGCCAATTAACTGCAACACTCAGTAGGAGGCTGTTCTGCATACAGATCTGCTTACTACAAATGAGACAAAGAAAAATGATTATCACTCCCCACACATTTCCAGAATTTTATGGTTGTATAAACAGACCCAGTCACCGAGGCAAAGAAAAGATCTCATAAGACAGATTTATAGACTTTGGATAGAAACAGAATGTAACTATTTATTTTTAAATATATCTAAATATACCTGTATCTATCTATTTATCTATCTATCTAACTAAAGTTTTTATTTTGTCTATAGTGGACAGGGTTTTCGTCTTTTTTTTTGAAGATTGGCCCTGAGCTAATATCTGTGCCAATCTTCCCCTATTTTATGTGGGCTACCACCACAGCATGGCCCAATGAGTGGTGCTAGGTCTTGCCCCGCGGATCTGAACCTTGAACCCCAGGCCATCGAAGCGGGGCAGGCAAACTTAACCACTACAGCACTGGGCCGGCCCCAGGGTTTTCATCTTTGGACAGGATGTGCATTTTGTTTTGAGCTGTCAGTGATATTCCAGAAAAATGCTTCTTGTCCTAACTGAATTTCCATCACTATGAGCACCACCTCAATCTTATCACACACACTTTAAGATAACTCTGTCTCCTGCAAGGGGCTTGTCCTTACCTGATGTTTTTGTTTAAAAAGAGCACTTGATTGTGCCTCATGCTCAAGAACTGTTAGAATTTCATTTATTTTCCCAAGTGATTCATAAAAGAATGTCATCTGTTTTTCTAATTCTTCCAACGGTATCAACAGCTGCTGAGACTCATAAAGGAGTGGGGAGTAACATTCTTTGACCTTTAAAAATAGAAGGACAAAAATTCCATTAAAGGCCATTCAGTACCAAAGTTCAGGGCACTGTTATAGCTCTCAGGGCAATTTGCTTTAGTGACATGGTCATTTGGTGCTTACACATCTCCAAAGATATTTCTTTAGTAATATTTCCCAAGTATTGTTAAATTTTCATGTAAAAAGATGACACTACTATACAACTGAGACAAATAAATGCTACAATTTTCTCACACAAGTTCATCTGAATAGTCCATCTGGACGGCGCTTTCCCATCTAAATGATGTTGTGAGCGAGCATCAAATTCCACTTCACAAACTCTGCAAAGCATCTTAACTTTTGCCCTGAAATCTGACCTAAGACAGCCAAGAATTGCATTATCTAGACTAACCCGTGCCCTCCAACTCTATTTTCAAGAACTCTACTACTTGAATCCTTAACTCTAGACATACTTTCAAATTTGTTGACACATTCTTCCTAGACAGGTCTTGTGCCTTCCTGCCTCCCCCTAGCTCCATGCTTCTCTACTCTCCCCCTATCGTCATCCTGCTCGTCCTAAGCACTCATGTCATATACCAATTTATTCATGAAGGTTCCCACACTAGGGGACATCTCCACAGTCTGAATTGGCTCAGCCCTCATCTACCACTTGTCTATTAAAAAATGCTGTTGCTTTATACAACTGTATTATCTTTATATTTATGGTGAAGTCAAAAGGCCCTGGAGATCATGAACTATAAAGCGTCTGCCTTGTCACCTTATATCGAAATCCAGGACCACACTATTCTCCAAGAATTTCCTGTCTCCCCTCATTTTACTTAGAGTTGCTCTCAAAGTATTATTAATTCTTTTGGAAACCAAGGAAATGAAATTGAGGACTTGTTGGTAGACCATTCTTGTTTTTCTTAGATTATAAATATTCTCATGTTCTTGGATACACTGTCTGAAGCATAAACTCATCAAAAGAAAGGCAGCGTCCTTCTACTGCAACAAGGCTCTGCCAAAATTACTCTGAACAAAATGAAGAGAATCTGCTAACATGCATAAAAATCAGTGTGCTTTATAAATCTTTCCTGGATACAGTAGAGAACTTATCAAGATGCTACATATGAAGCCACAGTAAAAAAAAAAAAAAAAAAAGCATAATGACTTAGATGCATCTAAAAGCGCAATCTCCTTTCTCAGAGGTTGCCCTAAATCATTAAACTTGGCCCAGGCCTAGATGTGCAAGACCAAGATATGGCTCTGAAAGCTTCTTGAAGGTTATCAAATTGATAATGTTGACTTCAGATGGTACCCAATCATAATAAACAATCTTAACTTGAATGTTAAAATAAAAAGAAGTAAAAATTAACCTAATATACACCAGTTTGACAAATGGAGTTTTCTGTTTTTTTTCATGAGCATGATTCTTCCTACTTTCATTGATCTCATTTATTCCTCTTTTTCATGAATTCTCCACTGCTGATTTCATACAGTGTATTCTCTTTGTACTTTTTCTTTCCAATTAATAGTTATTTCTATTTTCTTTTCCTCTGTTTTCCAATTCTTCCTTACAAAATTTTTCTATTCATTTATCACATCACTCCTTTCTTTTACCAGAAATGAATTACCCAACCTAAGTGGACTTTGCAAACAATACTGCCTTCATAAAATCCAACGTTAGATAGAAAAAAATCCCAGTGGAACTTCCAAAGCTCTTAAGAAAAATTCTTCAACAGAATAGAAAATGTTTATGGCTGGTGCTTGATAGTCATTGAATTCTCTGCACAGAAGTGGCATAAATGTAAGTATCTTAAGTCTAAGATGAGCTCTGTTTGATGAAGAGGGCAGAATTTCCACTTCTTTGTGGCTATGCAAGCAGAAAATAGCATAAATAATCTTAGAGTGGAGGTATGTCAAATAAATCTCAAAAAAGGGCATTCAGGAATTCGTTCTTGTTTAAATACATAATCTCTTCCTCCTCTTCTTCTTCTCCCGCCTCTCCCTTTGTTTCATCACATTTAACTGTCCTCCTCCCAACCCCCCCAAAGAAGCCTATCTTTCTATTAAAATACAGCTACTAATACTTCTAAATTAACAGAGGTTATACTTGGTACCAGCTCCAGAGTTTCATTTTTAAAACTCATGACAAAGTCACTAAGTGACAAAGTTACTAAATCAAGAGTCCTAATAAGAAACAAAAGTATGGTTAACAAGTAAATGATTTGCCCATGGGTGACAGAGGATGTGTAAGTCAAGCTGAAGGCAGCGTTGGTCCCATACAGTGTGTTATGCATTATAGTACTTTCTCACCTTGGTTAGCTGTTCTTTAAGCCCAGACATGGTTGCAAACATTTCCTTAGCTTCTTCTTGGGAGCTCTCTTTGGTAATGAGGTGTGCTGTCTTTGTAATCATCTTGTACTGAGCATCCATCACAGGCACCCTCTGCTCAATATCCTGCATGAATCATTGGAACAGCTAAATTAACACACGGTACATTTCCTTTTAATTTCAGGATTCCACAGAAGGCTGGACAAAAATCAATATGCAGTCTATAAAATTCTATACTTTTAATAAACTTTTGGTGATTTCAGGTATTGCTTTTCTTCATTACTAATATATCTTGGTAATATCATATTATTTTCCTTTAAAAGTAACTACAATTCCTTAAGTTAACATAAAGATAAGCTGAAGTAATCTTTACACTTTCAAAATATATATGTTAATGTAGTACATAAACATTATATCCAGGAGATGCATGTTAACAATTTGGGGCAATTCCTCTAACTTTAAAAATTAAACAACTTACTTTTGCTTTAAAAAGTGACACATTGTCACTGTAGAAACTTAATAAATTAGAGCTAATAGGAAAAAGAAAATCTAAATTACTTACAGTCTTTTCACACAATGATAACCAGAGTCAACAGCCTATCACTATATCATTAATGTTTTTTCCTGTGGGTTTACACTTGTTTTTTATTTTTACAAAAGAAAGATTATTTCTTTTGCTTTTCTCACTTAATAGTATACTGGAAAAGTTTTCCATGTCATTAAATATTCTTCTACTACTTCATTTTTGAGAGCTGCAGGGTATTCAAAATATGTAAATAGCACAATTCCTTTAGTAAATACTTTACTGTTGGAGGGATTTACGTAGAGACCATCTCCTGTTTTCTCCTAGTGCTTTATAATTTGGTTGTAGGAAAAAAAACACTGAATTAAGAAACCATTTTGAAGTTGTCCTATGGTCAAAACATACTTTCAAAAATTCAAATAGATTTATTTAAATGCAAATATATATACTTTTTATTTTGAGGAGCAAATCAGGATATGCACACATGCCAAAATGATGCCAAGGAGACGTAGAAAAAACTTTGTGATGATCTAAGTAACTTCACTGATCCTTATTTTCACAATAGAATAGGTTTTTCACTTGATGGTCCAGGAAACTCCCTCACCTCCAAGTCTTGAATTAATAACTTGACATTAATGAAAGAGACTTCTAAGGGCTCCGAAAGTTTCCTATGGGCTTCAGCTGCAAAATCAGACAGGGTAGTAATACAGTCTGCGTATTCTTTCTTCATTCTGTCCAACTCATCAGCTCGAGCATACTGTTAAGAAAAGAGAGGAAGCAACGTTGAAATCATTAAGCCAAAACTCTGGAAGCCTGTAACCTTCCGCCAGTTCTGCTTACTCTCCTCTGGAGCTGTTATATGGTAAGAAAGACTCTAATTCCTGATTCTTATTTTAGATACACTTGAATTAAGTCCAATTACTGTGAAGGGAAGAAAGGGACTAGCATAGAATTATGGTTTGAAACATGAATTGTTCTGTATAAGTAGGCCCCGTATGACAATATGATCCTTAACCGAAATATACATTTCTGCAATGTTCCTCCCTTATAAATGGGAAAGAATAAAGGACCAAACATGAACACAACAGTTCTAAATACATCTGCGCTCTGCCTTAATAAGCCCATGCTTTACAATAAAACAGTCTGTAAACAGGCCTCTCATCGCAACAATTATAACGCATGCATGTGCTAGGCTTATATAGATTTGAAAGACATACTTGCTTAACTTCCATAAACAACTCCCTCCATCGCCCATTTAGCAACAGCAACTGTTGTTTAAGATCACGGGAAACCATCTCATCACATGTTTCAATGAGAAAATTGCCGGCATCATTCATGGCAGTGTGCTGCTGAATCCAATGGGGCAAGTTTCGAAAAAAATCCTAAACGACAAAGAAGGCACACCATTGTAAACCATAAACCAAAAATTAATAAATGATACAAAAGTAACCAGACTAAGACAAATAGCTTTGTTCTAAAATTTGTGCAAATCTTAAGGTAAATCCTAAACCTCTTTCAAAATGCAAAATTTTAATCAAGAGGTTCAAAAATATGAACGACAAAGGCTGGGTGTCTTTATAAGAACATCTGTGCCATATCTTTTACTGAAGAATGAACAAAATGTGATGAGCATTTTGTTATTCCTATTTTATAGATGAAAAAACTAAATTTCTGTGAGTATAAGGGAGCTGAACATAGTCTTCAGGCTAGTAAATACCACTGCCAAAGTCATACAAAAGACATTTTAGGGAAATATATAACTTCCTTAAAAAATGGTAAATAACCATTTGACCTGTTACTTTTGATTTTAAAATCTGAATATAGTACATCAAGATAATGAACAATCATGGAGATAAACCATCAAAGGAAAACTTCTAAAAATTAAACAGCTGGGCCAAGAACACTTACTATAACAACATCTCTCCTCATTTGTTTAAGGTTACACAGTTGGCAACGAAGCAGTTTCTACCTGATTTCAAGTTAAATGCATGCATGCATGTGCACACACACACACATATGCCACAGTAAAAACCAAGGATACCAAAGATAATTCAAAATCCCTTTCATAAGCCATGTGTGGGAGGACTTCCTACATAAATAGATGAGAACACTTCTGTTTCTGGTGGTTATATTCCCTTGGATGAAATTAACACATACGACATCTGCTAGGGCACTGCCAGTCTAATTGGAAAAGCCAAAATCTGTATGGGTGTATGGTTATTGTCATCCTCAGCTACACAAGAATATTTAATCTATATAAAATATAGAATGGAAGAACATTCTTAAAATTATACATCTACTTGTAGAACACAATAATAGATGAACCAACCTTGGATGGTAAGCAGAAATTCTAATGTAGGTACTATACTTCAATGAGAGCCTGGCATTTTAATATCTTTTACATATAAATTGATTTTCCGGTAAAATGCCAGCCTCCTATAAAGAAGTGTACACATAGAAATAAGTCCATTTCATGTGATATTTTAATGTAAGTGACATTAAAGTAAAACACAGAAATACATACCAATAACTGGGGGAAAGACATCACTCCTGTCCAGAATAAGACCCTTGACTTAGGGTTGATAAAATTTCAAAAAGAATATCCAAAGAGGAAAAAAAAGGTGATGACCCAGCTGTTCAACTGGTGTATGCCACCACGCAGACTCAGTACAACCTTAGCCTAAATTGTTTCCTCCTCTCTTAAATTAGGACATCCACGGAGGCTGGAGTCCTAGACATGTCCCTTCAAGTACAGATCTTATTGTCAGCATAGCGCCCTCTGCTGCCCATTGGGTTTGGCCACCCCTCCACCAGTTACTGCTTTTCTGAATGCACGTGTGGAACACCAAACTGATCAGATAGGGAACTGTTCTAACAGAAGGTGCATAAAGCAGTGTATTTCCTAGTCTAAAATAATTTACTAAACTGAAGTGCAACTTTTCAGGCAATGTCAGGATTCTTGAGTCACATTTGCAAATACATAACACTCCCTAGAGATCTATGCTGTAAAGTCTCATTTCTAAATTCGCACGTGCTCATTTCCTTTTGTAAGAAGCAATCTTACCTTTTTGGCATGTTCTGATTGATTTAGCATTTTTTCAGCATCCTCCAGCCAGGCCTGAAGACTAGCCACAGTATTGCCATATCGATCCCAGTTAGCGATGACTTCTTCCAGCATGCTCCTCACGCTCCTAACTTCTACTGAGAGGTTCCTCCACTGGGCAGTAGTTTCATTCATGAATTTCATCACATTCTCGGCTTCTTCCACTGAAGCAGATACAACAAATTCTAATCCTTATTTTATATTTTAAATGCCCCACACCTTTGCCTATGGTCTGTACACTGGTGTGCATTTATAATTCTTCTTTAGATTATAAATTTAACAGATGCAATGTTAGAATTTCACTCAGCTACTGCTGGGAATATGTTATATTTTATTCACAGGTATTTATAAAGATTAAAGATGATGATATATTTAAAATTCCTGATAAATGGGATGCAACAAATGACATGCATTTCTTCACATTTTATATGAATTCAAATTGATGGAGACATACATAGCATCCATCAAAAATCCTATAGTTCAAGACATTTCTCCAAAGAAGATATACGGATGGCCAATAGACACATGAAAAGATGCTCATCATCACTAACATCAGGGAAATGCAAATCAAAACTACACTAAGATATCACCTTATACCTGTTAGAATGGCAAAAATATCCAAAACCAAGAGTGACAAATGTTGGAGAGGCTATGGAGAAAAGGGAACCCTCATACACTGTTGGTGGGAATGCAAACTGGTGCAGCCACTATGGAAAACAGTATGGAGATTCCTCAAAAAGTTAAGAATAGAAATACCTTATGACCCAGCCATCCCACTACTGGGTATCTATCCTAAGAACCTGAAATCAGCAATTCCAAAAGTTCCATGCACCCCTATGTTCATCACAGCATTATTCACAATAGCCAAGTCATGGAACCAACCTAAGTGCCCAGCAACTGATGATTGGATAAAGAAGATGTGGTATATATATACAATGGAATACTACTCAGCCATAAAAAAGGACAAAGTCATCCCATTCACAACAACATGGATAGACCTTGAGGGTATTATGTTGAGTGAAATAAGCCAGACAGAGAAAGATGAACTCTGTATGACTCCACTCATAGGTGGTAGTTAACATATGGACAAAGAGAACTGATCGGTGGTTGCCAGGGGAAAGGGGGGTGGGGGGAGGGCACTAGGGGTGAAGTGGTGTACCTACAACATGACTAATAATGATGTACAACTGTAATTTCATAAGGATGTTAACTTTCATAACCTTAATTTAAAAAAATGCTCAAAAAAATCCTATAGTTCATTTTCAGCAAACATGACAGATATATTTACAAATCAAAACAAACATATTTGACAACTTGTCTCTACAATAAGTGAAGTTTTCATTTACTTTATTATATATATTCGTTAGTCCACTTTTTTGCCTTTAATCCTCAGAATTGAAAATAAGTTAGAAAGTTGCGATTTAGAAAATGCTTATTTTGCTCTCTTAGAAGACCACACACACAGCCATACACACACACAGACAGTCACAGAGTATGATTATACAGGTTAGGCATTGCACAAAGTCAAGGGGACTGAAACCAATACATGCTCTCCAGGCCAATGACATGGTTAAAGAATGTGCAGGGGGAAAAAAATGATGTAATCACGCAAAACCTGTAGGTTCTAAGTTCTACTGCATTCAATACTGCAACAAATTCTGTGCTGTGTTTTACCTGAACCATCAGCTTTGACGTACATCTCAGCTGTCTGCTTCAAGATCTGGTATGTCACTTCATATTGCTCAAAGAACTTGCTATTTTCTATAAAAGACTAGAAATGGGAGAATGGTTAGAAGATAGCAAATACTGGCTTATGTTGAAATGCTGAGGTCCATTTTCTACAGTATAGGTATGTGGATATGTTACCCAAATTTACCGACTTCTCTCTTCTTAAAAATATCAAATGAATCCAACTGCTATAAATAACCTGATTATTCTGAGAATATAAATTGATTCCATAATTTTAATTCTAACTCAGCATTAGATTGAGAAAATATTCTAGTTCTTCACGCGGGGGTTTTTTTTAGAAGAAAGAATTTCTCCAGAGAACCTGGGGCTAGCATTTAGAAAGCACTGAATTTGGAAGAACATTTTGCAGTGTCCCGCTGTGTTCTAGCTGTGGGATTCTGTTGCTCTTTGAACATTAACTCTGGTGAATGATGGTTTTGAGGAACTTCAGGTTATAAATAAATAACACAGTGCACAAATACTTTCTTTGAAATAAAAAGTAAGTACAAAAATGGTTATGCAGAAAAACGTAAAATAACATATTCCATCCATATTACCTGTGGTTTCATATTTCTATTACTTAGTATAAAAACGACAGATAAGACTTGTCTCTATCTATATCCATATGTAATTTACATATGTGGTAGAATCACTACCAGCAAATGGATATTATAAAATTGAGAACACACGAAAAATTCTTAGGTAAGTGTTATTTGTTATTTCTAGGAAATATGAAATAGCTCCTGTTTCAAAGAGTATTCCTACTCCTTTAAAGTAGAAAATTAATGCAATTATAGGTAACAACATATCACCAAAGTCTCTTTTAATAGCATAATTAGTTCCTATGATTTGAACCCACTAAAATACTTGATAAATGTCACTATTACAAAATGCAAAATTAGCCTTCAACAACCAGCTGAAGTATAGTATGCTGATTGAATGCTTAATAGGGAGATGCAAAATGCTTGTGTGCAGATGCAAAACTACTCATACAGGAATTTCATAGACATTCCTAGATTTTATTGATAAATGTTTATCATATTTCAAGATAACATTAGAAAAATTACATATATAATACACTTCATATCAGTTTATAACACATTTTACTTAATATTAACTATTCTTCAAGGATATAATGAACAGGGAAAGCTGTGAGTTGCTAAGAATGAGGGGTTCCATGATGAATATTTTATTCAATAACCTTAATAGGCTGTATTATTTTTGGTTGAGAATAAAGTAAGACAATAGTATACTGGTTAATTCATTAATTAGCTTCATGTCCAACTCCCTTAACCTTTCACTGTTCCCCAACTGGGGAAAGAATAATTTACTGTTATGTAAATTTTGAAGAATTTAACCAAACAAGCAAGTCATGATTTGATCAAAAAAGGAAAATTACACCTAATGTGCAAGACACTGTAGGAAACTGAAGAGATACATATATTTGGCAAAGTTTAAAGAATAGTCTCCATGTAGTTTTGGCACAAATTTCAAGATGCCAAGGGGAAAACAACTGCTCTGAGTATCAAAGAAATGTGAACTAGTATCTGTACTGGACAGAAAGACTTAAACACGCTTTTGCTAGAGTCATTTACAGATAAATTAAAAACGTACAAAAGAGGAAACTTTATTTCCAGTTTCATTTTTGGTCCCCGGGGAAAAAAGATGTTTTAAGAATATTATAACTGCTGTAAGGATTTATTAAAGTATTTTTGAGCTTTCCTGTTAGGAAGATTAAGCAATTAATTTTTGAAAGAAGATACCTTATTTGTTATTTTACCTTTCAATTGTTTCATTTATTATTCCTGAGTGTAGAGTAAAGCCATGTAGAAACATGAATTATATTCTCTGTTAGAATCACTTTAGCAGAAGTGCTAAATCTCTTTTCTACTGTGAGCTATCTAGACAGTCTCTCAGAGGAATGCAAAAGTAAACACAAATGTATATGTAAAATAATAATGACAAGATTAGTTTATTTCTTTGAAAATAAGGCTTACATTTGGATAGCAAGTTCAACAAACAAGCTAGGTTAGTCAGGGGACTTTTAAAGTTGGTGGCACTTCAAGAACAGTAAGATACTTCTGTATGCCACTAAATTCAAAGGATTAGTGGAAGAGACTAAATTTCTACTCTCACAAGATAAATATAGATTAATAATTAAAAAGCTCATCAATTTCACTCAAAGGAAGCTAAACCAGATAATTTAAGATCTTAAACATAAAGTTTGTGGAGTGGTTTCATCAGATTGCCTACTGATATTAATAAAATAATTACAGATAATAAAATAAATGTTCACATTACTTATATTGCATTCACAGAGTCCACACTTCCAAGAGCTGTTCTTTTCTTTTATGGGAAAGAATGAGATGTTAACCTACTTCTTCCGCAGTAAAATTAAAGCGTCGGTTAACTAACATGGTCATGCCAAGAACAGTTCCGACATCAAGAACCAAAGCTATTGTCTTCTGATTTACATTACAGCATGCAAACTCTTACCAAGAGCATGTGGACTAAATTAATCAACAAGCATTTGTGAAGTATTTTCCAAGAATTCCTGAAGTACTTAGCAGCTGCATTCCTGAGTACTTCAGATAAGAGGGAAGTAGCAAGCACATTCTCTAACTCTTAAAGAAATTATTTTTTCTTTTTTTGCAGATGAATAAGATGGAATTGAGAATCAGACGGAGGAAAAGATAATTATGGAACTTTATATCCTGAATATTACTTTGGTTATCAGATGATATAGCAGCATATGGCTCATTATAATAACTTTTTTAGAAACCAAGGCAAGGATTACATTTAAGAAAGTGAGTTATGATTTTATTTGAAAGTCTTCATGCTGTTTGAAATAGTCTGTTCTAAAAAGAGTGATTTTCTCATATGTGGAAGATAACAAATACATGGATAAAGAGAACAGATTAGTGGTTACCAGAGGGAAAGGGGGCTGGGGGGTGGGCGAAAGGGACAATGGGGAACATACGTATGGTGATGGATAAAAATTAGACTACTGGGGGTGAGCACAAGGAAGTGTATTCAGGAAATGACAAACAATAATATACACCGGAAATCACACCATGTTATAAACCATTAATAATCCCAATAAAATTACTTAAAAAATGTATAATTGTGTTTTGCTATTTTTGAGATTTTTCTATTAAAGTCTATGATATTAAAAATAATAATAATAAAAATAGTGATTTTCCCACAAACTCCAAAAGGATAAGAGAGGCTCTATAGGGTGTGAGAGAGAAGGGAAAGAATATGTGTCCGTCTCTGTTCCTTAGAAAAATACCTGTTATTCTATTATTGTTATTAAAAACTCGGGAAAGACTAAGCATTCTAGAAATTGTTTATAAAGTCACATGGGTAGTGAGTAATTGACCCAAGATTCAACCCATTTCTATGGGACTGGTAGCCAGACTTCAATAACCTTCCTTCACCTCACCCCACCTTGCCCCAATACCATGCTGTCTATAACACGAATAATAGCAACTATTTGGCTACTGTATGTAAGTATAAAATATTGTTAAATGTGGACAAACATTAAATGGAACTCAGATTTATGTGAACTGCATTCTTTCGTTCACTAAGCTACAAGAGATAATTTTAACGATTTGGTCTTTTAAGCGAAAAAAAAACTTTTCTCACAGCCAATTTTGTTAGATAGTAAAGCTCAGTACTTAAGAACATAGGCTTTTGGTCGGAAAGATGTAGATTCAAATTCCGACTCTTCTTACCAACTGTGCCACCTAGAGCATGTGATTTGAGCGCTCAGAGGCTCCATTTCTTCATGAAACTGTGTGAAAATGCCCAGCCCATATGGTCATCGCCGGGATGGAAGATGACACATGGAAAACACTTGGCACATGGAAAATACTCGATATCCCACAGTCAATAAAATTATTAAGTAAAAAATACCTTAAAACCTTTTTTGGAAAAGAAGCATGAGTGATAAATAGGTATTTTTCACCAGAGGACAAGAATATTAGAAAATGTTCATTAAAATCTGCTATATTTTTAGAATAGCAGCTTTACAAATAATTTTGAGAGTTAGGAAGGAGTTTAAAATTAGCAGCTTGGTGAACTTCTCTTTATGGAGTAGGCAGAAAGTACTGATTTTTTTAATCATTAATAACAACTCTCTACTTACATAGCCTTTATTTGAGAAGTTCAGAGAGAGTTACTAACATCACTGTGTTGGAACATTAACCTGGGGAACAGTCCCATTAGGCATTTTATTCTAATTGGCTGTCCTTAAATAGCTAGAACAAAGATGGATCCTGCATAATTACCTACTGAGCTCAGAGTGTATCATTTGACATGACTAAACCCGAAAATATAAATGCATTTCTGTATTTAATATTTAAAGGACCCATGTAATTGCTTGAATTAAAAAAAACTGATTTTCATTAACCTACAAAATAATTAAAAATGAATAAGGGAACCTATAATAACAGATTTCACATTTTTTGACAAATGTTTCTCAGACAATTTAGTAAACCTAGAGAAAGATTTTACTCTAAACTTGTTAAATCTTTTTTTTTTCCAAACGCATGTTGTTCATTCATCATGTAGAAAGTGAAATTAAAATGTAGTAAAATATACTATGGTTCTAGCATGCTTCAGTAAAGATATGGTTTCAGTAAGTATTCAATCACACCATTTACAGAACCACTGTGACTAGTCAGTTAGAAATGGGCTTATATTTAAATTTATTAATTCATCATTTAGAATTTGTGATAAAACATAGATGGAACAGTAAAGGAGTGAGATGCCATACTAATACTAACTTTGCAGGCAAATAAATTGGGGGGGGGCATGTTTAGCTAAGAGAAATAAATTCCCTTTAATAATTATAATTCTCTAATTACATGTAAATGGAAACTGCAAGTTGCAGAACAACATAATGCTTTCATTAATGCAGGGCTACTGTTGTATAGAGACATAGAATTATCTATACTGATAGCCCAAAATATGAGGTAATCTTTAAAAATTAACTTGGTACAAAAATTCATAGACAAAATTTTGATTTTTCCCGGCTATACGCAAGAAACAATAAAGCTCAAGGAATGACCATAAAAAAGACATGCTGGAACTAATTTAAAAAGTAGACAGTCCCCACGTGGACAATTGAGAATTGTTCTAAACTACTCATGATTGGATTTTAGAGACACGAAGATAATCTTTAAGTATTTTAATTTTCAATGGTGAGTTCACAATCAAAGTCATGGGTATACAATGCAAAAACTTTTTTTTTTTTAAGCAAAAAAGGCAGTACAATGATTCAATGTAATTGATGCCACAAAGCCCTTCTATATTTCCAAAGAACATAAGTGTATATTTCAGATTGTTGTGGAAAGCTCACAAACATATCGAATACATTTAACACACTGGTACCTTCATGTTAAAATTCAATATTAAAATAACAGTACCAAATAATCTGGAAGGTGTTAAATGATGAGTCCCTGGGGCTTCTGATTTCTCTATCAAAGTAGCAGAGAGACTTACGATGTAGTTTTGCAGAAGCAGCTCCACTGACTCTCTCCTCCCATACTTGATGATCCAAGATTTCAGCTTTGACTCTGCAAGAACCAGCAGTGAGAGTAGACGGTACTTTAACTCTAGAAATTCCATTTTCATTAAGTGTAGCTCTGATGTGGAGGAAACAAAATGAAACCTAGAAATAAAACATCGAGAATTTACAGAATGTAACTAATAGTAACAGAACGGTGCTTACTTAACCTGTTACACATCAGGGTTAACTATAATGCAGCCACAGGGTCTTCTAAACTCTGGCTGATCAATCACTATTTGGAGATCTGATTCCTTTTCTAGCTCTGGATTTAAAGGCAAATCAAGACTGATTGAAGTCTTTTAGTTCTTTCCTCTGCCAACACATTTCTCATCTGTTTCTTTTATAAGCTGTTTTTGCAATATTACATAATGTTCCTCACGGCACTGAACAAAAACACAGCCTCTAAAGAAACCATTTCTGTGATTTCCAGGCTGTGGATATATTCAGGTTTACTCTTTTCAATTAATAATATATTAGAATGTTGGCATTCTTAGTATATGTTATGGGAACCCAATTTTTATGCACCAAATGTAAGCATCTCTGTAAAAAAAGAAAATCAATTCATTTAAAAGAAAAGAAATGGAAAAGGCATCCACTGAGCATCTTAAAAAGAGACTTCATTTACAGCAGACATTTTCTTACCTCTCGGCCATGTCCTCTAATTGATCAGGTGGCACTGGGATCCCATTCACAGACCTGGTCCGGTAGATTTCATGGAACGCTCTTTTGTGGGCATCTGTGTTTTGAAGCAGATCCTAAGATACAATTTAAAAAAAATAAAAAATGTAGAAACATGTTCACAGGAGGCTAAGAAGCATAATTTTTAGCTTGCACCGATGAGTCAATGTATTCAACAATTTGATCCTGCTGCCACATCCACATGCAGCTTGGTGCCCATATTGGTTTTTCCTTTGTACAGGAGCCCCCAGGTTCTTGTCTATAAGGCCCTGTGCTAGAGCTGTATCTAATAATTATGGCATCTTTTAAACACACACGACACTTGCACAGCAATACATTCAGACATTTTAAAGGCACATGGTCCAAAGGAAAATGTAGTTACTGCTATAAACAATGACTTGTTAGTATTTTTCTCCTTCCTTGATTTTGGATATGCTGGTTTTTTAAAAGCTTAGAACTAAGCACAACTAATTTAACCCTTTAATGGTAAAGAATATTAGACTCTCTATTGTTATTTTATTCTGAATGCATGTAGGCTGTCATAAAGTGATATTTGCTTGCCATCTAAAGTAAGTCAACTGTATTACAATATGTTATGAAAATATCCTTACGGTTTGAAGATTTCAACCAAGCACAGGAAATGTCCCATATATCACAGTGGGAAGATTAAATGGGATGTTTTTAAATATTCTTTGTAGATTGTAAAGAAATCCCCAAATTTGAGTAATTTATTTAGATTAATTTGAATCTCCCTTGTTTTCTGAGTTTTTTAGGTCAACAGACTTATTTATATAAAGACTTACAGGTATTTCAAAGTTCCTAGCGAATTTCTCACATAAAAACAAAGAAAGAGAGAGGAGAGAGGGGATTCATACCATATTTTCTAGAGCTTAGTTTGTTTCTTAATAGCAGAACAAATACTCAAGTTTGACACTTACTAAAAAGTAAGACACATTAGCCCAACAGAATGATACATTAAAATTGACATTGTTTCCCTCACACCAAGATTTAGTGGATTAATTGGAGAAAGAAGCAAAAAAAAAAAAAAAAAAAAAGCCAAAACCATAAGAAAGACACTTGAGGGAAGGGAAAAAATGAAGGCTTTCATATATAAATTGAAATGGTAAAGCTGTATGTGTTTGTTCATATCAGTCAAATTTTTGGGACTTTAATTTCTACATTGTCAAAAAATCCAGAGCCAATCTATTTCTATCCTGATATGTTTTGCTATTATCACATTTTGACCTGGTTGGTGTCAATAGGTAACGACAGATATTCAAAAATCACTCTTGCTCAGAGACAGTGCACTCTGAGCTGCCAAGAGCAGATGCAGAGGACAGAGGACTGTCTTAGAGCAGGTATTGACTTTGAGTATCTTAGTCACTGTCTACGTTTTCTATTAACATCTAGACACATTTCTATGGCTTATGATCTTGGCTGAGACCCCCCACCCAATTGACTACAGGGCAAACTTGGAGCCACCACAATGCTCAGCTCTAATACGTTGTGCATGACTATATGTTAAAGTATGGGTGGGGGGTTGTGACTGTATTGGAATACCCAAATGTCCAATTGCCTCCTAAGAAGATTTCCCTATTGTAGTTTTCGGCATCTAGTTCATTGAAAAAATCTTGACAAGATATTAAAACAAGCAAAAACATTTTCAAACATATGATAAAAGCACTACAACTTGAGTGATGTTACTGGGTCCCCTGAGAGGCCATCTCACTATAAAACAGCCAATGATGAACACAGCACCTGATTTTAATTCATAGGAAGTAAGTGAAATATTTTAGGTCTGCCATTCTCAGTAAAACATGACCCAAAACTGGATCACAGATCTGTAAGCAAAAACAAAATTAAAAAGCTGACTGTCCCAGGCAAATATTTATCCCATAGCTGCAGGAGACTGTGTCTTGGAACTTGAATAAAGTGAGAACACCAAAACTGAGACTCCTACATTTAGCCAGAACCCTCAAAGAGGGCTGATGTGGGCCTGGTTGGTAGCAAATGCAAATACAAAAGGAGGAAGTCAAAGATTACCAAGCACGGGAAACAGGCCACCATGAGTGAGAATCAGCAAAAACAACAAATTTATAGCATTAGGAAAATGTAAGTAATTTAATACTTGACAACAAGAGCTTGTAAGTTAGAAAGAGAATGATCTGGTTAAAGTGTTCTTAATTGCTTAAACTGATTAAGAAGAGGTCAAGATGCTGATTAGCTTTCAACTTTGTTAAGTATCTGTGGCATCATTTCAAGGGCAATCACACTATAAACTGGAGTTTATAACTTTCAAACCAGTAGAAGGACAACCATGGAATAAGAAAAACAAGCAAGCAAATAAACAAACAAAAACCCCTCCATCCACTTAGAAATAGCAAGAAAGTAGGAAAAAAAAGAAAAGTAGTACAAATAGAAAGCAAAGAGTCAGATGGTAGAAACAAATTCAAGTCTATCACTAATTATAACTAAATGTGAAAGGAATATAAATTCACTAGTTAGGAGGCAGAGATGGTCAGATCAGACAAATAAAATAGAACCGTCTGCTTTTTACAAGAGATACACTTAAACTTTAAGAACATGGATAGGTTGAAATCAGCAGAATGGAAAACAACATGCCAGGCAAATACTTATCAAAGAAAGACAGTGTAAGTGTTATTAACGTCAGACAAAATCAATTTAAGAACAGAAATTGTTACAAGTTATTAACTGCTTAATGATGAAACTTTCAATTTACTAAAAGATATATTAATTCTGAACTTGAATGTACTTAGTAAGCCTCAAAATATATAAAGCAAAAACTGACAGAACTACAGGGAGAAACTGACAAATCCACCTGGCTGTGGGAGTTGTCAACATGCCTCTCTCAGTGACTGAAATGGAACGAAGGGAACAATCGCAATAGCAGGTTGGAGGGAAGGGAGGAAAGAGGAGGGAGGGGGAGGCAGATCTGTGGGCCTCATGGGCCTTTGGAAGAATTCTCTGTGTTTATTTTGAGTAGATGGAAGACAGGGGGCCGTTTGGGGCAGAGGGGTGAAATGAACTGATCTGCATTGTAAAAGGATTGCTGTGGCCATTTTAACGAAAATATTCTCTCCTTGTACATGGTTCCCTTGGCTGCTAAGACTACATGGTTGCTGGAGTCCCTCCTGTCTCAAGGCTGCTCTTTCTTATGCTTTTTGGCTGGTTCATCTTACATTTTGATCTCTTAAAATTGGATTCCCTCGGGACTCAGTTCTTGATCCTTTTCTCTTCTCAAACACTTCCTTATTTCATTTCTCTACTCTCAAAGCTTTAAACATCCCTCATTATGCCAATGATTCTTACTATGAGTCTCCATGCTATACCTCGCTCCTGAGCTCCTGTCTCTTATCTCCTACCATCTACTCCACATGTTCACTTGGGTGCGAAAAGGTCTTATACTTACTATGCCCCAAACTGACCTCCTGATCTTTCCTCTCAAATCTACTTCATTGTCTCTCCATCTTAATTGAGGGAAACTCCATTTTTCCAGTTGCTCGGTCCAAAAATCATAGAGTCATGTATGACTCCCCCTCCTTCACAGTCAATATCTAATGCTGAAAATTCTCTTTGCCCTGCATTCAAAATATATTCAGAATCTGACCATTTCTCACCATCTCTACAACTACCACCCAGGTTCAAGGCATTTTACTTGGATTATTGAAATGGTTCCCTGGTTCCTACCGCGATCCCTAACCCAGTCTATTTTCACATAACCATTAGAATGATACTGTTAAGAGTGACACTGTCAGTCCTCTGGCAAGAAAATCAATGGGAAAAAATAGTTAGGATATGACAGAGAAAATCAAAAGTGCAATTAAGGAAAATGAGAATGTGCAAAGAAACAATATTGGGAAAAAATAGGGGCTTAACTACAGGCAAATAAAAGATTACTAAAATGTATAAGAGAATATTTGGAACAATTTTATGTCAAGACTTTTGAAAACTTAGTCAAATGGACAAATTCCTAGAATGTACCAATTAGCAATATTGAAAGCCTGAATATTTCTGAAACCATTTTAGGGGCTCAGAATACAAAAGCGAAAAAACAAACAATAATCCTTGCCCTGCAGGAAATCAACAATAAATAAGATAAATAATTAAAACAGCAATTGAGGCAAAGATAAATGCTACAGAGAAACATTGAACAAGGAAAAGGGTAAGAGAGTTCTAATTTCAAAGGAGTGGCCAAGAAAAGGTTAACTAAGAGGCACCCTTTCTGTAAAGGCCCAAAGGAGATGAGGGAGAATTTAAGGGGAATATCAGTAGGAGAATGTTTCAGGCCGAGTGGAGAGAATATTCCAGAAGGACGACAAGAACAAAGGCCTGGAGGTGGGAATGTGCTTGCCTGTTCGACGTCATCTTTTCATCAAGGTGTCACTGACTTCCTTACTTAAAATTGCAAGACCATCTAATACTTCCTGTTCTTTTAACTTTTAACCTAATATAAAATTTATTTATTTATTACGTTTATTATTTCTTATCTGCCTCCTCCCATTAGAAAGCAAGTTACGTAAGTGTAGGGATTTTTGTCTGTCTTGTTTATGCGTGTTTGACAAATGCCTAGAACATCACTTTGCATATAGAAAGTGCTCAATAAATATTTATAGAAAGACTAAGAAGGTCTAGAAAATCATAGCCAGAGGAGTAGAAAAAAATAGGAAACCAAGTGAAGAAAGTATTTCAAGGATGAAAGAATAACTATGTAAAATGCCTCCGATAGGCGAGGTAGGATGAGGACTGAGAAATGACCATTGAGGGAGGAACAAGGAGCACCCTGGTGAATCTGACATGGATAGCATGGCAAGAGAAAACCTCACTGGAATGGGTTCTAGAAGAAATGGGAGGAGAGATTTTTTTGTGTGTGCTGGGAGAGATTCACCCTGAGATAACATCTGTTGCCAATCTTCTTCTCTCTCTCTCTTTTTTATTTTGCCCTCCCCAAAGCCCCAGTACATGGTTGTATATTCTAGTTGTAAGTCCTTCTAGTTCTTCTGTGTGAGCTGCCCCCACTGCATGGCAACTGATAGACGAGTGGTGTGGTTCTGCACCC